CCATTGGTGAATCCATTGATGTGGCCATTGGTATACCCATTGGTGAACCCATTAGCGTGACCATTGGTGTGACCATTGGTGTGACCATTGATATGCCCATTAGTGTCACCATTGGCATGTCCGTTGGCATGTCCGTTGACGTGTCCATTGGCGTAGCCATTAGCATGACTACTGACGTCACCGTTGGCTTCGCCTTTCGAACAGCCATTCGTGACACCATTAGCATGACCATTTGAGATGCCATTGGTGTGACCGTTGTGAAGATTGGCTGCACCGTTGGTATGGCCATTAGTATGGCCATTGGCAACCGTTTCTGGCGCATTGTCTTTCGCCTTCTGTTCGGCAAGCGACTCCCACTTAACACTGTAGCACAGAGAACGGGGCTCCTGACCTTCAAACACATCGCCATACAAGGGGTTCATCATAAATCCACGAACCGAAATGACGGGCACAGCGGGGCTCCTCTGCCATACATCAATGTCAAAATCCACGGCACCCGCTGGCATTGTCTCAGGGCACTTGGTCACGACCTGAACGACCTCGCCGACAGCATTGGGCGATTCGGGGGTGATTTCAAGCTCATTGACCGCGGCGGGCATGAAAAGGTGAGGCATATCTCCACGGCCAGCTCCGAGGTTCAGGAAGACAGATTGAAACACAGTATCCAGGAAGGCGCTGGGAACAATCGTCTTGGTTTCGTATTGGTAGGGCATACACTGAGCAGTGTCCTTGAGGGCGATGGAGCAGCTCGACATATTCTTGAACACACGAAGGCTTCCATTTTCCTTGCTGTCAAAGCTGCCAGTGTAGCCAGCACCTTTGACATCCAATTCGCTGTAAAATCTCTCAACATCAATGTTGGTAGCATCGCTGCTTTCAATGAAAGCCTTTCGGCTCAGAGCGGCATCGTAAGTGACGGGTCGGATAATGTTGGCAGAGCTCTTCTTCTTGATACCAACAAGGCCACGGCAGTGCTCCAACCATCCACGCGACTGAGTCCAGGATGAGATGTGGAAGGAATCCCACTCGTCAGAGTAAGAACCCAGGCCTTCAGCATATGCCTTCAGACTAAAGCGCAAATCGTAGCTGCTGTTCTCATCCAGTATCAGTGCCTTGGTGACCTTGATATCACGCATACGAAAGGCCGCAATATCTTCTACTGTATTACCACGAAGCTGGGCACGCTGAGAGGCTGCCTCGATCGCCATGGTGATATATCCAGAGAGTGGGAATGTGGGCAGGCCCTGCATCTTGTGGTCTTTTGTCCAGGGAATGTCATCTGTAGTAATGACACTCTTCCAAGTCGGCTCATCTTCATTGCAGAAATCATCCAGGATTCCCAACAAATCATGGCGCGGGAATGGCTTCAGGCGGTGGTTCTTTCCAGCCCGTGACTCTGCCCAGTACTGATGCTGCGACCACGAATAAGGTGCCAGATCCGAAATCAAGGAAGGCCGCTCCTGGCCTGTCAAGGTCAAATTGACGGCAGAAAAGTCAATGGGATGACCTCGGCTCCAAAGGTTGCCTGCCAGCTTAACAGCGGTAGTTGTAGCTTCCTGGTTACGCATCAAGGCAGAGAAGTATTTGGCGTTGGCAGCCGCCTGTGGGCTGATTCCCTTTAGAATCTGCTTGATTGGACCCTCCAGGGCAGCGTGAGGACCGAGTTCGACTATGATGTCTGGCTTGCCACTCTTGTACAGCTCGGCGAAGGCAGACGAGAAGCGGACAGGGTTTGTCAAGTTGTCGACCCAGTACTGGCCACCAAGCGCAGCAGTATTATCAAGCTTTGCGCCGAGAAGCGAGGAATAGAATTCTACTCCCTCAGTTGGCGCAGGGCTCATGTTGCGGATAGCAGACATGTAGTCATCAGCCACCAGTTGCATGTGAGGTGAGTGATATGCCATTTCAACACGAAGCTTGCGATTGAACATGCTCCGCTGTTCAAGCTCTGCAGCGAGCTTATCAATGTGAGCCTCGTCACCGGAGGCGGTGATAGAGTTGGGAGAGTTTTCGCAAGCGACAGTAACACCAGAGAGACCCATGGATTTGATTATTCCTTTGACTTCCTCAGGCCCAGCACCAACAGCGAGCATTGCACCATGGAGGTCAGGGTTACGCTGCTTCATCTGTGCGGCGTAATGGCCACGATAGTACGCAGCAGCCATAGCTTCCCGCAGGGTGATGGCGCCGGCGGCGTAAGCTGCGCCCATTTCGCCGGAGGAATGGCCGATGACCATGGAAGGTTTGATGTTCCAAGTCTTCAGCAGCTCAACGAGACCAAGCTGCACAGCAGTGCAGATTGGCTGCGAAATGTGGGCAAGTCCGACGATAGATTCGCTCTTGTCACGCACCAGCTCTTCTAGAAGAGAAAAATCGGCGCCGATGCTTTCCAGATAATCGGAAGCAGACTTGACAGTATCGGCAAAAACAGGGTGTGTGTTGAGAAGCTGCTTGCCCATCTGCGGCCACTGAGCACCTTGGCCGGTGAAAACGAATGCCAGCTTCAGAGGGTCAGTGGTTGCGACCGTAGGAATCAATGCTTCAGAGTTAAGCGTAGACACGAGTTCATCAAAGCTGCCGCAAGTGAGCGCCAGGCGGTAGTTGTGGTGAGTTCTGCGCTCGCCCAGTGTGTACGCCATGTCGCGAATAATGCGCTTTTGGAACACCTCAGGGTGCTGTTCCGTGTAGATGCCGATAGCAGTGGCATTGCGCTTCGCCGCGCCTTCGTCGTTGCCCGACATGACAAAGAGCCTGGGCACAATTTGGTTGTCGTCGTTCGCCTCGATGGCAAGGCCCTTGGCAACCTGGGACAGGGGAGCTTTTTCAAGGACGACGTGAGCATTGGAACCACCGAAACCAAAGTTGTTGATGCTGATAAATCGTTTGCCTTTGGGCCAGGGGCGAATGGTGGTGGGAACCTTGATGTTCCACTCATCGAGAGGGATGGCGGGGTTTGCTTTCTCAAAGTTGGTGTTGGGCAGGATAAAGTTGCGCTCCAGCATGAGAGTAGACTTGATGACGGAGAGCAAACCACTGGCATTCTCCAGATGGCCGATGTTGGTCTTCACTGAGCCAAGGTATAGAGGCGAACGCTTAGTGCGGCCTTGACCAAAGAAGTTGTGAATTGCGGTGGCCTCCAAAGGATCGCCAACCTTTGTACCCGTGCCGTGGGCTTCGACAAAGCCGACGTCGCTTGGGCTAATGTGGGCGCGAGCATAGACCTCGCGCATGAGGTTCTCCTGCTGTCTGGCACTCGGTGAAGTCAAGCCGACGGTTTTGCCGTCCTGGTTGATTCCCGTGTTGACAATGACGGAGCGAATTTTGTCATTATCACGCAGGGCCTGGTCGAGAGGCTTGATAACAACACAGCCGACGCCTTCACCGCATGCAAAGCCTGATTGGCCTCTGTGATCGAAGGCGTAAGTCTTACCTGTTGGGGTAAAGAGACCCAGCATAGACATTTGGATTAGATCGTCCGGATTCATGTATAGATTGCTGGCAGCAACAATGGCAGAGTCGCAGTCGCCACTTCGGATGCTCTGCACAGCAGCATGCATAGCGTGCAAACTAGAGGAACACGCCGTGTCCACCGAAAAGGATGGGCCATTCAAGTTGAAATAGTATGAGATACGACCAGCCTGAATGGAGCTGTGGCCACTGGTAGCTTCGAACATTTCGACTTGGTTGAGGTCCTGCAAGCTTCCGGTACGATAGTCGGCTCGTTTCGTTCCAATGAAGACACCCATCTTTTCGCCGGAGATCTTACCCTTGGGTAGACCAGCATTTTCCAGGGCTTCGTATGTGCATTCGAGAAGTTGTCTCTGGTTGATGTCTGACGAGGCGCATTAGCACCGGCGTAGTGGCCACATGAATATCTGGCAGTACTTACCCATTGAACTGGCTTCTTGTTTGGTAATGTTGAAGAAAGGCGCGTCAAAGACGGAGAAATCTCTATCGATGAAGTAGCCACCAACTTGGTTGAAGGTGCCTCTCTTTTGCGGATTCGGGTGGTAGTAAGCCTCGGCATTGTATCGACTCTTGGGAATAGGGCCGGAACCGTGTCGGGACCGAGACAGCATAGTCCAAAACTCATCGATTGTCCTCACATCACCGGACGTGCGGCAGGCCATGCCGACAATGGCAAGAGGTGTGGGCGTCTCCATTTTGTCGATGAGCATCGCGTCTAATTATGTATGTATGTATGAATGAATGAATGGATGAATGATGATGATATGCAATGAGAGTTGAGTCGCAAAAAGAAATGTACTTGCTCCGTTTTGGGGTATAATGTATTAGGAGCAGGACGACAATGCAAGTGACATGAATAGATGGTTGTCGCCGCTCATGAGGTAATGAGGGCAGTGTTGAAAGTCAGCCGAGAGAAGAGGGAATGAGGGAGTGAGCTAATAGGAAGGGCAGCTACGAAGTATATATGAACAGACAGTTGCAGGATGACCAAGAGGGGCAACCAAGAATTGTCAAGCACGCAGAGCAAGTACTCAGAGCAAGGGATATGGTATGTTTGACTGCATAGCTTTGGGCATTTGCAACTAACCAAGCTAGTCTCATGGGTTCCTGTTAGGAGGGTGTGGGACAAGAACGAAAACGGAAGCGCATTGGGCGGGACTGTCGATTGGGAGACATCTTGTGACTGCGTCAATCAAAGATTTAATAATGGACCGCGAATGTAGCACGAGGCAGCCGAAGCAGTCAAGGAAGGATTCACGGACGACACGCAAAAGCATGGAGCGATCCGCGTCAAGGAGGGGGTGGCCCTTGAGCATCTCAACCATGCCTTTGAGTGGAAGTAACGCGGGGCGCGGTGGAGGAGGGGCGTGAGCAGATCAGTCGAGAGGGCAAAGTTGTGGCGCCATGCGAATAAATACTGGAGAAGGAAGGTGAAGTTTTGGTTCGGACCTTTTTGCCAGCGTCGTAGTGTGTCGCGAAGCGAGTTGTATCGCGCCTGAAATGACTTGGCCTATCTTCTCGCAGTCAGATTCAACGAGATTACGGTGCGTGATCGAGAACATCCAAAGTTGAATCTCGCGCAAGCTGAGGTTAGGAGCCTCGGCAGGTCACAAGAAACGACAAGTGACGGGCAAGCTTGAGTGAGGGGCCAGGAGCAGGAGAGGCGGCCATCTGCAGCACGGAACATTGTGTCAGTTACAGTGAGTATTGAGGCATCTCGCAAATAAACATAGCAAATCAGGAAAAAATGGGTAACGACAGGGCAATGAGAAAAATGAGACATGAGACATTGCGGTCAAGGGACCATTCCAGGATGGACTAAACTGAGACGGGGCGCGCTCCTTGCTTTGTAAAAAGCTGTACTATCTTCGGCACTATCCAGCGTGGCACTCGTGGCCAGAATACTGGTAAATTGCATGGATGCATGGATACAGCAGACATATGTATGCGATTGTGAAGCGTGGTACACAGATAACGTTATGGCGCATGGTCGAAATGGGCATAGTCGACTCACTGGTTGAGGGGGACCTAGCGAGCATTCTCTCTCAAGTTTGGACCGAGCGTATAGTGTGGGGGCGCGTAGTGGCAGCTGGTACGACGCTACGAGCCTATGAGTGAGGGCTCAGGAAAGATTCCGTCGACAGAGTAGTCGAATTGGCCGGTAGCTAGGGACCTTTCAGCTTCCTGAGAAAGATGGGATGGAGATGGAGAGGGTTGAGACCACGGCAGCCGTCTGTGAGCCGCAGCACGTTCGGACCGTGCTTGTCGAGCGCAAACGAGGGCCGATGCGCATTGAAGCAAAGTTTAGCGGTCGGACATGTACTGCTGCGTTAGAGCCGCTGCTGATTGGTACTTGACGGACCTGGGGCGCATGGTGGCTTCAGCACACGCATTGTACGAAACCGGCCTAGTAGATGATGGTGGGCGAGGGCAACGTCGGGCAAGGCAAGGGCGATAGTTGCTGCAGGTGATATTTTCGACTGAAAGTACTGGGAGGCCGACAACGTAATCAGCTACAGCGTACAGATAGGTAGTTGGAGCCGGGTCAAGTTTTGAAATAGCCCAATCCAATGTCAAAGGGCAGCAGGTGTCGCGACATACTGATAGCTGACCGTCAACGCTGCACGAATTACTAGTTAGTGGGAAAGGTTTCAGCCGGGCAGATGGAGAAGGAAACATGGGCCGGTGTACGGATACCTCTGCGGGACCTGGCTGGCGCCGCAATGGCGTCTTGGCTGGCCCATTCTGGCTTCGCTGCTTCCTTCTCGCCTCGATTTGGTAGTAAAGGGCTTGTTCAAGGCAGGGTCCGGGCGCCTTCCCCAGCTCATCTCCATGATGGTATCAGAAAAGCCTCGGCCGTGGGTCCTGGCCGAAGCATCTGACTCGGCTCGGCTGATGTAGAAGATATCGGGCCCAAGGTCGGTGACTAGACAGAATTTTGAGTTGACGAGATCGACGGTACAGAGTACATGTGTAGTGCAAAATGTGCGTCGCGATGGGCAAACGGGAGCTTTGATGGAATTGTGGAGCTAGGCTGAGGAGAGAAAGGAGGAGCGGCCAGGGGGATCGCTCACCAGGATATTATTTTATTGAATGGGCCGGCACTCAAGGCGGCGGCGGCGGGAGTATTTGTTTGGTTAGGTGGCTGATATGCCGATAACCTAGGCAGCATTACGTGACGAAGAACCTTGATACAATTGATTCCGAGTTGATTAATTGCGCTTTTCTATGTAATTTCAGGATCAAATCGTTTCATGCTGCTACATATGCTGGTAAGTGCTGCGGCCCGTACATATGGGCCGTTTGTCTGTTTGCCCCGCGCCGCTCGGCCGACGGCCGGAACCCTGGTTTTGTTTTGTACCAGCTGTCAACTGCCAGTTGCCAACTGCGAGTGACGACGAACACCTGCAGCCGTTTGGTGGCGCGTGTGGCGCTGCTATAGGTGCAGGCTGCCCGCCCAATCTCTGGGTATCCTCAACACCATCATAAATTCATGCAGGATGGGTACTCCATACCCACGCTTGCTACCTACATACCTAGCCAACTAGCCAGCCACACAATGCTCAACGTGCCGAGTCTTCCAGATGCATCCTTCTCAGTCATTGTTCGAGAGCATAGCACAGGAATGACCCGCCATAATCTAGTCCCGAAGAGAATTTTTCTTCTCGGCGAGTTCGTCTCCCCGCTATGTCGATGCCCTAACGCGAAGCCAACAAATCCTCGTCAGCTCGGGAAGTCTAGCACCCAAAAAGTGTACCAAGACAAGCATACAGCGTGCCATTTACCGTGTATTAGGTACATGAGTAATGCCAACTTCCCGGGAGAACCTGCAAGGTCGGCCGTCCCCAACCTTAACAATAGACTAATCCCGAGTGAGGGGTGCTAATGCACCGAGACCCAATGCATCGGCACACAAGAAGCAAGCAGCACGATAGCTACTGGTACTTTATTGATTCGCGCCAACTAAACAGCTAATACGATTGTGTCTTGATACAGTCTTTTTTTACATACAACTGCTCAAAACCATAACACAAGTCCTCCACATACAACCTTCTCGAAGACTGCAAGCCATACCAGCTTCATCCAGTCCAATCAATCCCGAGTCTCCAACATCACTTCAGTCGCAGATGTCAGGCTAGTCTGTGCTCTTTTCTTCTTTTCCCACTACAATGTACTGCCTCTGAATCTCCACACCTCTATTCGCTTCTCCGGTGAAGGCCGGCCACGCCCCCCCTTTTCGCTTCACCTCCGGATCCTCCCAACTCTAGACTTGACTCCGCGATATTGCACCGTCGGTGGCCTAGAAGGATTCAAATGCTGTAGTTCATCGTGGAACTCAACTCTCCCTGGTTCTGCGACACAAGTGCCGAGGTCGTTTAATTAAAAGGGTACATATCTTAGCGTCTTTGCTGACGCTTGCAACGCTCTGCTGATGGTCAAACATGCCTGCTGCTGCCATGCTTCTCATTAGGCCCATCTCACGAACATCCTCTGATTAATATCTGATTCGGCGAGATATGCAGCTGCCGCCACGTGTTCATGAATACATGCGTTGGCAACCCATGCTCATGTCTGTCAAAGGGACGCTGCAATGCTGATTCCTCGTTGAAAAAGAGACAGAACCCATGTTATTCGGTACCACTTTCCAATCCTGGCTTGTTTCAGTGTCACTTGCTCGAAAAGCAACGATAAATGTTGTCCTTGTGCTTACTCGGCCGCAATTCCGGGCAAACTGTTTCATGCGAACGTGATGCTCGATACAAATGGAATGAAAGATCCCCCGAGCCACGGTCGCAATACTCTCTCCTTTCGGCACTACAATTCAATCACATGTCGCCGTTTTACATGAGTATCCTAGGGATGTAACAGTTGATATTGTCACATGGGTTCCAGACCTGTGAGTGGCACTTGCCTCGGGCAATTTATCCGATACCTGATCGCTGAAGAAGACTGCTGCTCGAACGCTAGAGTCTATTTATGGAACAAGATCATACCCTACTTGTATTCTCCATTTGCCCGTTGTTTACTCACCCACCGTCAGCTTTTGTGCTCCAATAATGTTCAACAATAGACTCATATACTCACCGTCACTGTCACCTTCGCCATCGCCATCGCCGCCGCCCGGAATTCACGCTTGCGGCAAAGCGTCTGGCAGGCTCATGACGAGCCGTAAAAAAGATTGCTGACAGAACCGTCGTGGAGATCTGACGTATGTGCAATAGTCGACCATTGAGCTGCAGCTTCAGCTGGCCTCCCCATGTGAACTTGGCCGTGCCCTATACGCTAATTTTCGAATCATTACCGTCTTTGTATAAACCATGACCATTCAAGGATACAGTTTTCAAGAATCTTTGGTACTGTGCTGGATAAATCAATGGCGACCACTCACCACACCCGAAGTCAAGAGCTCATGGCTCTATGATCTATCAAGCTTCATCTTCATAGCCCTGTCAGTGAAGGGCCCTGATAGGTCCACTTCCGATGCACCCATGTTTCAATCATAGCTGTGCGGCTGTGCCCACGCCCACCCCCTCGTCTCAAGCTGCTAGTTTGCTAGTGTTCTACTTAGTTATATCGCCTGCCAAAACAGGACGGTAATGGCAGCTTGGCAACTTGGCACCTCAGCGGCTGCCGCGCTGGGGAAACTACCTTTGGCTTGTCAGAACGATCTCTTTGGCATGTTTGCCTTTGAATATGTATGCCCCGATCATAGCGGGGCCCCTCGAATTGTCGCAAACACTGCAAGTCATGCAACCGGGCCAGCCCACACCTAACCGATACAATGGCAATCGAAGGGGCTAAGAGGCTAGCCTAGCTCATGAAAACTATCCCGTATTTCACTCTCCCTCTGTTGTTCAGTCCGTCAGTGACTAAGGTAGTAGCTAGCTATGGCACGTGCCCTGGCACATTTCGAGCGACAAAGGTCACTTTTTCGAACCTCACCTCATTCAATGTGTGTCGCGATTTGAATTCAATCGGCGCAGATCAAATAATATCATCTGGCCGTATTCCTCAGACATAACGCCCAATCCCTTGCGAAGATGAAGATTCTCTGCCTCCATGGCGCCTACGGCAGCGCAAAGGTACGAACAACCGGCGAAATGACTCGCAACCCCAGGAATCGCGACTCTAATGATGGTTGCTTCTCAGGCATTCCGAACACAACTAGACCCCTTCGTCTCCAAGCTCGAAAAGGCTGGCGATGTTAGCTTCAAATTTGTCGACGGTCAATTTCCAGTCAATCCCCCTGAAGGTTTTGGGGATTATTTTGGTCCGCCGCCCTACTATCGCAACATTGACTTTGACGGTGTTGACGGGCTTGCCAGGCTTGTCAACACCTTGCGCGCCAATACAGAGGGAGAATCATATGAGGACACTTTGAGGGCCCTTCTGAAAGGCGACGGTGCCATACCTGGGGAGGAAACGATTGCCAAGACATTTGACCGCATCACGCAGTATCTCGACGAAGATGCAGAAATCGATGTAAGTGTCCTGTGAGAATCAGGGTCGCACAATCTTGTGGTAGACATTCTAATGTTGTCTCTCCTGCTAGGGAATTCTGGGATACTCAGAAGGAGCCACCGCCGCGGCTTCGTACATCTTTCACGAAGCCCAACAAGAGGAAGAACATGGTACGCCGCGCAGGATCAAGGTATGCCCCCCCGCCCCCACAATCAGGCAGCGCCACGGTTCACCATTTGGCATGCCTACTAGATATATTGCCATGCAGAAGCTAACGCCATGTTCTCATCAAGTATGGAATATTTTTTGCCGGTTGGCCGCCTAGCAAAGTCGAAGATGGCAAAGTCAAGGCCGTGTTGGCTGACGAATGCGAAGACATGATTGACGTGCCGACATGTCACATTGTCGGCAGCTTGGACCCGTACCTATACGGCGCCATGTCTCTCTATGGTGTTTGTAACGAAGACAATGCTACACTATTTGATCACGGAAAGGGCCACACAGTTCCCCGTGACAATACGACTATTGAGGAGCTGGTTGCGTCAATTCGCAAGACAATAGCGGACGCAGGATTGTAATTCGAGGAGAAATCGGGTGGCGAATAAACCAGCTCTGGCATGGAGCGCTAGAGCCTCTGTTTTAATACTGTTAGACTTGTATGTCAACTAATACTAAATAATACTAAATAATACTACACTAACCTTGTCCACCTCTTGCATGAGCGGCCCGTGACAGCGGGGGAAAACGTTGCAGACGATTTGGATTCGAAAAGATGGCAGCGACCTGAGCGCTGGCCTCTTTTCGGGTAGGATATTTTAAGTAGCATATCACGCACTATGGCTAGATACCCGCCATGTCCCATTAACCGACTCATCAGGGCAAAGGGCGTGAAAGTAAAGATTTGTGTGCTCTGATAACTGACAAAAAAAGCCAATTCACTTGACACGAAACTTTTTTTTGCGCATCCTCATCAGTTACTTGCTGTAGATTGTCATGGTGGCGTAGACGGACTCTGTTTAGCACAATGGTTAGCGGGGTGCAAGGGCCACCGATCAGACGCAGCTAGCGAAACTCCAAAAGCCTATCTATCAGTAAAACACGTAGAGAAGCGAGCGGCGGAACGATTCTTTCCGGCCTCTCGATATGATTTGCCGGCAAGAAAGTAACAAGTCTATCAATGAGTTGGCATCGTGTTTGTTGGCAGCAACGCCTCCAGCCTCAACATCATCCATGACAGCACAGGAATGGGGGCACGTTGGAGAGATCTACTGTCTGCCAAATTCTTTACGTGTTCAATGTACGTGGCAATTCGCGTCTGGCTCATGATTGGGGCAGGCGCGCCAATTACTTGGGATGAAAAGACCAGCCAAGCTCGTTGGCAAAGACAGAACGGCAATATTGACAAGGGGAGAGGGGGGGCTGGCCTGAATCTGCGCGATGACGGCATTTGAGGGGAAAGAAAAAAGAAAATTACAGATAATAAAGACGCAATGGCTTTTTCTAGGCATCCAAACCATGGTGCCATCGAGTCAGGAATTAAATAATTGCTTCTGTGCTCATGTTTCGCATGCAGTCCAGGGATGGTTCGAGTCGACCGGGTACCTGAGTGACATACTGACAATCATGGCTTGATAGACTCACCCCCCCTCCTTCAAGCTCAAGCCCGTTCTCCCCTGTCCAGTTGCCAGTTTCTCCCTCTAGCCCCCCCCCCCCGCGCTCACAGGCCGCGCGCGCTATCTGCATCGGAGCAAAAGCGCGTTGAGTGCATGAACATGGCTTGTTCCAGGTAGCCCGCGTTGGCCCCCCCCCCCCTCCCCTCCCGGTGACATGGCGCCTGCAATTCTTCCTTGGTGGCGGGATGGTCTCCGCCTGCCTTCTGTACCTGATCACCGACCCCCATCAACGGGCTGAGAGTTCGGCGCCACAAGTCCACAAGTTCCCTTAGAAATTGCTACGTTGGCCATGCTCCTCCTTCTACATCCCACCACGGAAGCTTTTTTTTTTTAGAGTGTGTGTTGCCACTGATGAGTTGTACATGCTGAGAACCTAGTTCCTCGGCAGTTGTGGTACGAGACGAGAGTAACAACTCACAATGGATGTAACCTGAGACTTGACAGGTGTTGTTAAAGCTCTGCGGCTATCACTGCCCGGCCGAGCCGAAAGCAGTTGTCGCAAGCAAGTTGTCGCAGGCCAGTTGCCGCAAGCAATTTGCAGCTGATCTTTTTTTTTTCCACTAGCTATGGATTATAAGGGGGTCAACTAGACCTTACCCACTGCTGGCTGACCCGTCATCAATATTATTGTAATGCAGCTGCACTATTTGCTTCTTTCTGTCTTAACATTTGCTCCTCTACCCCGTACAAACGCCCGCTTTCTAGACAGCTTTTGAGACCTCTTTGCTTTTCCCCATCCTTCCAATTTCTCCGGCCCCCCCCAGCTTATTTCTTCTTACCTGTGCCTGTGCTGCTATACTTAGTAGCTGCGAGGCATCGGCATCGGCATCGGGCATCGGCCAAGTAAAGCAAACAATGGCAGCACCCGCCCTCGGCCCGCGGATCTTGTTTGCTGCCAATGTCGAGCGTGGGCAGTACGGAGTCTTCTTGGCCACGGCAGACGCTCTTTTGCGCTCCAACGCCGGGGTGGAACTGCATTTTGCCTCGTTTCCGTCTCTGGAAAAGGAAGTGCGCGCAATCTCGGACGAGGCTATCCTCGCCACCAATGGGGCAGCCAAGCCCATAACATTCCACCCTCTGCGAGGTCAGACACACGCAGAAGCCGTCCTGGCCAGAAACACGGAGAAATATGGCCAAGGTAGTTCGGTGCCTCCTCTGGCCTTTTCACAGCCTCTCAACGCTTCGACCACCATGACGACGACACGCGATTTGTGCACCTATCTGCTTGGATGGGACGGGCCCGGATTCATGCATGTGTATGACTCTTTCAGCGACATCATCAAAGCGGTCACGCCGCATCTCATCGTCGTAGACGTACTGCTTTCGCCTGGAATCTCTGCTGCCTGGAATTCTGGGATACAATTCTCCTATCTCAGCCCAAACTCCATCAAAGACTTTGCAGCCACTTACCAACCACTCGCCATGTTGTGGAAATGGCCAGCGTGAGTGCTATTCCCTCTTTCCAATCATTACATTTTGACTCCTCCTCAAAACTAAACGAAATTTAGCCTCATGAGTGGATATAGCTACCCAGTTCCTTGGTATCAAAAGCCGTTAAACATGTTTCACTACCTACACATGGTCTATCAAATTCTTAGAGAGCCCGGCTTGGCAAAAACGAAACGCCATGTGGAAGAGAAGACGGGTAAACCCATGAGATCTTTGATCAACACGGGAAACAGCCTGCCAGACAATGCCAGAATTTTCGTCGGCAGTCTGCCCGAGCTGGATTTCCCCCTCAAGAGCCATCCGCGGATCGTGCCATGCGGCCCCATTATCAGCGAGGCATCGCCAATTTCAGAGTCGGATCCCAAACTCGCCAGCTGGCTCACCAACGGGCCTACCATTTACGTCAACTTGGGCTCTCTGTTCAAGCTCAAAGAAGATCGCGCCGTGGAGCTCGCAAAGGGCCTGAATATGGCAATTGATCAGTTGGAGCGCAAGACTCCGGATGGCCCGTACATGCAGGTCCTGTGGAAACTCAAAAAAGACGGACATTATGATGCGACAGGTCCAAAGTCCAGGATTCGGGCTGCTTTTGACGACAAGATGGACAGCGACCGTGTTCGCATTGTCGACTGGCTCGACTCTCCTCCCCTTGCAGTCTTGCAAGGCGGCAACATTGCCTGCTCCGTTCATCACGGAGGTGCCAGTTCGTACAACGAAGCGATTTTGTAAGTCATCTCTAGTAATTTTTCTTATGGAATCTCCTTCTGACATGTTTTTCGTCTTCTCAGGGCCGGTGTACCGCATGTGGTCCTTCCGTTTTGGACAGACTGCTATGAGTATGCAAATAGAGTCGAGTTTCTGGGCATCGGCCGCAGGGGCGCTCGGAAGCATCAGCCAGTCTTTGAAGCTACAGAACTCTCAGAAGTTTTGGTAGAGGTAATCAATGGGAAGCAATCCCAGACTATGAAACAGAGATCACTAGAGCTCGCGCACTTGTGCAAGCAGAATGGAAGTGGTCCCGAGATTGCGGCGCAGGGCATCGTGAAGCTTGCCACGGAGGGAGCTGCGGAGGCGGCCAAGGGAACGCCGCAATGAGCGCTTTGTAGGAGTGGTTCTCTTTTTCTTTTTCTTTTTTCAACATTCGATTTACAAATTTTCTTCTACTTTATTAGTATATATCACTTTCAAGCGCGAGCTTCAAGCCGCTAGCTTTAGAGTACATACAGGCTCCAAGCCATGAATTTATACACCCAGACTCTACACTCTCTCATACTAAGCACGGCAGCAAGGGACATCTTTGATATTTCATCAACATGTCAATCATAAGGAGTGGTATTACAGCAAAAAAAAAAAAAACCTCAATCGTCGAAGCCAACTAGCAGCTACTGTCCAATTACGTATGACTCATTCTTCCTGAAAATGAGGCCTGGCTTACGCTCTGCCAAATCGAGCACCAATTCAGCAAAGTAGCTGTTGGCCCAGGCGAACCAAGGACGACTGTAGTCGCTCGCGTTGTAAATGTTGATGCTCTCGTGAATGAGGCCAAGGCCGGATGTGTTTTCCATGATGAGTGCCAAACGCTCAACAATCTCACCGTCATCGTCTGTGCCAAAAATTGCCGATATTTGCGACATGGGCCACGGATAGGTAGCGTTGACGTGAGGACCTCTGCATCAGCGGGGTAAACAAGGTTAGCATGCCATGCTGCCCCCCCCCCCATGGAGGTTTTGTTTCTGTTGATGGAGAGTCTTGGCAACTTACCCAACACCTTTAAACTTTTTGCCCTCGGCGTAGTACGGGTTCAGGCGCGACAGCATCGCATCCTTCGTCTTGATATAAGTCGAATCATTACGGGGCAAGAAACCGAGATACGGGAGCGATAGCAAGCTGGGGACATTGGCGTCATCCATGATGTACATTCCGCCATACCCGTTGGTCTCATATGCAAAAATGCCGTCGCTGGTGCGGGTATTTTCCCAGATGGCCTTTTTGATGATGCCAGAGAAGTGTCGCGCCTGAGACGCCATCTTCTTTTCGGCGCCAATCTTGTCCAGCACGTCCGCCACGAGAGCGAGCTCTACTGATATCATGGCATTGTCCGATGTGATAAAGTTGAATACGCAGAGGTCATCCGATGGACGGTGGCTCGATGCGACAAGATTATTGGCACGTTTTGGCTCGCCGTTGCCTCCGTTGGGCACAGGCGGTGACAAGGAGCCTGAAGTGCCAGTCCAGTTGTAGTAGCTGACAAACTTCCAGTCATCCGACCAAGAGCTTTCAGACTGGTCATGGATTAGCCGCAGAATCGCCTGCATTGCTTTCCTCCCTGTAGCAGAACATTAGTCCAAAACTTTTATCCAGGGAAAATTCTTGTCGACTTGCAATTCTCATTCACAAAGGAGGAGTCCTGCGTATTCTCATAGTAGGAGCGACTAATCTTGAGAAAGCCTGCGAGAGAATCCAATTCATACTGCAGCGACGTCAGTATTGGATCCACTCGATGAGGACGAATCCACCTACTTTGCACTCAAAGACTGTTTGGTTGTCAACTGGGCTGATTTGCTGGTCAGTAATGTCGACTTGTATGGCCTCGGAGTCTCGCAAGCGTACGGGTTGATCCGGACATTGTCAGCATAATCCTGATAATCACATTTAGCTCCGTGAAGAAAGTGAAACGTCGAGTCTCCAGTTTACATACGTTGTGACTCGGTGGTAGGCCACTTTCGGGCGGAGGCTGGAAGGCACCTGTGGAGTGTCCATCAGTGATTGTATAGTGTTTGAAAGGGAATTGTCTCCTCATACCGCAATATGGGAACTGGTAAATGTATCGCGCTTCCGTGTTGATTACCGCTTTGACAAGGTTCTTTAAATTCTCATCTTGTGGCAGTAGTTTGTACAGGTGAGCAAACTGGTTGCCAGTATCTCGCAGCCATTGCGCACTGCAGAAAGATTAGTACTCGGCATTGATTAGCCATCGCATTTCGTTTGTACGTGATATCCTGCTCCCAAGTGAATTTATTAGCTCCACTTGCCCGAACACCCAATAAATGGAAATTCAGAACCACGTACACCAGTAATGATAAATGCTAGGTTCGCGCTCGGGTCAAAATATTTGACAGTGGTGTCGAGAGTGGAAGGGAATGTATTCTCGAAGAGGCGCGCCAGATCTGGGTTCTCGAGACGCGCTTTCATATCCTCAATGACTTTCTATCATTTACAAAAAAGTCAGACACTGAGAAGTATCATTCTGTGATTCGTCTGGCATCTCAAAACATCCCTACCTCGACAGCCGGGCTCTTGAAAGTCCGGCACTCATCACTTGGTCTCATATAAGGAAGTTTGAGGGATCCATTCGAGTATGGTGCGTGCGGCTGCTTCGCATATGTGTTGTAATCGGGGCATCCAGCGGCAGTGCGCCCCTGGGTTTGAAGATCCTGCCGGGCTGATGAGGCGCTCACCGTGGCGTCGGCGAGGCTTGCGAGGAGGCCTAGCGCCAGGCACGCGACGCGTCGCGGAGACGACACAGCCATGACTAAGGAGTGAAGCCAAAAGTGCAATATTGAATCGAATTAATAAGCGCCGGTAAACTCAATTGCACAGACTCGAATTGATCCTTCAGTGAGAGAGATGGAATATTCAGGAGACTAGCTGATTGCTGGGCTGTCATTCAGTTCATGTTGTTTTCGTCTCGCTTATTTCCCCGCAAATTGGGGTAACACAAGGCGTGGGGAAGCGGGGAAGTTGCCATTATGCATGATGACGACTATGTATTACTGGATATGACATCAAACTGCTGCCAATTGCATGGTCAAAATGATCACCTAAACAATTACAAATGTGTATGAATCGAGTAAATCTTGTGTTGAAGCAATTTGTAGTTGGCAATGTTGTTGATGAATCAACGGTGCCGCTCCAGCCTCCACTCACACCCGTTGGCTGTGTGAGGGGACCTGATAATCAGCCCTGCGTATTTTTATTCATAAAAAATACACTACCAGTACCGCCATACCGTCTTCCATTGAAAGAAATTCTACCTTGAATCCATCTCCTTGATTTGATCTCCCGACGGCCGCTGCCAGACTTTGTCACAATCACAGTGGAAAGGGTGTCCCGCTATCAACTACCCGGGATGTACTCCGTTAGAAAAAAAAGTCATCAAGGTATGGGTTTGATAAAACGTGGCCTGGTGATCAAATGATGAAACACAAGGATCTAAACGAGATGTATTTTATTTAAAGCTGGTTGACATTTTCCGTCGCGCCACGAGTCAGCTTCGTGGCCGCAATTGACGTGATAAATCAGACCATGACCGTGCACTCACGAGGACAAAGCGCGCCCCTGGAACCAAAGAACTTAATCTATCCCTGAAATCTTACCACTTGACTTCAGCAGAGTTTTTTTCTATTTTAAACACCTGTAGCGTGGACTCTGAATCCAAACTTTAGATCTGTGGCCAATTATGAGAACACGAGCCCAGTGTGCCCAGGTAGAGATGGAAATGGGTCACTGAGGCTCGAAGCAAGAAAGCCAACATACCACTACCCCAGTTCGTTCCCATTCCCGGGATCGCTTTGTCCGACAAATTTTCTTGGAACAAGCCAAGGGCTACATACGATCAATAAAAAGTGTGCTGTGTCGTTCAAATTAGCCGAGCCAACTACCTCCAGCGAAAAGGCGTCAAAGTATAGATACCATATTTCGTGAGCGCGCTTCTGCATCGAAATGAGAACTTCAAACATATTGCTGGCCAAAATTGACGCCGGGCAGTCGAAGCTATTGAAAACGAAAAGCTGAATCGCCATTTGTCCATGTTCTCGTGATCGCGCTCGTGAATGGGCTTTAAGACCAGGTATAAGACGCCAAAGACAAACGCGTAGTGAATTGGAAGCAAGATTGTCGCCTGATAAGGAAAACAATATATACCATTCATGCCTATCTTGCCCGAGTAGTCAATAAATTAGTCTGCCATTCGCGCGCCATTTTGGCGTTGAATAAAAGAAAGCTCAGAAGAGGTTTGAGGCAGCAACCTCACATCGGTCGGTGTCGCTATCTTTCTTCTCGGCTCATCTGGAGGGAGACTTACACAGCCGGCCAATGATCCCAGAAGACCTAGAATACTCGCCTTTTTATATGTTTTTGCATGAAAATGAATGTTTTGGAACAAATTATAGCGAGCCAATGTAATAGATCCGCGACCAAGATAAAGAGTGCAAAGATCAGGTCGCTGCAAGTCATGACAATGTGTCGTCAGTATCGCTCAGTCAACGCAATGAGAAATATTCCAATCTGTGCATTCCTCGTACAGAGTCTCCTCGCTAGGACTTCTGCTTAAGCACAGTACTCTTCGAAGCAGCCAATATGTCACACAAGAGAAGTCGAAGTACCGGACTTGAATTGAAGCCCAATCTGCGGTCCTCGGCTGCGGCGGATGGGCAAGGTATTCTGGCATGCGCGATAGGCGAGCCGACATCTATGCAAAGAGCCATGGTATAATGACAGGCGATTATGACTGTAAAATACCTAATGGGCAGGTAATTTTCAAGCTGCAAGACGGAGGATTTTTAAATCTTATGAGATAATCAAGTTCAGGTATCCTGCTTGACAATCTTGTCTTGGTTGAACCATTTCTGCGGCATCAGGCATCCTCGACCAGGGACTCGTATTATCCTACATTTCCGCTTTGTGACTGCTTGCGTGAATTCTGGAAGCCAAAAGATCAAGAGACAAAAAGAAACAGTAACTGATTATATCTGACTTTGCGCCATATCGCGAATTCTTGTATCTATACAAGCCAACTCCGCTTCAGCATCGTGATGAGTGGGCAGCCTGTCGAGCCGACCTCAGCCCTCCCAGCCCTAATTTGGTGGTGACATCCGGCAGTGCGAACATTGAACGTGGTGACTGGTTCACAGGTGGCCAGAAGACTTACCGATGGACTCCCTCTTTCTCCTAGGTTAATCTGGGCTTTCCGGCGATGATTTTTGGTCGGCGACTCAGGACACGCAGGGCCCGCGGATTAAGGCCGCACCGAAACGGTCGGCCGATCCGATCGGCCGCACAAAGCCCCCGATTTGTCTCCCACCCTCCATGAAGACGGAAATTTCTGCGCTTTGAGTGGATTTGGGAAATATTACAAAGTCTTTAGAGTAGAGCCCAAACTAATACGAGGCCTCACCCTCAGCGGTCGGTGGGACTTTTTTTTTTTTTTTTTTTTTTTTTTTTACCAAATCTACCTGTTATGCCAGCCCGGGCTGCTTCTGCGGCACGGCCGATACAGGCCTGTCAGCGCTGTCGCCAGTACAAGGTCGGCTGCGATCGAGCGCGCCCGCACTGTAGCCGATGCAGCAAAAGCCGTGCCGATTGCATCTATGTCGGCTCCGATGTCGCACTCGCCGTCAAGACCATTATTCGCGAGACTGTTTCTAAACAGCCTCTTGAGCAACCGCACAGCCAGCTGACGCCCCCGGACACAGAGACGCCGCGCAAGGACCTGTCGTCGAGATCAGCATCGCCGCCAGAAGAAGAAAGGCCAGCTTCGGCAGCACCCAAGGGACGGTATTCCCCTGGCTCTGCTCATTTCAGGAGCGCAGACCTGATACCGGCAAAAAATCACCTTGCCCAAGCTGCCAAGCGAGACAGAGCCATCTTGTCCTGCACTCGATGCAGGAGGCACAAAGTCCGATGTGATCGGCGGACGCCCTGTGGAAGATGCATGAAGAATAACAAGGAATCAGAGTGTATATACTCGGAACCGCCTCTACCAGATGCTGCTGCTGTTCCACAGAAGCCTTACAAGAGCTTGCATGGCATCGCCACGACTTATATCGACCACCGGTGGGATAACAGGTTCCGGAATCTAACACACTGGACAATTCTACTGCAAGAGGTACGAGTATTTGCGGCTATAGAACCTCAAAAAAACCAGTGAATCATAGGCCATCTAACATTATCAGATTCGCTTGCACCTTCCACAGCACATCAAGCCCATTGATATAAAGGAGGAATGCAAGACCTCCATCAGTGGCATGTCGCTCTCCATCAACTTTCCACTAGGAAACCTGAATGATGCCACAATCACAGTAGAAGAATTACTGTCCCAATTACCCCGGCGCTCAATACAGAGAGTCTTCATCTCGTACTTTATGGAGACGATTGAAAAGACGTATCACATAGTGGACGAAGCAGCCTATGAGCGGGAACTGCGGGCGTTTTGGATGCCAGGCTCCGTGACCCCAGAAGACTGGCTTGGCGTGCACTTTGTCATCCTCTCACTTGGCTGCCAAGTATACAACCACCATGCCTTTCGAAAGGGCCAGGACATTTACGAAGCGCTGCCTGTGCGGCTCCTCAGCGGCGCGGAATTGTGCCTGAAACGCACCCCATTCTTGTTCCACCCGAGTCTCAACATTATCAAGATGCTTAGTCTCATGGTTATTGCGAAGCAGGTGTACGCCATGTCGTGCCACCAGGCCGACACCTGTTGGCAGCTGACGGGCTTGGTTGCGCGGCTGGCCACGAGCATGGGACTGCATACAGACGTGCCCGTGAGCGACGAGCCCACGCCGTACGAGGAGAAGATGAAGCGCCGGGTGTGGACGCTGGCCGTGTACATGGAGATGAAGCAGTCGCTCGTGTGCGGCATGCCGCTCCTCCTGCGGTCGTCCGACATGGCCGCACTGCTCCGCAAAGAGGCCTTTGTCGACGGCAATGCCGGGACCTCCTCCTCCTCATTGGCCGACAACCTCGGCGGCGCGCAGCTCCTCCACCCCAGTCTCCTCGAGGAGACGTTTGCCAGCGCCGGCAGACTCATCGCCAAGGCCATTGAGCTGGCGACGTGCGTCGAGGACCCGGCCACCTACGCCGAGGTGGTCGAGCTCGACGCGGCGCTGCGGCAGCAGCTCAAGCGGCCCGAGACGGGCCTCCACTTCCCGACGGGCCTCGGCGTCGTCCTCGGGCCCGTCGACGTGGCGACGTGCATGGTGGACATTTTCTGCCGGCAGACCATCATGGCGCTGCACGCGCGCTTCGCGCTGCAAGAGCGGTCGTCGACGCGGTACCCCGTCTCGTACCTGGCGTCGCTCGAGAGCGCCCTGTCCATCCTGTCGCGGCAGCGCGACCTGTGCGAGGGGCAGCCCGCGGCGCCGAGCTCCTGGCTGGCCGGCCTCTTTCGGCACGAGTTTTTTACGGCTGCCATGACGGTCTGCTTTCATCTCGTGCGCGGCGGCCACGACGACGACATGATGATGATGAACAGCAGCAGCAGCAGCATGATGCCGGACGGCTCGGGCCGGCCGCAGGAGATTATGCTCGACGCGCTGCAGTCGTGTCGGGATGTGTGGAGCATGGAGAGGAAGAATTCAGTGTGTAATGCGAATGCGTTTAATATTGTCGACAGACTGGTGACTTGGATAAGAGAGTCGCGCGAAAAGTAGACGGACAGCCGTGTTCACAAACTGCGACTAGAACTCGGGGTGTTGAATGATACATGGATGGATTGCGGTGCCTTTCAGCCAGCTATCGAATGGTATTTGGCAAAAAAAAAAAAAAGTATATAATTTATTTATATTCTCCACCATGTTGAAAGTCTCTCCTCTTTTCATCTTTAGTTATTAGTTAAGACTATCGATGAGTGATCCCATCCCTGTCGCCGCAAACTCTAGTGCATCTCCGCAGGCGGTATTCATAGCACACAGTACGCTATTCGGACAAAAGGGCGTTGCTCAGGCTCTTATCGAGCCAAGGTGCAGCAGGTCCTACCTAATCTCTGACCTCAACGAGCCTGACACCACCCGTCGCCGCCAAGAGCAGCCATCTCAGCCTAAAGATCCTCCTGTCCAACAGCACCCAAGCACCCCGGACACAAAAAAACGACGACGCCGCATTGGGTCTAAACATTCATTCCCTCGAGGCCTTCTTGGCCAGTCTTGTCAACAAAACTCACCCACCGCACCAACGGAAAAAACAAGCCAAGCATCTACTAATCAAATGAGGCTCCATACAATTTTCAACCTCTGACTACTTAAAATATGTTCTTATTTAGTGGATCTCTTCTAGTACAGTAATGCGCGGCGCGGTTAACCCTGTGGCACCCAATGACAGCATCAATAAAGTTGTCGATAAGTCTTTTGTCCCCCCCCCCTCCCCCCACCACTAGTTGGTCTACCCCTCCTTTCTACCCCAGATTCCAGATGTGGGGGGGGGGGGGGGCCCATCTTGCGTACACCGTTTCTCTTTTTTTCAACACTACTTGATGGTTTGTGCGTTGCCAATGTTGGAGAAATAACGTCGTAAATAATGCGCCACAACGAGGCGCCTTTTTTCGGCCCCAAGCAAGCTTTCCATCAGGTCGAGGAGGCGTGTTGTGCTGCTGACACTGCCCACAACTTCGGCCAAAGGGAAAGCAAGCCACCTTTGATCCATTGGCCAATTCGTCAGTCTTCCTTTCTATTCTAATACAACGACATCACGCAATCTGCCGGTTTCTTTTACCGTCGGAACGGGGCCCGTTCATGCAGCTTGCGGCTGGAATGGTGGGCGTCGCAAAATAGCTCGATGGTACTCCGTACTGATAGTAAGTAGTTTTGCCTTCTTTTTTTTTTCTTGCGGCTGATGCCGGTCTGCGACATGGCTTACAGACATGCAGTGACATGGTGCTACAAGTCTGCTCATGCATGGCGATTTCAGCCAGTATTTTTCTGAAAACTTATATGTTTGAGTCTCACAAAAATATGCGCGATTCACCTAATGCGCACTCTCTTTCCGCTCCTCAGTCTCCACACATGCATACAAATACTCCAGGTATGGTACATCATCTCAAAAGGCAACATGACCCTTTGGAGACTGTCTTGAGTGGCTTGCCCGACATGGGGTTACGAGATCTTGGCGCCTTCACCACGCACGCCACCACCACCCCGCACGAGGGATCTTCAGGTCTAGGCTCGCTGTTAGCTGAGCCTCTGCAATTGAGACTACCGATAGATAATGTGCTGCCAGTCTTGTAGCATTGATTTGTCAAATGTCGTTTTTGCTTACTAGCAGTGCCGCGCTTGACACCCAATATTCCCCAAGTATAAGTAGTTCAGAGACACACCACTGCTCTCTGAACGCTTTGCTTCGCCTGTCCGTCGATTTTTTCTTACTTTGTACATTGTACGGAGAATTCGACATCTACTCCCAACATCTCAAGGACAATAATCCCAATCTACTTAATCATGGCCAAAGAACAAGTTGCACACGTCGAAGTCGCCTCTTCGGTAGACGACAGCACCGCTGTCAAGGAACTCGGCGATGAGGACAGTCAAGTCGGCTTCTCCAAGCCAGAAACGAGCAGGCTCTTGCGCAAGCTCGATCGCACACTTTTGCCCTTTCTCTCGCTTCTTTACCTCTTATCATTCCTCGACCGAGCAAACATTGGAAACGCCAAGCTCGCTGGCCTGGAACGGGACCTCAATATGACGGGCTACGACTACAGCGCAAGTCCACCACACGGCGCAGTCTCATATTTCCATCGCCCTTCCTTGCTGACCTCTCCGTCGTCCAGATCGCCGTCGCCATCTTCTTTCCATTTTACGTCATCGCCGAGGTCCCCTCAAACATGGCCATGAAGCGCTTCCGACCCTCCATCTGGATCCCCAGCATCATGGTCGTCTGGGGCTTCATGACCATCATGCTCGGCGTCGTCCAGTCCTTTGGCGGGCTACTCGCCGTCCGCAGCCTACTTGGACTCGCCGAGGGCGGCCTCTTTCCCGGCATCACCTACTACATCACCATGTGGTACCGCCGCCACGAATGCGGCCTGCGCATGGCCATCTTCTTCTCCGCGGCCACTGCCGCCGGCGCTTTTGGCGGGCTGCTGGCGCGCGGCATCATGGAGATGCAAGGTGTCGGCGGCCTCAGCGGTTGGAACTGGATCTTTATCCTCGAAGGCCTGGCGACGTTTCTTGTTGGTAAGAATCTCCTCTCCCTTGTGGAAAGACTTTTTTCTGCTCTTTCATGTTTCCCATTGTATTCTAATCTTGTCCAAGCTCTCATCGCGTATCGCGTCATGCACGACTATCCCGAGTCCGTCAAGTTTCTCACCTCGGAGCAAAAGAAAGAGGTTGTTAGACGCCTCAAGCAAGATCGCTCGGCTCTCTCCAATGAATTCAAACTCCCTTTCGCCAAAGACGCCTTGAAAGACTGGAGAATTTGGGTACACATGTTCATCACCATTGGCATTTACATCCCTCTGTATTCCATCTCCGTCTTTCTCCCCACCATTGTCAAGGGTCTGGGTTATACAAACGAAGTTGCGCAGCTCATGTCTGTGCCTCCATATGCCGTCGCCTGTCTCTTCACCGTCGGCGGAGGGTTTCTTGCCGATCGCCACGGCCAACGAGGCATCTACATGATAGGCTTCAACATTGTTGCGTAAGTCAACACGGCCATGATTGATGAAAAGGTTGCTAACACAGTCGATGGATGTAGAATTCTGGGCTTCGCACTACTGGCCGGCGTTGAACACAATGGCGTCAAGTACTTGGCGTGTTTCCTCGTGACGGTGGGCGTGTACCCGAACGTGCCGCAGGGCGTGGCCTGGAACGGTAACAATATTGGCGGATCACTCAAGCGAGCCGTGGGAATTGCCATGCATGTGGGCTTTGTAAGAATCTTGACTCTGCCTAGCTTCCTCTATTGGTCTAAACGCATGCTAATCATTTACCGCAATAGGGCAATCTGGGAGGTGCCGTGTCGGGGTTCGTGTTTCGGCAGGCTGACGCCCCACGGTATCTATCAGGGCATTTGGCGTTAGTCGGGACCTTGTCTATGAGTCTAGTACTCTCTGTCTTTATGACCATCTATCTCCGGCGGGAGAATGCCCGGAGGGACGCCCAGCACAAGCCACTGGCTGAATACACGAATGAGGAGAAGCTGAGAGAGAGCGAGATGGGCGACAACGCCACATTCTTCCGCTACACAGTGTAAAGACTTACTGAGTATGTATGTATGTATACAAAGAAAGATAAGTCTGGGGCATGATTGGTACTCGACGGCAAAGATACCCGATTTTAATAGAAACAGGTCTTATTCGCTTGCACGCCGGTTGCAAGGAGTACATGATTACGGACATGTTCGCACGAGCATGGCCTTTTTCGTCGTAGTCAAATCGTAGACCTTGATCGCAAACGCACGGGCTTCTTGAATGGTGTCATCAACATTCTTGGTCTTTTTTTCGATCGTTTCTTAGAGTACGTAGAGCGCGACGGCAGCACCCGCGGCCGACACAGCTCCAAGTACATTGTACCTGGCTGCGATGGCCGCAGAGCTTTTCGAATCTTTGCCCGATTTCTTGTCATCTCCCGACTCTGTCGTATTTTCTCCTGCAAAATGTTGATAAAGTCTTAGTGTTTCGTTCTACGCAAAATCATCCTTTCCTGTTTAGTCCATGTTTGTTCATGCATATATGTAGGTGCGTATATATAGTTGGGAGACCCGTCCCGTGCGTATGTGCGTATGAGAAAACAATGCAACAAACGTAAATGGATTCATGTCATGTCGGAAAGAAATCTGGAAGTTGGTTTAAGACGTGCCTGAGCAGCCGACAAAGTTGTTGCCGCTGGCGCCGGTGTGGGTGATGGCACCAGCCTGGGCGCACCCGGCGTTGATGATGACACGATCGGCACCTGGGGAGCCTGCGATACATTAGAACTGTGGTCTGAATCGTCATCGGCGCTTTAGAGAGAGGGAGACAAACCGCCAGTGTAGACACCACCAGACTTGATGGGGAACTCGTAGTAGGGACCGCTGACGGGGAAGTTGAAGCCCTCGTAGTTGTTGTACTTGTGAGGGTAGGTGGAACTGCCAGCGGTGCCGCCGCTCTTGACGTAGTTGCAAGCTGCCTGAGATGCGGCGTTGACCTGGTTCGCAGTGTAGTAGACTGTGCCGCAGGTGGTGGCGGCACGGCTGACGAGCTCGGCGGGAGCCGCGCTGGCGACAGCAATGAGGGAGAGGAAGAGCGCGGTGAACTGCATCTTGAAGGGGCGCTGGAACAAAAAGAGAGGATGGGCAATGCTCAATGAGCCATGGACGAGATTGGAGGGGGAGATGCAGATGTTTAAGTAGGTCGGCAAGCGTCTCCTCTATGCTCGACCAATGTTGGGCAGCATAGATGGCTTTAGCTTGAACTTAGTAAGACAGACCGACAAGCTTTCAGTGCCATGGTGCTACCAGAATGTAATTGCTCGCACGGGGCGGCCGCTGTGGGGAAACAACCCATTGGCAGTGTGGCAGAAGTCGTCCATCTATCAACGCTGCCATACCAGCACATGCGAGTATTGTCTTCATCGAATACGAAACAAACAGTCACACCACTGACGAACCTGGATCAATCTCAGGTCAGCTGGCTGCTTTGGTGCGAAGCCGAGACACTTCGCTGTCCTCAAGAATAGGTAAGCGAAGGCAATAGGTACCTACCTTGGGTACCGAGTTACTGGCCAATCCCAGGTACCTGAAAGTGAACGGGCGTCTCCGAAAACTCTCGTCGAGCCCATGTGGTGCGCGACTCCGGGCCGTCGTATCTGAAAAGGAACTTTTCAAACATGTCGGCGCAACACGTCGATTTCGGCAGGTCGTGGTGCAGCACCGACATATAAGTGGTGGGATGCAGGTCGAGGTCCAACCCCCGTGCTTGCGCGGATCGGCACTGATAACCAAGCTTTTCTTCTCCTTGGAGGGTCTTCTGGCAAACTGGGTCCCACGGAGTTTTAACCACCTGCTCAGCTGGGTCGATTATCACTTGTCCCCAGCATATCAGCATGCAGGGTGCACGCGCAGTCTATTTGTTCTGCGGGGACCGAAAAGCTTGCGGAGCAACTCTGACGCACGACTTTTATTCATTTCGCTCGACTAACCACCTATCAACAACAGCAGGCCATGCCCACGAGGCACGCAGCTGCACACCGGCACCGGGTCCCGCTGCCTCAATCAGCTACCGAGGGCCCAGTCAGGTCGGGCCTCCACTGGCGATGGATAAAGACCTTGCTGACTGGCGCCGAAATGCCCGAATCTTTTTCAGCTGTCCATTCTTACGTATCAGCATACTAATACATGGCCGCGTCCCAATTCAACAGCTCCTGGTCCGAATTTACCAAAGTAAAATGCCGAGTCTCTCGTTTGTCTCGGTGATTTTGACAGCGACGCTTACTGTGGCTTACTTTAGTGGCCGATCCCATCTGCCATCCATGATCCGACGCGCCCCGTTGCCCAGTTCAGCCTCACGACCGAGCTACACAGAAAGCGCAAGATGCTGCAGGCTTTGGATAACGTGCGCTTCACTTCCTGAGACAAAAACAGCCATGTTATATCGCGTGCACGGAGTCCTCCATACATTATCGCATTCTAATCTCGCATCCACGATTTTCCCCCCGAACCTTTCCCCCGCCCTGTGCTTATCCCGTCCACCTGTGCATGGATGGTGGGGCAGGCCCCATGATGACTGGCAGCTGCGAATCGAGCCTATTCCAAATTGGCGCTCGAGATACTACTCAAAAGCGCAAAATTCACTGCACAATACGGAAATCAAGATCAGTCTATGCTATAAACAATATGTGTTTTGAGTGCTTTGTACATGGAAGCATCAGGCTCGTCTATCCAAGGTATCTCAACATCTGTGGTAACATTCATGGCATTCTGATACATTGCGGCTGTTTGAGCTCGACATATCCTTATTTGTCGGCAATGGTTTGTAAAAGCATTCCGTCATTCCAATATTGTGTGTACCAGACGAGACGAGCAAACGCAGCCATTCGCGTCTGTCCCCAGGCTTATATGGTGGTTGATGGGTGGGTGGCCCCTGTAAAAGTAAATCGTTGAGCATGCGCGGACCTGTTCCGTCTCGACGTCATTCGTCTTCAGTCATGCTTTGCACTCATCTTTCGACGCTCAAAGCTGAAATTCCATACCTCTGCGAGTCGATTTCCCTCAGAGGACTGCTTCAAGCCTACGTGCTGCATGACACTAGGCTCCAGTGCCCATTTAGCCAGTTTGTTTTGGTCGGCATGGCCCTCGAGCATCATGTCGCCCGGAAAGTCGAATGGAGGGTCGCGAAGCAGCGAGAGGAACGACGGCAGATGTCGCTTGGGAATCACCAATCCTTGGGCGCAGCAGCCGTATCGCGGCATCTCGCGGATGCCAGACTGCGGTAGAGGGTTCAGTCGTTTCATGGATATACGTCCGCTCAGGAATACAAAGGCAATGACTGCCGGCAGCCATAGCCCAATGATTAACGCGGATAAATGGTTGAACTTTTGCAAGTGTCGCTGCGACTGAGTCGACTTTGCTGCGGGTTCCTCCTTGCTCATGAGGGGCGAGTAGCCGGATGGTGCGGTATAGCGTCGGCGTTGTCGTCGGCGAAGAACAAAGAAGGCCAGAATGAATGCGGTGTAGACTAGAAAAATCACTTCGGCGTAGGTTGCCCATTCCTCAGCGTTCCAGCCCATAAATATCTCCGAGTAGAATAGGCGAAGGTATACCCAGTCCTTGTGGGACTGTTTCGTCTTGAGCTCGAGGCGCGCGACACCCTCGAGAAACTTGCGGTACCAGTCCGGGGAAGCAATAATATCGTCCTCGATAAAGGCAAAATATGGCGCGCCGCGACTTTGGCACGTCTCGACTAAAATGGAGTGATCGAGGCGCATATTCTCGACGCGACCATCGCCGCGCGGCTGGCCATCCTGACGAACGTTGAAGGGTATGGTGCGGTAGCCCGGCAGTTCCGAGTGGTCCTTGCCGGCCTGTTCGTAGACAAGCACCTCGTCGACCACGTCAGTGAGCCAGGGGAGGCCGTAGGCAAAGTGGGACGCGGGCTTCTTGTCGGCGAGAAGCACGACGATGTGGATCGAGGAGCGCTCGGCGGGGGTGAGACTGTCGACGAGGCCGCCGACGGTGCGGGACAGGAAGCCCTCCGAGGTGCGGTTGATGCTGGGGATGCCGATGCAGAGAATCTCGTCGTGGTGGTCGGGCGGGCGGGCGGCGGCGACGCGGGTGGCGTTGGCGAGGAAGGCGTCCACCTCGAGGCCGCGCAGGGCCGAGTAGCGCTGGGAGTAGGCGGCGGCCTGGTTGTAGAAGATGGAGGACGGGTCGTCGAATGAGTTTTGGCTGCACCAGATGAGGGCGGCCAGCCAGAGCAGCCAGAAGGCGGCGTTGGCCCTGGCGACGATGCCCATGGCGCGCGGCAGCCGGTACCTACAGCAAAGGCGAGACGAAGAGTTGAGGCGGGATACCGCTCATAGCGGGAATGAAGGGGGGGGAAAGCGTTGACAAAAAAAAAAAGTCTACGGGCGAGAAATGAAGCTTGCTACCAAAGGGGCTGGGCGGCACGGGCGGGTACCGCCGCGTGCAGTATTTGACTAGTGTCGCAATACTGATAGTGAGAATCCGTAATTTGGCAGAGGCAAACAAGCAACTCGCGCAGTTTCATTGAGCAATGTCAAAGGGCTCAAGACAACCGCATCTTTTGGGTAGCCTGGCACTTGAACAACTGACTTATATCAGGATTATGCAACGGCGGTCCTTTGCAGCAGCGCACGCAATTGGTGGTGTGATGGATTACCTACGCCGCTCACAGCCAATCTGCGCCCAGCCTCGATCTGTCGCTCTTGCTTAGCTAAACTTGTCGTCTTTCCAGGTTCACAGTTACCTGATAACCTCGAGTGCTTTTGTCCATCGACATTGAAACATTTCCTCATGTTTTTCAACACTGGCCCTCGACATCAAGGCCTCGACGGACCAGCTAGCCATCTTCCGTGTCCGCACCACCCGTTGATATCACAACCCTGCTTGCCTGCCAACCTGCCCAAAAGTGCCACAAACAAGTCCCCCGCTATTCTCTCTCCTGCATTTGCTTGAACGGTGCGCGAACCAGTCAAGAACCAGTCACGTACTTTGTCTGACAGCCGTCATTCTAAATCTACTTATACCTTGGCCAACAGGACATTGCTCTCAAACATCGCATACGACTTGCACCTGAATACTCTGAATACCCCACATAGTGCTCCTCAAGTCCTCAACACACAAGCTCCTCGTCCGACTGCCCCGAGCATTCGATCTTGGATTGCCTGATAGCAGTCCCCATTCTGATCTGATGACCCATAGTTGTCCGTCCGCCACGTTCCGCCACTCGGCGACCAATATACTAATCCTGGAAACGCCGACATCAGCCACACGGAAGAGTCTGATAACAGCGCGACCAGCGTCCCCTGTGCCACAAGTTACTTTGCCTGTCTCTTGTACATAGCCCAGGGCTGTCTATCATACTGGCTACCAGGTAAATCCCTCATCCACGAGCGGCTCATCCTCTCAGCTGCTCGAATGTGATCGTCGGCGTCTTAACGTCGGGCGGCAATGCGATCTGTACCACGATGATATCCACTTGCCAACCAACCCGGCGCCCATTTGTAATTATCGCACCTTGCAAAGAAGATTTTATTGCCGCGGCAACCAAATATGGCTACCACGAGAACCGTCAGAATGTCAAAATTCAGAGTCTACTTTAGCCCTAGACATAAGGCGACCCTCGGCGCTGCTCTGCGGTACGAGGCCAACTTGCCTGGCGCATAGACCACGAGCCAACAATAGCAAGTCTCGCTCTTGGCATAGCCAGTCATTGTTACATTACAAAGCGGACGAGTTAAACATTACTCTGATCTTACCCTCCGGCTTGCTCCTCGGGAAGCTTATCGCCCGGTCACACAGTGACGCCACTGCCTTTCTCTTTTGCACCAAGAATAACAATCGCCGAATCTCATGCATCATCTCCAATTTCAATACACTTTTCAAGCAACTTGATGCCCCAAGCTGATTTGGAGCGTCGTCAGCGTCTCGGCACGCCTCCTTTGTGGCTTGACACCTTGGAGGTGATGCATATGCATCTCAATGCACGGTGATGATGCTCTGTTGGTCACACTGCGATCATATCTGACTTAAATTGGGGCAAGCATTCGCAAATCAAGCATCGTGTTACACCGACGATGTGATGGACAAGCGTTCGAGACCGCGTCCGCAGCCGTTTTGTGGCGGATGTTCTCCTACGTCGATTTCTCTGAGCACTATGGCCTTTTCTCGAGTCCTTGAAGAACAGAATCGCCTTCAAGTCTCAGAAATGATTCGGAAATTTCCCTCACAATCGAGGAATTTGGACTCATTCAGTAGGCTCCTGCAAACTAATGATAGCTCAGGCAGGCAGCAACCAGTCTCTATGGTCGAATTTTCTACTGGTTAGATCAAGAGGCTTTGCGGAAGAAGACACCCGCTCACAGTCGTTGGCAAAAACAACCTTGGCAAAAGCCTCTTTGTGACAAAGTCGCCGATATCTCTTTTGGCGCCTTCATTGGTCTCGTGCTGGCGCTCGTGCTGGCGAAGACGTCGGATGTTGCATGTTTGCCTGCATAATCCATACCGCCTGTAGCAAACGTGGTCCAATTACGCAACCTATTTTCGGTAGAGGACGCCTTTTGCACTTGCAGTGATTTGAAAGAGACTTGATTTGAAGAGTTGCTGTCATGGCCAGCACCAAGCATATAAAAAGGCCGCTCTCACCTCGTCAGAATCGACTCGCAGTCACTCAGCAAGCTCCTCTCTAGCCTACACGTTCTCAACTCAAACCTTTCAACCTCACAATGGTATCCGTCACCAAGGCCGTTACCGCCGCTCTGGCCCTAGCCTCCCCCAGCATCGCTGGGTCCTTTACCTACTTCTACCCTGGCCTCGGCGCCTGTGGCGGGCACAACGGCAACAACGACTACATCGTCGCCGTCAGCGCCAAAATCTTTGATAGCCAGCGCCCCTGCAATAGGCGCATTCGTGCCTGGTACAAAGGCCGCTCTGTCGACGTCAAGGTCGTTGACCGCTGCGCCGGCTGCGCCGAAAATGACCTCGACTTTTCTCCCGCGGCTTTCAAGGCCCTCGTCGGTGACCTCGGTCCCGGCCGCGTCTGGGGTAATTGGAACTGGATCTAAATGTCGTCTTCCGAAGTGGATCAATGACTGGCTCGCCTGTTCTTGAAGCTTTCCTGGCATTCATGCAAGCCGGGGTTAGAAAGCTGTCTTGATGCTGTGTAAAGGTTCCAATGTCATATATAGGGAGAATAGCAGAGTATCAACAGATAACACCTACGCTTCAATAACTATCTATAAACGACAGTAAGTTGTAGTCTTTTCGATCATCATGTAGTGGAAGCGTTGTGTAGCAAGTATAGTAGTCTCGGACATTTGTTCCTTTGCATCGCCCAGTTCAGGCTACCAAGACAAGGACGGCCCCAAATATAGAAAAGGAAAGAGGGGTAGGTCGAAGCATGAGGCAACGATACAGAGGTTGTCAAGTAAGGTTTTAAGGGCTAGCCAAACAGACCTTCGTGTTACTTCATATTTTTAGTCTTCCTACATCACACTCTCCAGGTTTAGATCAGCTAGAAGGTCATTTTTGTTTCTTGACATGTCACTCTTGATTACACAGTTTAGCTTGTAGACATGGACCAAGCGAGAACATGGCGTTATATAGAACAACTTCAGAGGTGACGGCTGAGCAATATCACGAAGCACATTGCCCACGACCTACGCCGTAACTTTCGATTTAGATACCAGCGATGCACTTGAACCTTGACAATCACCACAAGTCCAGTTTGATCCAAATCAAAAGGAAACGACTGGCCCTTGGCACGTGAGAAGAGGTATAAATAGAGTCGACATGCGCTCACGGCGCATGCCCTAAAATTTGCAACTTACAACATCAACCACATGAATCAAAAACTTTGAACTACAGTTGCATTCAACTGGCGCCATGGTACTCGGACTCTTCACTATGGGCATCACCATTATCGCCGGAGACGACGACGACGACGTCGTCGTCGGCGTTAGGCCAGACACGCTTAGTCAAGGCAGACTGGCCGTGTCGAGAGCAGCAGCGCCGCTACATAGTGCTAACTGTCAAGGGTGTTATCATGTATGCAGCCCAAAACGCAAGAAAGACAAAATAAAATGCTCAGATAGCAATGTTCCTATGATGGTAGTCTACCTAGCAATGATGACAAATGATGATTCTTCTCGATACTGATACAGCCGATAGAAAAAAGAAAAGCTCTTGACGCTAATAATGCTCTGGGGTGCTAAATGCTAGAATAATGACGATACTGGATAGAAAATGATGCTTCTGAAAGCGCTGTATGTATAAGTTTGTATTATTTGCATGAATGTGTTGTACTTCACGCCTTGTTGCGCGAGAAACCCGGCAACCACTTGCGCCGCGCGCCCGTCGTCGACTGCGAGTGCGGAATGCTAATCTGCGACATGGCGTCGGCGGCTTGAACCGACTGCGCGTCTTGCGCGGGGGCGGCCGCGGTGCCGTCGCACGAGGGAGCCTTGGCGGAGCTGTTGCGCCGGGCAGCGTGGCGCGGGTTGAGCATAATAGGCGGCGGCGTGGCGCCGGTGCGGTCACATTCATGCGCGGCAGCGGCGCTGCGCGAGGCCCACGACGACGTTGGCGGCGCCGTAGTCTCCGTTTCCTCGGCGCCGGGGTTAGGCTCTAGCTTGGCGGGCGATGGAGTGGCTGGTGGCCCGGCGTTACTGCCGGGGAGAGAGCGGCGGAAGAGGCCCTTGAGGCCGGCGCGAGGCCCCTGCTGCCACGAGATGGGCGGGTGCGGCGGATTGGTGGTGCTGGTGCTATTGGTTCTCTTATGGTCGCCCTGGACAGGCGTGCGCGTGCTGGACCGAAGGTTGGCAACGTCGCTATTGCTGCGGTCCCGGGCTACACTGGCGTCGGCGGAAGGTGGCTGCCATGTGCCCTCGGCGGCGAGAGGCTTCTCGGTGGTGGGCTTAGCTGACACAGAGCGCCCGTGGCTGTACAAGCTGGAATGCCTGGCGGGCGGTGGCGGCGGCTGTAGGTTAGGCGATAGTAAAGCTTCCCGCAAAGACAAGAGGTCGTGCATGTACTCCGTGTCGGGCATGGCGCCGAGACGCTGCTTTGGGTCGAACAGAGAGCTGGCAGCCCAGCCGCCGTTGGACATGGCCGTCGGGAAGCCAAACAGGTCTGGCGAAACCCGGCCCGTTGTTCTGGAAGGCTTGGCGCTCTCACGCATCCAGATGTCAAGGCTGGACTGCAACGACTTGGTGTCAGAGTCGTCGCTGTCCCAGGAGTGGTTTCGTCTGTGAGAGACTGTCGTGTCGCCAGCTGAGCGAGGACGGGGAATATTCTTGGCGCCGTACGGGTCGTAGCTGGGCGGCGTGCCAGCATTAGGCCGCGAACCGCTTACGTTGCGCGGAGATTCCTTTGAACCTTCCTTTTGTACCAGGGACACGCCGCCGCTTTGATCTGCACCCTGAGACTCCCGCGTTTGTCTTGACTCGTTTGATGGGATTCTCTGTTTTTCATCCGACTTTTGGTGGCGCACGGAGAGGGTGTCGTTGGAGTTTTTATACCTTTGCAGTGTCGACGACGAGATAGTATCTGGCGTCGGTGGCAATGCTTGGTCAAGTAATCGGACACCGCCAGCGTCTGTGACTACCTTCCTCAGTGCAGCCCTCTTTTCATCCTTGTTGCAGCGGTGGGCGTGCGAGCCTTGTGCGCTGTTGCGTAGTTGGCTGCGGGATGCCTCGTTACGCGATGCGTAGGGAGAGGGAGCGTCTGGTCCGACGGCGCGAGACCCGGAGTCTATTCTTTCCAGTCGCTGCAGTGGCGAGTCGTGGGTCAGTACGTGGTTGATGGGCTGCACTGTGGCGGGTCTGTTCAGTTGTTGGTATTTTGAAGAGTGCGCATGGTTGCTGTTATCTTGGAGCTTGATGTTAGGCAGAAATGAGTCCTGGGGCACTACTGGAGAGCTTCCGTCAAACCCGCTGAGTGCGATAGGATCGTCGTAATCAATCACAGCTGTATCGCCGCCCTTTTGCCCATAAACACTGACAAAGGAACTTTCGCTAAGAACACTCAGTGTTGGGCTGGCTAAGCCATTCATCATTGCATTACTCGCTTCTGAATAGCCACCCGATGTACATCGCAGGCTCATGACGCTAGCACGGTTGCCGACGTAGACGTCTCTCAGATTTTCGGCAGTTGCATTGCGATCAGAGAGAAAGCTGGGCATTCGATTAACGGTAGGCGTCTTGGAGCGCCCCTGGACCTGTGCCAGGTCGGCAGTAGACGAGTTGGCTATTGAGCCGTGGTAGTCTTGAAAGCCGTCGGTTGAGGCGTAGAATCCTTGGCTCTCGACGTGCTGAACCATGGTGCGCTCGTTAAGCAGCTGGTCAACCTTGGCCTCGAGCTCAACAATCATAGAGACGGCCTCCTCGATGGCCTTATCGCGCTTGTCCAAGTCGGCCAGCAACTTGTCCGACAGCTTTTGGGCATCATGCTTCTCAGCTTCAAGCGCGTCCAGGCGCTCTTCCAACTTGGACTGTCTTTCACGTCGATGATATAGCTCTAGCTTCAAATCAAAGTTTTGCTTGTGAAGCGACGAGACAACCTGCTCTATCTCCTTTACACCGAGGCCCTTTTTCTTGGGCGGCTCCACGCCGGCGCTCGACTGGGGGCGTTGGGGTTCATAATCGGTGGATCGAAAGGCTCTTTCGTTGGGGACGCGGCCGTGGTCGACAGACCCGCTCAGGTCAGGGTTGTGACGAGACGAGGTGGAGGAGCCGAGCTTCTCGCTTTCGGCCCTACGTTCTTTTTGGAGCTTCTCTTGCAGAAAAGTCGACATGGTGGGGGGTCGGGCAAGCTCGCCGCTGGCCTCGCGGGACAGTTGGGGTGTGGCCCGGTAGCTCGATCGCGGCGAAGCTGGCGTGGCGGTAGAGTGAAATCGCTGGGGGTGAGCAAAGGACTGTGCAGGCGAGGCGGGCTGCATATGCGAAGTATTGGAGCTGCTCACGCTGCGCGTGTTGCTGCCGATTGTAGAGGCGCGCGAGGAAGCACGCGGAAACGGGGGCCGTGGGCGTTGGCTAGACTGGGACGCGGAGAGGTCCATTGTGGAAGGGATGTATCTGTTTTGGGCACAAACAGAAGCGAAGGTGTTAGGCGCAGGGCAGCTGCGCGGCAGCGCAGTGGATCGGTAGGAGGAGGGAGTAACAAAGACTGGGTAGTGTACGGAATGCAGCTATGTCCGTCGAGCAGGATGCAGATGGGTCAGACAGGGCTTGCAGCACAAGAGCAGGGGCACATGTCGGAGGCGACAAGAGGCTATCTTGATGGGATGGGATGCAAGTGCGGATCTCTGCGCCAGCGCGAAGAAGAACCCATTCGGCAAAGAAGAATTGGCGATGTTGTTTTTGTTGTTTTGGAGGTGGATGTTGGTAGGTAGGGGCCAGCAAGGGGGAGAAAGCTGGGTACGCGATTGTCGATAGTGAGCGGGGCTCTTGTTCGAAGCGAAGACAATTATAGATTGACTGCAAGCGGATGCGAGGAGATTGGCGAGGAGAGAATTGATACGGTACTGTCGAGCAGTGGCCAGAAAGTTGCAAGACGGGGCCCGGCGGAGCGTTGAATGAGGCAGGAATGGCAGCGTGGTAGGGAGGTATAGTAAAGCGAGGAAGCTGGTCGACTTTCCCTCGATTGTTGGTTTTGTAGTGGGACAAACAGGCAAAGAGTAATAATAACAAGAAGAAAAATGTAGAAAAGAAGACGAGGTTTGAGTGGGTGGTGTGGTTTGTTTCGCAGGAGGATGAAGCCTTGTTTTGGTGTTTTGGTGTTGTACCTGTGGGTATTAATGGCCAGTGACGGGCCGCTGGCGGCTGGCGGGCTGTTTGTGGGTGGGCTGTGGGTGTGTGGCTGTAAGGGGACCAGGGACAGGGAGCCAAGAACAAGTTCAGGAACAAGGTTTGGCCTGACTTGGTTTTTCGAGCCGAAAAAAAAAAAAAGAAAAGCTGAGCCGAGAAAAAAAGAAGTCAATAAAAACAGAATAGGCAAGACAATTATGCAAGGAAAAATTGTGTGTGTGTGGTGGTGTGCGCATGACAAAGGCAGGGGTCAAGACCTGCAAGTAGGTAGGAACAAAAATGGATGGCTGGGGTGACTTTTTGGTAAACAATGTGGACGAATTAGATGTTGCGCTAAGACAGGCTGAAAAAAAACTGACAAGACTGAATTTCCAGGCGACTGGTGATGCCTGCAGGTTGAAAGATGGGTTGCTGAGAGGGCGGCTCGGAATTTGTCGTGGGGGAGGACGCACGCACCGGCCCGTCCAGTCATCATCAGCTAACACGTTCAGCTTTTACCCACACGAGTCTTTTTCACAGAGAAAAAAAAAAGAAAGGGTAAAAAAATGATAAGAATAGAAAAAGCAAGTTTCAAAAATCACAAAGTCAATCCAGATCCCCGGTGCTTGGTTGCTTTGGGCATTAGCTCGACTCCAACAACGGGGGCCTTTTTCCAAAGCCCGAAATGGGTCCCCCGCCAGTGGACTCCCGGCTCCTGCAACCACTCTAACTAACTCTGCCTTGCTGATGCGCTAATACCGCGAGTAAGGGCCATCCAATCTGGCGGTCAACCACACACATCAGTCCATTTTATCTTGGAAAAGCTCATAAACGATTGACATTTGAGGAAAGAAAATGTGTATTTAATGTGTATGTTGTATATCTTTGCCTCTTTTACTTATCTCTAATCCGTACTTCCAAATCAACTTCTGGCGCACATCTCCATTTTCCCCTCTCTTGGAGTTGGTGAACCCTGCCCCGATCCCTGTTCACCCTGTTTCAAAATCTATAATTAAAAAAATGATAAGATACGAAATGAATAAATCGAGAATCGAAATATTTCCAAATTCCCACAAGCTCTTTTCCTCATCCCTGCCTTGTCTCTGTCTCAACATTTCCGTTGTGATTCCCACCAACGCGCTATTAGACTGACCAACCAACAAAAAAAACATCTCAATGCTGGTAACATGCCATATTTTGTCTCCCTGCAAGTCCTCCCTGCAACCCTGCCAACCTACTTGTCAAAGCGTCGTCCCACATGCTTGTGCTTGAAAACAAACTATTTACCAAAGCATCTCAGCCCTCTGCTGCCTACACCAACATACCAAGCCTGACCGAGTCAATCATCAAATCGTATCATTCATCTCTCCTGCGTTTTGACACCTCGTGCGCTATCCATCGTTGGCGTTTTTTGTCAGCCCAGCCAATACCGACCGTCCGTCTCCATCTCCACCCCGCCGCGAGCCCGGAACCGTCACGGCCCGTTTCATCTTTCCCGGGGAAACAACCCGGCCCGCCGCCACCAATTAAGATTCATCATTGACCGCCCCTCATCACACTTTTTACTCCACAAGCCTCTCAACTTTTGAGTTGAGAATTTTCTTGCATCGTGAGAACTAACTTGACGCTGTACAGACATCATCGCTCTTTTGCTATCAGTACAACAACTCACCAACAACATCCTTGTAATCATAACCCCCTCTCCAAAAAAAGAAAGAATTACCCACAACACAGCCAACTGATGCAACAAGCATACCGCCTGATGCAATTAGAAAGCGATGGGCAGTACTATCTCAATTATGATAGGACCAGTAATCACAAGAATCGAGAAAGAAAGGACCAGCAAAGAAAACGTCTTCTAAAGCTCGTCTTTAAAATATTCCTCCAGGCTGCCATCTTCTTTCCCCGTCTCTTCCTCGCCGCCTCGTTCTTCTTGCTCTCTTGTTGCCATGGGCTCGTCTTCCCCATCGCCGTCTGTTTGCGCCCTCTTCTCCTTTTGACCATCCAACTTGTTTGTCTTCTTCCCCTTTTCCTTGCTCTCCCGCTTCTGCTTCGCTTTTACCTTGGCCTTCTTCTCCGCCTCCTCGTCCTCAGGCTCGTCAATGTAACCCTTCAACTCGCGCACGTTCGCCAACCCAGAGTTAGTCACCTCCAGGCGCCATCCCTTGTCACCAGCGAGCTTTTGGACCTGCGCAGCCATTTCTTTTACTTTTTCCGGGTCCATGTTCAGCTTCCGGATCTCTTCTCGCGACAGCGACTCCACCTCCCCTCCGTCTTCCAGGCTCGCGCCCTGCGCTACAATAATGTGAAGCTTAGGTTCCTGCGCAAGACCAGTCGACATGAAGCTCCGTGGCGGCGTCAGCTTGAACGACGGGCGGCCCGCCTCGTCTGCCAATGACAGAATGCTGCGCGAACCAACATGTATATCTCCCACCACGGCTCGCCTGCCTTTGGCGCTGTCCTCGGTGTCCCGGAGTAGCTCCTTTAGCGCCGTGGCAGCAGCGTTCGCAATCGCCTCTGCACCCCCCGCAGGCTGGCCAGTTTCATCCTTTTCCCTTTCTTCTTCCGTCTCGTCAGCTTCTTTCTTTGAGTCCAACAGGAGCGACGGTTCGTCAGACACTATATTGCAGGTGATGGCATTGGCTTGCATCGGCTCGGGGGGCAAAAACGCAGCATCATTGCACAACCGCGGGGTATCAACCACCATGACGTAGGCGCAAATAGTCACTTCCTTGATCCAGCTGATCTTGTCCGATTGCAGTCCCGGCACGCAGCGATACTGAACCTCGATCGTGCGTTCTCTCTCCGTAAGATCGCAAATCGTACCGCCCTCGAGCTTCTGCACCAGGTACCTTTGCTTGCCCTTTTCCTGAATCTCGGCCGGGATGGGGTCATATTCATTTTCGACCGCGTTGGCCGAGCCTGCACTGTTCGCATGCGAGGGGACCCTGGGGACCCTCCCGAGCACGTATTCTGGCGAGTGGAGGTCGCGCTTTGGCGGCTGGCCCTTGGGGCTGCTCGCCAGAGCGTGGTACTGAACAATCTCCGTGTTTCTGCAAAACGAGTAACTCCACCACCCCGACACATAGTATAGGCATGTATCTTCCAGGTCGGCAATGAGCTCCCATCCGCTGGCTACGGCACGGCTCTCCTCGCGTGCCTCTTCTGCTTTGGCCAATTCTGTCGCCGTCGTGTTCTCTGCTGGCGGGGGCTCAATGACTGGTATTGAACACACCGCTCGGTAGTCGCCCATGTTGACCATTTCGTATGTGTATAGTGGGGTATTGTTGTCGTCTTGGCCGTGTCCGTCGGCGGCGTCGGTCCGTCGTGTTTGAGCCATTGATTCAGAAGCAGGCTCGACGAGCGACTTGGCATCTTTTTCGGAAATGACATTGTTCCCAAAGATAACCTCGAACTAGATCATCACAAAGCCGAATTAGTGCACTGTCCGTTCCTTGGTTGTTGTTGCCTGGGAGCCCGGCAAACGGACCATCATGTGCGTACCTCCGGGTGCGCCAGCACATCTTCGTGGATGCTGAAGCTGTGAGGCTTGGCTCCGCAAAGGCGGAGCACCGCGAATAATAATAGAGGCGCTCGGCGCATTATGCCTCAATGTTCTCGTTGGCGTCACATAGAGCCACAATGGGCAGTGTAGTATTGATGTTGATGTAGAACGAATCTGGGGCTGGCAGGACACCTGTTCCATAAGTAATGCGCTGGTGCGACCGGCACTTGCCAAGGTGGCATCGTCACTGCGGGGCCCGACGTTTTGCCGCGCTCACACGGAGATGCTGCATTGCCAGCGCTGAAATCAGAAAGCAAGGCAAATCATTCGAGAATTTAATCATCTTCGCAAAATGACAACGTTTTTCTAACTAGATGCTGCGGCTTCAGTAGAGGAACTGTTGCTGTGATTTCGTGTTTAGGCCACAAATGTAGGCAAACCCCAACAGAGGACCATTCCATGTATGCACGCTAAACCCCAAATTTAAGTATATAGAAGCAGCAGTCAACAATATCATTCATCGAAACCCTCCCAGCCCTCTTCATCATCGTCGTCGTCGTCGTCTTCCTCATCATCATCGTCACTTTCATTGTCTTCATCCTCATCCTCTTCTTCGTCATCATCTTCGCTCTCCTCTATTCTCACCAATTCCCCAGGCTTGCTCTTCCTTTTCAAGAACGGCATCCCATCATCGTCTCTAATAATCAGACCCGCTCCATCCCTCACATATGGCCCATCCGGGTCCATTTCTTCCTCGTCCTCATCCTCGTCCTCGTCTTCGTCCTCGCTCTCATCCCTCGGCAGCAGCTCCACCGGCTTTCCCGTCTTTTTCAGATACGGCATCCCCATCCCGTCGCGCACAATCATGCCCCTCTCATCTCTCATATAAGGTCCATCCGGATCCATCGCCTCGTCCTTGCTGCCGTCCCTCACGAATCCGGCCACGAAGAAACCCATAACGCCGTGTCCGTCGCCCTTGTAAGAGCGGATGCAGGCATCCGCCACTTCGGCATCCCCGCCGCAGCTTTCCTTGATTCCGCGCACTGGCCAGTCACGCATACCCCGTACTTGATCGGAGCGCTTCATGATGCGCCAACCGCGTCTCTGGGCCACCTCGGATTCGAGCACCTTCATGACAACGTGCTCATTCTCCTGCGAGTGTATCGAGCAAGTCGAATATGTTACTTTCTTTGCCGCGGGAAATGTGAGTGCATGTAAAAGAATCTTGAGCTGAAAGCCGGCAAGAGCTTGTAGGCGCGCCTCGAGATCCTTCTCGGAGTCGATGACAGTTTCGTTGCCCTCGTCGTCAATCATGATGCTGCTCTGAGCCGCGTCTTTGTCGTCAAGTTTTCTCTTCTTATTCTCGCCTCCCCTTTCATCAGAAGCCTTGCCTTTTCCTTTGTCCATTTGTTTCCCAGCAGCCGCGGCGGGTGAAGCCCTAGGAATATGTAGCTCTGGCATGGTATCGCGGCCAACGATACCACTACCTGAACAGCTTGGATCTAATAGAAGCGCTCCCACTTTGGAAAATTGCTGGCCCGTCGGGTCGACCTGACAAAAATCCTGCCCAAAGCCGACCCTCGTCCAGCCTTGTGAGCCCGCAATCTTGACCATTTTCGTCAGAGTCTGCGAGCGGCGCTTGTCCTTTTCAAACGCAAAAATCTTTTGCGGGTCAGGCGTCACGAAATCAGGCCGCCGAGCGTAGCAAATCGCTGCCAAGTGTGTCGTCTTGTTGCCCGGCGCCGCGCACCCATCGACCACGTCGCCATCCTCCGGTAACGGGTCGAGCAGGTAGGCAGGAAAACACGACGCCTTGTCTTGGAAAATAATTTTGCCAGATTTGTACGCCTCCGTCTTGGACAAGTCGACGCCCTGCGTCACGGCGACGAGGTTCGGAATGTGCTGGTCAATGAGGATCCTGCGCTGCTTTGCGCCCGTTGACGTCGTCGCTGATGCCAGAACCTCGTCAATGGTAGTCACCTGTTGGAAGCCTTTGAATGTGGTGCTGAGTTGCTCCTCTACAGTAGTTTTTATCGTGTTGATGCGAACCCAGCGCGGGATTAGCGCCTCTTCGCCCGCCGCGGCACGATCAATCTGCTGCTTGAGAGCCTCCATGGTTGGTGCTTTGCGACGTAGCCTTGCGCGTGTGAGTTCCGACGTCAAACGCGCCTTGTGCTTCTCAATAGTTACTCTTAGACCATGAGTCTTTGGCAGAGCAACGCCTCCCTTTGCTAACAGCAAGTCATGCGCCAGCAAAAGAGCGAGAATGGGTGTGAGCTAGAACAAATTAGCATTCCACCTTCTCGCTGGCGCCGAGGAAAAAAAAAAACAAAGATTGCAAAAACCTCTCTTACCTTTTTCTCTATTGATAAAATTGCAGCAGCATCTATGACCTCTTTCAACACCAAACTCCATTTGCACGTCTCAAAAACAAGGGCGTAGAGCTGGCCAGGTGAGGACTTGATATTTCGGCGGCCAAAGATACGAGACTTGAGACTGCCACCCTCGGTGGAGGAGGCGACCAGCACATCCGCGCCTTCATGGTATAGAGACATTACACAGAGGCTTACTGTCCCTGATAATGATAAATGATGGGACCAATCTCAGTGCAGCAGGTGCAGAGCATGCAAAGAGTTCCGCTGTCGAAAGTTGAAGAAATGGGTAGTGTCAGGTAATCATTGAAAACTTGCAGTGAAGGAAATTAGCCGTGGTTGACCCACAGCAAGCGACGACCGTGTAAGTCGCCTCAGAGTTCATCAAAGAGCCAAAAAAAAAAGAGAATTTGTCAAGAGAATGCGGGGAAAAGTTCAATTCGAAATCTCTATATGACCCGCCAATGGCTCCTATACAATGCCATGCTAAAAGTGTTGTGTCCAAATTGCTCGCTGAGAGCTTGTCCTCACCGGGGTCAACGACCGACCCTGGGAAGACGTAGAAGAAGAAGTCATAACTGTCATGGTACAAAAATGGAAACTTCAAAAGAAAGATTTGAACGTCCCAGATTGTACGCGATTGTACGCGCCATTGCTCCAATGAGCAGTTTCACCCAAATTTTACACCTATTTTGCCGGTTCAAAAGAATACCATGTTCAAGCCAAATATCAAACAACTGTCCCCATGCAACCAACATCCGTGCTGCTACTGAAACTTCTCATCATCTAGTAACGGCCAGAGTGGCGCTTCATGTGGTCGTGCATGTGGCGGCGTCGCTGAGAGTTCTTGAGGCTGACCTCACCAGTCTCGCTGTACACAGACAAGGCCCAGCTGCCACCACACTTGGACGAGGCATTGTCCTCGCAGGCCACGTTGCAAGCAGACTCATCGAGGCGCTCCGAACCCTCAAGCTCGTTACCGCAGTAGCACTGACCGCCGTACTCGGTACCGGCAGCGGAGAAGCCCAGCTTCTTGCACTCGGCGACGCACTTTTCATTGCTCATGGCGCCGATGTTGGGGCGAATCTTGCCCTTGAGGGAGCGGGTGGAAGCATCCTTGAAGCAGCCGGCATACTTGAAGCCACCGACCTCTTTCTCGGCGCCGCCGGTGCTGGTGCTCGCGGGCGCACTGCCGGTGACGGTAACGGTCTTGTAGACTGTGTGCACGGAGGCGGGCTTGCACTGATCGGTGCTGACAGGAGCGCCGGGGACGGTGGACGAAGGGGCCTGGCTGGTCTGAACCTGAGAAGTAGGGGCAGGTTCGGATTCGGAGGGATTAGCAGGCTGAGCCGTTGCCGGGGATGAAGACGTGGCATCAGTGGCAGGGGGGGTGGATTCGTCAGTAACAGACGAGGTCGGGGCAGAAGAAGCCGGGGCAGAAGACTCTGAAGCAGAAGAAGTCGAAGCAGAAGAAACGGGGGCAGAAGAAGCCGGAGCCGAGGAGGCAGGAGCTGAAGACTGGCTGCTGCTAGGAGCGGGGGCGGCGCTGGAGGATAGAGACTCGCTCGGGCTGGGCTGGTTGCCACCGTCGCCGGCACCATAAGACCATCCAGTGAGGGGGTTGTTTCCGGGCAGCTTGGTGAGGGTTCCTGTGGCCTGCTCGTCAACGGGCGACTCAATGGTGCACTCCTCGGTGTTTTGGCCGTGGAAGAGGCCGGGGCACTGTTCCATGCCGGCGGTGCCCGTGTCGCAGGTGTCGATGATGTGCTGGAGAAGGGGCTCCTCCCAGCCGGACATGAAGTCAGCGTGCAGGCTGTAGCCGGTGGCGTCGCCGTTGGCCAGGACAAAGGGCTGCTGGCCCTTGCCCTGCTCCCAGCGGCCGGAGAAGGCGGGCGTGTTCCAGTAGGCCTCGAAGAAGAGGTGCGGGACGTGGATCCAGCCCTTGGGGCAGTCGGCCTTGCCGTTGTTGTCCTGGGGCCAAGCCATGTTGTTCTTATAATCGGTCAGGCCGGCCTCGGGGTTGTAGCACGAGGGGAAGTGGACATCGGCGCGGAGGGGCGAGGCGTAGCCGTCGCATTCGACGTCGGGGAAGCCCACGCCCTCACCCTTGTTGACGGGATCCTGGATGCCGGCCATGAGGCCTTTGGAGTTGACGGGCCAGCCGGGTTGTTCGATGTTCTTGCGCGGACAAGTCCACTTGATGGGGTTGACGGGACCCTTGGAAGGGTCGAGGTTGGTCTTGCCGCCAGTCGCGGGAGGCGTGCGAAGTTTGGGGTCACCGATCAGCATCTGCAGACTGTGTGGGAACGCCTTGATGTCGTCGTTGGTGGCTTCAAAGAAGTAGTAAACGTTGGCGTAGAAGAGCTCAACGGACTCGAGGTTGTTCGACTTGGGGTCCTTGAAGTAAAGCGAGGGGAACCAGTAGTTGGAGTTGTCGCCCTTGACCTTGGCCGTGCTGCACGTCGACTGTTTGAGATCCTCGCCAGTCGAGCCAAGACCAAACTTGTTTCCGCCGAGGACATGGTGAACGTGAGTCGAGGGCTTGCCAGGCGTGACGATGGGATCAGCACGGGCAACGGTGAGCTGCTTGTTGGTGAAGTGCAGAACAGCAAAAGTACGCTTGTCCTTGGCGGAAGCGGCGACGCCGAGCATGGCCGTCAAAGCGGCAGCGGTGGTGAACTTCATGGTTACTGTTGTTCTTGTTGGGGGCGATGTAAAGCGAAGATGGGCGAGTGGCTGTTTGGAGGGCGATTCGCGAGACAGATATCGAGGGGAGGGATGAATTTGGTGTTACCAGAGCACCAGAAAGGATACAAGAAAAGATACCGAGCGGTAATCTATAGACAGAATAGAAAGAAATCAAGAAAAGCTGGGCGAGGATAATCACACGAGCTTGCGTGGAATAGGTGACGCAGAAAAGGAAAGTAACAAACAGCTCTGTGGCTGCTTGGGAAGCGTCGTCGAGAAAAGGAGGGTAGGTGTCCAGCAACTTTTAAATGCAAAGGAGGGTGAGGGTAAAGAACAAAGATGAAGCGAAGACGAGTAACGAGCAACTGTTGAAGAGACGGAAAAGTAAAAAGAAAAAGAGAGGTTATAGATGGGGGGAGGAGGGGGTACTAAAAAGGGAAGCGCGCGGCGGGGAATCGATGCGGCTCATAGTGGATGTGAATGGGGGATGCAACTAATCTGTGCAGACTGTCTGGAGAGACTAACACGAGGACTTGCCAGGATTCCCTTTTAGGTAATTAATGAAAAGAAATTATAGATGCTTTTTCTTTTTTTCCTTTTTCCTCTCTCATATTTTAGTTTGTCTTTATTGTATTCCTGGGCAGCTCAAACAGTGCGGGCTGACGATATTGCAGTAAGTACTGGGTCAAGTTCCGACTGGCTGCTGCCCTGGCATGCCTTGGTCCTTTGCATTTGGCGCCGGGCGTTGCAAACAACAATTCTTTTTATCGAGCCCCTGCCCGACGCCATCTATATTTGATAGGTACTTAATACCAGGGCTTTCGCTTTTCTTGGGCCAGAAATGATACGAGTTACCCGCCTCAGCCCCGGCTGTCCACGGCGATCCTAGGACGCCAGATGAATCTATTCGAGACAAGCCAGCTTTTCGTCGGGACGAAAACAATCAATCCCATCGCCGACCCAAAATCCCCCTTTTTCCGTTTTGTTTCCCTCTTGCATGAATATGGGTGCGTGTACAATGGAACCAACCTCGTGTGGGTAGCACGCGGCATAAGTAGGATTTATGCACGGGCTCAGGAGAGTCAAAGGAAGAGATGCGGCCACCCACCACTGCCACCACTTTGTCCAGCGCCCCTTCGTCCCATTCTCCCTCCAAACCTGGAATCGCCACGAGGCACATGACCGTCGTGATTGGTCGACCAGCACACTTGCCAGGACGGTGTGAGTGGTTGAGCTCGGGGCTTGCTCCCAATGGTGCGACGATGACCATAGTTCTAGAGGCCGGCCGCCAAGCTAGCCCAGAAATCTAGCTTTTCAACTTATCGCTGCCAGATGGTACCTGACAATCAGTGAGTGCCACGGTGGGTTTGCGCCCCAACTCATCGTCTTGCTCGTGCCAATGATTAGCAAGTCCGTGTAAGTCGTTTATGCGGCGCGTAGGATTTTAAACTCTGTATTTACAGCTCACCGACCTAAAGACGACCGACCAACGCACATGAAATACTACACACAAAATCATCAAATTTCGCGCAGTGGTAAAAGGTAAGCCAAACTTCAGCCCATCTTAAACTTATCAGACACACAAAGACCCGATCTGAAACAATGATTGCCGCCCACGGCTGGCCCCTGATCCGGCCCAGCGCCAAAAACGTAGCAGGCAGGGGTGGGCACACAAGTAGCCTAATACCCAATACCTTGGGAAAAAAGACGCGCCCTAAAGAGCATTGGGTTCACCATGGCTTGCATAATGCTCTTGTGAAACCCAGCGAGGAACCAAAATCATGGCTGAAAAAAAATTAAAAAATTCTATACCAGAGGCTGGCTGGCAAGAACACCCGCCCCCTCCTCTAATCCCTTTTAGTATGTCTGCATGCACGTCTCCGCTGGGCGGGATAAGCATCTTTATGCGTTCCTGGACCGCCGCTGCATAACCAAACACTAATTAATCGACATATTGGTCAGGGATGCTTCAATCGCTTTGGCTAGTCGATTCTCTCTCCTAATTCGTTCCTTCGTGATAAAGAAAAGGGGGGGTGGACATGGGTATGTGCAGCGGCTCTATTCTTAGGCGAGCCACACCAGACCGTTGGCGTTGTGTATGTATGAAACGCGCTAACTCATCAAGGGTGCAGCTCTGTTTTTCACTCGGCCGCAACTGTCGATGGTGGGGGGAGGGGGGGGGGGCTTTTCCTGTTGTTTCTTTTCGACCTATTGTTTGTCCAGCCTTGGGAGCGCCCTGCCACTACTTGTTGGTCCCCTTCGCCCCTAAGTCGATGCCTATCCGCCAACATAAAAGAGACGCCAAAATAATAAAAAATTGAAAATATATATATATATATATATAATCTCCGTTCTCATTCGGCTATCAGCCGTGAATATTGGCATTTCGGCCCATGTTGCCCGGATCCTCATCATTGCGCCCCATTTCGGCCATGGCTTTGGTTCCTTGACCTCCTTGTGTTACTCTGTCATTACCACCACCCAGCCCTACTTTGTACTCCTTTGTTCCTCCAAAATAGTATGAAACGCTACAACGCCTCGTCATTTCTTCTTCACTATTTCTGGTGGTGCAAGTTATTGACAGCGAGACACCCATGGATTAGAATGGGTCTTGGGAAACGCCCAGGTCATTTCATATATGAGCTCGCTTAGATGAGCTCGCTTAGCCCGCATCTTTTTCTGATATTGATAGAAAGGAAAAGAGCGAAACGATTTTACAAGAAACTCAAAGCAAGCTCATAGATGTCTAAAATCATCGCCAACGTATGTGGACTTTTCAGTCTTTCGTTTCTTTTTTTTTTTGTTCTTTTTTTTGGTCGTCATAGCTCTGCTGCACCTCAGTCTCCGCCTCCAATGCAAGCACTCACACCTGCAGCTGTTTTGTTTGAAACATTGCAAAGCCCTTTCTCGCCTGCTCCTCCAGTCATGTGTCTTTTGCATCGCGACTATTTATCATCTGTCACTTCAAGCCCTCATGCCCCATACCTCCCCCCCCCCCCCCCCCCCCGGAGGCCGCCATGTGATAGAACCCAAGAGAAACGGACCGCTTTGTCTCATGTCCCATTCACCACAGGCTTCACTGCAGATAGTAATTGGCAGATGGTGATTGGCAGATGAGCTATTCTTGGCTGACATGGCTTGTAGCACAAGGTATTTCCCCTCATTGCCCCCCCCAACAAATGATATGTCCCAAGGTGCATAAAAGCCTGCGCAACACCCACCATCAACGTCGCACGCTTCCATCAGTTTCTCTAGCTGACATCACCAAGATATCACAACAAGGCAAAAAGCAGTACATGTCGGTGAGAGGAAAATGCCAACATGTATTACCCTATCTCATTGTCGTTGCGCCGACAGCCGTCCTCGCGACCTGTGTTTTGTCGGGCAGATACCATTCGGTGCTTTTTCCATTTCGACGTGCCTTGTGAACCAGCTAAACAGTCGGTAATATGCAGTCATTTCCTTTGTAAACCCGGAAAGACCCTCTCCACCAATAATATATTTCTTTCCCGGCCAATATCGCATGACTTTGCCCACCTCGCAGAGTCGCATCGGCCTCACATCTGCCTCCGAGCCCATGAGCCTGACGACCGTTTGTCCGAGCAGAGAACAACCAGACCAATTAGCACAGCAGAATACCTGTAGTAGAAGCTGCGAGACTGAGTTACCGCAATCGTCACAGGATCGTGCAATTCTCTCCTTTTTGCATCAAAATATGCCTGCTCACGACTTACACAAGAGCGTAGAGAGCCAGCCTATAGTACGGCTTCACGGGCTCGATATGCAGTCTTGTAGATATAAAGAGTCAATGAATGATACATTTGCTGCGCACATTATGGCCCTTCTATTCGAGAGCATTAGTCGTGCTTCCCAGCTCGTATGTCGCCCCATCGAGGATCAGCAGAGTGCAGCAATATTCGTTGAGAACCTGCAAGACTGTCAGTGTCTTCTCGTATGCAGTGGATATGTCAAATTGATATTCATTTCATGCACATCAAGTAAGCTATTCTGCGCAGTAATGCTTCTCCAGTTCTGAGTGAGCAGCTTCTGCAACGGGGTATATAGATCAACTAGCAAAAAAGAAACCCAAAATTCACTTTCCAATAATCGAACCAGCCAAGTCCATGCTAAGCCCTACGGGCCGTTGTATTATATTGTATCCGTTTTAATCCCGTAAAAATATCGTTTGGTATTGAACGCCGGAACCTCTGTACTCGCGGGCCAAGTCTTGGCCCGCTACTTTGGTTTAGTCGTCTTCATCATCAGATCTGCCATCTGCCCCTCGCGGTCGTGCTCTTTCATTTCCCTTCTTGATTGATATAATGCATCCCTGTTCTTTGAGCTTCTTTGCAAGGGAACTGCTAGCAACCATTCCAGGAAATTCTTTTGCACTGTAGACTTGAAATATATCAGTCTTGATTTCAGTGAGGGTGGGGAAATGTCGCAGAATGGAGGCGCGGGCGGGATCAATCATGATGAGAGTAAACTTCAACCGAAATGCGCCGGGAGTCCGGCAAGAGAGATCCGAAAAGCAGAAGAAACAGCCCTCTTGGTTTTGGTCATCATCTCCGACAAAGGGCGTCCCCACCAATGAGCCCATGAGTCGGCGTTGATGGTTGTACTCGTCGGGCATATACGACGCATCTCGGGTTCCCGACTCATCCCATATGGAGCAGTTCATCACATAGTTTGGATACCGCAGATATGCTCGCCTCTCTTCTTCAGACAGACCGGGCCCATCGATCCTGAGCTGCACAATCGGCGGAGGGTCAATCACTCGTCTGTCCCTATCTCCGAAACCGCACGCTCGAGCCGCCCGTGGCTGCTGCCGCACCTCAAGACTAAATATCATAGTGTCTATGTTTCGTTCACGATCTGGACCCAATAGATTCGGGACGTATGAGGATCTTGGTTTCTGAGTTGCGTGCTGTGACATACTGCTATGGGCTGGGTGCTCTGGAGCTCTTGTGTAGTGCTGCTGCTGAGCATGCGGTTCCTGTGCAGCAAACCCTCTCTGGTGGTGAACATGAAGAGGTTGTGGTGCATGTTGCTGGCGAAATTGATCTGGGCCATGGCCTTGATAACGCGCGCCATATGCTGGTCCAGTTGGCGGTCCCATGGGATGCGCCATGCCGCGGGTAGCATGATATCGCTGGTCTTGTGGCGGGCCATGATGTGACGAAGAATAGCTTGGGGCACCTGCCAAGAGGCTGTCCGGAGGGGGGAGCACTGGGTGCTGTTGATTGGATGATGTTGTTGAAGACGGCAGAAAATTAGGAGGCTGCCTTCGGTCGTGTGGCCGGTCATTGTGCGAATGGGGTTGCATTGCTTCCTAGACGCATAATCAAGCGCGTGCTCAACTTTGACAGTCTAGGACATACAATGATCGGCTCCGCTGCTAGTGATATAACAGGGAAAAGCCGATTGGTAATGAAGAGTATTGCCAGTGGTGAAACTAGCAGAGATGTTGGCAGCTTTGTCAAGGGTGCCGAGACGGAATAGATGGATGTTGCCGCCACAGTGAATGCAGACATGTGGTTGACACACAATGTTAGGTACAAAGATGGGATATAGTAGAGCGTAGTGACGAGGGTTGACTCAGTTATATGCAGAATTATGTTGTGTGAAGTGTGAAGCCGTGTCGTCAAGCGAGGATGCGGTGGGAGTCTTGAATAGCGTAGTGCGGGGAGTTGGTCTGGGTTCAGCGTGTGACGGGCGTTGAGGTGCCCCAGCGGCCAGCAAAAGCAAATTTGAGGCCCGCGACAACAAGCAAAGCCTGGTGGACCAGTGCGGGAAAAAAATTGAATGTGCGAGTGTGCAGCTAGAGGTGGATTCGTAATGCGCACAACAAGACATACATGAAGGTAATGAACGGCAGAGGGAAGCGGGCCACTCCCTGGGAAGGAAGGCGAGCGAGGCGTCACGACGTGTGCGAATGAGCGGGCAATGGCTGAGACGGTGATGAGCCACAAGGAGGGACAAGGTTTAAAAGCCGTTGTCTAGCGTGCGTCTCACAGATGTCGGGGAAATAGATGTCTCTGGCAGACAGTCGGGGAGTCGGTCAAGCAGTCAAGTGAGTGCGCAGAAGAGTAACGTGCTGGTCCACCGAATGTGGCAGTCGAACTGGTCGGGCAACAAGAGGTCGTCGGAGGCGACGTGCGTGGTAGGTGAGACAAGTGGATGGACGGCGTGGTGGCGGGATGGCGGGAAGGCTGATGCGGCTGGATTCCAAGACGAGCGAGGTCATGAATATGAGCGGCAAGCAAAGCACAACTGGCTGCACTAAGAAGCGGCTGGTTGAAGGTATTATATCAAAGGAAGCTGCCCAAAGTAGACAGTGGCCCAAGCAAGGAGAATGACCACGAGCCTGACGATCAGGGCTCAGGTGCAGAAGCCAAGTTGTCCGTCGGCAATAGCATGGATTAATAAGAGGAGGCGATGTGAGTCGAGCTCCGTAGCCAGCCGCGTAGCACTGGCAGAAAGGAGCAGTTATTAGCAGAGCTATTACGGAGCAGCTGTTGCAATTATCCGTACGGAGTACAGAAGCAAGCAATCGCTTGTGCCTCGAGCGGTTGCATGGCAGATTGCCGGGGGGACCAGGTCCAGCACCTCGCAGGGCACAGGACAGCTAACTTTAGGCCAGAAGTGACAGATCCCATTGTGGCGAGGCAGGCACATCATGGTTATCCTTGCTAGGCAACTACCTAGGCCAGCTCAGAGTCTTGGTAAGGCCGGGACGCTGGACCCGCCTGGAAACGGGCTGGGAACGGGCCACAACCGCTGCCATCCGGAAATGCGTGCTGGATTGCGACCGGAGTGCCCTTGTACCAGCTGCAGCGAATAAACGGGTGAACGATTGAAGCAAGCAAGCAGCCTAGTCTCGTTGTCGTATAGCTGATAGCCTGCGACAGGTCTGGATTGCAAGGCTTGTCTGCTCTCCTTTAGCGTTTCCGGCATTCTCGTATGTGGTAATTTAGACAACGCCTCAGCGGGAATGATCTAAAAGGCAATGCGATTCATGGGCCCTCAACAGGGCGAGAGACCCAATCTGGCGGAGAGTCCGCAGCCCCAGTGCCCCCATTGAACCAAATTATTAGCGTATCACTGGCGAGCTACCCAAAGTGACGTCAACGCACCTGGTGCTTCGCAGTGCTGGATCTGCCCGGCCCGCAGGCGACTCAGATTGCCCGTGGCCGATTTTGGGCACAAGGTAATGGGGGGATTCCATGTCTGGAAGTCGGCGGAACGGCACGGTCCCAATTGGGAGGCAGCGCGAGCGCAGCTGCGATAGCCGCTCGTGGCTGTGAAACCGATGGCGAAACGCAATCACAAACAGCACCATGGGTGCTCGGATGCTGTGCATGCCCTACTTGCCAGCTTGGCTACCAAGCTCGCACACCTAGAGTGCACTAGTGATGGGGTGCGTGCCGTCTCGGGCAGCTGGTGTAGAGATAGAGTCGGATGTCGAAATCGGTGAGAATAGTGTCTTTTGTGGTTAGTCAAGCACGGGATAGGAAAGCCAGACCAGGCATCGGGCGAACGTGGCAGTTAAGGCAACAACAAGATCGCAAAGCGTCTTGAATGATAAGCGACCGCGCCGATGCAAGGCCAGGCGAAGATGGTAATGCGCCGTCGCATCGTGGATGCTCTTTACCCTGGTAACCTGCCTGGTAGCCTGGATATTCTTAGCCTGGGGTTTTCCGAATAACTAGTTAGAGCAGCCACTGGTTGTGGCACGCCACCTGGGCCTGTCCCACACGATAACTGCTTGTAGTTAGTTACAACTCCCGTCTGTCCTCATACTCAGCCACGAGTAGAGTTGATTTTGCTAGAAGCAGTCTGTTTGCTGTACTGCGAAGGTCCGATCTGAGCGGAATACGGACCGCTAATATCGCGTGTTTATAGCAGCTGAACTAGGCATTGGGTGGCTGCCAACTGTCAGCTGAGAACAGCATCCGCGGTACCGAGACACGAGAAGGTTATGGCGACGAGAACGTACAAGTATTTTCTCTGGAGTATGGATACGGAGTACGTCTCTGTAGCGGGCGAAGGTCTTGCAGACTGGGTCGTGTCTTGGTCGCAATAGCGTGGGTCCGGTGAAGCTTCAGCTTTGCTTGAATTCTGGAGCTTGGAGGAACTCGAGATTTGGTGGGCTGGTGAGGGGCTGCCAGCTGGCACGCTCACACGGCAAACGGGTAGCTACCTACCTACTAAGCTAACATGGTAGGTAAGCAGCAGCCTATCCGTACAATGGTAACCTAAACACTCTGTGCTTTGTATTATCCTCGACATCCTAGGCAATAGATGTTTGTCTATTTGGATTAATTGGTCGATTAATCGATGAGGTACGTACCTGGTGGGACGTTGGACCAACGGATTACCCAGGTGTGCATTGTATGGAGCCCGCTGCTGGTTGCATCGCCGTTGCCTGAATAGAGACAATATACAGGCAGGTCAGCTTTATGCCCAACTTGGCTGGTATGATGCCGCTTACCAGCACCTTTCCTCTGGCCAATTTTATTCTAATAGACGGAAGGAGGAGTCTAGGGCAAGTACCTCCGTACCCAGGTAGTTACCTACAGACAGAGCGCCCGCACCAGTGCAAGCCGTTTCCTCACGGCTAGCTGATCAGCTGAAGACCACTTCCATGCCTCACCACCGCCTGACCGCTTCCAACATTGCCAGCACCTGGCTTCTCTCTGCTGTACAATGGCACATCGACATGCGAACTGGCCGTATTGTATTCCACGTCCTGCTCCGTTGAGCCTCTCCGGTCAAATGATCCACACGTACGCCAAGTCGTCACATACTCGTTTACCCATGCGGTGCCTCCTGTGAGCTCCGCTTCGATGGACGCTGCTGCTGCACAGGTTTCAATGGCCAAATCCATTGGCCTGCATGCGATGCAGATTCGCGGGCTGGCAAGTATGCGGACGGGTTACTATGGTGCTCGGGCGGGTTCGTTCAACTGCAAGCCAAGGCTGTGTGGAGGAGAAGCCTACTCATAACAGCAAATTACCATGCATGCGCCAGCCGATCTCCGACGAGCATCAACACGGCACTATGCGCAATCCGTTTTTGCGGAAAAGATCGCATCGTTTTGAACCTAGACACATACCCGCGAGCCAGGCATTCGGATACGGTGTCGAGCCCTGACCGCCTTCTTTGCTTTCTTCCTTGGGTTCCTTGCTTTTTCCTTTTGCACCCCGCCAATTACAACTGTGTCAAGCGTCAAGGGTTTTTATTACCCTGTCAACCTTGCGCCAGCTACTGGTCTCATTCCCGCAACAAGCTACATCTTATGTGCATGCGGAGCATGTCTTGCAGCCAAGAGCTTACTAGCAGCCTCAGCAACCACACTGCTATACAACATCTTCCTACATTCAGCGTCGTCAAACTTTTCAATGAGCTGCCAACGCCTGCGCCGTTTAAGCGTCAATGCATTGACTTTGATCAAGCCATGTGAATGTCTTGCGTAACACACCTATGCAATCCTCCGGCTCGGTCCTCGCGTCACACACTGACACAAGCCCGTCAGCTCCGGCCAGCCTCTCAAGCTGTCGAACTTTCTTTTGTCTGCAGCCAGCTCGTGGAACTCAGACATGGCTTGCGTGGTAGGGTCCTTTTGTCTCCACTGGGCATACAGCGTCATGCCGTACATTATTAATGTCGAAGGCAGGTTGAGGCTTGCCATTTTTGTGTTACGATTGTGTCCTTTAGCGGCGGCATTTACGCAGCAAGAACATGAACATGACTTGGGCAGTCCCTATCAGCAGCCCGACGCGACCCAATGATGAACCTGGCAGGTCTTTGGATGATCTACGCCGCTGCGAAGGATGAATCATCATACATTGTGCATTCGGTGTAGCTTGGTTGCCGTCAAACATCCGAAACATTGGCATGCCGTGTCCCAAATACAAAGCTCGAATTGCACGATTAGCTTGCCAGTTTGCAGCCTCATCTACTCAAAAGCCACCGTAGGCGTACTTAGACCAGGAAGTTTGGTGCGGAGCTCGAAGACGGTTGAGAGTCTTGTTCAAGAAAGCAACGGTAAAATCCAAGACACTGTTGCGCTGCAAGAAACGAGAAAATAAGCTACTACTACGGTACGTGATTCGGGGACCAAGACGGGTGCTTGAAGAATGCAAGAAACAAAGGTGGGTTATTTAACTATGCCGTTATCTCTGCGCCCGCGGGATACGACTGGATCAGTAATAGCGCCCGCGCATCTACTCTTCGGCAGCGCCAAGATCCGTGCCAGTAGACCAGCTGAGAAAGTGCAAAAAAAAAACAAAAACAATCGGCCGATGCAAAGGTGAAAACCTGCGCATAGGAAATCGAAAGCCCATGCGTGTGTGACCAGTATGAACGAGGAGGGGTGCGCGTAGTCATGTCCAGAGAGTGTCGCACAAAAGAGCAACTCTAAAAACGGGATTTGATGCAATGCATGTTGCCGTTTACGATAGTATGCTATGCTGTATCAACAAGCCGTATAACGCCGAGTGAGCATAGTCTAGTAGACGCTATTAGGTGTCTGTAGTTGCTGCAAGAGCTGTGAGCTTGAGGCATTAAGAGCAAGAAAAAGGTATTCATTCCCTTGGCAAAAACAGACGAGAGTCAATGGTGATTCAAAGGATCAGAATGCAGGCGTAATACTTTATTGATGTAGGTCTTTGATATTGATAGGAATATTCGATTGTGAAGGATGCGAGGGACTGGGTTTACCCTTGCATGTATATATATATAGCCTAATCAAGTCCTAACAATGTCCGACAGTGGTAGAAAGGAAGCTATAGGAGATTATGAGAGTAGAAAGACGTAGAGAGATGATGAGGAATTCGTCTTGACGTATTATATCCTAGAATCGGAAAATAGGAGAAAATTATGTCGTCTTAATAGCCGTAGTGGATGAGTAAATGAATAGAAGAATTTGAGAATAAATGTCTCAGGAGTCGAGGTGATTATCGCCAGTCGAGCATGATGATGGCCGCTCTTAATCAGGGAAAAAAAAGAAAAATGAACAAGAAAATGAACAAGAATGAAAGAAGTGTAAATACAATTCTTCTTGCGTAATTACAGTCGACAGGACGCGCCAGAAGAAGGGAAAAAGGTCGACAGAGTGGGTATATATAATCGAGCTGAGCCAAAGCAGCCCAGCAAGGAGAATTCTGGAAAGCTGTTCGTCATGCACGACGATTTCATCACCACGTCAAGACGACCAGACTCAAGAGCGACGCAAAAGCCACCGCCAGCATGGTCGTCGCATCGCCGGCCGCCGCGCCGGCCCGCCCAGCCGCCGACGTGGCCGTGTCATTGACAAAGCCCGGCCCGCAGATGGCGTTGACCTGGCGCGCAGCGTCCCTGTACGTGCCCGTAATCTGCTGGCCGCGGTCGCCGGTGGCAGCGTGAAAGACGGCCATGGTCTGGGTAGTGCAGACGCCGCACGAGGGCGTGGAAGCGCCGGGCAGGGACAGGCCGAGGGGCATGGAGTAGAGGAAAATGTCGGAAGGATTGGTGATGTTTGTGACGGCGCTGGCGAAGCAGTAGTTTTGGGTGGCCGGGTCCTGGAGGCAGGTGGCGGCGCGGAGCACCCGGTAGGCGCGCAGGCCGTCGAGGGCCTCAGTGACCTGGACCTGGCCGGCGTCGTATTCCGTTTTGCAATTGGAGGGGTCGAGCAGGTTCTTGGCGGCCTGGGTGAGAAACGTCTCGCACTGGGCGGCGTCGGGCGCGCAGGTGGCGTCGAGGACGCGGACGATGCTGACGAGCTGCTTTTCGGCCTCGAAAAAGGACGTTGACGTCTGCAGAGATTGGGAGAGAGAGGTGGTTAGCAAAGGTCTTATAAGGTTCCAAAATCTGAAAGAATGCGTCACACATACTCGTAGCATCATGGAGATTGGGTAGCATTGCTTGAACGTCGGGTCGTCCAACAATTTCTTCATAAATGTCGGGCAGGCATCGTTTGTGCTGCTGGGGCTTTTGAATATCGAGGCCGGAGCGTTGTCGAATGGCGAGGGTAGAGGTGATGGTGTGGAATCCGAGGAAGAAGACGATGATGTTGATGACGAAGACGACGACGAAGAAGAAGCAGAAGAAGAAGAGTCTTGGCGAACAATCACTGTGCCTTCAACTTGCACCCCCGCGTCGGGATCTCGCTCGACCAGATCCAACTGCCGTGTAAAACGCGTCACCGTCCTCGTCGGCCTCCTCGTCGCCTTCCCATCGTCGTGTACCCGTGGCGGCTCCGGTTCTACTTTGGCCGTCCACGGTGGTATCGTCGGCGAGGAGGCGGGCGCAGCAGTCAGTTCGACGGTGGCGGGTTGTGGTCCCAGCTCGGGGTGCTGCTGCTGCTGATGGTGGTGGTGGGCGAGCGCGCTGCCGCCGGCGATGAACAAGGTCAAGAGGCCGGCGCGGAGCGACATGGGGGTTGATGATGGGCGGCTGTGTGACGCGGACGAGGACGAAGAAACAGGGTCGTCGGACCGGCGTCGAGGGCGGCGGCGGCGGCGGCTCCGGCAGCAACGGGTTGTGCGCGTCGAGCACTGGCAGCTAGGTGACGCTGTGTCACTGATCGTCGAGAAATGTGAGACACGGCTCGCCATGACTTTTCGGGGACCAATGCCGTTGATGTTTCTCCTTTACTCGGTCGCCGGTTCCCTTTCAAATGTATACTTCGAGAATAGATACGGCGCCGACAATTGGGTCCCTCAATTCGAATGTGCGTGGTCAATGTTGTTTCTGCTGGGAGCTTCTCGTCAATGTAGTCCCCCGAGCGGACGTTGTCGCGGGAAGCGCAAGGAAGCCGCTCCGGTGCGGGTTCGAAAAATGAATTGACCAAATTGCAGTAAATTGTGTTTTTTGCTGGCGCAGAATTGACCAGTCTTCTTTTTGCCCTGTTTTCGTTTCTCCTTGTCCTGTTCGCTTGGCGAGCAAAGCAGAGCTTGTTGCAAACAGGGGAGCTCGGGGTAGGCGGCAGCGTTGGCGTTGCGGCGGGTTGTACGTTGGGCGAGCTACTGCTCAAAGCTTGTCCGGATAAAAATGCTAAAAAATCGAAAGAACAAAAAAGAAGAGAATGGCAATGCTCAGAGAGGCTATTTTGGTTTCAACGAGTGTGTCAATGGCAGTGGCCGCTGCAGGAAGAAGAGTCACGACAACGAAAAAAGGTTGCCCTTGTATGGAGCTCCCAAGGGCAATATGTTTTTATCTTGTCCTTTCTTTTTCTTTGCCGTATTATTTCTGTTCAATAATACTAGCCGCGACGGGGGGGCCCTTGTCGACCATGACAGGGATGCTGGGGGCGTTGATAAGCCTTGTGCTGGGAAGTTGCCAGTAGTTTGTAGGCAACGCGCGGTGAGCGGGCTCGAGAGTAATTACAGAGGTAGCGGGGGGGGTGACGGGACGAGGCGGATGACGCGGCAGGGATGATGACACAAATCTCAAAGCGCAATGACTGTACTCAGTTTCCGTAGGCGAGCTTGTTACCAGTATACTTGTGTTGTTGTCACGAGTCGAGCATACATAGTTAATAATGGTGCGAAAGAATCAGGAAAAAAGATGATGAGAGAAGAAGAAAAACGTCGCAGCAGAAAGCTTTGTTTAGCGGCCGTCTAGCGTTGTTTTTAGTAGGTACCTATGCATGCATCCATCTACAGACTATTAGCTACAAGGGGGACCGCCCAGCTCGGTCGAGGCTCCGATGTTGTTTATCGAGTTAGTCCTATTTACTAGGGATCTATTCCATGCTTTCTGCAAGAAGCGTTCTTGAATGAATATCAGTAGTTTACTTGGCTGGATGTAGCCCAACTCGCGGGGGGGGCCAGCAAGCAACCCCTGGCTTTTGTCTCTCTTTTTTGCTTCCATTTATAAACTGTGAGTCTCTGACTCCTAAGCTAGCTTGAACTAGGCTAGGAGCTTCACTGGGTGATGATTTTCCTTTTCGGCTCTATTAATAGACATTTGAGAAAAAAGATATATATTTATATATATATTTATATTTCCAATTGAACAAAAGAGAAAATGCATGCAATGAATCTTGTCAACACAAAATCAGTCTTTTTTCTTTCCCCTTTCAACAAGTGGACCAAGCTGAATAGGGCATTCTCCAATTTTGCAGCCAGATGCCGTATACGAAGTATACTAAGCCCCAACCTCGGAAAGCAGTTCCATAATAATCCATACAAGAAGACGTCTTTTTTAAAGAAAGGTGGGCGACAAGAGACAGGGGGGTGAAGGCTGACAGGAACAGCCGAACAGGGCAAAATGTCGACAATAGTTACTTTCAACTAGTTACCAGTAAGTAATTCGTTAGTTTGTAGACTACTACCTTGGCAATGTCAGAAAGACGGCACATTACTTCCCCGGAGACTTGATCCTCTTCTACTTCCTTTCTGTTTCTTTTTTTTTTCTTTTTTTTTCTTTTTTTTTAATAATTCGTTTCATCACGACTCTTTCCTGCTCATTAGCATCTCCCGTAGACAGACACGTCGTTCTCTGTTCCCCTCGTTGTAAATAGACGATCAACTTCACGATTCATTCCCCAGCAGCCCCTATATGCATTGTTACCTGTTCCCGCCGTGCCCGGCGCCGCATGGCCGGCCGCCGCGAAAAGCCTCGAGAGTCTAGACCAGGCGCTAGAACCCGCGTGGCCTGTTATACCCTTTTTTTTTTTCCCCTCCCCCTTTCCTCCATACGATCCAATAACCCACTTCTCTCTATCATATCATTAATCGACAGCCAAGCTCTGCCTCTATTTGCCAGTAAATTCGCGGCCCCATCCCCATCTCCCAAGTTCAATGGGCATTGGGCAATCACTATTCGTGAAGAGCAGAGAGCCAAGAAACCAAAAAAAAAAATCTCCAATCATCTTCCACAACGTCCAAGCTCAAAACTGGGTCGGCAGCGACATAACAATGAATCCTCCTCTAAATCCTAAGGCATGAAATTTAGCATATGGATTCTGAATTTTTGCTAATAACTATACCTAATTCAGTCTATATAGCGTAGTCGGCCCACCAAAATTTGCAGGGAAGGCTACAGACCCTAGACAAGGCCCTATAGCTAACGAAGTTAGCGGCTGCCATAGCATATAATTATATTCTCTTAATACTAGCTACGCTAAAGGCGGCGCTTACAAGGAAGCTAGTAATACTGCTAAATAGGGCGCTATAAATACATAAGGGGCTGCTAGTGACGCTATAGGTATCATTTAATAGGGAAATTACACTATTATAGCCATTATATGTGTTATCTACAACCTAAAGAAGTTTTACATAAGCTCCTAGCAAAGTAAAGCTATCTTAGAGCTTATTAAATCTCTTATTATTACTAGCTAATACTATTCTTGCGCTATGCTATGCTACGTTGTTATTAAGCTACCCTAGCTGCCCTAGCTACCCTGGCTACTTCCCGTAGCCTAGCTACTTCCTATAACCTAGTTAATTAAGCTACTTAGTGCTAGCGAAGGAAGGGAAGCCCTAGGAAGCTCCTAGTAGCTTAGCTACTAACTAGAAGCTACTTTAAGTAGCAGAGGTAGTGCTGTTATTATGTTGTTAGCTAGCTAGCGGCGCTGGCTAATGTTATGTAGATTTAGCTCATAGTGGCGCTTAAGAAGAGCTTCTTACTCTAGCATATTAGCTTAAAGCTACTAATAATAATTAAGGTTATTAAGGCATAGCTTAATACCTTCTACTAGCTTCTTAGTTACCCTATAGCTATAGAGAAGCCCCTATTAGCGCTTAAAAGTATCTATATATTTAGTTTCTAACGAGTTAGAATAGGGGTTATTTAGTAAGCTATAAGCCTTTTAAACCTAGCTAATTAGCTTATTTAAAGGCTTCTAGCTAACTTTACTAATAATTAATAAAACTTTAAGGTAGTTATCTTAGTTAATAGGCTATTATAGAAGCTAGTAATTAAGCTTTTTATTATATTATTCCTACCTAGATAATACTATTATTATAATCTTCTAATTTATTATATAAAGGTTGGTAAGTTAATTCTTAATAAAATTCTTTAATTCTAAGTAGCTACTTTTAGCTTAAGAGCTTACTATAATACTATAATTTTAATACTTTTATATTATAAAGGTTATAAATTAGTATTAAATAAGGAGGTATTTTAACTTTAAATACTAGATAATTACTAAGAGAGGATTAATAAAAAATATACTATTTAATAAAGAATTTAATAGTTACTATATTAATTAGCTTAGGTCTCCTTAAATATACTCTATCTACTATTAAATTTATCTTCTATAGCAGTATCTTTAATAAGGCTCTACTAATTAGAAAACATCCTAATAGTAGTATATTTATTAGCTACTACTAGTAATAGCAGCGGTATTTAAGAGCTTTATAATAATAAGGTAATAACTAAATATATTTTATAGGTATTTCCCTATAAATTAGAACTATTAGCTATACCTAAATTACCTCTTATAGTATAGTGCTATTAATAAAGATAAGGCTTAGATTTAGTATTATGCTTAAGAGTAGTAGGCAGTACCTTATTACTAAGGGCCTTAAGTAATTCCGTATTTATTAGTAGGCCCTCTTACTTATTACTAATCTACTTTAACTTTATATTAGTAGAGATATTCTTATTAATATACTATAAGTAGATTTATTATTAAGCTATAAGAAAGACCTACTAAAGAGCATTTTTTAGAGCTAGGTTATAGTTAGAAATAACTACCTTAGGGGTTTTAATATTAGCTATTATTATAATAGCTAAAAGCTATTTTATTTGCTATTTAAAAGCCTTTATTTTTTTACTAGAAGAGATACTAAAAGTAATAGAAAATATTAAATAAAGAGAGGTAATACTATTAATTTATAGTAAAGGCATATTAAAATAATTAACTTTATAGGTATTATTTATAATTAAAAGCTTTAGATTCTATTACTAATATTTAATATAGGATTTATAGATTTAAAATATATACTAAATTTGCTTATTAGGACTATATTAAAAATTATAATAGAAAACCTCCTCTTTATTCTAAAGATCTTTAAGGAAAGCCTAGGTTAAGGAGCTTAAGCTATACTTATATTTCCGTAGGCTATTTTATATTGTTTATATGTCTTATAGTTTAAGGAAAATTTTAGGATTTTTAAGGTATATTATAGTTATTATCTTATAAGAGGAAAGGGTGCTTATATTACTAAGCTTTTTTACTTTCCCTTAAAGTTAATCTTTACTAAAAAGTTCGTAAGAGTAGCGTTAAATTGCTACTAAACTTTAAGGGTATATAATAGGTAAATAGCTATATTCTTTCTTAAAAAAATTTATATAGTATCTTCTATTAAGTTTATTCTTTTAAATAATACTGCGAAATTAGCAATTAACCTTATATAAGCTAGTAATATAAGTACTAGTAAAGTTTACTTTGTTAGTACATACTCCGCCCCTTTTATAGTGAAAGTATAGGTTAATTGCGCCCCTTTTGCTGCTTATATATTAGGTTAATTAAGAAATGCTAAATCTAAGAGCGCTCTGCTAGTTCCGAATTTTGTTAAGAGTATCTTTAAATGAGCATAATAGCTCTGCCTTAAGCGCCTTAAGCGTTACTATTTAGTGTATTTTGACGGATTTAGGGTAGTTATACTAAAAACGCCTATTCTCATAACATTATGCACTTAGTGTTAATAGCCTGTTAGGAATACTAGCCTCTAATTGGCTAAGAAATTGACGCTAATATAGGTTATGTAGGCCTTGGTGGGTCTATATGTAAAAATTCAGAATCTATATGCTAAATTTCATGCCTCCTAAATCCTCCTCCACCACTTTATTAATTCTGGATTACGCCCTAGGTGGTGCGATCGATGAGGCGCCTAATTCATTTCCGCCCACATCAAAGCCCATATTAACTGGTAATATGTAAATACAGCCTGGTCAATAATACGCCTGAGCTTTAATGACTTGATCCTGCGCGGCTCCGTCTTCCCTGCACCGCCGGCCGCACACGCGACAATCGCCTTGATACCGTGCCGCTTCGTTTACCAAATGTACGCCGGCAACGACTTGTACCAGCTTTTTCCTTCCAATTGTTTCAATCAATCATTGTTTTGCTCTTATACTACAACAATCTCACACCTGCGCGCGTCCACACATCCATCCCCACTCCACGCCCGTACCTGCATGGCCGCATCGCCCACCCACAAACCGTCCCAATTCTATTCCCGCATAATTATTTTGCATTGCCCATATTATTATCTGGATTGATTATTATTCACCTTCTCCTCTTCTGGGCAGAACCCCCTTTGTTCTCATTTTATACTCGGTATCTTGGCATCATCATCACCTTTACAACTAGTCGGAAATTCTAATCAGCTGCATTTGCCGAACCATCCACCTCCACCCATCGATCGCGTGTTGCAGCGTTCGCAACACCTTTTGCATCTAATAAATCTCGCCATCAATTGTAATCAATCCGTAATGACGCGTCATCTGCTTCCCGCTCCGACTCTACCGCACTCATCTTGCGCCCCGAGCCCGCACCGTCCACGGGGCTCTTTTTCTTCCACTCCATATACAAAGTACCTAGCGTCACCTCGTCCCAGTCTCAGGTCTATCACCACCGACACAGAGGACGAGTCATTAAGACTTCTCAAATAGCTTGGTCAACAAAGGAAGCCTCCTCAATACACGCACGCGCACTTCTCTTCGTACACGCACAAACACACGCACATAGGAGAGCACTCTGTCTCTTTGCAATCGTTTCAACCTACCTGTATTGCCCCGCTACCTGTCAGTTCCCTTTCCCTTCCAATTGCTGAAGCACCGCATAACCTTACTTCTGCTTTGACTGTTTCCGGCGGCCGCACGGCCAAAGAGACCTGTTTCACCTCACTTGCATTCCTCTTTCGCTCTCTCTCTCTCTCTCTGCCACAGCCTGCCCTGCTGAAGGAAAAAGAGACGCCAGTGTTTCACTAACTAGCGTTGCCGTGTTCTTTCTTTTTTTCTTGTTTTCTTTGTCCGAATCTGGCTACCCGGCCTCGGCTACATCTCCAGTATGCACGCGCTGCCTGGTGCCCGTCAAGTGTTGGCTAAACATGCAACTCGAACATGCGCATCAAGAGACTCATCAAAATCGAGAGATTGAGAGGAATTTGGAATGCCATTGGAATATTAGATGCGACATTAGATGCGACATGTACAAAGACCTATCAAGAATCAAACACTCTTATATACAGCTTTTGTTCAATCCATGGCCCAGAATAAACCCGTCTTGTCCATGTTCTACTACATGTGACTCCTAAATGACAAAACGCCGAAAAGTATGCAACAGAGATTTGCTCTCTTATAAACGCTCTTATTAGCTCAAAAATGCAAACCATGCTCAGCCACTTAGCCGTTCTTGGCAAGACTCTGCAAGTTGACAAGCTCCGCGTAACGACCGTTCTTACGCATCAGCTCCGAGTGAGGGCCCTGCTCAACAATGCGACCCTGGTCAAACACGTAAATAATGTCCGCCTTCTGAATGGTGCTGAGACGATGTGCGACTGCAATGGTGGTACGACCCTTAGCCGCCCTGTCCAAAGCAGCCTGCACAACCTTTTCCGACTCTGAGTCGAGCGCCGATGTCGCCTCGTCGAGGAGCAGAATCTTGGGGTCGCGGATCAGAGCACGGGCAATAGCGATACGCTGCTTCTGGCCACCAGACAGTAGAGTACCTTTGCTACCCACCGTCGTGTTGAATCCATCGGGCAGCGAGATGATAAAGTCGTAGATGTTGGCTTCACGGCATACATGCTTCAGCTCTGCGTCGGATACGTCTTCACGGGTGGTGCCGAGAAGGATATTCTCCTTTATCGTACCCTGGTATAGAGTAGGCTCCTGGCTAACGAGGGCAATAAAGGATCGGTAATCGTTGACATTGAGAGTACTGATTTCTCTGCCGTCGACATAAATACCGCCGGCGAGAGGGTCGTAGAAACGCTCAAGCAGCGCAATCGTGGTACTCTTACCACATCCAGACGCGCCCACGAGTGCAATATATTGACCAGGGCGGACTGTTAGGTTAAGGCCACGCAGGACGGGCTGCTCAGGGCGGGTAGGGTAGCGGAAGTGCACGTCGCGGAATTCCAGAGTGCCTTTGACCCGAGTAATGGGCTGCCCTTCATTAGACCAAGTATCAATACAAGGTTTGCGGTCAAATAGAGTCTTGAGCTCCTGAGCAGCGCCGTGCGCCTTACCCATGTCTGGGGCGAACGAGAATACGGTGCCAGCAGACTGGGCGCCAAAGACGATGGACATGAAGCACAGGAAGAACTGAAACATGCTGTACTCGTGCTTGCCAATGAGCGTACCGCCATACCAGAAACCAAGAGCAAGACAGAGGAACACGAGTGACTGAGAGGCAGCGTAAAGAGCACTAGACTTGGCAACTGAAATCAAACTGCGACGCTGCTGCGCGGCAAGAGATTTCTGATAAATAGCCAGAACGTCTTTTTCGCGAGTGAGTGACGCAACGGTGCGTATGCCAGAGATGGCTTCCGAGGCATACGAAGCAGAGGCCGCATAAGCAGCCTTGGACCGCCGCTGGAAGTGGGCAAGAAGCCAGAAACGAAAGAAACCGCATCCTAAAAGAATAGGAATCGTGGAGATGCAGACGAGTGAGAGCTTCCATCCAATGGCGAGGGAGACGGCACAGGCAGCAATCAAGGTGGTAGCAGTGAGCAGAATCGTGCCCAGGGTCACGCCGCTGATGCCAGCAACATGAGTGGTTTCAGTAGAGAGGAATGAGGTCAAGGCACCGGCAGTGTTCTCCTCATTATCAAAGAAGGCGACATCTTGGCGAAGTATGGCCCGAAATGCACGGTCACGAACACGATGGACGAGGCGCTCAGAGCAGACGGCGAAAGCAACACCTTGACCACCAAAGGCAATGAGTTGAGAAAAGGCCAGCATGAGGAACATGGAGCTCCAAAAGTCCGAGTCATGCTTGACTTGGTCACGGTTGATGGGGGTTATGGGCACGGAGAGCGTGGTGATTTGCTTGGCGAAGAAGACCGCAGAGGTTGGGTTACCGCCACCGCAGATGATGCTAAAGGCACATCCAAGGAGCATAAGCTTCCACTCCGGTCGATTGAATGAGGCAATGAGCATGATCAGGGTTCCAAGGCCATCCTTTTTCTGGCCGTCACCTGTCGCCGTGGTCTGCAGAACCATACTCGAGACGGACCTTTGGGTAGAGCCTCGCTTCAGCCTGGCGGCAATATGATCGTCGGGGTCGGTACTGTAGATGGAGTCACGTGTGGATTGTCTGCGCATGAAGTTGGCATCATAGTTGAAGTCGCCGCGTGTGGACTTTCTGCGCATGAAGTCGGTATCATAGTTGAAGTCACCGCGTGTGGACTTTCTGCGCATGGAGTCGGCATCATAGTTGAAGTCGCCGCGTGTGGACTTTCTGCGAATGAGTGCCAGTTCTTCCTCTTCAAGCTGAGCCTGCTCCTCAGCAGTGAGCTCTTCAGTAGCGGCAATGTTCTGGGCGGCGACGAGATTGAAGTAGGCGCCTTTCTTCTCAATGAGATCATCGTGGTTGCCTTGCTCGACGATTTTGCCTTGAGACATGACGACAATATTATGAGCGTCTTTGATAGTGGACAGACGATGGGCAATGGTGATGGTGGTTCGACCGGCAGCGGCCTTTTCAAGGGCCGCCTGAACAACACCTTCCGACTTGGTATCAAGAGCAGAGGTGGCTTCGTCGAGCAGAAGAATCTTGGGATCAGAGACAACGGCACGGGCAATGGCAATGCGCTGCTTCTGGCCACCGGAAAGAAGAAACCCGCGTTCACCAACATTGGTATCGTAGCCCTCGGGGAGAGCAGAAATGAAGTCGTGGGCGTTGGCCATCTTGGCGGCCTCGATAATGAGGTGGCGTCGTCTTTCCTCGGACTCGTGCTCGGCACGCGTTCCAATCAGACCGTGGCCGATATTCTTGTAAATGGTCGTTCCGAAAAGGGTGGGTTCCTGGCTGACGAGGGCCATTTGCTGACGGAGCCACTTGAGATTGAGGGTCGACATGTCTACGCCGTCGAGGTAAAGTGCCCCCTGAACTGGAAGGTAGAAGCGCTCAACAAGGCCAACAATCGTACTCTTTCCAGAGCCAGAAGCGCCGACAAGCGCAGTCGTCTTTCCAGCGGGTATGCTGAGGCTAACGTTGGACATTACACGGACCTCGGGGCGGGAGGGGTAGATGTGAGAAACGTGTTGGAGACGAATGTTGCCCATGAGGTTGTCAATTCTGGCGCCCTCCTCGCTGGAGGGGTCAAGAGGAGAGGCGCGGTCAATAGTGTTGAAGATCTTGGCCGCAGCGGCAACGGCAGTGGTAAAAGCCTGCAGGTTAGGGGCGACGTTGCCGAGCTGGAAGGCACCAATCATGACGGACATCATGATGGTAAGAATCTTATTAAGGGGGACGACGCCTTCAACAATGAACTTGCTGCCCTGCCAGAAAGCGAGACCATAGGTGAGGAAGAGGACGAGCATCATGCCACCGAGCATAATGGCCATGGAGCTCTTGACGCGAAAACCAAAGTACTCGGCCTGGGCGAGGTGCTTGTCATATTTCTTGGCGAGGCGCTCCTGGGTGCCAAAAGCAATGGCATTACGAACGGAGCTGAAAACTTCTTCGGCAATGGTTCCACCCTCGGCGTAAGATTCAAGCGAAGCCTTGTTGTGCTTGAGCATGAAGCTGGAGCCGATGCCCATGACGAGAACAAGGGCAAAAACGGTGGCGGTGAGGATGAGTGTGAGCTTCCAGTAATTGATAAAAGCAATGACGAAAGCGGTAATAAAGGTAGCAAGGGCAGCAATGGTGAGGGAGACCTTTTCGGAGAGACCGTCTTGGATGAGATTGGTATCGGCGGTAATACGGGTGGTGACCTCGCCGGCACCAAGCTTGTCAAAGTAGCCAATGTTTTGTCGCATGCAAGCCTCGAGATAGTGCTCACGAATCTTGGCAGAGATGTGCTCGCCGGTATAGATGAAGCCGACGGTGCAAATGTAAGTAACAATGAATTCGCCGACGCCAAGGTAAACGAAGTAAATGACGAATTTGGTCAACTCGCCGACAAAGTCGTCGTAGCTCATGGCGGTACCAAAAAAGAAATCGCGGAAGACACGCTGGAGGTTTCCAAAAACGACGGTCATGAGAGGAAGAGCAGCGCCCGAGGCAACTGCGCAGATGGCGGAAACGGCAATGATAATCTTGTCGTTGCGGGATGCGTAGCGATAAAGGACGCCAGCGCCCTTGGTGAGGGTAGGGATGTCGACCTGTTTCTTGAGTATGTCGGCGGCGTGGTCTGAGAGATGAGCATAAGGGTCATCGGGACTGGCCGTCTTGGGAGGGGTTGGAAGCCTGATGTCGGCCTTTTCGAGAAATCGTATTTCGGGATCATAGGACTCGCCACGGCTGGAAGCAGGTTTGGGCGCCGTTCTTCGAAGCTCAACGGGCTTTTCCGAGTATTTGCGGGCCATGACGGGCGAGTGCAGAGGCAGGTCAGCCCTGCGAAGCAAGATGAGGAAGCTGAATGCAAGTGCAAGTTGCCAAATCTAGCCGCTGGCGGGCAAAGAAATAGAGCGGGAAGCCCAGCGATGAAGAGGTCGGGGCGCGTAATAAGGGAGCTGGAGCAAACAATGTCGCGAGGGTCAGCTAGTGACGGCGGATGAGGGCAGAAGCGCGGCAGACAAATATGGACGGCAACAATTGGAATGAGACTGACGTAGGGCGGCAACAATGGACAAGTCGCGGGAAGACTGACAGCAGATAGATTGCAGTTGAAGCGAAACGGCGGCTGTGGTAGGCGAATCACAAGAGACAAACGACGTGGGACTGGCACGCAGGGCAGACGAATTGGGCTAGAAATTGATGATGCGCGGCGATTGCCCGTTTAGGGCTTGAGAGGGAGAAATTGCTAAAGCCAGAGAAGTGTGCGACGTAGATAGGCGTGGTGAGACAGGACGAGAGCAAGGGCGTGTTTGTCGGGGCTGTATGGTGTTGCGAGGCAAGGAGAATGGGATTCGGATAGGTGTCGTCGAGGATGGCGAGAATGTCGAGAAAAGAGGAAGAAACAGCCGAGGGAAGAGAACGGATGAGGAGAGGTACAAGTCGGGCTAGAGAAAAGCTTTGATGGAGAGGGTGTGTATGTGTTGATATATCGGGCCGTGCGAGAAGTCGCAGAATAAGCTAGGAGGTGGTGGCGGGTTGCAGAGTCATGGCCGGGCGAGCTTAACGTGCGGACGTGCGTTGGGTCTGAGGTTGTAAGCATGGACAACCCGCGAGCAAGTCTGGGGCCTGACAGACAGGCGTGAGGAAAAGCAAAGGAAGCACTAACTAGTCTTTAATCATGAGGGTAGGATCAGGGAGGAAGTAGTGAGTGGGGTTTGAGATTAGTCGTCTTTTGGGGATGAAGGTATCTGAGGCTATACCGCGTAGAAAGAAATGGCCCAGATGGGATGGACACCGAGAGATGACCAAGATGGGGGGCTGAGGGGTGTTTGCAGAGTTTTGCTGCCTGGTATTGGGGATGCAGAGAAGAAGGATGGATGGAGATGGTGAGATGACAAGAAGACGGTAAAGAAATCGGGGTCGTATGAACGGTATTCGGACGCAGATTACACCCGTGTAGGCCCTACTACTTAGCCCAAGCACGACGGGCCGCCTGGTTTGCTAAAAGTTACCGTTGTCTGGGTATAGGTAATAATAATAAACCTTGGTTACGCGTAATAAAACGAAAAATGGCAAACGGCAAACGGCAAACGGCAAACGGCAACGGTCATTTAATTCCTTTCGGCCACATTTTCCAGGTGCAGCCTTGTCAACTAGTTGCTTTAGCTACCTACCTACCTACCTAGTTAGTCAAACTATCCGTACGGAATATTAATATGTACCAGTATTAGTAGTTCGCTTGTGGGCCAAGAAACCCCGCTGAAATCTGCTCAAGGCCAACACCTCTGGGGTCTCGCGAAAAGACATGTCACCGTGGTGGTCACATGGTGATTCAATCTGTCGACATTTTAATCTCCATTGCTGTCTGGAATGTCTAACGAACATCTCATGACACGCCATGGAGAGACTCTTGAAAACACTCTTCGAAATTCATAGTGGAAGACGGCCCACCGAGTCCGCCACCCAACCGACGCCTCTGGAATCCGTACCCAGCAGCCTGGTAAGCCCACCTCTGCTGGTCGGGGTGCTAATATCCGTCGCCGGGTTTGGGTTTCTTGTCGTTTCTGCTTGCATCAGACGGCTGTGTGCTAGCGTGCAGAGTCAAAACTACGTGGCCGAAATGAAAACCACAAAGTTGATGAAAGAATTGATTGACAACGACAAAAATAGATTGCAGCGTTCTTTATCCAAGGAATAGGCTCCTAGCTTTGCCACGACTGCTGCTGCCTACAGAAACTGCTTCTGCCTGGCCAAGAGGTGAGTCAACACGAAAAAGTCGAGCCAGAATATTGCAGCACCTTTTCTCAGCTGCCTAGGTTCCCATGCCGGCGTCGTTGGCTTGCATGCTGCCCCACGTCATTCACCCCGTCATCAGCCCAACCGCACATGTACACCCAGGTTGCCAGTCAAGAAAAGAAAGAAGCCGGAGCAGTGGTGCAATTATTTCCATACAAATGTCATGAAGATTACGATATCATCGTGTATTTGGACTATTTTAAGATGAAGGAAAAAAACTTACGCCGAATTAGTCATGCACGCACGCACTCGCACGGCACTCGCCCCTTCACACAGACGCACACGCCCAGCCGCAGCCGCACCTGTTTTACGGAGTACTCAGGAAGCGAACACAACCACCCACCAAATCTCCTTTGCAGCACGCTATAAATCCCTCTATTTTTATCGTTTTGCCCAATTATGCAATCGGCACGGCTTTCTATATTGTAATCCATATGTATCTCCAAAATGGCAAAACCTCTTTCTTACCGAACACTAACCTGACATCTAAATCCACACAAACGCCCCAGTTTGCCGGGTTCGGGTCCGTCCAAGTGTCCGAGCCGAACGCACGCCCCCTTATCATTACTTGATTATCAGCCAGCGTCGGGCGGGATGAGCCTTTTCCATCTCGTCATCTTTCGACTTATTCTATCTATTCCTTTGGTGGTAAGGATAATCAAGGTCTCGAGATCTCTTACATCTCATACCTCAAGATATAGCCCTGACGGGCGCATTGTCTGGGCCAGGTATGTACTGCCTAGGTGCTTTTTTGCGCCACAGATACTCAGCCACATCTGCACGTTTTAGTACTAGCCTGAACTGCCTAACAAGGCTAGCATTTCCCGCTCGCTGGTCGGTCAGGAACCCTGCAAGTTGACTTCGAATCTCCTCCCTCATGATATCAGCAAGATGTACCTTCCCTTCGCATCGCTTTTCCATTGAGCCTCGCTTCCAGAATTTTGGCGACAAAATTTTCCATCTCGTTCGTTCCGCCCAGTCGTCTCGGCGCCTCTATTGACGCGCTCCATGCAATCTGCTCATTACAGGGTCTGGGCCTCTTCCCGTACATACATCTGCGCCTTGTTCCCACGTAGCCTCCAGGCGAGCATCTCATGTATTCGCCTCTGCTGCACTTGTACCGCTGCCTCACGTCGCATTACGTCACACATCTCATCAAAGCCAGGTCTTCTCCTGCCGCGTCGTGCATATCGGCGTACGTGTGCTGCGACCCGTCCCATCGGTTCTTTGCATACGAAGTACACGCGTCTCCGACGTGTGCGACTCGTCGCAACCAGGCATCCAGGGACCCAACTCCTCATGTTCAGAGTTGTAACAGCACATCAACATGGCAATGTAGGAGATTGAGTCTGCCCACATCTATCTATCGAGTCATGCACCTGATTTCGCCGATTCGCATATCCACGCCGATGTGGCCCTGGTTCCAACACTGCACTTTAGGGTACCTCAACTTCCACCAATTTGCACATGTCTTTCCACGGTGACATAGCAGTCAGCATGTTTCACCCTGAGAATACGTCGTGTCGGGAATTGCACATGCTCTAGTAATTGTGAAATTATCTCTCGACCACTGTGACCAAATGGGCAGACTAAAACAGTGGTACGTCGGCACGCTGCATCTGTTGGCGAGGTGGCTGAGATTGTACAACGTTTCCCACGTTCGAACTCCCAACAGTCACCTACTCCTGGTACAGTAGCACATGATGGGGCACCGAATCCGCTGACGTATTCATATCCGTGTGCCGTCTCCCAAACATTTGCCAGTGTCTGGCTGTGTGTATTCGCCCGTTGGCACCCGCGCTTACAGCCTTTGTGAAGATTGACAACCAAAAAGAAAAAGCCTGGACTTGCTGCCTGGCCATTGAAAATGTTTTAGCGATATTTCACGTTGACGCAGCGCAGTGATGTTGAAACAAGAACATATTTAGAGGTAAAGTGCTCAAACAAGAAGATTTTATTAAGGACTCAAAATAATCTATAACACGAATGACGATTCATGTATAGCTCGACATGACTAGCGCTCGAATGCAAAGGCTATTTATCTAAGCAAGCAGCTTGTTGATATCATCAGTAATGTCTTCGAAGGGGAAGGCGGTTCTGTTGAGGGAGCCGCCGGGGGCGTTGTCCAGGAACCACTCGGTGACGGCATAGATGCGGTCGACGATCTGGACAGTGGCGACGGCAAAGCCGTTGACGGATCCAAGACGGTTGGGGACGACGCCGACCTTCTCAGCCGTCTCCCAGTTGTCCTCGGAGCGGAGGACAATCGTGCCGAGGGTATTGTCGGAGACGAGGAAGACCTTGTTCTCGTAGATGGAGGGCAGGATGGCGCCGTCGAGGTCGCCGCCGATGGGCTCGGTGCCGCTCTTGAGGGTCACAACGACGGGCTCGCCCTTTTCGGCCGAGGTGTCGAAGCGCAGGATCTGGCCGCGCTCGCCGTCGCTGACGAGGATGTTGCGGCCCTCGTTGAAGGCGGCGATGCCGGTGTAGCCGTGCACCGTCGTGTTCTTGCCGACGTCGACAAACCAGGGCTCAGCCTTTGAGTTGTCGGCGCTGACCTTGATGATGCTGCTGGGGAAGGTGCCAATGACAAAGCTGTTGCCCTCGGGGTCGTGCTCCATGTCCTGGAAGCCGCCGTAGATGCCCTTGGAGATTTCTGTGAGGTTTCTCTTCCACTCGACCTCGCGCTTGGTGAGGTCATACTGGACTAGGAAGTTGGTGCCGGAAATGTCGACGCCAGAGGTGTCAAAGGCGGCGCCGGCGTTGGCGCTGATGGAGAGCTTGTCGTGCTTGACGTCGACCTGGACGCCGGAGACGTGGAACGCGGGGTTGTGGGAGATGTCGGGAAGCTCAATGACCTCAAGAATCTCGTTCTTGGCGGGATCCCAGACGGAGATGACGCTCTCGTACAGGTGGCTGGTGCAGGTGGTGTCAGTTTTAACCGATCAAGCGCTTCGGATCTTGTATTCAACATACCCGACGTAGGCGACGCATCTCTTGGGATCGTAATCGGCGTTCTCGGGGTACAGACCGGGTTGGCGGACGGTGATGTTGCCGCGAGGCGCGGTGCAGGTCTGCTGAGGCTGGGTCTGGGTCTGGGTCGGGGGCTTGCAGGCGGCCAGCGGACCGGCGGCGGCCAGTGGGACCAGAGCGAGCAAGAGGGAAGAAGCAACCATGTTGGGCGATGTGATGAAGGTGAGTTGATCGATTGATTAAGGAGGTTGTAGAAGAACGATGAAATTCCTTGATGCTTTCGATATGGATTTTGGATGAAGAGGGGAGGCAGTCACAGATGTTATATAGAACTGCATCGCTGCGCCGAAAAAAAGCTTAAATTAAATCTACACGGACGATTCGACAAATTAATTATTACCAGACGTCCGCTTGCCTATCCAAGCTCGGAAATTTGGCCCTTGTTCCGTTGACTGCCTTTGGTCTGTGAGGGTTTGGAAGGCGAAGTGGGATGAAAAGTTGGTGTGATGGTTGCTGTTGGCGGGATAGCCGTAGCTACCTTACCTTGGGCGAGTCAAATCGTCATTTATCAGCGCAAGTGGGAATCTCTGATGCAGGCCCCCCCCCCCCCCCTCAAGCGCTCACAAGGGAACGACTCGAGGCGAAATAATAAATAACCAAGAAAGTTGCGGGTTGTTTTCATCCCGCACTAGGCGATTCCCAGCATTGACGAGGAGTCTAACTTAATTCACTGCGAACCGATGCTCGGCAGGATGCGCAGTCAAGCTGTGAAACGCTTGGTTGGATGCAAAGCCACTGAGCCAGTCAGTGGGTTCTACGGAGACTCGGGCAGGATGGCCTTATGTTGCGCGGCATCGTGGCTTGGCGGGTAAGGTAGTTAGTTCTAGATATGGTGTGCCGCAAAAAAAGAAGTTCGTCTCGTCAAATACCGTCGTCGATCAAGCAGTTCGCAGCAAAGAGCCCACCCATAAAGAAAGAGCTCGAATGGGCTACACACACCGATGACGTTGCTCAATTTGTCGTGCAGCTACGAGGCGGGGCGTGAGGAGGTGGTTGTGGTTGTGGTGTGTTGGTTGTTCTTGTTGTTATCCTTGATCCATCATGACGATTGTAACTATTCCCCGACTGGGAAAAGAGAGCACCTTCAAGGGGGGTTTACGGGGCCAGATCGTCATGGACCTGCTCCATCAAAACAATACCCCGAGTGATCTTAATGACCAGGAATATTTTCGACGCATTGATATTGAGGGGGGGTCTCAATACTATTACTTTGAGCCATCCCTGAGGATGCGGCTTTGCCGAGAAGCCTCAAGTATCAGCCGTTTGCAGCTCTGTTTTTTCTTTCTTATTAATTGCGGGTACTCGATAGCCCTGAAAACAACCTTTTTTTCCAGCCCCAAGGTAACCAAGGCTGCGCACTACTAGGTAGGCACTAGGCAACGGGGGGCCCGCCCTGTCACAAATCGACTCAGTTCCTAAAACCCAACATTATTGGATCCAGGAACCTTGAACCAGCCTTCTATATCAATAAACTCGGTCGTCCTTTTACATTGTCAATCTCCAGAAGTCGCGCATTGTGGTTGATAATCGACGACTAGAGATCATTCTACGATGCTACATTGCTCGTCCCGACCACGCTGGGCCGACAGGGCTAGCTACACTGACTGGGTCATTATTTTTCCGACAGGCATGAGGACTCATGAATCTCGGGCGCACTCGAAAGGTAAAAAGGTAAACGTTGCTTGTAACTAATTCAATTTGTCTGGTGGATGCATGGATGCATGCTCCAATATCACATGAACAGCCTCACTCTACCCGTGACGCGTCCAAGACAAATACGCGATTTTTCAGAAAGTGCAACTAATGCTACATCAACACCTCACTCTACCCGTGACGGGTCCAAGACAAATTATCCATTTTCCTCCAAATCGCACAGGCTCACCAAGATCATGATCTTGGCTACTCCGTTCACTTGCCGCACTATCCACCCCACCACGCCTGTTATAGCACTCGACAAACTAATTTGTAGATCGAAATGCACGACTCTTCTACAACAGTCGCATACTCTCTACTCATATATCGCCTTTGCAACGCTGAGCATTAGCGTTTCTTTTTTCAACTCAACCCTGCTGAATGAAGTTGGTGGCTCTTCCAGGTCCATTAACTATGTAATCGCCAGGCGGACATGTTCCATGACCAGTCATGGCTTTTCCACGATGTCAAGGAACCCTGCCATTACCGTAACAATGTAAATAAATATAATTGGCTCCCTTGCCCACCTCTCAGTCATTCCATTCATATATTACAACCTCCTAACCTCCACCTGGCTCCTGTTTGCACTCTTTCTCTCGCTGCCCTTGGCCCACCACAGCAGCTAGTCACGAATCTTCTCATCCAAGTGCCGCTTTGGCCAAACCGGCAAATTGACCCTACACCTACCATCGTCTCTCGCAAGCCTAGCCATGCTGCCAAACGTCCGCATTGTTTCGATGCGCTGAGTATTGCACGCACGCTGTCATCATTGTCGATCGCTGCCCTTTGCTATACCTTTGAGAAAATGGCCATTATTGCCTGTGGAGAAGCCGCAAAAATGAGAAGCGGCGTGGTCGCCCAAGACAGCTCCATTTGCATGGCCTTTTCGTGTCCGTCGTGCTTTGTGTGCAAAGGTTGATTGACCATTTTATTCAGCGACGTCAACGCGCCTGCCACGCGCCACATCCGCCACCAGCCATCTAGTATCTTCTGATGCCAGGTGGCAGGCAGGCAGGCAGGCAGCTGCCCAATTTGGGAGAGGTGGTGCCCACACAAAGGTGAAGGAAGTGGCCAACTTGTCACTTGTCGTACCTAACCCACTTCCTCACCACCTGCAAACTTATATCCAACTTGCTATTGCTGTCTTGCAAAAACTCGGCACCCCCTTTTTATCCCCCCCCCCCCCCCGTTACAAGTAAAATAAATATTTACCCCAAGCACAACCAACAACACAAGAGTCATGCATCTCCCCGGGGCGCTTGTCCTCTCCCTCGGGCTCGCCGCCTCCGCCGTGTCCGCGAAGCGGCAGCAACGGCCCCCGCCAGCCAACGCCGCCGTGCTCCTCTCCTCGGTGCAGTCGCTGACGCTCCGCGGCGGCGGCGCCAAGACGTCGCACCGCCGCGTCCCGGCCGTGCCGCAGCTCCGGTGCGTCTCGCCGCGCGCCCTCTGCAGCCTCCACGCCATTGACGTGATGCGCTGCACCAACCAGGGCTCCTCGTACGGCGACCAAGACGTCGAGTGGAGCTGCGCCGCCTCGCTGCCCGCTGAGCTCAAGCTCGGCGCGACCGACGTCATCTGTGAGGGTTACGCCTCGGCCGACGATCCGTACGTGCTCAAGGGCAGCTGCGGTGTCGAGTACACGCTCGCGCTCACGGAGCTGGGCGAGCGCCGATATCCGGACCTGGCGAGGGGAGGGGATGATCGGTGGTTTGGCGGCGACGCGCAGGGCGGCAACAACGCCTGGGCGGGGCTGTTTTTCCTTGTTTTTGTCGCTGTTCTTGCCTGGATCGTGTATTCGGCTTGCGTAGCCGCCTCGGATAACAACAGAAGACAAGCAAACCCGGCCAGACGATACGGGGGCGGAGGCGGAGGCGGCGGCGATGGAGGTGGTGGTGGCGACGGCGGCGGCGGCGGCGGCGGCGGTGGCTGGCCTTTCCGCAATGATCCCCCGCCACCCTACCCAGGAACAAACAACAACTACAAGTCATCCTCAAATGGCGGCGGCAGTAGCAGCAGCCAGCAACAACAGGGATGGCGGCCTGGTTTCTGGACGGGCCTCGCAAGTGGCGCCGCCGCCAGCTATCTCGCCAGCGGCCGCAACCGCGACAACCGCAACAACTACGGCTACGCACCCTGGGGCTCCAACAACTACGGCTCCGGCTCGCGATGGGGTGGCGGCGATTCATGGGCAGGACCATCGTCGTCGTCGTCGTCTTCGAGCCGCCGCGGCGGAAGCAGCTCCGGCGAAAGGCACGAGAGCACCGGCTTCGGTTCTACGCGACGCAGATGATGACCAGAATGCTTTCCAGTGTGCTATCAGGTTGCTTTTGCTATCTTGGAATGGAACCGAGGAAACAAAAAAAGCGCCCCGAAACTCTTCATTTGTACAATAGCGAAAGGATGTAGCGTTACAAAGGCATCAAAGACGATGATACTAAATGTATATATTTGTTTATCCAAATCAAGCCAAACATGTTTGTTTGTCCGGTGATTGAAGCGCCGAATCCCAGATACCACCCATGGAAAAAGAAAGGCCGTCTTTGCCTTTGTACACCTCGTACACCAAACAGCAATTTTGAACCCAAAATCATTATCCTTTGCCCCTCTCTCGCCTTGTTCCCTTGTACAAAAAGTACACAAATAATATACACCCCATCATTCCCTATCAAGGGAGAGAATAAGCAAAGAAAGACCGAATGCCAAAAACACAATGTACAGAGCAGCAAATTCCAAAAAAAAAAAAAAAGTAACTCCATTCTTTGTTGTTTGCCGTAAAACGCCGTTTCGCAGTGGTAGTCGCGGAAATAAATATCTCAATAGCCGTTACACCTTCTCCTCGGCGCCCCTCCCAAGCATAATCAGTGTTCATCACCGCTAAAGCTGGCCCTTGAAATTCGCCCCTCTCGATCGTCAAGCCCCCCCGTATTCGAAAACAACATTAGTGGTGTACAGGCATAACGTCCATTTTGTCAAAGGCGCGCGAGCAGCTAGGACATTTGCGCATGCGGTTGCTGATGCGGTCGTCCACACACTTGCTGCAAAAGAGATGACCGCAAGTCTTGAGCGCCGTATTCTTAAAGTTGTTTCGGCAAATGCTGCAAAGGGCAAACGTTCGCAGCATCTCCTCTTCTTCCGACGAATTGCTCAAAGCCTTGCTTCTCCAGTTGTCCCGGTCCTTTTGCGCATGCTCAATTCGCACTTTGAGCTTTTCCACCTCGGCTTCTTGCTGGATATTTCTCTCCTTGACAATTGCCGATGCTGAATCTTTCGACTTTACCAAGCTCGTAAGATCGGTAATCTGCTTATTCAAAGACTCGATCCGGCGTGTTCCTTCAAGTGTGGCAGACTCCATCTTCTTATTCTCTGAAACCAGAGTTGCGTTTGTTAGACGCAAATCGCCCATTTGCTTTTCCAAGTTGCCGAGTAATGTGCGGTTCTGCGACTCTAATTCCTTCAATTGAGCAATAATCTCCGCGCTCTTACTGTTTTGATGGCGCAAGGATCGGATTTCATTATTTCGCGTATCGGCATCTTTGCGCGCCGCAAAGTACTTTTGATCCGCTTTGTTTTTTTCGGCAATGAGAAGCTGTATCTTCTCCTCTAGACCGTCAAAGTCCATAACCCTCTTCTGACCCAAATCCCTCATCCTCTTAAACGCCTTCTCTATCGAAGGTAGTTCGTCGTTGATGGCCTGAAAATCCTTTTCCAATTTTTTGTAACTTTGTCGAAGCTCATCCTCAGTCATTGTCGAAATATCTGCTGTTGATTGCTCAGCGTCTGAAGGCTTCAGCCTCGCAATTTCCGACTCCAGAGCGGAGATGCGGTCTTCTTTGGCGGCCACGAGCTCCTTCATGTTCTCAAGTGATTGCCTCTCCTGCTCCATGCTGGCCTTTCGTTGCGTGTTCTCGGCAAGAATCTCATCTCGCGCAGATCGAACACGGGCGAGATCTTGATCTCTTGCAGCAATGTCCGCCTCCAATTCTTGAGTGACTTGGCTGGCATCAGCCTCAAGCTGTGTTCGAAACGTCGTTCGCTCAGACTGTAGCTTTTCGGCCTCTTCTCGAAGCTGCTTATTTGTCGCCTCCAAATTGTTGATACGCTTAATGAGCTCTTCATTTTGACCCTTGAATTGCTTAAAGACGTCCGTCCTGATGAAATCCTCATCTGACCAGGATTCGCGTTTGGCCTTCCATGTCGAGTTCTCGTCTTGCAAGGTTCGTATTTCCCTAAAGAGATTGTCCAATTGTTCTTTCTGCTTGGCAGCGGCGGCAGTGGTTTCCTCATACTTGAGGAGAAGCTCTGCGTTTGTCCCAATTGAAGGTACTGGCTCTTCTGAGCCTTCTTTGGTGGCGGAGGGTGGTCGTGTGGCGTTTGCGAATGCTTGCTGTTCCAACTTCTGCACTTGTGAACTCTTGGCGCGGTCCAGCTTTTTCTCGGCCTTGAAATAACGTAGCGTCGCAGTATTGAGCTGCTCTGATAAGGCATCCTTTTCGCTATTGAGGCGATCCAATCTGAGTAGATATTCCTTTTGAGCGGCGAGAAGCCCCGTGATTTTTCCTTCGAGAGCCGACGTCTCGGGTTTAACTTCCCCTCGAAGCGCGGCTATTCGCTGAAGTAGATTTTCTGTCTTGGTCCCGATGGCCTTTCCCTTGTCCTGCAAATGGCTTTGGAAGTGTTGTAAATCTTTGAAAGAAACGCTGCTTAAAAATGGAGGGCCTGAGAACAATGATTAGTCTCCACGTCAATGTTAGTGGTAACATAATTGGCTTACCCTCGAGTTTCTTGGTCGCAGCAGAAGCGTCGGCTAGCAACTCAATTTCGTCGAGAACCTAACAGCATTGTTAATGTTATGTCATCGAAATCGCACCATTGATCACTTACTTGTTGCCACCAGGCGTCAATTATTCTTATATGATCGTCATGATGTACGGCTCGTTTGTGTACTTCTTCCAATCGCGATTCTGCCGTGGCGGCCCTGCGACTATATTCTTGCATTTGACGGTAAATGGCGCCCTTTGTATATACCTGAGAGAAGGAGATTAGTATTCGAGGAGATGCAATGAGTTCTGCTTTGCCCTTGATGGTATTGCTGCAATCGGGTCGCGGTGCGCGGGGGAAGCAGGCATGGGGCGCGAACGGGCGCGCGTGGCACGCAGGCTAGGCAAACTCGTCGCAAGACAGACCCCAAACGTGTGGAAACGGCAGAAAAAGAAGATTTTGAGTGTCGCTATCCCTTGTAGAATCATTTCTAGGCTGTGCAGAGCGCAAATGCATTGTGTTGGGTCCGCAGAAAGGTGTCGCGCGACACTTACTTCAATCCAGCTCTCCTCCTTCATGTCAGGGGCCTCATCTTTGGTCTTGGATCCATTGACGGCAACCCTCTTACTTGGCGGAGCGAGGTCATCGGCGCTGCCAACGGCAGGCCTCTTCCTGTCCTCCATCTTGACAGTCGTGGAGAGACGAGGCGACGTCGAGGGGGTGGTCACTGCAGGCATCAGAAGAGCGCCAATAGGGGATGCCTTATCGGTCGCGCTGGGGAGCTATAGAGCGAGCACTTGGGATAAAGATGCGATACGCAACCAAGTCTCGTTCCGTAGCCGGCCGTGCAGGCGATCATCCACCGAATCGTGGAGGCGTAGATGGTGGTGAGGCGAAGGTGATGACAGCCAGGAGTTTGAAATTTCGAAGTTGGCTGGCAAATCAAAGATGCACCGCTGACCCACTGCTGCAGTTGGGAGGCGCACTAGCCACATTTAAGCGTGGCTTCTTATCGCCTCCCTGCTCCGGCTAAATATCGTGTAAACTTTAGTATCATTGAACGGCGAAGCCGCCAAGAATTTTGAGTGAATGGCATCTGAAATTCGTCGAAAGGCGAACCAGCCAGAGCCCGCTCGACATGTAACACGAGACCTTTCCCTTTGAAACGACAAATTCAATAGCGCACTTTCCATCACTCCGTTACAATGAGTTCCATGTTCAAGAAAAAGGGCGCGCCCGCCTTCAAGCCCAAAATTCCGTCGGCCAGAGCACGTCCAGCTGCGCCCGCGCCTGCGCCAGCACCTACACCGGTCGTGAAACCTATCGAAGCCCCGGTAGCAATCGACGACGTTGTCGCGGCAAAGCCCATCGAGGCCTCAGAGGTCCAGCAGCCCTCGAAATCGGTTCCCGAAACCCAGACTCCTGATGAACCAGCTGCGCCTGAACAACCAAGACGGCGACGCCGGTCAAGCGCTGGCTCGACTTCTACGGCCGTACAAGACGCAGTCACGTATAAAGCATTGACCGAGATTGCGAGAAGCGACGCCGAGGCCACCTCAAAAGACACTGCGGTAGAAGCCCCCAGCCAGGTTGTGCAGGAAGTCGACAGTGTACCGACCACGCGGCGTCAAACTAGACAAAGACGAGCATCGCAAGCCGCACGGCCGAAGCCGACAGTCGAGACACAACAGCTCGAAACACCACCACCGACAGATCAACAGGTATCCGCGCCAGCCTCCTCGGAACCATCATCAGAGACACAAACAGAGTCGCAAGCCGAAGCTCCCGCCACCGCTGCACCCAAGACCACGAGGTCAAGACGTCGAGCAGCCGCAGCTACCGAGGCGACTGGCGAAGACGGCGAGGCAGCCATTGCGCCACCGAGAAAACGAACGAGAAAGAATGCTGCCACTGCCGCCGACGGTGAAGCAACGCCCGCCGCTCCGAAAACAAGGAAACGAAGCGCGGCTGCAGCACCGGGCGAAAAGGCAGCGCCGCGCCCGCGTCGGGCTCGGTCAAGCACACCTGACGACTCGGAGACTAGAATGGTTGACTTGCAGACGCTGAAAATGTCGGATCTCACCCGCGACTTGCACATTGGCAAAAAGTTTAGCCGGCACGACGAACTCCGCGAGCGCGAGCGCAAAGCCCGCGTGCAAGCCAAACTCAACAAGACGGGTCTGACTCCCAGCGGCGACGTCTCGCGGTCCGAAACGCCCCTCGCCGAGCCGTCGCCCGGCGTCAAGGACGGAACGCCCTCTGGTGGCGCGACGCCCGGGGACGCCTCGGGGGCACCCAACGGGGGCGGAGGGGGCGGCGGCGGGCCCGCACCCGCTGGTCCGCAGTTCCGCATCGTCGACGGCCAGATTGTCGTGGACCAGAGCTCGCTGGTCATGGACCGGCACGCGCGCGCAGCCGCGGCGCACGCGGGCGAGGACATGGAGACGATTGAAGAAAACGACTTTACGCGGCTCATCACCTCTTCTTCCTTCATGACCACGTCCAAGCTGCGCGGGCCCAACATCTGGACCGACGACGAGACGGAGCTCTTTTACCGCGGCCTCTTGATGTTTGGCACCGAATTCCAAATGATTTCGCACATGTTCCCGGGCAAGCAGCGCCGCCACGTGAAATTAAAGTTTAACCGCGAGGAGCGCTGCAACCCGGCGCGCATCGACGCCGCGCTCGTCGGCGAAAAGACAACCAAGATGGACATTGAAGAGTACAAGACGCTCACGGGCGCCAGCTTTGAGCCCGTAGAGAGCATCATGGCGGAGCAGCGCAAGATTGAAGAAGGGTACGAGGCGGAGCGGAAGCGCATCGCGGACGAGCAGGATGAGCTGATGCGGAAGAAGCGTGAAGAGCTCTTTGCGGATGATGATGCTGCAGCCAAGAAGAAGGGCAAGAAGAAGGGAAAGCAAAAGGTGGCGTACGGCCTCAATGGCGAGCCCATTGTTAATGACGCGTAAAGAAAAAAACACACGCACGCACACACACACACACACACATTCACTCGCGGCCTGGATTTCGCCATGGTGGTGGTTCTCGATGTTTACTCGGGTTTGGGTCAAATGACAGCGGATTGGGTTGGATGAGTACGAATTGCATAGGATTCGGCGTAGAAGGATGGCTTGCTCCTTTTGGTTCAAGAAGCAGGTCTTGGTCATGTTTATTGTTTTTTTTTGCAGCGGTCTTGCTACCTCGTGCAACTTGCTTGTATTGGAATTGATACCCTGCTTAGGCTTTTTATTGGGGTTTTACTTTTTTTTTGTTTTTGAAAGGGAGACATGATGATGTGATGATGCCGCTCCGAAAATTACGCTCTGGAAAAAAAGGAATACGCACATGTACCACAGCTCCCGATTACTCGTTGTGCTGCAACAAGTCCAGAAAAAAAAGAAACCGTCACACGAATTAATTCCAGTCATGTTAAACACATGTTCCTTTTCTCCCCCTTTCCCCAAACTCTAGTCTCGTCATTTAAAGAGCAAGATTGATGAAGAAAACCAACACAAGCAATTGATATCGATTTCTTTCGTCAAGTGTTAAAAAGATTTCTTTCTCATTATCGTAAACTAATCCCACATATCCCCTGTATGACAACTCCTCTATTGGCTCGCAGGCGGCTGCTCGTCCTCGGGCTGGTCGAATAAAAAGTTGGCTGCGAGTTCCTCGTTCTTGTCGCAAGCAAAGTAGGCCTGGATAGCCTGATCTCTGTCGAAGCCAAGGCGGCACAGCTACACAGATGGTTAGCCTTTTTCGAGTGAAAAGATAAAAAAAGATGACAATTCAACATACGCGCTCAATGGCGTCGCGCTCCTCCTCAGTGACAGAAATGGCCTGGGCGCCGGGAGGCAGAGGAACGTCGTCTTCGGCATCCTCGCCGAGCAGCTGGAGGAAAGCGTCGGGGTTGGAGGCGATGAGCTGGGCGAGCTGAGGGTTGCCAGCACCGAGCTGTTGCAAGATGGGCTCCAGCATCTGGGGCTGCTGTTGTACGACTTGGCGGAGCTGTTGGAACTGAGGGTTCGTACGTAGGAAATCCAGGTTGCCCAAGTCGGCCGCGGCAGCAGCAGCGTCACCACTGCCGCCGCGCGATCCGCCCGAGCCACCGTGCTGGGCGGCGAGATCAAACAGGTTGACGCTTCCGCCCTCCTCATCGCCGCCGGTCTGTGTCGTCTGAGGGGCGGCTGGGGCAGCAGGAGCGGCGGCGGCGGCCTGACGAGCCTGCTGCTCCTGCTGAATGTTTTCGGGAATGCCCTGGTCTATGTGTCAGTCGCGGCGCAGCATCTTGGGGAGGCTAAAGTCGCGCTTACGGTTAGGAGGTACTCGACGGCTCTATCGGGGTTGTTAAAGGCAGCACGCATGGCAGCCTCAATCTGACTTCTCTCAAAGCCCATGGCCTCCATGCTCGTAATGGCAGCGGCGCGCTCGGTGCCCATGGTGAGGCCGGCCGAGTCGCCGCCAGCAGGAGCCGTGGCATCGGTGCTGCGGTTGGGAGTCGGGGTGGCGGGGATGTTGGCGGTTAGGCTCGCAGACGACTGGTTGGGAGCAGCTGGGGCGGCGGGAGTGCCTTGGGCAGGCTGAGCTGGCGTCGCAGGAGGAGCGGCGGCCGAGGGAGTAGCCGCGGCTGGCTTTTCCTTGGGCTAGACAAGGAGACGAATTAGAAGGTTGCGTAGGTAGTAGGAGCAGTTGCAGTTGGAGAAGGTGTCACCTTGTTCACCATGCAGACAACGAAGCCCTTTTCCTCAATGTTGTAAGAAGCGACTGTCTCCTCATCCTTTAAAATCTTGCCTAAAAAGTTGGTCAGGAATGGCGGGGCAGTTGGCGCGGGGTTCTGTTCGTCCGCACCTGAGTAGATGAGCTTTTGGTGCTTGGGATCCCATCCCTTTTCGGTAGAAATGCGTTCCTTGACGGCCGAGATCTATGTTGAAGGATGTTTAGCATTGCAGCAGTAGATGGGCCGGCAGTCGGGCAGCGAGGAGACGGCGAGAAGGAGCGCGGCTCGGGGCGTGGCAGCTTACCAGGTCGGTGGGCTCGACTTCGAGGGTGAATTTCTGCTGCTTGAGATCCTGCGCAAGACGGTGGTCAGCTTATGGAGGTGCGCGGCATGTCGATGGGGGCCCGGCGGCTGGGTAGCCATAGCAGGAGAATGGCTGTTATCGCCCAGCCGCCGATGCTCAAGGTGGCAAAACATACTCTGAAGGTGACCTTCATGGCGGGCGGTTATGGAGGCAGCTGGACGGCTGCGGCGGGGAAGAAGAAAGCACACGAGTGTGAGGATTAGCAGGGCGTGGTGAGGATTCCGGAGGAAGAGGTTGCGAGGGATAGCGGTGCGAGGAAGAGACTGCGTGGTTGATTGAGTATGCAGAAGAGAGGTTCTGATGGGTTGGCGTTTGATGGTGGTGTAATATAGCCTGGCGGCGTTTTTTTGATGTGGAGGCGTTCGATTTGACTTGTTGCTTTGGGTGGTGGGTGCTTTGGGTGGTGCTTTGGGTGGTGCTTGGGGTGCTTGGGTGCTTGCTTGAATGCCGTTGGCCTGCAGCCTCTTGTGCGGTGGGGAACCCTGGCTCAGCCAAATCATGACACAATTGCCCATTCTTGCCCGTCATCTGGGAATTACTTTTATGTTTGGAATTGATCACTTGCGGCACTAGGATACTGTACTTTTCACTTGGTGAGATCATCTCTGGGCGCCAAAATGTGATTCACTGCGGGGGGGTGAACCGCCATGTGCGTTCTTCCTGTGGTTGGTCACGGCCAGGCACCCGCAGACTGACGAAGTCGTTGCACACGCTGAGAGCTCTAGTGGGGCAGCTTTCTACAACTATGGCGTCACAATGCTTACCTACCTATATAGGTACCTACGCGCCTGTCAGACTAGGTAGTTACAAGCCGAATTACATTGTTATCTTGTCCAACGACTTCAACATGTACAACATCTTGTAGAAAAGAATCATTTATATATATATGTGTGTGTGTTTATATATCACCCAAAAATAATTAGCAAAATTCCCAGTACGCCAAACCTAACCCTAGAATTAAAGTAAGCCTCCCTCCCCTTCAACGCCTTGCTCGTCCAAATCGTGTGCGCATCGGCTCATAAACTCCTAAACCATACAAGTACACCTCAGATTGAGAATGTTACATCTGAACGATTATAAAACAAACTAAACATTAGGAAAAAAAAAAAAAAGTCCAACTCGCGTGCAAAGACGAAGCAAAAGAAAACAAAACGCTCTCATCTCAAACGTCAGGCTCACTAGTCCAAGGCGCAGGACTTCGTAGACTACTGCTACTGCGATTCGCCGACTTGCGCGGTATCGGCGGCACTTTGCTGTTCAATACCCATTCGGGTACAGGAGGTGTCATTTTCCTTTCCTGCTGGCGCACCTCTTCCTTGCTGAGCATCCTTTGTCCATCCACGTCAGCGTCGGCGTACTGAGCAAAGGGGCTGCGTGACATGGCCGGCAAGCTCCCGCTGCGGACACGAGGAATAATGTGTCTCGTCGAATCATGCGGCAAGATTATTTGGCCAGCGTCTGGTGCGGCCGTGACGCTTGTGCCTGGTGACAGGATAGGCGGGGTGCTTGGAGAGTCTGATCTGAAGAGCGGATGAATGTGCAGCTCGTTGGCGCTGGCCGGAGCTCTTCCCCGTAGGGCCGGACGCCCAGTCGCCGGGCTGTGGCTTCGGCTACGCTTGGGTACTGGTCTTGGCGGCGCAAAGTAGAGTATGTTTTCGGGACTGATGCTGGCTCGAGGGCTGCCGGGGATGGTTTCCAGAGTGTAGGTGCGGCTGATGGGTGAGGTGCAGACTTCCATGACGGCCTGGCGATTGCGCACATCAACTGATGAAGTGTCCCAGGTATCAAAGCTTTCTTGGGTAGCGTTCGGGTTCGCACTAATGTCAGTGCTTATACTGTGCGTTCCTATACTGTGCATGCTGTCCTTTGCGTGCAGCAGTCTTGTCCGCGAAGAGGTATGACGGACGGCTGGCGGAAAGGCAAGATGGAGAGGGTTAGCCTGCACAAACTTGTTGCGCAACGAGGGCGGTGTGTCTTTCAAGGCAAAAGACTCCTTGGACTCTTCTGAATCGCTTGTTCTTGGTAGCGTCTGGCTATAGCGTATGGACTTGACGTAGGCGGTTGGTGACCACGACGAAACCTCCCTTGCTGCAAAGAGCTGGCGCGCACGAGACTTTGTTTGGTGGGATTGCGCAAAGTGAATGACCATGAAGGCAATCTGAGTGGTAACGGCTAGGGCCAGCATGACCGAAGCAATGATCAAGTTTGATGAGCGGGTAGACCAAACTTGGTCGACGCGGCTGGTCGACGCTCCAATCCAGGCCAGAGTAAGAGAAGCTGTGATGAGCGAGATGAGGCTCGCCAATACTCCGAAACCCAAAGCTACACCGGTGTAAGGCCGTGAGAGGTCGCGTATTTTGACCAGCGCATGTGCCGAGACGAACCAAGACAGCACAATCAGAAGAGTGCCCTGAAGCGCGGCGCCGGCTATGGCGGTAGCCCTGATGGAAGGGAGAGTTGATGCATTCGAAGCAAGCATGGCAAGGGACGCCATTGCGCCAGCGGTGGTGCAAATGGCCACCCCGGCGAGGATGGCAAGAGCTATTCGAGCCATGGTAACGCCGGGCTTTGTTGCAAGACAAGAGAAAGAAGACGTTAGGGGCAAAGAATCGAGGCGACTATTGATGAAACGGGTTCCTCACGGCAGGAGAGTGCCGTGAGATATAGAACCCCCGTGGACAAGAAGTCGAAAAGGGCTATTTTAGTCTTGTCCGATGCGAGAAATATATGCGACACGCGCAAGGTCCCTTAATATCGTGGTCGAAATGTTTGCTGTTTCTTGTGGTGGTGCGGAGTGGACCGGGCGTGTAAGTGGTGAGCCGCAGCTTTACGAGATTCGGGTAGCTGCAGAAGGTTGCGCAAACAAAGCGGCGCAAGAAGACGTCCAAGTAGCTTCGGTAGATTCGAAAGAAAGAGGGGGAAAAAAAAGGTCGAGGATCTGTTCGCTTTGGTGTTTTGATTGTGGTAGATGGGCACAGAATGAGGAGGTGGATAGAGACGGTGCAGATGTTGGTTCTAGTTACTTAGTAGCGAGTAACAGTGACAGCAGGCGGGGGTGGCGTCCGACGTCTCAACAGCAACGTCTCCAGCAAAAAGGTTCAATGCAAAATCGATTCAACCGTCTCTGGTCTGGTGAGGAATAAACAATTGATGGCCTCTTGTATAATTGGAATGCAGAGTTGGCTGTCGACTGAGGCTAGTGTCTCGCTGTCGCACGATTCTGTTCTGTGCTGTGGAATGGATTTTCCAACTTGTTCAATGGCGGCGAAGCGGAAGCGAACATACGAGTTTGAGATGACAAATCTAAACTTTTGGAAAAATGATGACGGGAAAATGCACAATGCCAGAAAGAAGAATGAAAAGGGGCAAGGCTGTCAAAGGGCAGATTTACATGGCGGGCGTGATGAGGGGAAAAGAGAGGCCTTAAGTCTAAATCGAGGAGGGCAGTGAAAAACGCGTCTCGGAAACCCGGAGCTTGGAAGGAAAGAGAAGAAAGGAAAAAAAAAAGAAAAAAGAACAAAAAAAAAAAAAAAAAAAAAAAAAAAAGGTACGTGCTTGGGATGAACCCACATGCAAGTTGGATAGAAAGAAAAGGCAGCAAGTGAGTGGCAGTGGTAGGGCAAAAAGATTGTTTGGTGGTGTGGTGCTCTGCGCTCTGTTTCGTCCTTGCATGATACAAGCAATCATGTCATGGGTGGGGGAGCGCGTGCAACAAGAGCTGGACAACTAGGCAATCGTTGCATCAACTTGAGCGGGCCTCTCCATTGAATCAGATGCAAGGAAAGGATCTGTCAATTGTGTGTATAGTGTGTGTATAGTGTGTGTGTGTGTGTGTTGTGTGTATGTTTTGCTTGGCTTTGTTCCGGCCGTGCTGTCTCATTGTAATCACGGCTTGCTTGTGGAGTAGAGAGACCCAGCGATCCCGATGGCTCAAGGTCAGTCACTTGCTTGCTTGTCACCTTGTGCAGCAGCGTGCAGCGACAGGGCAGTTGCGATCCAGAGCCAAGCTGCATTCCACTGCATCTCGGTCCAATGCCACCGGATCTGTCACTTTGACAGCATATCTATCCGTAGCCTTGCAGCAAAGCCCCAAGTCCAGCTTGCATTGTCGAGATGGTGGCCCTTGGTCCGTGGCCGTTTCAACGCCAAAAAGTTTCTCTGATACAAAGGTGGACCTGCGCTATAATCGTTTTGCGGGCTAGATGAACATTGCAACTCCTCGAGTCAATACATAACCGGATTGCCACCATTATGCCGGTTGGGTCTGTTTGTTTAGTTGGAATTATGCTGACGTCGAGGTTGAAGGGCCAACAGCAGCCAAACTTGCATGCTGTCATTGTTGATGTCCCAGACAAAAATCTCAGTCATGATTCTAACCATCCAATCAAAACAACTTTTTCTTTTGAGACTCGATGGTTTCCGAGGTTGCCCCGCAAGGCCAGTTTATTTAGTTAGCGAGCAATTTCGCTTTTGCAACCCACCATCCATCTCCATAGCTCAGGTAGGCAGTGATTCGCGACGCGGGGAAAGTTTATTTTTCTCGACGCGTCGTCAACGCGACTCGACCAACCAACTGTGTTATCCGTTGTTGTTTACATTGCCACCATGTGCTCGCTGGTTTTTTGTAAAGTAAACAAATCATGGCTCAAGTCATGTCTGATGGCATTCAGAGACCATGTAAGGGATGGAGACGGCAGGCAGGCCTGGCAGATGGTGTTGAAAGAGAGTCATGGTAATTACTTGTAGGTTTTATACTCTTTTCGCAAATCAACAATCTATTCGCTACTTGGTCCAGCGCCCAGACTCCACATGATATTCGTGTTATGAACTTTGTGAAGACGGACGCATAAAAAACGTGCTCCCACTTATTTCCGAGCCTCCGGCAAACTAACGTTAGTTATCATAATTATTATGTACAATATATGCTTTGATTAAAGGACTAGAAATACCTCATATTTTCATCTAGACACTTGCAGAGGCCATCTGATTCCAACTCTATTCTGGCCGATACGTCCACCATTTGTTAAAGTGTTTTTTTTTAGGGCGAACCTTGATGACATGGCCCTAACATAACATGGGTGTTAATGGAAAACGGTGCCTAGGGGCTCGTAAGGAGAAAAAAAAATCTCGCCCGCGTAAGTAATTCTATTAACTAGCTAGTCCCTTTTACTTTACCATCATCAACGTTCAATTGCTATTTCAACTCTACATTACTGAGCTGCATCGCCCGTGATTCTGTTGGCAAATAATCGAACCGTCAAAAACGGAGGCAGTGGTTCCCAACGCGCGGCCCGTTATATATTACCCCAGCAGGCTATAGTAATTACATCATCTTGAGAGACCTGCCTGCGTTCACGGTTCTATGCCTATGCAGTGAGCAAACCTGTGATTTTCTTCACCTTTTTTTTTTTCCCCTTTTTCGGAGGGGTCCAATGCCTTTACCATGTTCGCTGTTGTTGTTTATATTACTCTGACATGACGACGTTTCACCTCTTCTCAACTTTTGATTCGAGTGCGTCATCCAAATCTCTCATCATGTCTTACAATCGTATTGCCGTCTACGGCCATCGCGGCCGCTTCAGTTCCAAGATTCTCTCCGCGCTCATCGCTTCCGGTGCACCAATCACGGTTCTCCATCGTCCCGGTTCGGATGTGTCCAGTTTGCCATCACATGTTCCAAAAATTGAAGTGAATGTCCTCGACGAAGATGCTTTGGTCGCGGCGTTGCAGGACATTGACATTGTACTGTAAGACCGACCAAAAGAAAAAAAAAAGAGAAATTATAAAATCTCCCATTTCTCATCAGTTTTTCTCTGCTAGGTCTCTGGTTGGAGACGAAGGCATCGACCGCGAGCTAGGCCTTGTCCGAGCTATTCCTCGGACTGGGGTCAAGTTGTTTGTGCCCTCTGACTTGGGTCTTCAATACGACCAAGAAGCATTGGCAATTCCCATCCTTCAGAAGAAAGCAAATGTGCTAGAGGCCGCCAGGCAAGCGAATATCCCATTCACGGTAATTCTCATTGCAAATTTTGCAGAATTCACTCTCGGTTCCATGTGAGTTTACCTTGCGCCACCTGCGCCCGAGTTTTGTTCTTTGACTGACAAGTTTTGCGAACCTTGTTAGCGTAATGGGAGTAGACGTCGAGGGAAATCGGCTGCTTTATACGGGCAATGCGGCCACAGAAAAAGCGAGCATGTGGTAAGTACCCCCCCAAAAAAATCTCAATGACAATTATTGCGAAAATAGCGAATACACGGCTCACCTCACACACAATGCGAGCAGCACCGTCAACTATGTTGCCGCTGCCTACGTCTCAATCTTTACTACAAACCCCGTCTCCGAAATCAGCAACCGGGCCATTGGTCTTGTCGAGCTCGCTCCCACAGGCCAGGAGATTGCTGCAGCGCTCGAAAAGAGGCACGGCCGGAAGCCCGACATCTTCACACAGAGCACCGAGCAGGTCACGGCAGAATTTCTGGCTCGCCTCGATTCCGACCTTTCCGCCCTCGCTCCGGCGTGGTACTGGCGCAAGCTTTGGGGTACGGGCGATCTGACGAGACTGCTTGGCTCCGATATTTGGCATGTTCCTAATGTCCGCAAGGCTACCTTGGACGACCTCATTGTCAAAGGAGAGGTGGGCACTTACCGGGATCTGAGTCAGGTTCTGCCAATTCTTGAAGAAGCCATGTTTAAGTAAGCTCGCATGTGTTGGACTGTAGCCTTTCATCGAGCATAAATTAGGATAGTAGACTTTTTATTCTTGATATTATCTAGGCCAGTACTAAGATACCAGCCTATATAAAGCTATTTCCGAGATCATCTTGAAGCAATTTCTTTTTGAAAAATACGCAAACCTAAAAGTTTTAGTAATCCCAGTCTCTCACTATGCTAGTAGCTATAGATGTTAGATCTAAACCGGGAGAGCGAAACCAGACTACATGTTGAATGTGAAAATATGCACGACAACGGGAACATGAACCCTTCCTTCCGGCCCATTTCCCTCTGATAGTTGACACAACGCTCCATATCAAAGTTCGGATAGAACGCTTGGGGAAAAGGATCCTTTGATCATCCTCAGCTAAACAGGCTGACTTGTTAGAAGTAATCAAAGTAGTCTCGGGCAAAAATTGACAGCTCAGTGTGCGGGCGCCAACGACATTGTCTCCATACACTTGATAGTTGCATCCCGAGTATCAGTCAGTCCCTCGAACAAGCACTGCGCATACATGTTCAAGCAGTCGTCTTCATCCTTGCCATATTTCACTTTGCCGTCCGGGCCTTTGGCGCAAAGCTCAGCCATTGACGGAGGGGTTTGCTCAACTGGTGTTTTCAAAGAGCTAAGAGGAAACTTGCCATCCCAACCGACGGCGGCGCCATTCTTTTGCATAAACTCAATGGCGTATTCCTCTAGTGTCTTGTTGCTGTACTTTGCCAAGTTGGCAGTGTCTCCAGCAAGCTGCGGCTGTCCGGGGCTTGCGGTCAGCGAGTCGTATTTGTGGTCATAGTCAGGATTGACGGTCCAGTTCTTTCCAGGATACTTGGCCGAGAACTTTTCAAAATCGTGAAATTCCCAAACATGCGCTCTCGTCAACTCTTCTTTCAGGTCGCTCTTCGACATGGGCATCCACGCCTCAATCTGGTCGTAGCGAATGCCGCCCAGGGCTGAAAATTCTTCTTCGGACCTGAAATGGAGCCTGAATCCCGAGCCATTCATGTCAATCATGTTTGGCGTAGGATGAATCTTGTAGATCCAGCCTGCATCCCGGTCTCTCACGCTGTAGCCAAGAGCTACGCCGAACGATCTCGTCGTGGAAGAATATGCAGTACGACTGCGTCCCCAATGATGTGACTCCAGGCCAAAAGTTTCATTCGTCAGTGGTCCTCCCTCTTGCCGAGGGACGAAACCTCCACGCGCCTTGACTTCCTCGGGGGAGCTGCCACTGCCCCGATAGAGTACGCTCGGAAGCGGGAGTGCCTCTTGTCGCTTTTGTAAAGAGGTGTAGTACTCTAGCCCAGAAAGATCACCGTCGGGTATATCAAACCGAAATGGCCTTGTTTCAGTTTCTGCCTCGAGCGCCAAGTTGTTGTTTGGTACCACAGCACCGTGAGTTGGAATGATGGCACAAGCAAGTGCCGCCGCAGCCCAAGACCATGCTTTGACCATATTGTCTGGTTGTTTCAACAAAGATCAGGAGTGACTGTATTTTATAGAATAGAACGTATGAAAATTGAAATACTGTAGGAAGTTATTGTGGCTGTTTCAATTTCGATGAGGAAATGGAAACTCGAGAGACTTTATATCAAGCATCTTTAGATTCCCATCATCAATATGCACTCTAGAATATAATAGCACATGAAGCTTAATAAACAAGCAATACCCATCTGGGAAATGAAAGGATACTACTCCATATTCCTTCGGCAATGGAGGAGGAGTTCGGGGGGGTTTTTTACGTATCTCCCATGAGATATGCGAAGCGGCCCGACTCAATAGCGGACCGACTCTCCAGGGGAGGTACTTAGCCTTTGCAGCGTTTTGCGCTCGATGCTTTGTACCTGCCAGCGCATAGTCTTACGCGACAGTTAGCGCACTCAGGCTACTGCAGCTATAATCGAAGTCGAAAACGAAAAATTTTAAAATATTTATAACTGCCCTTCTTTGTTGAGAAAGTAGGTAAAGGCATTTTTTAAAAGTATTTTAGCTTAAAATAGTGCTGTGAGAGGCTTTTCACCTCCTCTGGCGCGTTGCGTTGACGATAGCGCCAGTAGGTATAAAGGCCGAAAGGCTATATAGTATAAGACGCTGTAAAAGCTAAGCACCTTTCTAGTAAAGTGAATCGGTCCGCTCAACATATGTCCCACGACCTATATCGTCTGAGTGGATCTAGAGGCAGCTGAAGGCTCTGGAAGAGGATCTGTAGGTCGATTCGTGGCCTCTCTTGCCTCTGTAGCCGTCAATGACGGGACGGTATCAATGGCATGCCACGGTAGCCGCCTTGTAGCCTCCTCGAGCTGAAGAAAAAGGGTAATTGCATTAAAGAGGGTAGATAACTTGTCGTCAGATTGGCTTATATCTTCTTTCTAGAAAGAAAACAAACTAGAACAGCGACCAATTGATGTCAAAGGGAACACGCGTTATTGAGCAAGGTCCTCGTTAACAGAGATAATCTCAATAGGACAAATCCTTACGAATAATTGTTATGCTATTTTCCTTCTTTATACTGGGGACAGACACTTGCCGAAAGTTACGACCCGCGGCTGTACCTTGAACTGTTCATATAGACATGACTCTTAACCTTATTGTTCAATATCTAGTATGAATAAACCAAAGGTAAAGTATAGCCTGTGAAGATTGTGGAAGCTGACGCTCGAATATGAACTCTGATGCACGATCAAGACGAGGTTGGTGTCAAGGATTACTTTTCCATTGACGATTAGGCGCCAGATTCGGGCAGAGCAAGGTGCTATGCAGGCTCAACACCGATTCGACGCTTTTGTGTCAAGTCGTGGCAGCTAATACGAATACATGACAAAGGTCTCTAGATATGCAAAAACTTGCACCATGATGGCGTGAATTTCATTCGCATCAGAAGCCAGCTCCATTCGGTGATCCCGCATTGCTCGTGCATCTGAGATGCTGGAATTTCCTGTACTTCTTCGATTGTTCTTCTAGTTTGCTAGGAACTCTGCTCCGAACGCTCAGTGCCTCTCAGTCGAAGCTGTATAAACCCGATTAATAATACACTAATTGCATTGCTCTTTACCTGTAGAGCTGTACCTCGATAGTGGTCATGAATGCTATTGTACTTGACGTAATGATGGCAACATATTGCCACGCGACTCGTGCAAGTAATCTGTCGAAACCCCTATCTTGATGACAGCCAAGCAGGAGTGGCAGGCTAGCAAATCTGATGGCCTGGCAACAATCCAGCGCCTTACCGGAGGAAAGGTTCCGAACTCCGCTTACATAAATAATCGCTGCGCTGTCCGTTCGGTCCTGTCGGCCAACTACCGTTGATAAGTCGGCCCGACGATAGCGTCGGTACCGCCAAAGCCGTCAGTACCGACAAAGCCGTCAGTACCGTCAAAGCCGTCAGTACCGCCAAGTACGTCGTCAGACCGGCTACTTAGCTAATGAGGACGGAAAATGGTCGAGGGGCTACACAGATGCTAAGAAATGAAGGACGTATATAAGACTAGCGGCTGCCTAAATCGCATAACAGGGGTTTCGTGTCGTCTTATTCAGCCATTACTGCGTACGGTCACCCTATGAGTCCGTTCTAAGCTCCTAACAAAGCCCAACAAGGCGGCGCCATTGCTAGAGATTATGTGTCCGAGGCGGTAGTGAGAGTTGCAAGAGCAAAGTTTCTCGATTGTGTGGTGTAAGCCACATTCACACGTTAGTTACTAACGTAGCATGTGTATGTATGTGCAAAAGGCCCCGATAGCCGTACTATCCGATCGCCAATATCTTTAGCTCATCATGGCACAGATACAGATTGCTTCGTGGCTCACGTTCTCAGCAGGCACTTTCCAAAATGAGGCGCGCATTGCATCCTGACGAGCTCTAACGGATGGACAGCGCAGGACACTTTTTTAACTTGCTTGCAGGATTCAACCGCAAGTTCAATAATAAGGTAATATAATATTATCATAGTAAAGAGTAGCTACGACCAGATTAAATTAAACGTAAAGTGATCTTCTATTATTAAATGATCATTTACAATTCATCTTGAGATGGAGAACTGCCACGATTTGAAGTCTCGTCCATGCGAACTAGACAAGACTATTAATTAGTTAAACTCTCCTAACAGTTCTGCCGTCAAGGTCTGGCGTGCAGCGGTTAGCGTTGCTCTTCACAACTAGTGATTTGGATCCCGGCACTAGGTAGATTCTGTTCACATCATTTCTCCACCACTACGCATGCAGTGCCCTGCATTGGGCGGCGGCTGCAAAGCCTTAATTTAGGGCACCCGATCTGGAGAGTTCCCGCATTGACATCATGGACCCTCCTCCAAGCAGCGGCTACTGAGACAAAGTGCCGTTTGCGAACATTGTCTTGACCAACCCAACTCTTTCACCAACCACCGACACTGAATATTCCAGTTTCGAATCAGGAAACATGACAAAGCCCAGAGTCATTTATTGGTTCCGCACAGACTTGCGGTTGCATGATTCTCCAGCTCTCAAGGCTGCTCTGGACCTCGACCCTGAGATACTATGGCCGATCTTCACCTGGGATCCGCACTACGTATATCGGGTGCGAGGCGGACTCAACAGATGGCAATTTCTGTGAGTAGACTATTCAAACAGAGATTGCCTCTATAGGGGACTGTATTGACTAGTCATTTTTTTAACCAAAAAATTCAGCCTCGACTGTCAAAATGATCTATCCGCGTCCATCACCAAGCTCAACTCCAAATCCAAGCTCTTTTTGCTGCGCGAAGCCCCACAGACAGTCTTGCCCAAAATCTTCAAGGCATGGGGTGTAACTCACCTGGTGTTTGAAAAGGATACCGATAGTTATCCCCGCGAGAGAGATGCTGCGGTCGAAGCCGCAGCCAAAACGGCGGGCGTCAAGGTCGTCACTCGCTCTGGCCGGACACTGTGGGACAGCGACCAAATCGTGGCCAAGAACCATGGCAAGCCCACAATGTCCATCACGCAGCTTCAAGCTGCAGGCAAGAAACTGGGGCCCATAGATCGGCCCATTCCGGCGCCGTCAAGTCTGCCGGACCCGGGAGACATGCCGCTCGACTTTGAACATGAGCATCCTTCTAGCAAGCCAGACGTCAACTCCGTGCGACGCACGAAAAACGACACAGAGTACAAGAGCATAGCCGGTCCCAAAGGAGACTTTGGAATCGAGACTATGGAGGAGCTGGGCTTTCCGTCCGCGACTACGCCTCATAGGGGCGGTGAAACGCGGGCTCTCAAGATGCTGGACGACATTGCCAAGGACAAAAAGTACACTGCAACTTTTGAAAAGCCAAAGACGAGCCCTGCGCAGTTTGAGCCGCAGTCCACCACGCTCCTGTCCCCGTTTCTGCATTTCGGCGCCCTCTCCGTGCGGGAGCTGTACTGGCGCGTGCAAGACATTGTGACCGCGTACGGCAAAGGCGCGTCTTCGCCGCCGGCAAGCCTCACCGGTCAGCTGCTGTTCCGAGACATGTACTTTGCCGCGCAGGCAGCCATCGGGCCCAGCTTCACGCAAACCAACGGCAACGGCCACTGCAAGTTCATCCCCTGGCATCTCCCCTCCAAGGTGGATCTGGCGACGGGCATCAGCACCGGCGAGTACCGCGTCGACTCTCCCGAGGCGGAGCAGTGGTTTGCGCGGTGGAAGGCGGGCATGACGGGCTTTCCGTGGATAGACGCGCTGATGCGCCAGCTGCGGCACGACGGCTGGATCCACCACCTCGGCCGCCACTCGGTCGCGTGCTTCCTCACCCGCGGCGGCTGCTATGTCGACTGGGAGCGCGGCGCCCAAGTCTTTGAGGAGTACCTCTTGGACCACGAGCCCGCCTGCAACGCCGGAAACTGGCAGTGGCTCTCCTGCACCGCCTTCTTCTCGCAGTACTTTCGCATGTACAGCCCCGTCTCGTTTCCGCAAAAGTGGGACAAGAACGGCGACTTTGTGCGCCGTTGGGTGCCGGAGCTCAAGGACCTGCCGGCCAAGTACATTTACGAGCCCTGGAAAGCGCCGCTGCTGGACCAGAAGCAGGCTGGCGTGCGCGTCACGGGTGACGGGCTGTCGTCGTCGTCAGACGGCGGCACAGGCAAGACGTACCCCAAGCCCTTGTTTGACTTTGGCGAGCGTCGCGAGATTTGCCTTGCGGCCATGAAAAAGGCCTACGAGGTGAACCTGCTGGGCGACGACGAGCGCGTGTCCAACGGCCGCTGGGTGGACTTGTTCCCCGCCAAGGGCGAGCATGAGGACTTTCGTCATCTTGTTCTGGAGAGTGACGACGGCGAAAAGGCGGACGAGGGCGACGAGTCGGAAGATGCAAATGCTGGGGAAAAGAGAGCAGCCAAGTCACTGCAGACGTCAGCGAAGAAGCAGAAAACGTGAGAAGGTATGGCATTGAACATCTGCCATGATTTAGCTCCCTTTCCGAGGTGCCATCGCGAAGTCTTGCTATATGATATACATTGATAGTTGCTGTACAAAGTATTCAAGAGATATTGGTTAAAATTCCGCCTTTCTATCTGCGAGTCGTGCCAGCTCCCCCGCCCACAGTCTATGGTCAGCAGCATCGCTCGAGTTTTTCGCATTGACCGCCTTGTCCAGCTCAATGGTGGCCATTTCCTCGAAGCAGTGCAGGGCGCCCGTGCACCCCGCCTTGAATAGGTACTGCAGAGCCTCGTCCGGGTCGGTGCTCCGCAGCGCGCTGCCGAGCTGCTGGTCGGCCTCGATGTAACCGTCATCAGCCAGCGCGCGGAGCATGGCAATGGCCTGATTCATCTTGTCGCGCCTGGCCAGCGTCTTACCAAACGCGAGCCGAAAGTTGGGCTCCCAGTTACCCAGGTCGGCGGCGTGCTTTTGCTGGACTTTGCGGAGGATCGCCTCGGCCTCGCCGTACTTGCCCTGCCGGTAGAGGATATCGCCCTCGATGGCCATGGCAACAGGGTCGCCCGCCTTGACGAGCGCGCGGAAGCGCCGCTCCGCCGGCGCGGTGGCCGTGCTCTTGCCATACTCGCCGTGAGCTGCCAGTATGGCTACCAGGCTGCAGGCGGACGGGCCGAATCCCCAGCTTGCGGCGGTGAACCAGAGCACTGACGCGAGACCGCTCTTGGAGCCTCGGGATGCTTCCATGACAATGCATCCGAGATCGTGTAAGACAGGAGCTCCCGGTAATTTATCTGTTGGTTTTTCAGAAGGACGTTAGTGAGCGACCCATCCACGGCGTCGCGGCAGCCTCCGGGAGACATACGTGTAGGCGACGACAGCTGAAAGGGGCTGTCGTGGTCGCGGATATGGAGTGTGAATGCCATTAAGCTATCGTAATACTCGGCTGGGGATAGGAGATCAAATTCATTGCTATTTTTGTGGATGAAAGCTTCAACTTGAGTTCGAGGTAGGCTTGTGAGATCGAGCATGCTGTCCATGGAAGCTCGCCTTCTGCCGGTCGCATCTATGGAGCCTCTAGTTGGCTTCGTGTGCACTCGCGGCCTCCCGGAAGTAGCCAGACGTGATTGGCAGTGCGGCGGTAACCGATGGTGGACTCTTGGCCGTTGCATGGTCAGGTGTCGACTGAGGAAGGACAGCGCTGATCTTGCGTTGGACCTCGCTGCCATATTGACCGCATTCACTGCGCTGACAACAGCGGGTCAGCCTCGTCCTACCCAATGCGTAAATGATATTGGGATCAATCTCGAACTTTAGGAAGAAGAAGATCAAGTAGCGATTGAATGGGTTGGTCCATGCCCGCTTTGTGGTTGTGTAGAGCTTCAAGTCGCTGGGTCTGTTGGAGGAACCCCGTCATTAACTGCCTAGGTAGGTATGGTACCACCTGTGGCTGATTGGCCAATCAGCGTCTAGTTCCTTAATCCCTAGGTCGGTGTCACGGCGCTTGTAGAGGCCGAAAGCCTTGGGGGCCCACCTAAATTTTTTGAAATCGCAACCTCAAGACCGACTGTGTGCAGCTCATTACGACGACGGACAGGTCTTTAAGTTCAATCACGAATTCGTTAGCAGATCCTTTACTTCTCAAGCATCTCTGATTACTGTGAGGCTATTGAGCTCGTCACTTGCCCTCAGAGTCGAAACGCCCGCTACCTTGTCACCAGGGTGCGCGCTTCTCTCCAGCTGGAGGTTCATTATATCATTTTCTTCTGGTGGCGTTTATTAAAATCTGGTGTGATATAAAAACTCGCCATGACGCCCATTACTCGCAGGAAGCTGGCAGAGATGGAGGCCAACTCATCCGTCATAGAGGAGCCTTCGCCAGCGCCCAAGGCTGCGGCACCCAAACGCGGCAAGAAGCTCGCCCTCCGGAGCAAGGACGAGGAGGACAAGAGCCCATCCGAGACGGCAGCCAAGAAGAGCAATGTGATTGTATTTGATGACGAGGAAATGAGCAAGCCCGTCGTCGTCGAGGAGACCGTCGCAAAGCCCGCCGCATCAGTGGAGGACGACGACGACGATGAGGAAGAGAGCGATGACGAGGCGCCCGAGGCCGTTTCCACTGTCAAGGCTGCGTCTGAGATTAAATCAGCCGCCAAGGTTACGCAAAAAGCTGCCCAAGAGTACGTTTGTTATTTCGTCACGCCGCTCGGAACCATCATGAACCGAGATCTAACTACCGACACAGGCAAGCGACGGCGCAGAAGCGAAAGCGCCAGGAGCGCGATGCTCTGCTCAAGAAGCAGGCCGAGGAGCGCAGACAAGTTGAAGACTCACGCTCTAGCCCTCCTGCCGACGATGACAACGAGCCCCAAAGCATCGTCCCCGCGCCTCCCACGGCGACCCGCAAGCGCCGCGGCAAGGTCAGCGTCCCCCAGCTGCTGCCCGCCGAGTTCCTCACCGACTCCTCGTCCGGCGAGAGCGACGACGACGACGCGACGACGACGATGGTCCGCCAGCCCAAACGCCCCCGCAAGGTGGCCGCCGTTGAGCGTAACCTCACACGCCTGGACAGGGGCCCGCGCGACGCGACGGTTGGCTCGACGGTGTACCAGGTAGCGCGGAAGACGGACGAGCGCATGGCGCCCAAGGTGAAGCGCTACGCCAAGAGCTCCAAGGAGATGCTGCTGAAGAGGAACCGGGCGCCCGCCAAGCAGCGCGGCGGATTCCTCGCTAAGAGGTGAAAGGGGGACGAGGGCGCAGGAGAATGCAAAAGGGGTCTTGGCGGGTGTGTTGCCCGAACCGCTGGGCGTTCCGGGCTGAACATCACTTCCACTGGCACTACACACCCCCAGAGATTTGGAATAAGCGGTTGCTTGGGAGGACTACAAGAGATAAAGTGCATTTTTACGGCTTGGGATTGGGGCAACCAAAAGTCATACAGCAGGAATAACTAACGGCGTTGGGATATCGTGACAAATTCTCGTTTGTCAACGGATATTATGTCTTTTTTGATATATATCGACAATATATGTGCTTGTCTTTCTCAGATCGTGCCAGTTTCAGAGTATGTGTGCCAATTTATCCGAGGCAGCATCGTCGGGGACATGTTTCAAGCACGCCAATACACGCCAAGATCCCTTCTCTTCGGCGATTTACTGCTGAAACAGCATTGCCGATCTGGGTATACCTTTTTCTCATCATACGACGATTCGGCAATCTGTATATGCATAAGGTCAGTTTTAACGTGTGTCATAATCTCACAAACCCCTGCCTCTTCCATGAGGATTGCCATGCTACATCCCTGCAGATAGTGCTGCCGGCATGCTGCTTGCTGACAGGCAATGGTAAAGGGTTTTTATGCAATACGATGGCCATGAGCATCGTTGTTTGAAGAAATGCGTTGCATTAATCTGTATTGGGCTGCTACTGACGAAGGAGGCTACGTACGACTTCAAAGCTAGTTGTAGGCAACGCCGTTTCACACTGTTCCCTTGTCAGCGGGCGATGTCATGGGTGTTGCATGTCAGAAACATGCCAAAAATTACAAAGTCTAGTATTTCATTCGAGTCGCCTCGATGATACTGGCTTACTGGGTCAACGGAGGATGTCAGTCACTTCTCTGTCCTATCAGCTGTGCTGTGCTCCAACGGATGTGGCCTCTCAACGTCATCTCTTGCAGCCGTGTGCATGAGTGCTCCTGGCTCTCTCATCATTTGCAATCTACAGAGTACGCAAACACCCATCTCTACAATCTCAACCACGCGTCGGAAATCGGTAAACATGTTGAATGATGCGGCGCGAGTTGGCGGTCTTGGGCAGCGACGCCCCCGTCAACAGCCAACCACCCCCTTTTTCCAATCAAGACATGTTCGTTTACACTGCATCGTGAAGCTTGGTAGGGCCTGGTGCTGCCTCTTTTTCACGGGTCGAGTTCCTGTGTTACCGTGAAAAAGCGCAGCCCCGTCTATAAGCGCCTTTGCCAGGCAGCAGCCCACCACGGGCGACGCTGGTTGGCTGTGGGATCCGACATGTGCCTTTTGATGGGACGACAAGGAAAGGTATCTTTGCAAACCACGCATATGTGGCGTGCCAGCTGGCAGAACCAAATGTGCAAACGGGCAACGAAAAACATGAGATACAAATTGCAGTAGCTTGGCTGCTGCTGCTGCTGCTTCATCCTTTCTTTCTTCCATCCCAACAAACACACCCTACCTTTCTTACAACATCTTTTTCCCTATACATCACACCGGGACACTCATTCTTTCTCACCATGGGCACCCGGCACCTCATCGTCGTCGTGCTCAACGGCCATTGGTACATCGCGCAGTACGGCCAGTGGGACGGCTACCCCGAAGTCGTCGGCATGCGACTCGTGCAGCTGCTCTCCTCTCCCGGGCTGGTGTCCGACCTCCGCACCGGCCTCGCGCACACGTACGTCCCCGCCGACGACGCCGAGATGGAGCGCCTCTGGCACGACGCGGACGAGGCGCGTCAGATCCTCGACCACCAGCCCACCTTTGACCGGAACACTGGCGAGATGCGCATGTCCGAGTACGCCCACTGGCGCGCCGACCCGCTGGCGCGCTACACGCCCGAGCTGCTCGACATGCTGCCGTCGCTGCACCGCGACACGAGCGCCGCCGTGCTCGTGCTCGCCGCCCGCGCTACCGCGGAACGCCCGCTGCCCGTCTGTCTCGAGCCCGAGTTTGCCAATGACGGCTTGTCCTGCGAGTGGGCGTACGTGGTCGACCTGGACGCCGAAGCGCTCGAGGTGTACGAGGGCGCGACGCACAAGACACCCGGTCATCGCTTCGAACACATTGGGTCAGAGAATGCGTCCGTGCCCACGTTTATCGTGGCCGTGCCGTTTGGCGAGCTGGACAAGTACAAGGACGATCGCGAGGGCTTTGCGGGGATGGTGAATGATGAGATCGAGGCCATCAATCGACGGGCGGTCGCGGGAAAACAAAGTTATGACGAGTAAGGAGCAGTAGAGAGTGCAGTCTGGCTAGAATGAAACGACATCGCATCATCAGAACATGATTGTTTACTTGACTCGAGGGAATCCACCAACTGTAATCACCCATCTTGTCCGATTACCAAACATGCGTGCATCGATTCCTTGATGAGCGGAGCCGTCTCCTTGACTCGCCAAAATCTTCTCCATGAGAAGGATATCGTGTTTCGTTGCCCTAGTCTCAGTTTCACACCCGTCAAAGCTTTTCTTGCACGTCTTTTGTTGCGAGTGGCAAACTGCACAATGTCTAGCGATTTGTCAACGGCACATGTCCGACTTGCTGTGAGCCGTACAGGTCACGGCAATCGCAACCTCTGCCTGAACCACCTCTATGGTAACCGGGCAACTGCCACGTGCATCGCATAGGGGGCGGAGCGCGAAGGAAGCCTGGTACGTTCTTGCATGAACTCTGCCCCGTCCGTACTTGACTCGCCACTTTTCCAGGTACCAGATTCGATAATGCAAGCCTTTGCCGTGCGCCGGCCATGTCCTCTTCAGGCATGTATATTATATTGCGGCGTGATTTTACTATTCCCACCCTCTTTGAAAATGCTTTCAAATACGTTCAAGTACTCAAGTTGGGCGACGCAGCGCGCAAGGCGGCGCCGAGACGTTGGTGCCCAGCATGTATAGACGCTTCTCTTTTCCGGTCATGGTCCGATGGAGCGCTCTTCATAGCTGAGAAACAAAATCCGTAACCCCTCTTACATTCTGTGGATTTTCCTTCTTGTGCCGCCCCCTTCTCGTGCTCTGCATCTGCTGCTGCAATCTGTTATTCGGCCTCGCCGACCAAATGTATTATTCGGCCCCCACGGCATGATTTATCGGTCTTGCGAGTTACACGAGTTTCCCCATCCTTTCGGTAATATGTATCGCCATGCTCTAGCTGCATCAATCGAGGAAGGGGGCCATTTATCAGTAACTGCCGCGACCGAAACGTCATGAGGCTGACTGTGCTCTTGGATCACAGTATCCATGTAAAACCTTCAACTTTGGGGTAAACGATGGCAATCAAAATTACACCACCATAGAATCCCTCTAGTAACGCAAGCATTGCGATGCACGAAATCTCCGATGACTGAGGGGGAACTGAGACATGTCTAGTTCGTTGTCTCGATTCCAAAGGGCGAGACCATGGAGAAGGCGCTAGGGTGCCAGCAAGCAGGATTAACTATCAATCAGGGCTCTCTGCTTAATGATGTTTGCTCTGTGCTCGCTTACTCAATTAATAGATCAATCTCTTTGCCCAGGCAGATAAATCAATAGTTCAGGACACTATCGAAGCGTACATATGACCCCAAACCACAAGAGCTGGTGGCTGTGCCTGCAAGAAGTTTGCTGTCTCGTCAATCGGCAACCTGTATCGGTCGTCGGTATCCTCTTCTCGAACGCCCGTCGAAGCATATCAACATTAATAGCCTTAATTTTGCCTGATCAGGGTCCACTTGTATAGTAATGACGGAGCAACGGGGGTAAAAAAAGAAGAAAAAAGAAAAAATCTCGTTGCCCTAGAGCTTGATCCTGCGCTGGTGGCTGTTGCGTCTAGTCAGAACGAACCCTGGTAGGAGCCGGTTTGCGCTGGCAGGGCTGCTTTCTGAGCCGGGACTCTTTCTCGCTTCCTTCGCCCTCTCCACCCCGAGATGGGGGCATAATCGGCGCAGAACTCGTCTGCCAAACTACTTGAATCATTCTCGCGTGACGTTGGCTTCAAGTTGGCTCGGGTTATTGGTCCAGAACCGGCAGGCCGGTAAGTTATAGACTTCCCTGCCAATAACAACGCAAATTAATTATTGCCTCCGTCGTCCGTCCCGTGTCCCCAGGGCACGGACGGGGGGGCGCAGCAGACGGAGGTGAAGAAGCCAAGCCCATGCCCAGCACAATGGATCCACGCATCTCGACTCAGGCTGTTTCCTCTTCAGCGCGATTGTTCCGCACAAGAGACCAAGGGCGTGGGCACACAGTCGGCGCGTCTTGGTAATACTTGGCAAGAGATTTAGCCAGCCAAATGGACACACCCTTGAGGTTAGAGGCTGTTATGTGTACATAGGTGATGGCAAGGAAACCTGTTTCACGAACGTGCCTGACTCGCTTCAGCTCTGACGATAGGGCAACTTGGCCGAACATTCCGAGCCCTGATCGAGTCCTGGAATAGATCGAGAAAAATGGCCTGGTACGGAGTGCATGGGCCCTGCTTACTCCATACAAGGCGGCTCGCGTAAAATTTGCTAGTTCATGCGTCTTCCAAATGAGCCTTGTATTTGCTCCAAGGATCAATGAGAACCGCTGCTGCAGTTCATGATTGGTTTTGCGACAGGCGCAATGCTCTGAACTTTTTGGGCTTTGTGGTGAGGACTTGCTCGCATTCACGTAACGACGGTTTCTTCGCAAGCCACGCAATTCAGACCAGCCACCAACCGTTTCCATAACAGCCGTTGAAGGCAGCACATGAACCATGAAAAACTTCAAATGCCACCCTACACATGGTTTGGTGTTGAAGCCAACGTCTCAAAGAGTCTGTGCCATTGAGCTAGCATGGCGCCACCTCCACCATTTCCATGTCCTGCCAGTACCAGTAGTTACTGGTACTCCGTACTTTGAGTACAGTAATAGTGTGATGCTCCTGCCATTTATTTACAAGCGAGAGACTGTCGTACTTTCCGCTTTTTTTTCAATAATGGCCTGGTAATGTGAATTTTGAACAAGGTCGGTCCGTGGGACGATGGGGCGCATAAAATAGTGTTAGACTGGGTGACTGGGGCTTCATTGCTACAGTTATTCCAGAAATGTTCGAGTTCTTGGGAAGAAGGATCGACAGGCTGCAAGTTGTGCGACATTTGGCGGAAAAAGGCAGAGATTTGCATCCCTCCGTTCTCGGCAACTCGCTTGTGGGCCATGGTGCGCTGGCTCTAACTTCCGACAAATATGCGTAATTTATCTCTGATCAAACTAGTCGCCAGCCGCGATGCATAGAGCGGGATGCTATTCGTAGAAAGCACTACGGATAGTCAAAGCAGCATTGTCGTTGATGGGCGGTAATCCGGGTAATCGGAACGGACACTCCAAATGTGCTGGCCCCTTTGGAAGAAACGACTGTCTCTCTCGGATCCAGCCAAGACATGCATGCTTGTTCACAAATCACGGGGCATCGTCATGCTGCTCTCCTGCCTCGAACGGCAACTGATAGGCGAGTAAATACCGAGTGCATGCAGATCTTCGTCCTTGTTCGCCCAAACCCAACCGGCAATAGTTCATGTTGAGCAGAGCATCGCGACCCGCCCGCTGCAAGGTCATTGATGGGGCGTTTCGTTGGTTGAAGTCATCTCCGGTAGCAGATAGACAACTGGAGACTCAGCCAATTGCGATGACATATTCGAAAAGAAGGAGCAGAGGCGTACCAGTCTGTCATTTTGTACTGTGACCTTTACGATAGGCGAGGCTTGACTGGAGTAAGTCGTTTGAGGGAGACATATGTATGGCATCTTAGTAGGGCTTTGCCAAGACAATCGGCTAACGTCAAGAAATGTGAGTGTGTGAAACTGGAGCGTGAAGGGTTTCATCGCAGCTTCATTCTCCTAACAAACATCAGTAACAGGGGCAAGACCAGCTCAGTATGTACACAGCAGCAAGAAACTCCCTACTGCAGTGATCTCTGCAGTCGGAATAGTCGACCACAGTCAAGCTACTTCTCTGGATGGAGGGCTATTCACGACTTCAAGCTTAGGGATCCTATGGCTCTGGCGGGGGAAACTGAGCTGCGAGGCTTGCCGTTCAGTCACGTTGCTCATTCGAAGTGCCGATAGCAGATAGTACACAGCATGCTCCCCGAAAGTCAACGGCAATCAGCCTGCGTCCGTCGTGATACAGATTGGCAAGCGTCCCAATGAATGGAGTATCACGACGGCGGGCAACTACCGAACGAGCGTGCTTGCAGCGTCTCAGTTCAACCACGCAGGAAATTTTGCACGGGGGAGGCTAAATGCCTAGCTCCTTGAATTGTCGCGTTTCGCAAGGGAGGCACTCGGGCGACTCTCGTGGTGCAGGCCCTGTTGCACAGAACGACTTTGCGGCACCTGCACCCTGGCCCCGGGATGGCGCTACAGAGACAACAAATTGACACCAGCTGCGTGGCTGGACAGCTGGCGCACCAACTGGTGACCGTTTTCTGGAACTTTTGATGCTCTAGCCAGGCTGAGAGCCTGAGACAGAGCCCAGAAAGTCGTCGTGTCTTTGGTGGCTTGAAAACCCAGTATTTGCCGCATTCGAAAATGGATGCATATCTAGTGAGCAAGAGGACATGGTACGTCAGCCAATGGGCTTAAAGGATTAGCTCCTGCTGGGTGATTTAGTGCCCCCATCAGTTTCTCGATCGCGCATCTGCAGCTCCTCAGTTACAGGTAGGGATGGTGAATCAGGTCATTGCAGTCTCGAAAAGCGGCGCAGGCAGGGGACGCGGAGGGCTCTGTGGCTCTGTAGCGATGGTGGGAAGATACGAGGCCAATCTACCTTTTTTTTTTTTCTCTCTTCGCGCGAGTCAATCCAACTGAATCGGGGATCATGACCAAGAAGCCAGGTGAGTAACGCTCACGCAAGGCGCGCCAGTGCCGAATGAGTAGAGCATCTGCTGGGCCATGTCTGTGCTACGACGGGTGATGTGACACTGTATTGGCATTCACTTGTCCAAAGTAAGCAATCAGTGATCGCAAGCTTTGGCGAGGCGAGGCGGGCGCTGCACGTGCGGCATATCCGAGACGACCGGGCATGACCATGCTAGCGCAAAATAAGGAGACCAGTATGACGGGGGCTTGCATGCAGGCATTGCGCACATTGCGCACATTCGTTTTTGTTGATGTGCAGACTGATATCGGAGGCGAACCGTCTCTGCCACTCGTTGTCGTTGTAGTGAGTCTCAACTGACGTTGCTATTTCGGAGTGTACAGTGGCTGTTCCTCTCCTCAAGACTAGGCGGAAATCGGCTTCGGCGCGTATGTTAGCGCGCTAGAGAAAATGGCTTCAACGTACAATAGGTAAAGAACAAGTTTGGATCAAACCCGAGCGAGATTAGAGTTTTAATAAGCTGTCATGGCAGGACCTAACGAAAGGGTTTCCAAGTCCCAGCAAATCAGGCCAGGGCCCCCACTCCCCCACGTGAAGAAGCCAACGGAACGGGGTTTCCGTCTGATGCAGTAGTCAGACTCCAGTTGAGTGGTTCGCAACTTGTTTAGTGCCAGCAGGACGACAAGGCAACGGCAAAGTGATGACAGAGCCGGGGAAAGAAGACCGCAAGCCGTGATTCAATTGTAGTCTGATTGAACGAGGTCATATCATGGCAAGAAACTACCAATAGATACAGGATACGGTTCGGCATCGCGATACTGACGGATAACTATCGAGCCAGCAGTTGCATCGCACGGACATGTATGACAAGCCCAAATGAGACGTATGCATACTTCTCCTGCCCAGTCACCAAATTGCCGAAATCAGTATGTCTTGCAGATAGATGGCAGTGGCGATACTTTGGTTTTGTTTTGCGGGAGGCTATTGGCAGAAGGAACAGGCTGGTGGTGGATCTTGGCAACCAAGTCTGGTCAAGTGCGGAGCATGTTAGGTCCACGGCCTGTTTCAATTGATGACCCGGTGGTGAAAAACGAGCGACGGACCAAAGCGAAGATGTTGTATCTCGAACGCAGGCAAGTAGGTTGCTGGGGCGAGCTGTTGCATGGCTGGGGCATGACTACTGCAGTGCCGCGCAGACCAGCCAAGGGCCAGTGCAGGACGGGTTGGTGTGCATGGCTAAGTAATACTAGCCTCTTCGGTATGCATGGCATGGGCCGGCATCCAGCAAGTAGAGTTTCAATGACGAGGGCGTCGTTTGGAGAGTCTGGCAAGGTTGGTTGATTGATTCATGTCGGTATGTATGGCCGTTGCGCACGGACAGCTACAGTCGGTTAGAGCGTCACGTCAACCGTTTAGCGTCCCTCTTGGTCAGCAGGCCGCTAGCCACATGGAAGGAGTCTTGCGTGTTGATGATAATAAATGAGAAAAAATTATGGCATCTGGACTCTCTTACCGGACTCTCTTACCAGAAATCCTCAGCTACAGCCATTCCTCGTCAGGGCAAGCCATTACCCGTTGGGACGTGGTGTGGCATTTGGGGGTAGCATCGCGTGTTTGCTGGAACTGCGGGCAGGTGGAGATGGAGTACCGAGTATGGACGGCGTGCAGTAATAGCGTAGAATATGACGGTGAAGCCAGCACCTGGGGGAGGCTACGGACAGTGATGATGGATGTCGAGCGGGATGGGATTAACTCGTCATCTTTGGCTTGCTGGTTGGTGTAAATGGCAAGCGAGGGATGGGGCTACAAAGCTCCGCGTACCTGTGGGTAATCAGGTAATGCCAGCAGGTGTACAGAAAGAGAATCGGCATGCCACGGTGACGTTGTCGAGCAGAGCTGACTGAGGCGATGCAGGGTTTGTTACAAATAATATCTTACCGAGTGCAGGCGTTGACGAGGGCATAATTGATTGCCTACATGATGCTAATGCACGAGTAAATGGAGATGTGCACAAGGTGCGGATGCTGCAGTGCATTGCCGAGAGCCTAATACCTAGGTAGGCAAATAGAGTAACAGGTTGCTAACTGCCTACCTTGGAGCACTACAGGTAGGTACCGGGTGCTCTGATGACATGATAGTAATGATACTCGTGGTACATTGGGATTGGACCCTGTATTAAAGGACAATGTATATACAAGCGAGTTTGATCATGATCATTACAATATTTTAATGTATCAACCTTTGATTTGATGCCACAGTACTGGTTGTTGGAGCACTATAACGGCACCGTCAAAGCTTGAGATGGCGTGTTTTAGCGCGCAGCCTGGTGGACGATTGGCGGGTCAGTTGCCTGTATCCGTCCAAGACGTTTATTATTACAGCGGCTGGTAACCCAGAAGCATGTTTCGGACCAACACCCGTACCCAGTCAACTGGCCTGACCGTTTGAAGATGCATCTGTCGTATAACCGTCGAATGATCCGGTATTAGGTGTATGACATGCAGCGAGTTTTTCCCTGTCCCTTTATCATCTCTTTTTGCCGTGCAATGCAGGCTCTGCATTCTCTCTTTGGCAGGTCTTGATGCTCGCGGGCACGTAGGGACCAAACAGGACAGGCGCCGAAAAGTACAGGCATCCAAAATGGCAGAGACAGGCACCAAAGCTGTGGGCACCCCGCCACCTCCACCGAGTTGTCTTGGTGGAAGGGAAGGCTTCACCGGCGAGGCTGCAGGTGAGTTAATGTCAGTCATTTGCTCGCTCGTTTGTTTGTTTCCTAGCTTACTCTCAATCAATCGTGCGTTTATATGCTGGTGTTTCCAGTATGACTGCAGCAAAGAAATTACCAAGATTTGGCCAAGAATCTTTACCAATTGGTAAATCTGGCTGGGGCAGGCTTCACATATAATATCATTTCATTATTAATTAATAAAGTCTCCCCTCTACGTATTTCAGCCCCTCTGAGCAGGCTCCTAAAACAGTGGTGGGTGGACGCTTCCCCTGCAGCAAACTCGGCGGTACTTGCTCCTTGCTGCGATTATATGGAGATTGTATGTACCACGTACTTTGTCTGTCCATCTGTAATACTGGTAATCCGTATAAATAATCCCTTTAAGTAGTCTTTTGTACAACAGCATCTTGTTGAACTGATACAGATGTCTGATTTATGAACGAATACTGTGACTTCTTATTGCCTTTTTAAAGGTCTCTCTCTGCCTTGATCATTCAGGGCAAGTTGATGCAGCACAAATCGATACTACATACTGAGTAGTAGGAGTGACATGTGAATACACATTCATGTTCTCACACAACACAACCCTTGATGCAACTCCTCTATCCGTATTTGCCTCTCTATTACTCGTACTTCTGCCACTAACTCTGATTTGGTTTTACAGCCGCGCTCCATCTGTTGCCAGGGGTGGCTTGCGATTGTCCCATCCCGTCATGCCCCGTCTTGCTCATCCATGCACACATGGATCATGGATCCATGGTCCATGATCCAGTCGCATCCACCGTCAGCCATGATCCTCCCAAGCCTCCATCCTCGCTGTATTCCTTGTCTTTCCGCCCCTGGTCACCTTATTAGCCTCTTTTCCAACTGGCTTTGCTCCAAAAATTTTGGCACAGTATTATCTACCTGCCGCAAGCCCGCGGCGGCGGACCAAACAAGGCCCCTGTCTTGACTGCCAACTGCTAAACTAGGCCAAGGTAGCCAGCCACCTGGCCCATCGCCCATCCACCGTCCCACCCATGCGTCGCTGAACCCCTTTTGTCCCTATTCTTTTGGCTTTTTCGGCTTGAGCCCTGTGATGGAGTAGATTTCCCGTCCGTCCCCATTGTCCGGCTGCCAAACCACGCGCTTGTTCTTCTTTTTGTTCTTCTTTTCTTCTGTCGTCTCTTCTTTCCTCCCGTTCTTCCACCACGGGCCGCCCTTTTCTCCCCCAAATCACCCTCTGCAAACATTTCTGACGAGAAAAAAAAAAAGATTCTCCTTTTCGGCTGCAATCGCTGATTTCGAGTTTCAAGAATCTTTTTGTTGCCCATTTGGCGGCTTAGTTACTATTTTGGGGGGGCTTCTAGGACCAAACGCAGCTTACACCACCACGAATCGCAGGCAGACGACAGCGCAACTGCCCACACCACTTGATCCTCCTCCTCCTCCTCCTCCACCACACCACCACTACCACCACCACAACTCCTTTTTTTCTTCTTCCTCTCACGCGCTTTCGCTCGACTCGCCCGTCAGCCAAGCCGTCCCTGTTTCTAGCGACCCTGACTCCGTCCTCATCATGCGCAACAGATCCCCGCCTGCTCGCAACTAGCATTGTTCACCAAGCCCCAACGTGAAACGCCGTCAAGACACCAGACACCCCCCACCAATTTTCTTTGCCTATTGCTTCGCCCACCCATATTCGACACCGGTCCTCTTTCTTGGTATACCGATTGCCGCTGCATAGTTCTGCCACTTGCCTTGCAGCTTCGCTGTGGCTTCGCTCACTCATCCAATCTATTTCTCTTGACGCTTCGCTTGTTTCTTGCGCTCCTGCGCCTCTCTTCTCCATGTTTAGTCGACTCCTCTCCAAAGCCTCGCACCCTCCTGCCAGCGCTCAATATACCCCCGATAGCTTTAAAGGCAACAAACTCGCTCCTGGTCACACCCCTCCTGACCCATGGGCTGCTGGTCCCGCTCGCCAGCAATCAAACTATCCTGCTTCTTCTTCTTTAGCTGCAGACGGTAAGTCTCTTTGCCCAGACACCTGCTCGTTCCTAGCAAACCTGACTTGGGTAATCGCACATCTTCAACCCTCCCCCTCCTACTCTTACCCGTGGCCTCGTCGCATCTTCTATCTTGCCGCATTCGCTAAACACTTCCTCCTTGTCAGCCGGGCCATCACATTCGCATCATACCAGTGCCTTCCCTGGCGGAAGAGGCGGCTCCGTCGGCTCCAATACTTCAACTCGTAGAGTCGGAGCTCTTGAAAACAACGTCATGGCCAGCACTACGGACCGAAGCCGCCTGCGGCGAGAGAGAACATTTGTCGGCAGCGAATGCGCCGTATGCGAAGAACCCCTCGAACACACCCTGCAAGGCGAGCGCATACTCCAGTTCTCGTGCTCCCACGTATCCCACGAGGCCTGCTTCTACGAATTCATTCGCGAGATCGACTCTCAATATTGCCCGACATGCGACTCACCCCTACACCTCGATACTAGCCGCGGCGGCAACATTATCGACATCAGTTCGTCTTCCACCCGCGCAACTGAGTTGGGCCGACGCGCTAACTCGACTACAGACAAAATCGGCAACATGGTTCGCTCCGTAGGCAGCGACAGTCGCTCTACACATACTCCGACCCCCACCTGGGATAGCCAGACCATGAGGCCACCAAGTGTCGACAGTTCACAGCGCCGTCTTCCCCAGCAGCAACTACAGCCCCAGCAGCAACAACTGCAGACGGGCCTTCAGCCGCCCGCACCCAGTAGCGGCAGAGAGAATGGTCCTCGCGGCAGCCTGCGCGACAGCCGTGAGAATCTTTCGGATCGCTATGGTCCCCCTTCTAGACACACTCGCAGCGACAGCGACGTCACTGGTGTCACGGGTATCACTTCCTCTGCTGGTTACCCCGAAACCACTCAAAGCGGCCATCAATGGCGCCACGACTACGATGTTCAGGCCATGGAAACCTCGCCTGGAAGCCCTCAGCGTGCCATCACCCGCAATCCGATCCCGTCTCCCACCGTTACGGTTCGCTCCGAATTCCCGACAATCAGCAGATCGCGCCAGCAACAGACTCTTACTTGTCTCATCACGATTGAGGTCCCGGATAACAAATGGAAACCGGACCCAGAGGACCTCGGCTCCAACAGCGTTGCTCGCCAGCAATCTCTGGGTCGTATTGATGACATTGTAGCATACGCTGCCTCACCTCCTCAGCCAGCACCTCCGCCAGCACCCAAATTTTACCCATATGAGTCACCAGCTGCTTTAGAGGAAGCTAGGCAGAGCCTCAACCGCCGTGTAGACAGCTGGCACGGTTTGGACTTTGAGAAATTCGGTCAGCTACGATTATACGGGACTCTCCATGTCGGCAAGGACAAAAAGTCCTGGCAAGAACTCGAATGCTTCCTCTTCGGCGAGATGCTCATTTGTGTCAAAGAAAAGAAGATTGCTGGCGCGCCGCCTCAGTCTCAGTGGGATGAGAACGGAAACCCCTGCAAGACGAGTCGTGTTGCGCTCAAAGGATCCATTTTGATCAAGAAGCACCTCCAGGAAGTTGCCGAAACCGGTAACATTGATGAGAACATCCTCACTCTCAGTCTGTCGGTCAACGAATTGCCGCAGTTCCATCTTCGCTTTTCAAACCGCAACCAGCTCAAGCTGTGGAACCAAGCTTTACTGGACCTCAACGCCGTTGAGACCGCCATCCGAAGTCCGGAATTTGAGCGCGCCGACATGTCAGAGACGGATGAGGAGGTGGACTGGCAGCGCTCTCGACCTCAGCGAGTCTCATCCACGACGTCATCCTGGGGTCCCAAGTCCGTCACCACTGCGCCTACCGAGTACACCAATAACTTCACAGCCAAAGCCAGCCGCATGCCAGCATCTATCCACGTTCCCATTGATGTCGTCGTCGTCGTCCCCATTTCCTCATCCATGCAGGGGGTCAAGATTAATCTCGTACGCGACGCTCTCAGATTCATGGTCAACACTTTGGGAGAGCGTGACCGCATGGGTCTTGTCACTTTTGGCTCAGGAGGCGGTGGCGTCCCTATAGTTGGTATGACGACAAAGGCTTGGCCAAGTTGGGGCAGTATTCTGGGCTCTATCAAGCCTGTTGGTCAGAAGAGCCACCGCGCCGATGTGGTTGAGGGTGCCAACGTCGCCATGGACCTACTCATGCAGCGCAAGCATAGCAATCCTCTGGCCACCATTATGCTCATCAGCGATGCCTCAACCTCAGACGCCGACTCTGTTGATTTTGTCATCTCTAGAGCAGAGGCCGCCAAAATCACCATTCACACGTTTGGTTTGGGCATGACTCATAAGCCCGATACCATGATTGAGCTCTCCACCAGGACAAAGGCCTCTTACACCTACGTCAAGGACTGGATGATGCTCCGTGAATGCCTTGCTGGTTGCCTAGGATCTATGCAAGCCTTGTCTCATCAAAATGTCAAGCTCAAGCTCAAGCTACCTGAAGGATCGCCAGCCAAGTTTCACAAGATCAATGGCGCGCTACAGACCACCAAGCGCGCCACTGGCCGCGATGCTGAGGCTGCTCTTGGAGATTTGCGCTTCGGCGATAAGCGAGATATTCTTGTACAGCTCATCATTGTCCCCGACACCGCATCACAGGACCAGCTGCCTCAAGATGCTTGGGACAACATCGTCTCCGGCCTAGAGGCGCTTGGTGGCCCAGTAGATCATGATGGGGAGCGGACAGTATCCGTTGAAGAAGTCCCCCTGATTCAGGCTGATCTTAGCTGGGGCGATATCCTCCGCGAAGGAAGTGTCACTCAAATGCCGCGCCCATCACTCCTTGCCATCACCATGCTACCTGGCGCAGGCCAGAAGAAGCCGTGGGGCAACTCTCCGCCCATCCCTCCTCATCCCAGCATCGTCCAGCGTCGCATGGAGCTCCTCACGTCAGATATGCTCTCTCGCGCATTGACTCTTGTTAGTCGTGGGCAGCATGACCGGGCCTTCACACTGCTCAATGAGACTCGCTCTATTCTGAAGGGCCTCGGCAAGGGCGGACTTCCACCCGTGCCGGCTCCCAAGTCGAGTCCTTCAACGCCTCACCCCAGCAACGAGGCTTCTTCCTCCGCTACTGGATCACCGGACCGCAAGCGCAGCCCATCACCGCCAACATCTGCCGCCTCGTCGGCAGGAAACGGCAGTGGGCTTCCGTCGGCACAAATTCGCCCCACACGATCCGGCGAGGGTCTTACCCTGGGCACTGGCATCGATGCAAACACGGTATCGGCGCTCGACGCCGAGCTGGAAAGCAGTCTGGAGTGGATCAACCACCCGGCCGTCTTTGGCCGCGACAGCCGCAAGGCCGTTCTGCAAGCCATCGGCGTCATTTCTTCGCAGCGCGCCTTTACCTTTCGCAGTCCCATTGAGAGTCTCTGGGCCAATCGCGTGACTGGCATCAAGCGACTGGCCGACAAGAGCCGCGAGTGGCGCGAAGAAGGCGGCGGCGAGGGTGGCATCATGGAGGAGGCCTAGGTCGCCTGCTTTTGCCCTAGTATATCATGAACAGAGAGCGCCCAGCGGCTCTCGCTTTGCATTTATTACGACTGATTTGCAAGAAAAATCATCATCTCTAATCCCCCTTACGAAACAGTCATGACTATCAAAGACGCTCGTTTTAGCCCAAAGATGTGGCTTTACAAAATTCTTATTGTATCCCAGCTGGTTGGACTTGATCAGTTCAGTCACTAGACAATGTTTTTTATTTCTATTCTTTATCTTTTTGTTTTATCCATCTTTGGTTTTCTTTTTAGGTTCGCTCGTCTGTACGCCCCTATACCCGCCTCGGGCTGTATCATGCGATATGATGGCCTTTTTCTTGTCCATAGTTGTCACTATGTCTTGTCTCTTTTTTGTATTCATTTTTTTCTCCTTTTTTTGGATATCTTTCTTGTCCATTTCCTCTTGGATTTTCATCTGTCAATGACTTGATTATTTACATTACCTTTACGTTTTCGGATGGCAAGTCAAATACAGCACGTCCTACATCAATGTATGACTACAAGATGCCTGCTTCCCGTTTCCTTTCGCTATTGCTTCTTCCACCTTTTTTTTGGTTATGATCTTCTTCGATTTACCAAAGTACGCCCCTGCGCAACAGCAATAGCTACCTATTTGTCACTTTTCGCCGCGATAGACTAAAGCCAATGTCAATTTTACCCATGTGTACAGTGGCGTCTTGATGCTTGACCGTGAATGTAAACAAGTTTTGTAACGGGCAGGATATGTATGGGTATGGTAGTCGGACTTCTTTGGCCCTTGTTTATTTCGGTACGCCGCTCTCCGGTCCGGAGAACTTTCTAGACAACTTTTCTTTTCTATCAACAGCGTCCTGACCAGCCAGAGTCACCTCTTTCTTTCCTCTGGGCCGGATAGTTTTATAGGTATTGCCTCCTCGAGTCTGTGTACATTTTGCATCTTTTCTCCTCATGTATTTCCACCGCCATTCGAACTTCACTCCTCGGGTATGCGTTACATTTAGTCCTCATCCCAGTTCTAACTTCGTGTTAGCAAATACATGCATATATTTTGACGGGCAGGGATCAGAGGGGGGAACTCACGGGGTTAGGGCCTGGGGGCTTCGGGCCACCTGCTTGGCGAGCGACAATGATCTGATCCACAGACAGAACTGTGCGGGCAGCCTCAGTGGCGAGCTTAATGGCCCAATACTTGGAGGCTAGCAGATCGAGGATGCAGTCCTCCTGTGCGTCAAGAATACCAGTGCCGTTGGAGTTTTCGACATCGACGCCAGTGTCGCCATCCTCTTCCTTGTGGTGGGCGGCATATAATCTGGAAAGCACCTCGGTCGCGTCGAGACCGCAGCTCTCAGCAATTGTGCGGGGGATGACCTCAAAGGCCTCACCATATTTCTTGATGGCGTACTGGCTAAGGCCGGGAGTCTTGTCACCATGCGCCTGGATCTTGGTGCTCAGTTGAATCTCGGTAGCACCGGCACCGGGAACCAAGCGAGGATCCTTAGTGATAGCCTTGACGACATTGACGCCATCATCGACGGCACGCTCAATGTCGTCGAGGTGGTTCTGGGTGGCACCGCGAAGAACGAGAGTAGCCGTGCGGGTAACCTCATCCTCCTGGCGGAAGACGGTAACGCGGTCACCGCCAATTTCCATAGTCTCGACAATGTCAATGTTGCCCATTTCGTCAGGCATGGGGGCACCCAGACGGGCCAGGGGCGTGGCGCCGACGACACGGCATATTCTGCGGAGGTCAAACTTGGAGAGAATCTTAATGGCAAGGATGCCGAATCTGTTGAGGTAGTGGAGGGCGAGATCGCCAATGCGGTCGCCGCAGACGACGACACGGACACCGGCATCGTAAAGCTCCTTGATGGCCGTCTCGAGCTGGTTTTCCTCGCCCTTGGTGAAGTCCATCATCTCCTTGGCGTTGTGCAACAGAACGGTACCCTTGGTCTCAGTCTGGCTGGTATCGATGGGGCAGGTGTAAACGGCGACCTTGGAGCGACGAGCCTTCTTGATGGAGCCGTGAGGCTCCTTAGGGAAGACCATGCCGCGGACGACACGGCTCTGTTCCAGGCTGCCACCCATAATCTTGACAACGCGGATGTTGTCGACGTTGAAGTTGGCCGGGTTTTTGGGCAGAACAGCGAGAACAGCCTCGGCGACAAGGTCGGCCAGGGTATCTTCGTTGCCGTTTTGCTTGCTGGCAATGACGGTGCGCAGAGCCTTGGTGAGCTCCTCCTGGTCGCGAAGGCTCTCGACCTTGTCGACAGCTAACTTCTCTAGTGTGTCAAGGGCAAACTTTTGAGCCTTTTCGTAGCCCAGAACAATGTCCGCTGTCTTGAGACCCATGCGCAGCAGGTCCTCGGCCTTGCGGAGCAGCTCGCCGGCGAGGATGATGACGAAATTTGTAGCGTCACCCATTTCGGCCTCCTGCTGCTGGGAGGCCATAACGAGAAGCTTAGCGGCTGGGTGGACAACATCGAGCTCGCGGAGGATCGTAGCAGCGTCGGAGGTGAGGATCATCTTTTGCAGGTGGTTGATGACGACCTTGTTGCGGCCGTACGGGCCCAGCGAGGTCTGGACAGTCTGGGCAATGGCGCGGCAGGCGTCGATGTTGCGTAGAACGGCGCCATCTTCGGAGTCGTAGCTGTGGTAGGGGGGGAGGCAGAGTTAGCAATTGTGTGTGTTTGGGAGACTCGTCGTGCGGTGGTGGCGGGGCATAGGGGTCGCGGGGAGCAGTAAGGTTGGGGGAGGCGGCACGTACTTGTTGTAGCCCTGCTTGAAAAGACCCGAGTTAGGGGCCTGAGGGATATTGAGGGACATGGTAAAAGATCGGCCTGCGTCGAGAGGTGAAGCGGTGACGGGATGCTGTCGTTGCTTCGGCGGTGGTGATGTCGCTTCCAAGAGCTTCCACTTCAAGGTACTCTGGAAAATCTTGGGAAGTGGATTCGTGTGGTGCAGTACCTACCTTTTGGAGGAGAGGCGGCGTTTGGTGGGCTGCCTGGGACTGTGCCTGGCGGTACAAGTACGTGGCGATACCTGGCATGGCAGCTGTCAGGCTATGTACCTGCTACTACCTCTAGGTAGGAAAGCTCGCCGCCTTTTCAGAGCTGTCTGGTTTGGTCAGGGCAGGCATGCAATTGAGGGTGCGAAAGTCGAATTCTCGAGTGAGAAAAATTCCCCATCACATCCTACCTTTGAATCCCTCCTCTTTTTCTTCTGCATATCATCTTGCGCTGCGTGACTCTAGTCTGTCAACACTTGGCTACCGTGGGTGGTTGTTCTTCCAGCGGTCTAAGTAAGTACCCTACAGATATTATAGTCACGGTCACGAGCTTCGTGTGGTGGTTTACGGCGATGCATCGATGCATGCCATCTATCTCGTGCTCTTATGGGTGGTTTATTTGCAGGACAAGTCGACTATTGCGGTGCTCCCACTTGTGTATTGGGTTTCGTGTCCTGGTGCTCTCTTTAAGTCCACCCAGCTATAAGTGAGACTATCACTGACAATAGGTTCACATTCATACACTGCTGATCGCGGTCTATAGGACGAGAAACCGTCATTGAAAGCCACTATACAGTTTACTATCATAGCAGCGACCTTTGTCCATCAACAGAATCTAGGAGACATCGCGGCTCTCGATGTCGGCTCATATTACTGTTGTGGCGTCGCGACGCACAAGCCACAACATGAGTACTGACACTGATGGGGCGCTGCGCTCGCCACAGCCGACCGTGCGTGGACTTCTGCTCTGCGCCAACGCTACCTACCGTGGTGCTACCTACCTCAGGTATTCGCCAAAGGGCGACAGTGCTTGAACCACCTTCATCCCGAAACCGAATTTTCCTCTCTCCACGCCCACACATCGCCATCGCATCATTGAGCATCCGACCCATCCTTGCGCTCGCCCTTTGGCATCGCGCTCTTTCTATCTCACCCGAGTATCCCACCGAAATCGCACCCAAAGCGCCACTGCGCTCCCTCTGCATACGTCAAGTCCGCAATTGCTGCCAGAGACAACGCGATGGCACCACAGACTGGTGAGTACATATCCCGCCGCCTCCAGCCCCGTTATGTTCGCAACCCGTGTGTCACCTCGTGTGCGTCATATTCGTCCCAATTCAACTTTCCATTCACCTTGCCGCCTTCACCTTGCCACGGCCGTAGCACCATGCAGTGCTTGGCCCGTTCAAGGCTACAAACCATCCACCCACCGGGCCATCGCATTTGTCGCCAGGGCACAGAAACGAAAGATTGCAGGCACTGACATCGAAAAAACTAGCCATTCCCCCCTCACTTCCACCCTCAGTCGAGGAAGCGTACCGCCGAAAATGTGTCCAGCTCAAAAACCGCACAAACGAGGTCGAGGAGGCCAACGATGCCGCCAGGCTCCGGCTGACGCGCATCAAGCGCCAAGTCGAGAAGCTGCGTATTGAGCGCGCATTCCTCCTTGAGCAGCTCTCCAAGCGCACGAGTGCCAACGTTGAGGATTCAGAAGGCAGCCCCAGCCCACCACCAACAGTACGTGTCACTGCAGACGTCAGCCCGAGATTGTTCAACATGAGCCTGTCCGGGGCACTCAGCTAACGCAAACAACCAGCCCAAGGACAAGCCGCTGCGTATAAAGCGCGGCCACCGAAAGGTGTCTACCATTGCCGAGGATGGCAAGGAGGATGGCGGCCCCGAATCGCCGACTCAGGAAGGCGGCGCGCGAGGAAGCAAGCGAGCCAAGACCGCCAATGGCGTCCGAAAGTCGAAGAAGAACACCACTCATAAGTCGGCCTTTGAGCTCTATTGCGACGAGACGCGACCCATCCTGGAAGCCAAGAATGTTGACGACTTGAACATCGAGGAGGAGCTCACCAAGGGCTGGAAAGAGCTCGCCGAATTGGACAAAGATTCGTACCGGAAGCAGGCCGAACAGATTGCCGCCAAGCAGAGCGAAGAGAAAGATGATTCTCCCGAAGCCGACGCGGCACCTGGCAAAGAAGCCACTGATGATAAGGATGATGAGAAGGCTGAGGATGGTGACGACAACAAAGGCGACGGCGAGGACGACGATGTCGAGATGGCCAACTACGATACGGACGACCAAGAGACACAGTTGGATTAGAAAAGAGTAGGATGCCAATACTAGGGATGGCGACGAGGGCACGTGTATTTTATGGCGTTTGATGCTACCTTTTACGTACTTTGAACGCTTCTTCGAGCAACGGATTTGTCTTTGCCCTCTTTTTGGAGATGTTGCATACTAGAAGCAGGTATAAAAAGATTGGGATTCAACCTTTGCTTATATTGACATCTCTTGCGCAGCGCGGGCTCTTATCCTGCCAGCTGACAGCGCTGCAAACTTGCCTGTCTACTTTCTTCTTTGTATGCTTTTACAAACCTTCCTTATTCCCATTGTATCACCGTGAAAAACAGCTGTAGCAAAAACACATATCGAGCCAAGAACAAAAATGACGTGCAGAATGAGCAAAATGTACAAATCGCTATCCAGAAGAAGAAAACAGCCGTGCCAGAAAGCAAGTTGCGAGAGGGCGGCAGTCAGTGGCCTACTCGCCAGCGTACAAATCGACAATGATGTTGATACCAGCGACAACAATTTCCATTGCAATGAGCACAATCACTGAAAAGGAGGGCAGGGCCGGTTAGCTGTTGTGATTTTCGAGCCTAGACAGCACCAGAGGGAGGGGGGAACACATACCGATCCATTCCAGCTTTTCGCCGTGGCCGTGGCTCAGCTGGTCCTTGAGCACGGCGAGGAGATCGGCAATGACGTCCAGGCGCTCCGTCAAGAGGCCGACGCGCTGGTCCATCTCAAGGTAGCTGCGGACGGCCTGGTAGACGGGCTCGAGCTGGGGCTCGACCCAGAAGAGCTCGGGCGTGTCAAGCACGGAGCCGTTGAGGTGGATGTTGATGCGCAAAATGAAGAGCTCGCCAATCTGCATGTTAATTTGCGACCTGCTCAGCGCAATCTTGCCGGTGAGGGCAATTTGCGTGGGAATGTCTTTGCACGTCTCGATCGTCGACGAGATGAGCTCCTCGAACAAGGACGTCTTAACGTCTGTTAGCTTTGTGGTTCTGCCAAGAACAGGAAAGAAGAAGGCTAGAAGCTCACCTTGACGCTCTGGGCCAGGGCATGCGAAATGGCCAGCTTGGTCATGTAGTTGTTTTTGTCGCGCAGCGTGATGAAGTCGTTGTAGATGCGAGCTTGATACTCTTTGGTGTAGTAAAAGTTGAACTGCTCCGTTTCCACATCATCCGGTGCTAGCTTCTCCTGCTCAAACTTTGAGATATGCTTGAGGAATCGCGCTTCTTCGCTCTCCGACATGCCCCATATTACCACGACGCCGTAGTCAAACAGGAACACCTCGGGCGTGTGGACCTGTGTATCAAAGTCTGGCACAACGTCGCCGACATTGTTAATGCTGGCGCCGAGCAGGTCTTCCTCTATAATTTGGTCCGTGGCAATGTCATGCTCCGACGTCGCAAACTCGTCTCCGTAGCCCGAGTTGTGGCGGTCCGGGTCAAGGGCGACAAAGGAGTCGTCGGCGCCGCCAGTCGAGTGGCGACGCTGGTAGGACATGACGGGGTCGCGCCGGCGCGGCGGATCCTTGGCATAGGCGTAGGGGGTGTATATGCACTCGTCGATGAGCTTCGGGTGGGCGCCACGGGCCTTCCCGCGTCCCTTGAGGAAGCGCATCAGGCTGTCCATGTCGTAGCGGTTGGCGGTGCAGTAGGCTGTGACGCGCGGCAGCTTGCTCCTGTCCGACTTGCCGAGGCGGGCGGCGTCGCGGCGAGCGTTGGGGTCTTTGATGCGCGTGTACTGCGAGTAGACATCGCGGCCGCTCTCCTCGTCGGCGTCGTCCTCGTCGAGCTCTGGGTTCGGTAGCAGCTTGAGCTTCTCCGTCTTCTTGGTGCTGCGTTGGGGGCCCAGCTTGGCCCCAAACGGCGCCGGGCTCAGCGCCGGGACCGCCGATTGGCTGTTGCGTCGCCGGAGCTTGTTGTTGAGCGCCGTCAGCACCGGCGGACCGCCCGCGGTGTTGAGAGCTGACGCTCCCGAGCCGGTGGCACCACTCGGGATCCCGACGGCGACGCTGCTCGGTTTTGAGGCCACGACCCGCGTATCGGGCTCAATCGTGCGTGTGACGGGGTTGGCACTGAATTTGACATTTCGGGAGGCTTTCGGACGAGATTCGACTATTGGGAGCAGCGGCTCTCGCTCGCCGCTGGGTGATACTGTTGATGAGTCCATGACGTGCAAACAGTGTTGGGAAGCAATGTGCGGAGGTGTCTCGGAGTAGCTCTTCCTCTCAATTAGCCGGCATATATCCCCTAATTATTCGTACACATAGCGAGAAATTGTAGAAGCAGTGTGCGTGGTTGCGGAAGCACGGCAAAAAGCGAAGAAATGTAGCTAATGCTGATGGATCGTCACTGGCCGCGAGACTTTTTGGACTGGCATGAATGATCATGTTGCTGCGCCGCTAATTTACTAACTTATTCTGTAAGAGCACTAAAGCTTGTCCTCATTCGGCGCTGCCAGATCTCCACAAGTGAGTGCAGGCAAACAGGCAGCCCTGTAAGGCACGTCGTGGCGCTACATAAACCTGCTAGCGCATAGTAGCACCTATTTCATCACTCTTCTAGAAGGAAGCCTCACCATTCGCTGGTACAGATGTTGTACGAGGCTGCAAGCTAGATGAATTCCAAAAATGCCAAAATATTCAAGATCACTTTAATCAACCGTCTCGACCTCGAAATGGAATCCGGCGCCCTCGAGTCGATCAACAAAGGTCTGCCCGAGGCAGGCCGGCGTGTAGACACCACCGTCAAGTTTGATATCATCTTCGAGCACGGTAGCGGCGGCTTCTGCCAACAGAATGCCGGTCACTTTGCAGTGTTAGTGTCGAGATACGAGCGAGATTTCAAATTGAAGTCACTTACAGACGTAGGGGCTGCCATCGTATCGTGCCTTGACAAAAGCCTTCTGCGTGATGTCCTCGTCGTCAGGCACAGCAATGCCTCGGTACTCAAGCATCTCCTCGGATCTGGCCTGCCGATCAGAACCACCTCCAGGCTGAGTGACAAGGCTCTTTAGCAGGCCGCGGACCGGTGGCAGCAATGCGAGCACGACAGTGGCCCATAGCAAGCCCCAGTGGACGAACAAGCCCTGGAACCAATTGTCTACTCTCATATACTGCTTCCACACAAACTTGTTGCCGTAGTATTCTGCCTTGCGCGAAGGGATCTCTGGGAACAGGCCCCAGGTGCGTTCCACAATAGCAGCGTCCGTTGCGTCGGCCATGGAAGACGTAAGGCGGCCGAGATACGGATTGTAGTGAGATCCAAACAGTGCATGTGCCAGAGGCAAGCTCTGTCTTTCTGGCTTCTCCGTATGAGGAGTCGGCGACAGTGCATATGGTGCGAACGCGGCACGAATTTCGGAGAGGGAGAAGACGTCGAAGAGGCCAAGAACTGTGGCGAGAGTGCCACCAGACAGCGTTCCCCTGAAATTCTCTGATTAATATGCCAACGACCGGACAGAAACGATCATATGGGTGACTCACTTGACCTTGTGAATGCATATGGTGACCTCCTTGGTATCGGCTTCGAGCTCATCACGAACATGCTCAGCTAGCAGCCAAGTGGCGAGGTCAGAAGGCGCAGACTCGACGCCAATCTGTGGAACCATGATGGCACCGGACGCTTTTGCGGCATCTTCATACTTCTTGATCATGCTACCCACCCATACGGCCTCGCCTGTCACGTCAAAGTAGTGAGTGCCCGACTCGGCACATACCTTGAAGACCTTTTCGCCATATTTGCAATAAGGGCCAACAGTCGACAGTAAGACCCTAGTCTTGACCGCGAGAGCCTTTAGGCCTTCTTCGTCGCCGATATCTGCGATTTCAATGCCTGTGAGAAACACTTGGTTAGTAGGCGCTCACAAGCGCATAATGTAAACGAGGGTTCGAGCAAGTCAAATGCTAACCAGGTGGTGAGCGGTCCGCATTGAATTGCTTGCACTCCTCAACTACAGCCTGCAGCTTGGCTTCAGATCGACCTGCGACGGCCCATTTGATGTTGGTTGGTAGGTTCAGGGCAATGTGCTCAGCCGTCAATTGACCAGTGTAACCTGTTGCGTCATTAGAGGCCGTAGAGCTTACAGCTGCGGTAATGAAAGTACCTGTGGCGCCCAAGACAACAATGTCGTATTTTCGATTTTGCCTGCGTGGTGCCATTTTATCAATTGATCACAGTTCGCGGCGACTATCTGGTGCGGGGCCGTGTATGAACAGACGATTGATGTTGATGAGACGCGACTGGATCTCGAGGATCAGGGGAGAGGTATGTGAATCTGTGTGGCAGGTAGGCCTCGATAATGCGCATTCACTGGATGAGAGCAGTAAAGTTGCGATTGAAGAATAGGTTGTAGGAGGGATGTTGGATCATCGAAGAGTAGATCAAGGACCCATCCACCACTACATTCTACGATATATCATTTTATCACGGAGACGTCGACGCAACAGGCAACTTTGGAAAACGTGGTGGCGGGTATTAATTCGCAGCTCCGTCCCCATGCGTACCAAGCTACCGAGGTAGCTTCATCGCGTTACGGCTCCGACTCCACGTCTAGCCGCATTCAGCTTCTGCACCACGTGATTCATCACGTGATCTTTTCTACTTTTCTCCACCGAACCCACCAGCCGCCACACTTTGGCAATTCGCTTGGCCGCCCACAACCACTCACGTGCTTGCCCTAAGGAAAATCACAACTCGCAACTTTCCTAGCACCATTTGGTGGAAACCGACCGGATCGCCATTTGCACTCACACCTCAACAACCCAAATCACATATCACCGCCAAAATGACCAAGCGCACGAAGAAGGTCGGAGTTACGTACGTACACCAAGCAATTGCAATAATCCATTCATCATTTACTGACTAGTGTTACAGCGGCAAGTACGGCACTCGGTAAGTCGACGAAAGCAATCATATCCTACGTCTTCAATATTCGATTCGATCCGGCAACAATTCTTGTATCCACAAAGCACTACGACAAACCACGATGTACGCTCGCGAAGAGACGATAATTTACTATTTGTATGGATCACTGCGGTGACGAGCGCGTTTGGACAATGTATAGAACAAGAAAGACCAACACGAGCTCAAAATGGAAGCGCGCATGCCCTTTGCGACCAGGTCATACGGACACCTCGCGCATCGCGACACACAAATCATTGCCGGAACGAATCGAATATGGAAGACAAACTCTACAGCAGACGAAAGCTAATCCTGTACCTACAGCTACGGTGCTTCTCTGCGTAAGCAGGTCAAGAAGATGGAAGTCAGCCAGCACGCCAAGTACACCTGCACTTTCTGCGGCAAGGTCACCGTTCGCCGCCAGTCTACCGGTATCTGGAACTGCCGCTCTTGCAAGCGCACCATGGCCGGTGGTGCTTACACCGTTGCGTACGTCCTTACCCTCAACCCTCACATACCATGACGACATGTTGGAAGCAAAAAGCTCGGGATCGATTATTTGACGGATGGAACCGAAACTAACACTGTGCGCCACAGCACCCCTGCCGCTGCTGCTATGCGCTCGACTCTCCGTCGTCTGAGAGAGATTGCTGAGGTTTAAAGGGGACGAGGAGTTTTTCGGGGTGATGAAAAAAATCAGGTGGACACATACGGCATTTGCTTTTCGGACGGTGTATGGGGAACATGGTTTTGCGTGCCTGCACTACGAGTCGACGAATTTTTGTATGTTCGACAAACCGACTTTGATCACAAGAGGTCAGTCGGTAAAGCAATGAAAAAAACAAAAAACTCGCAAAAACCAGCTTCGGATTTTCTTCATATGCCAAGCGACGTGATTCGGGATTTGCTGGATTTATTTTCCTTTGCTTTGAGCCGGCCTTGGAGATTACAGGCCATTAAATTCCGGCTCACAGCAGTGTGAATGAACTAACAATGTAGGTTGTGACACAGCGCCATTCGCACGATGATTTGGTCAACTCCATGACTGAGCGCCATTCACAGTCTGCTTTGGGCAGCTGTCCTAAGACGTGACTTATACTCGGCTGTGTACCTCATAGCTGCCTACGTGTGCACGAAAATGTGTCTATCGGATAGATCCAGATACACAACCGCCAACGCGGGGGCGGATGTTGCCTGTGCCGGAGTTGTTTCGATGCCGGTCTGGTGGGGTGGTCTCTGTCACGCCTGCTGCACACACCAGGCGGTTGGCGCTGGTGACCTGTAATAGGTAGTTTGTAAATGCCTGATCCGTTTCGCAGATGCACCACGTGCTTGTGTGACATGACACGAAAGGACATGTTGTGTATTTGACTCCCCACCGAAGTGGTCATCTGGCAGAATAGAAAAGTCCAAGTACAGGCCGAGTGACGTGCAGTGAGTATCTGTTAAGTACCTTATTACCTATAATTAGACACGCAGGCAACATAAGGTATCGTTGCGAGCCGTCGCCAGGCTGGTGGGGTAATAGACAGACTTCTGTGCCTGGTCTCCCACCAAACGTTGTCAAACAGACCAGCCGCGACGGTAGGCGACTTGACAAAGATTTTGAGTATATGGCATTCCGAAAACTGGAGGCATGCGGTAAGAGGAAGATTGAGAAGCCATCAGAAATTTTCTGGATACAACTTTAGTTGTGACGCAACGCGAGAGCCTGTCACTAGCCGTGGGTGAGCTGGGTGACTTGTTCCCTTTAGTTAAAGACAACAGACTACAAGCAGATCAAGCCACGGCTACAGCTGTTTTGCGCGTGCACTTGATTCGGTTGAATCTTTATGAGAATATAAATACAGCATCTGCCCAGCAATCATGGGATTTCATACCCTCTCACGTACGCTGACCAAGCTATGGCCCAGGCCCCTTGCATCTCTGACACTACAGTGGAGGCTGTAAGTGAGACCTATCATTGGACACGCTGATAATGCACTTAAAGAATGAAGAAAACAAAAACCGCGGAGTTGTTCCGCTTCCGAAGCGGCACTTTTCGAAACAGTGAGCCTTGTATTTTGAGCATGAATATGTATAGGTGCATGGCTAACAGCCCACAGCGAGCGTGTCGTGTCACAAAAGGAACCACTTGCATTCTGCAGTGCCACTAATCCTGGCGGTTGGTCGGAGTGCTGCAAAACATGCCGTGTCCATGCCAGTAGTACTGGGACTATTACGGAGTAGAGCATCTTAGATGAAGGACTAGATTCTATGGCACCCGAATCATCAACTCGCCACCTCATTCGATCTGGCGTCATCGTTAGGACGCATTTTGGGGCGACGTGCCTATTTAGCCCAGTTGTCCATGACACCCATGTAGTCTGCAACTGGGTTTGTACCTACCTAGGATTAGATGCATTCTGCACTGCACGCGTGACCCCCGCCCCCCCCCTTCATCAGATAGTTGAGAAAGTGCTGATGGACGATGACTTCCACGAAATATGTTGGCCTGTGCAGCGAAAACATCTCTGCTGGCCTGTTTCCCGAGCCTACCTAGGCAGGTTTTACAGCGATGGCCTCGAGCTGACCTGCACCGATTGTTGCGTGGCACGTTGGCTTACACACCTCCAGGTAGCTCAAACAATTACGACGGTTACTCTGACACGGTCTACAGGCGCGGTGGCGATGCATACCGTCGTCGCCATCATCTAGGTATAGGTGCACGCATTCCTTTTACCTACGCGTACCAGCCGGACCGCGCGCCAGACAATAAGTCGGCGCGACTGATGCCTTGGACACGGTAATACCGACCAAGGCTGGCTCTGGTGAGGTATGGGCCTCAAGGGCCTCAGGCTGCGACTGCGACCGCGACGGCGAGTGCGGGGGCTCCGTCGGTGCTAAGTTACGTGAATGCTAGGTACCTACCTACAAGACGGTGAGCCGTTGTGGCCAGAGCTGCGAGGGCAAGAGTTAGCGGGGCTTCACCGGCGTGTGCCTGGATATATTTATTGCCTGAGACGGAGACAGATGGACGCCCTAGGAAAAGGCATGAACGGTTGGCAGGCACGCAGGCAAATGGCTGCTTGAACCTGGGAGTCGGGCGTCTCCTGTAGCTGATGAGATGGGGCGGGGGTTGCGGCGAGTGATGTGAGTGATGATTGGTCGAGCAAGTTGATGAGCCATTGGTGTCTCAAATGCACAACCAGTTTTGCATGTTCAGCGGAATTGGAGGAGCTTTGCGGCAGCGGCGGCGGCGGCATTTTGATTATTCTTGTTTTATTTCTGGGATCTGGTAATAACGACTGGGTCGTTATAGAGAGTGCAGGCGACGAGTCGTAGAGGTTCTTGGGTGACTCGATGACATGGTCGAGGGCGGGACCAGCCGGGTGCATCCACGAAGCCCCATCAAGCATCAAGTGGCTATTTTGCGTGATGGGATGTGCCAGCCAGCTAGTCGGTAGAAAGCTGTTATTTTATCTGAAAAGAGTGTTTTGAGGCGGGACAAGGCATGAATAAGCATTTAGGGGGCTGTCTGTTTCCGAGTAGGTGTTCATTGTCGGCAGGTAGACAGCCAATTCCACAGACAGCCACCTCCATGCCGCCATAACTTTTAGGTCAGCTAAGCAGGTACCTCGGTATGGCAGAGCCTTGGGTAGACAGAAGCGTACCTTTATAGCGCCCACAAGGTTTATCTAGGCAAGTAGTTTTGGCCCACTACAAGTCTGTAAAGTCGTGGCGTCGTCACGCCTGGGGCAGCCCCACTGGTTAGGTGCGCATGTAAAAGGTAAGGGTGCTGTGAGAGTGCCTGATTTGCCCGTTGCAAGCTTGCATCTTTTCCATCTTTTCCCATTCGTGAGCCCACCTGCGTTTCTCTCTCTCTCTGCTACTAGTATCCAGGGTTTTATTATTCTATATCAATACCCATCGAGGTTGGTCACCGCTCTCGTCAACAGCCGTATCAACCCCTCAACTCTCTGTGGCTTGTTTGCATGTACCTGCAGTAGGTACTTGCACAAGTCTGCCAGCAACTACCGCCCGCCTTTTTTAGCCTGACCCAGCTGGGCTGTCCAGTGTCCTCCCTGGACCCTCTGTGACTTCTTCCCTTACCTTGGTTCCTTTTTCCCATTTCCGCCTGCTCCTCTCTGCCTACCGCCGCCACTGCGCCGCCTACCTTTCGCACCCAAAACTCTCTGCGGCCACGCTGCACATCATCCACCACCACTACCTAACCTACCTAGGCACTTTAAACAGTTGTCACGCTCAGCACCACGAACCAGATTGCTCGCCTCTCAACTCTCCGGCCCGTCTCTTCTTCTCTATTATACCCTCACTCTTCCATTGCGGCTCCCTTTTCATTCTTCTTTTTGTTTTTACATGTTTTCATCAGACTCGGGTCCGTATTGTCGCAACCGGCACCATGTCTGAGCCTGATCAGTGCATCATATGCCTGGATCACCTACCCACGCCCGCTAGCATTAACGGCGCTTCCTCTGACGATTCCGTCACCGCTGCTCTCGAGCATCAGATCGATGACCCCGAGGATAGTTATCTCAACATCGTCGCTGCCTTGGATGGCTGCGAACACATTATTCACGATGCTTGCATCCGCTCTTGGGCTCAAAAGACAAACACATGCCCTATATGCAGGACCCCATTCCACTCGGTGCGCGTCTACAATGGCGTCGACGGTACGACAGTTACTCCCGCCCTTGACACCTCTCTTTTTTCTTCTTGATTTAGGAAACCAAAAATGTTGTGAAACACTGCTGACCGATTTATTCACCCCATTAGGAACCGCCGTTTCGACATATGACGTACAGGATAAGAAGCAGGTTGCCGAGTTCGACGTTCAGCAGTGGCTAGGCGACAACGCCGAAGAAGAAGAAGAGGCAACGAATCCGTGCCCCGTCTGCAATTCGGCCGAGCGAGAAGATATCCTGCTCTTGTGCGATAGCTGCGATGCGGCCTATCACACCCACTGCATCGGACTCGACCACATTCCTGATGGCGACTGGTATTGCATCGAGTGCGCCCACCTCTTTGAGCTCACAGAGGATTCACAAAACGCGCCCGAGCCCGAAGCTCCTCAACAACGCCCCAGGCAGGTTCGTCGTCCAGTTCCTCGCCAACACCGCGGCTTTCATGTCCGTACCCGTGCCCGTCTGCGGCGGGCTCGCAGGCAAGCTCGCAATGCCGAATGGCAGGGTGCTTGGGGCCAGTTCTCTGGTCGTTTCTACGAGATGAGCGACCTCGATCTCGACAACCACGAAGAGGATGAGGATCTCGAGAACTTTCGCCGCTTCCAGCAGCTCGACCGCCGTGAGCTTCAACGCTGGCAGCAACGCATGAGCATTGCCAACCGCCTTGGTGCCCGTGATGCCTTCGTTCGCACTATCCCTCCCCAAATTAGCGAGCGCCTGGAAACCGTCGCAACCCCGCCACCCCTGCCACCTATTCAGGAGACTCGCGATGAACGGAGAGCCTGGGGTGCCCTTGAAATGGCTCGTGAAGTCGACGGGATCCCCGCTGCTAATGCACGCAAACGCAAGGCGAGGTCCTCAACCGCATCCCCTGCAGAGCCCGTGCCCGAGCCCGAGAGGAAGCTGAAACGACCGCGAACTCGCCGTTTACCAACACATGGCGAGGCCTCTGCATCCGCCTCGTCGCCAGCTGCGCCTGGTCCTTCCAATCAACAGCAGACCCGACCAGCCGTTGCGACGTCTCCTATCAATAGCTCGTCGTTGCGACCAGGACAACTCCAGCATTCACCAAACGAACCCGCCCTCGTCTCTGCGCTGCTCAAGGAATTGGAACCCAGTGTGCAGCTCGATGATGAGATTGGCGCGGCGCTACCTACACGGCACATGCCTGATGCATCCTCTCCGGCCATATCACCATCACCTTCAAATCACAGCAGTCCAAGGGCTATGTCGTTAACACCACCTCCACCCCCACGACTCAATGGGCGCCCTAATTCCCCGACACTCTCCCTCAGCACTCATATCGAACCCGTATATGCCCCTGCAAACTATTCACCCAACCGGTACAGCAGCGATCACAGTGACACTGAGTTATGGCCTGTGCGGACGGACCCAGTTCGAACCGTGGAAATCCGCCAGCCACGACCTCGCCGGCCTCAATCAACCATTGGTCGCACAGCTGACAGCTCTCCGACCAGGCTCTCTATGACCCAAGAGGACAAGAAGAGCATCAACGAGATTGTCAAATCGGCTCTGCGACCACACTGGCGTGCGCAGAAGCTGACTACAGAGCAATACGCCACTATCAACCGGAATATTTCCCGGCAGCTATACGAAGAGGTTAAAGACGCTTCTGTGCTTGACGAAGCCACCCGACAGAGATGGGAGAAGAGAGCCCATCAGGCTGTCGCACAAGCCATGTCTGATCTGGCAGCCTCATAATGATGACCACGAGACGAAAACACAAGCCGACAAGCTGCATAACACAACTTCTCGACACAGTGCTGTACTGAACTGTATATCAGGCGTTGGGGATTCCACTTTGTGTGTATTTATTTTCCGGCGATACCAATCTCAATGTCCTGCATGGCGCAAAAATGCAACACTACGTTCAAGGGCACTATATAGGGAGCAGCCACCCATGCATTGCAGGCATAAAGGCGTTAATCATGTTTTGGCAAGCGAAAAGAATGTCTGCTGTACTTATTGGCTATATAGGATTGTATTTCTTTTTCAAATTGTTTTGAAGGTTTTGAGGCAACCGGGTGATCAAACCAAGGCGTTTCAAGGCCACGGGCCTGTTTACAGCAGGGTCATTTTTCTGTGTTGATAGCGATTCTTTTTCTTAGCACATTGAACATTGCTGCTCATCTCAGCTAGCGTACAGGAAGGGGAGGTGATGCATCTGATTTGTCTTGGTTGTACGATGTTGTTCTTTTAGAATACACACATGTCGCATGTTTTGTCAATGACAACCCGATGCATGCACATCAAAAGAGAATCTTTACCAAGGATGCGTGTGATTTTACATGGCATGTCAGCAGTATCTATCTAACAGGACCCGGTGGAATTATAAAAAATTGCAGGTACCGCTAGCGAAAAGACTGCGATGATCTCTCTGGGCACTTGTAAAATGATCAGGACGTTTTGGGGTATGCAAACAAGTCTTGACGATAAGGAAAACGGTGCCTTGAAGAGAAGAGAAAAAGGAAAAGAAACCAGCCACGGCTGGTGTCGTGGTTTTTACTCAGTGGGCTGGACGCTGTTGGCAGCCTGAGGATTCAGGTGGATGCAGTTACCTAAGCATCTTTTTGCCCTCTGACCAAGTTTTGCTGGTTGCTGGATGCTCTGCTGTCGCGTGCTAATAAAACATTCTGGGTGGCCGAAACAGTGGGTAGCAAGGAGCCCAGCAAGAGCAGAGCGCAACACCAAAATCTTTCCCACGTTCGAGCAGTCGGGGACAGGGCAAACCAGTTTCAACGGGACAGCCATGTCTTCATCAAGCAGGGGAAGCCGGACGTTACGTTCTGTTATTTCTTGTAAGTCTCTTCCCGATCAACTCTCCCGCTATTTTTACTCGTCAATTGGCGCTGTGAAGCAAGCTGGGCAGCGCCCTCAAAAAACGGTTTCCCTTTGATATGCTCTTCCTAACCCCCATCATCACCAGCTTCCTCCTCGAGCATCTGCTCTCGCTGCGCCGCCACCCGAGCCACCCCCGTGCGCTTCTATTCTGCCGCCGCCACCTCAACCACCCCTTCATCTCCCTCGCAACCACCACCATCAGCATCCTCGCCGACCGCCGCCGCCGCCCCCTACGACATTCGCTCCGGGCTCGTGCTCACGCGGCCGCCGCTCCTCACACGGCCTTTGCACCCCTTCGAGAATGCCTTCTTCTTCTACCAGAAGCGTCTTGAGGAGCGTCTCAACACGGCCTTTATCCCCAGCATCTACTACAAGCCCGACACACCGCGGCGACTCGACTGGGACCTCAAAGTCAAGGAGCGCCGCGGCACCGTCGCCAAGGAGCTCGGCGACTATCACGGCAAGAGCGCGACGGCGTGGGACGACGAGCTGCTTGTTGGCGACGCGCTGAGCGACCCGGAGACGACGGCCGCGAGCTTGCTCAAGGACGCGCAGGCGCGCATCAGCGACGACGCCGAGGTCATTGCCCCCGAGGACCTGGTCGAGGCGCCGGCGCCGGTGCCGCGCACGACCGAGGCGGATGAGCGAAACGATGTCAGGCGTCTGGATCGCAAGCTTGACCAGACGCTGTATCTCGTTGTTAAAGGCGAGGACGGCTGGGGTTTCCCCGCTGACGTCCTCACCGAGTCGGAGAATCTTCACGTTGTACGTTCACACACTCTCTCTTCCTCCTTTGCCCTACCTGGACAGAATAATCAGTGAAGAAGAATACAATCAACACGCGGGGGAACAAAAACAAGAAAAAGAAGAGAGAAAAAAAAAACTAACATTTTCATCCAATCAGGCCGCCAAGCGAGTCCTTGAACAGGCCGCCGGCGTCAACATGAACACCTGGATCGTCGGCCGCGTTCCCGTCGCCCACCTGATCGATGAGCCCGCCCTCGCCGCCGACGGCGCCGTCCAGAAAAAGGGTCGCAAAACTTTTTTCCTCCGCGGCCGCATCATGGCCGGCCAGGCCGACCTCAAGGACAACGCCCTCGGCTACACCGACTTCAAGTGGCTGACGCGCGACGAGCTCGCCAAGGAGCTACCCCAGGCCTACTTTCGCGGCGTGCGCAACATGATGTCGGACAGGTAACCATGGGCAGAGGAGAGCAGCAGGCTTATCGCGAAGGCGCGAAAAAAAAAAAACGGTCAAGTTGCAAGAGGAAAGTACGAGTGTATAAATATAGCATGGAAGGGGTAGAGAGACGAGGCCAAGTTCCTTGTAATCAAGTAGATCTGTACAATCATCTTCGCTGCATGCGATAAAAGCTTATTTCTTTATAGCTTTTTTGTTTAAAACAAATGTATACCAAATCTACAGTGACGCATTTCCATTTATAAAGACTAACGAGGGAGTGTGCCGGATTGTTCACGCCACAGCATGCAGTAGGCACCACGTGCGCAAACTTTGATTGCAAGCGAATTCCGCAAACTAGTAGAATAAATGTAGCCCTCGAGATGATACATATTATGGCCATGATCAATAAGGGGAGATTCTGCTCGAAATAAGTGAAGAAAAAACCAAAAGAGACCAAACTCGGTCCATCAACGGGATATCCTTCCAGCCAGCCTAGTCTTGACAAAAAAGTGAATAGCCCTTTTACCCCAACGCCAAAGACTCCCAAGCAAACCTCGGCAATCAATCCTGCCACAAACACACACAGACCCATGCACGCCCAGAAACTAAACACCCCATAGTTTCGTTCATTTCACTTTCCGATCCTCTCTACGCAGGCTTGGCCTGGCCCTCGACAAAGTTGAGGGCGTCCTCGCGGGGCACGCAGTTGACACCACTCGTCTTATTGTGGAACGTGACACCGTAGCACTTGTCAGCCGTGTGCACAATCTCGGGACGGAACGTGGTGCAGATGAACTGCGTGCCGGCCTCGTTGGAGATGGATTCGAGCAGGGCGGCAACGGCGGTACGGTACTGGGCGTCGAGGTTGGCGTCAACCTCATCAAAGATGACCATGGGACTGCTTTCCGTCTGCTGCAGAGCGAAAATCAGGCACAGAGCGCAAAGACCTAAGGAAGAAAAAAATGTCAGCGTGCTTTGGGCACGGAAAAAAATGGCAGGCACTGAAGGGGGAGGGGCTTACTCTTTTGACCACCGCTAAGTTGCTGGATACGCTGCTGCTCGTCTAGATGCTTCGAGTTAAAGGACACGCTGATTCCAACGCCGATATAGTTTTCGACGCTGCCTCTCGCTTCCTCGTCCGACTCGTCGAGGTCTTGGCGTCTGTCGGTCCTGCGCTGAATCACGAGGCGCCCATGACCGGCAGGCACCAGCTTCTGAAAGATTGTGGCAAACTCTTTGGACACTTGCTTGAACGTGCGCTCAATAGCTTCGTCCTTGCGTCGATCCAAATGTTCAACAAGCTCCTCGATGGATCCCTGAGACGCATCCAATTCCTTGCGACGCTTCATCAGATGGTCTTCCTGTTGTGTGAAGTTGCTGTACTGCTCAAAGGCCTTCTTGTTCACGTGCTTGTACTTCTTCAGTGCCTCGTTGACCTTCTTGAGCTTCTTCGTGATCACATTGGCCTCCATGTTTTCGTACTTGTCAAAAGCTTCCTCTGGTAACACGCCCAACTCGCGGATGTTCTTGGCGCATTCTGCGGCTTGCGCCGTGAGGAGAGCTTTGCGTTGCAGACTTTTCTCCAGGCGCTTCTGTTGCTTCTCAATCCTTGTAGAAATCTCGTTCTGCGCTTGTTCGCGCTGGCTGCGCTCAGCGCGAATAGTCTCTGCCTTGGTCATGAGACTTTCAATCTGCTGTTCAGCTTCATGCAGGCTAGCGGTGACCGACTTCAGGGTTGCCTGCGCCTTCTTGAGTTCTTTCTGGGCATCGGCCAGGCCTCCAGATGTACCCGCTGAAGCAGAATTCTCAAACGCTTGACTGTTGAGCTGATCAAGGTTCATTTGCAGATTCTGGCGGAGCTCAACTTCAAGGAATTGCTTCCTACGCTCTAGCTCCCGTCTCGTTTTGCTGATTTCATTCCATTGTTGCTGGAGCTGCTGAGCCAGCAGAGTCGAATTCTCGAGTTCCTGTTCTTCAGCGGCAGTCAAGCTCTTCTTGTATTCAGTGCCCAGTTCGGTCTCATGAGCGGCAATTTCTTCCATAAAAACGTTCATGTTCTTCTCCACAGCGTCGCGACGTTTGATGGCTGAGTCGAGGTGAGCTCTTTCACTCTCAATGTGCGAAGTCTTGTTCCGAAGCTCGTGCTTCAACGGCTCGAAACCGTCCTCGGCCTGTCGAAGCTTTTGCTCCGCCTTTTGCACTTCAGACATGGCTGCCGTAATTTCCTGATCCTTACGCTCGATTTGGGCCCTCAAGTCGCGAGACTGGGCCACCAAGCGGTCGAATTCGCTTCGCCACTTGTTGGCAGCATGCACAGCCTCGAGTCGTGATTTTCTAGGGTCGATGTAGCCACCGGTCATGGCACCTCGCTTGTTTGTAGTGTCACCCTCCACAGTAATACCGTCAACGCCATGACTGCGAGCATATTGAGCAGCTACTGAAAGGTTCGGGCAGACAACAGTCTTTCCAAATACCTGCTGAAAGGCCTTCTCATACATGGGATCAAAGCTGATCTTGCTCATGAGAGGCACTGCATCGCTTGACTTTGGCATGTTGACGTGTCGCGGTCGAAGTTGGGCTAGCGGCATGAATGTGACACGTCCACCACGCTGCTTGAAAAGGATATCGGCCAAGTAGGTAGCGGTGTCGGCGTTGTCAACGACGTAGTGGAAGAGGCTAGCGCCAGCGATTTGCTCGACAGGCAAGCGGTATGCTTCGTTGACTTCGAGCAAGTCAGCCAGCGTGCCGTAGGCACCGGGAATGTCCTGGTCTTGCTTTAAACGCCTAATAGTCGCAAGACCACGAGCAGTGGCTCCATCGATGGCGTGAGACATTTCTCTATCTGCCTGCTCTTTCTCTTGGCGTGCATTGGATATGACCGAGTTAAGCTTGTCATCCTCACGGCGGAGGAGTTTGCGCTCGTCGTTTAGTTGATCCAAAACTTGTCTAGCCTTGGCAGCCTGGTCGGCGAGGTCGGTTCTTTCGTTGCTCCAATTGGCAAGACGTGATCGCAAATCAGCAATTTCCTGCTCGCCGTGCGTAATTATCTGCTGAACGCGCTGCACTTCCTCGTCAGCATCCAATCGATTTGCTTTCTGCGTGCTGGTGGTGACAGTGAGTTCTTTGATTTCTTGCTTCAGCCAAGCATCACGCTCGGCCTTGTTCTTGAATCTGGATCCTCGGCTCTGCTTGGCGAATAAACGACCGCGAACACCTTCAGCGGCATCGAGCTGCCTACGAATCTCATTCTCCTCCTGCACCTTGTTATTGTACTTGGGAAGCAGCTTGGTGAGCTCCTTCTCCTTGGCTGCAATATCGCTCTGAACGGACTGCAACTCCGAGGCATGGGCAGTGCGTGCTTGTTCTTGGGCTGATTGGCCTTCTTTGAGATTTTTGACCTTGAGCTCAATCTTGGCCAGAGCCTTTGCGCCATCACGGCGGTCCTCTTCAAGCTGATTGCGATCAATCTGTAAGAGCTCAATCTGGCGCTGCAGTTTATGAATCTCTGCATCAAGCTTCGCCAATGCCTTCTCACCCTGAATGAACTCAGTACGGCGGGAATCGGTGGTATCGAGGCCGTCTTGCCGTGCATTGTCGATGTCCTCGAGCGCGTCTTGAATAGTGACCTGTTCGCGGTGATGGTAGGCGTATTCGAGGCATCGCCTTTCTCGATCCTTATCCTGGAAGCCACGCAGTTCTTCCTTTTCTTCTTGAAGCTCGGCTAGTCGCTCTTTGATATATTCAAGGAGTTCGTCAATCTTTTCGCGTTTGTTGTTTGTTTCATTCATAATCTTGAGTGATTCGGCACGGCGCGCTTCGTAGACTTGTGTGCCCGCGACCTCCTTGAGCAGGTTTAGTCGATCGGATTCTTTCATATTTGTCAAGGCTGTGACGCGACCCTGCGGGACAATATAATATGGGTTGGAACGAGAGAAGCCCGCAGCTTCTAGAAGATTTGTAACGTCGGTCTTGGTAACTACTTTGCGGTCGACAGAGTATTCGTCCTTTTTCAAACCGATGGTGCGCCGTAGCACAACTTCCTTGTTTCCTGTTGGAAAGCGATCGTCGCTGTTGTCGAAGATAATCTCAACGTATGCGGACATGACGGCTGAGCCGGACCCCTCATGTAGAAGTCCCTGGCGCTCCTCACGACTCATCTGGGTGTAGGCATCACTCAAGACGAAACGAATCGCCGCAAAAAAATTGCTCTTGCCGGAGCCATTGCGACCGACAATGACATTGGTCTTGGGCGAGAAGGGCTCAATGACGGTTTGGTCCTTGTAGCTGCAACACGGGTTAGAGGCTGAGCGTTGGAGGGACCAGGACGTTGGGCGAGACAAACCTCTTGAAGCCTTGGATGATGATCTGTTTAATATACATTATGAAATGCGCTTGCGCTTAGGCGCAAATTCGGGGGCTGCTGTGAATCCGCCTCGACTTGGCTTGTTGGCGGCGACAAGGAGTCGTGATGAACCGATGCGCTCGCTGCGACGCGTCTTAGACTGACCCGCGATAAACTGGTAAGTGGGTGGTCGAGGTCGCGCGTTTGAACAGCTCAGGCCATCCGCTATTCAGCCGGAACAAGCTGTGGAGCACCTTGGTGGACCAAGCTCCTGGCTTCCACTGCTCCTTCCTTGTTGCTCTTTGCTAAAAAAGTGGAAACAGGGCTCATGCAATAAGCGGGTTGATTCCTCGGATATGTGCGTACGTTGATATGTGCATCTTCAATCTATCATACGGAGTACATAGTCTGAACCATCATCTTTGAATAATAGTACGACAGTCGCTCTCATTTTGTTCTTCATCGTCATGGTTTAGCTTTTGCCATTTCCAGCTTTTTAGTATGGCGCGACCGGAAGAATGGAGTGTAAAGTAACCTATATCCGGGCACTCATTGTTCTTTTGAGCTGGCTCAAGTTGTAGCAAACACGGCGTGGCCATGACCCTGGCAAGCGCATCCTCGCGGCTTCCTGAGACATGGCATCGCACCGCATATTACTTCTTCAGGTCTAGTAATCATGAGATTACAGCGGATACAAAGCCGTGGCCACTGTCCTTGTTTATTAGGACGGTGTTTTACAACGTTTGCCTATGGAAGGCTTCGAATGTGCCCGCCGAGTCGATGCGGGCCATACAAGCGGAGTACTCACTCACGAATAAATGTAGCTTCGCTCCAAATACATTGAAGCTGGCTTCCAATCTCGTTTCCTCGGGACACAATCGTTGCACATTTCGACATGAAGCGAGCTTCCAATTCTGTCGCTGCCCTTGAAGCGGCTGAGAATGCACCACTCCTGCACCGCGAAGCATCAAAGCCTGGGCCTATGGAATCGGCCAAACATGATGGAGTACCAGATTGCGTGCAGATATTCCAGATTCTTCTGCTATGTTATGCGCGTATGATGGAGCCCATTGCATTCTTTTGTGTCTTTCCTTACATCGCAGAAATGGTTCAGCGCAATGGTAAGCTGCCAGACTCTGATATTGGCTTTTATAGCGGACTTTTAGAGTCAGCCTTTGCAGCCACACAAGTCCTTTTCTTGATGGCATGGGGGTGTCTGTCCGACAGAGTAGGTCGCAAGCCAGTTCTCATTTTGAGTCTGGTAGGCATGGCCATGGGCCAAGTTCTCTTCGGAATGTCCACTACCCTTTGGGAAATGGCGGTCTTTCGAAGCCTGACTGGTATTTTCTCCAGCGCCAACCTCGTCATTCGTACAATGATTGGCGAGAACTGCACACCTGAGATGCGAGCGCGTGCGTATAGCTGGTACTCGACGAGCGGCAACATTGCCGTCTTCCTCGGCCCGCTTCTAGGTGGGCTGCTTGTCAACCCAGCGCAGCGATACCCGGACACCTTCTCGGGCACAGCACCTTTCGAGAAACATCCTTGTGCATTGCCTGGCTTCCTTGTTGGATCCATGGGAATAACTGCGGCCATCCTGTCTGCACTATTTCTCAAAGAGACCTTGCCAATGCACAGCACTCACCCGGACAAGCACAACACTACCGAGAACGGCCCGACAACATACGAGATTCTGAAATTCCCGAATGTCATCCGCGAGATGTCGATATTCTGCCAAGTCATGATTCTTGCATTCTCTTTTACTGCTATATCACCTGTTGTTCTTCACACAACAGTCGCCATTGGCGGATTCGGGTTCTCCACCTCCCAGTCAACCATGTATATTACAGTGCAAGGACTAAGCGAGACGGCGTGGCTTCTGCTTGCTTTTCCTTTGCTTCACTCCCGAGTTGAATCTATGGGAATTGTTCGTATATGCTCAGTCGCCTTCCCTTGTGTGTTTGCGGCCCATATTCTCATGAATGCACTGCTCCGCGATCAGAGTGACGCCGCTCACGCACTATCATCTATTTTGGCCTGGGTCCTGATGCTCTGTGTGCCGGGAGTGTGGATGGCTTTCACAGCAGTGCAACTGCGACTCAACGAAATAAGTCCTGGCCCATATGCTCTGGGCAAGATGAATTCTATTGCGGAGCTGCTTGCTAGTCTGGCAAGGTCCGTTGCACCACCTGTGATTAGTTCAATCTTTGCCATGGGAGTGAGGGGCCAGATCTGTTCCGGATATCTTGCCTGGATTACTCTTATTGCATTTTCGCTTCCTCTTTTGGGCACTTATTTCTGCCATGAGTCAAAACACAACTGTACTTAATTAGCTGTCAGAATGCGTCTTGGTGAGATGATTGAACACACAGTTTCTTTCAAGAGAAAGGAAGTGAAGGGCTCGTGTTGTGTAACAATTGCAATCTAATTTCCGGAAGAGGTGGTCGGGGACAGGTTTCCCCAGAGAGGAGTACCGCGGAAATCGTCTTCACAAAGACATCGAGAATAGCAACACCTCGACCCTAACCTCGGTGTTGGTGGTAATGTCGACGTTACACAGGGCGAACCTTCCCCCGCAGTTGAAGCGAGCGCAACTGAAAACGCTTGGCTGGTCGATTCAAAGTACATTTCGGTCCAAACCTCGTAAATTCGAATGCAATCATATATTGCAACGCCACCGAGGCTTATCTAAGCGCAGGCCGGCGTTGTGTGTAACGAATACATTGCCAGCCGCCAACCCCCCCCTTGCCGCTTCGCTCAGTCACAGCTGATGAAAAGACAAAATTCGAGTCTTTTCGAGACTGGTGTTGCAAACCAAGTGCATTGCTTGACAGGCCTCCAAGCTGTATTTGCACAGCTTTCATCTTATGTCAGATCCCAATGACCAGTGATTGAGCCACTGCAAACCAGTCCTGGCTGCAGCGACAATGCTCACCGACATCAAACTCGTCTCCGCCATTATAGGCTGGGCATACACACTATGCTGGGGAGTCTCGTTTTACCCTCTCTTATTGAGCAACATACGTCGTCGGTCCACCGAGGGTGTCTCAATCGACTTTTGCCTCTTGAACATGCTTGGCATGGCCGCGTACGCTACCTACAACGTCGTCTTCTTCTTCTCGCCCGTCGTGCGACGACAGTACGCGGAGCGCAACCCAGAGAATCCAACACCGATGGTGCAGCCAAACGACGTTGCGTACACGCTGCACGGATTGGCCATCTCCAGCACCATCTATTCTCAGTTTTACCCACGCCTCTGGGGCTTCTACACCACGCGGCCCGTGAAGATTAGTCTGTGGTGCAGCATGACCTTTTGGGCTTGCATCTTGGCCGCCTTGTTGGGTACTGTAGCGGCGAGCGCTTTCCCGGACTCGCAAAGTTGGATGTGGCTGGATGTGGTACGTAATTCTGCCGTCCCCAACGCACACACAGGTCGGCTCTAACCCTCGGCGGCTTGCCAGGTATACCTTGTGGGAAACTTCAAGACGCTGCTCACACTGCTCAAATATCTGCCGCAAGTATGGCTCAACTACAGACGCAAGTCGACGCAGGGACTTCCGCCCCTGCCCTTTGCACTCGACATTGGCGGCGCCACGCTCTCGCTGCTGCAGCTCCTTATTGACGTAGCGTACAGCGACCAGTCAGCGGCGTTGGCAAATCCGGTGAAGCTCGTGCTTTCCAACTTGTTGATATTCTTCGACGCTGTGCTCCTTTTTCAGCGTTTCGTGCTTTACAGAGATGCACTTGATGAGCTGGATCCGAAACGAGTGGCGGAGAGACGACAGCTTCTCGAGTCCGAGGATGATGAGACTCATGTTGATGATCGGGCTCATTGAATGACTCTGGCCTGCTTTTTCTATTTGTTACTTTTATTAGCACATAATTGTCGCAAATTCATCTTTGCGCATGAGCCACGTGGTGGTTCCACGATGGCCATAACTCATCAATTCATCCCGCGAAAAGCTGAACCGAGTCCTATACTAAGTGTACCAAAATGGCTTGGCTTGATATCTTTCCTCTTTTTTTTTTTTCTTAAATTAAATCCATACATGAGAACCGCCGCACATGTATTTCGTGCTGCTGTTGTCTGTGGAGGAGGGTGCACCTGGCCAGATCGTGAGATTCGGATCCCTCCTCCATACGGCAGGAAAACACCAGGCGGTCAAAATTCATTCCACCACCAACACGGCCAACGGGGACAACAAGCCGCCAGAAGAGCTCTTGAAACAGAAAACCCCCCCTCTTACTATTTCCCAATTGGTATAGTAAGCCCGAAAAGCAACGCCGTCGTGCCACCGAGGATGCAAGTGGGTTTCCTGGTCGGGGTTCAGATTCGTGCCTAGCTAGTAATCAGCAAGCAGGCCGTTCCGTCCCGTCGTTCTTACGACACAAAGGGCTCTCTCACCCAGCAGCAGCTCGACGATTTTGCACAAGCACACATAATTAGCCCGCTCACACAGCAATTATAAAGAATTTGCTCTATTGATATATCCCCAGCCCACACCATGCTGCGCTGGGGCATTCTGGGCACCAGCTTCATCAGCGACGTCGTGGCCAAGGCCATTCTCGCCAGCGACGCCTCGCACATCCAGGCCGTCTTTGGCCGCGACGAGCAGCGCCTCTCCGCCTTTGCCGACCGCTACGGCATCGCCTCGCGGTACACCTCCCTCGAGGCGCTGCTCGCCGACCCGGCCGTCGACGCCGTCTACGTCGGGCTCCCGAGCCACAAGCATGCCGAGGCCGTCATCCTCGCCGCGAGAGCTGGCGGCAAAAGAGCCATTCTCTCGGAAAAGTCGCTCGCCACGACCATGACCGACGCGCGTGCCATGATGGACGCGGTGCGCGCCGCTGCCGCCGCCGCCGCCGACCATGACGCCTTCTTCTTCCTCGAGGGCCTCATGTACCTGACACACCCCATCATGGAGATGCTTGTTGCCGTGCTGGCCGAGGGCCGGCTTGGCCGCATCCGCAGCGTTTCGGGCCACTACGCCGCCAACATTGCCGCCAAGGCCAACCCGCGCGGCCGCGGCACAATCTACAACCTCGGCTGCTACCCGGTGTCGCTGCTGCACCTCGTCCTCGAGACCTGCTTCGCGCGCAATGGTGGTGGTGATGGTGATGGTGGTGCGCAAGCCTGGAACGGCCGGCGCACCGTGCTCGGCCACGGCACGCTGGCCACGAGCGACGACGGCGTCACCTTTGCGCGCGACGCCGCCCTGACGGTGCGCTTCGAGGACGTGGACGTGCTGGCGACGCTGCAGTCTTCTGATTCCTTTGGCAACGACTTTGCTTTTGCCATTCAGGGCGACCGCGCGTCGCTCACGTTTGAGACGAACCCGTGGCTGCCGCCGGCGGGGGACAGCGTCTTTCGCATCAAGACGTACAAGAGCGGCGCCGTGGAGACGGTGACGGTGCCGAGCAGCATGGACGCGTTTGGGCACCAGATCAAAAAGGTCGAGGCGTACGTGGCGTCGGGTGTCAGGGAGCCCGCGCGGCCGTCGCCGACCTGGGCCAACTCGCTCGAGATTATGGAGCTGTTGACGGAGTGGGAAGAGGATATTTTCAAGCGTCACGGTAAAGAAATCCAAGTATAGGAGGTATAGAAATCGACAAACAAAAAAAAAATAGAGGGCGTAACAACTAGAGGCATTCTCATATCTTTAGGCTGACAAAAAAAAAACGAAAACCATATGAATGTGAATGAATCTTCTCTGGGCTAATATGTGTATATTACAGTATGCTGCTTCAAACAGAGGCAAAGTTTACTCTGGGTCACCAATCGCTTCCTCGTCTGCTTCAGCTGCTCTGTCAGCCGCAGCCCGAGCCTGTAGCTCCTTGACTTGCTGCTGACCCTCTTCCGTGGTTGCGTCTATGATTTGTTCCTCCAGGGTTAGAATGTTGGCCTATCATCATACCATTTGTTAGTGGAAGCTCCTACGTGAAAGCCGAATAGGGTGAGTAAGACACGTACCTCGCCAAACAGACTGACGTATTCCTCCGCCTCCTCCACGGAGAGCTCGCCCAGCACCGCATTCACCTTGTCCAGCTCGCCCGTCTCCAGCGCCGCGCGCATCTCTTCGCTAAAATGCTCGTAAATCTCCCGGGCCTCCTGCACCGCTGGATCCTCGCTGTCCTTGGGCGGCACGCTGATGGTGATGGCGGTGCCGGGCTCCACGGCGTGCAGCTGGATCTGCTCGACGCCCCCGACAGGCTCCTTGGCGCGCTCGGCGACAATCTCGCGCGCGCGCGTGCGGATCCGCATGTACGTGTCATGCACGTCCTTGTAAAAGACTTCCTTGGCGTTGTTGCCGCCACTTGCCGTGATACGCTTGAAAAAGAGCGCCACGCCGTCGCGGCCCAGCGTGCGGCAGTACTGCAGCAGCAGCGCCTGATGCACGCACTGCTTGGTGCGTTCGTCCTTGCTCTCAAGCGCGGCGTCAAAAGCCAACACCAGCAGTGCATCCGTCTCCCTTTCGGTTAAAATCTGTGGGTTCTTGATGAGATGGTCGAGGCTGGCCGAATAATCGCTGATATGGATCTCGGCAAACTTGCGGGCGGCGGGTGACGCCTCGATATCCTCGTCGTCGCCTATGGTGGCGGATGCGTTGTTTGACGATGTCGACGGCTCGCCAGATGGTGTATAATTTGGGTTTAAAAGCTCAACCTTGGTCGAGTCGCCATCCTTGGCGGTGGTCTTGCTCACAAAGGAGCTATCGAAGCCGGTGTGGATGCCCTCGCTTGTAATCTTCTTACCCTCTTCCTTTTCCAGCTTGGCCAGCTCGTCGCTGCTCTCCCTGATCAGCGTCCGCACCTGCGTCTCGTGGACCCCAATCTCCTCCAACATCGCCTTGTAGCGGTCGTCGGGTTTCTTCTCATTCATAGCCTTGTTGACCTGATCGAGCAGGCCCGCCATCATGGCCGAGTACGACTTGGGCGTGTTGGGGTCCACGCGAAGACCCTCGGGCACGGGGGGCAGGGCGTCATCCTCTTGGTTGCCCGCCGACTCCATGACGGCCTGAAAAGCTAGCTGGCCCGGGTCCTGCGCCGACGCCGCCTCCGAAGCCCGCGACTGGAGCGCCGCCACCAGCGCCGAGATGCGCTTCAGCAGCGCCTCATGGAGGGCGACTTCGTATTTGAGCGCCGAGATGCGCTGCTTGCGCTGCTGCCGCTCCTGATGGATTTGGTTCTGTTTCGCTCGAATAAACGATTTCTTGTCGATGTTGGGATGCACTTCGATGTCGGAGTCGTCGCTGAGCTCTAGGGCGTCCTGCGTGACAGCTTGGTTAGCAGAGCTGCTGGTTTGGGGAGGCGACACACCAGGTTTTGGGAGGCGACACGCCACCAACGATTGCCGTTACAAACATACCCATTTACTGTAGTCGACCGGCATGATGGGCGACTCTGTTGCTCTTTGAAATCTGCTTTTGAAAGCGATTGTCGAACTTGACGAACAAGCACGGATGCTAGAAGCTAGGTATTTGAAGCGTTGTTTGCCCCTCCAACCCCGTGAAGGTTCTAGCACGCTATGGTGGGGTAGTTGACAGCGACCCATCCATCCCATTCCCTCCTCGACATCCATATTCTTGTGGCAGATAAGTTTAGCAGCGAGGTAACAAGTCCTGAAAAAGTTGGCAAAATGTCTTCTTTCTTCATCGTCAGCTGTATCGTTCCCTTCTACAGACCAATAAGATCTTCAGCAATAAAGTATGCGCTCATCGACTAGGGTCAAGAAGTGGAAGAAAAAAAGACTCCCACGAGCCAGGACAAATGATATTTTCCACGCAGTCGCTAATGATCTACTATACAGAAGTAGCAATAAAACTAAAAGACAAGCCAGACGCCAAGTGCCTCCCAGGTACCTATAGTCGCTAGCTCGATGGTTCCAAGCCACAAGTTAAGGCTGAAGCATAGTAATGAAATGATAATCCTTCATATCCAGATAATGAGCAAACGGTTGCTCCGGGAATGAACAGAGCGTTGCCCAAAGTCATCATCATGACATTGTCTTCATAAATCCCTCCAAGTCAAAACTCTCTTCGTATTGCTTATCGTCCCAGAGCTCCTCGAGGTCATCCAGCCAAGCCTTCTTGCCCGGCTGTCGCAATACATCACCGGTTTCAATGTCCACCATATCCTCCTCTCTACCTTCCATGTGGTTCTGAGTTTTGTCCGATAGTAGGTTCGGTCCACCATCACCCACGTTGAAGAGGTCTAGAATTTGGTCCGTATCCATAGTACCTAGACCTGCGTTTTGCTGATTGACGACTGTTGACGCTACGTCAATCTTGAATCGCTGTAGGTTGAGGATTTTCTCTTCCAGGGTGCCTCTGGTGATGAGGCGGTAGACGTTGACGACCTTTTTCTGGCCAATTCTGTGCGCGCGATCCATAGCCTGCAGATCCTTCTGCGGGTTCCAGTCGTGCTCAACAAAGATGACGGTATCGGCACCGGTCAGATTAAGGCCCAAACCACCCACACTGGTCGTCAGGAGCAAGACGTCGTAGGAAGGATCGCTATTGAACTTGTTGACTATGTCCTGCCGCTTATTGGCTTCGATAGACCCATCTAGACGTAGATGCGATACACTGGGTAGCATTTCTTTGAGCACCTTGTTCTGTACCATATCAAGCATCTCCTTCATTTGACAGAAAATGAGCGCTCGGTGGGGCTTGATTGGCTGATATAGGGGATCGTTGCTCTCTCCATCATCGCCACCAATGCCGCAGTCAACGAGCAGGTCACGAAGTGCGCCAAGCTTGGGTGCATGCGCAACGTCGTCGATCGATGTACCCTGCTTTGACAGGATCCTTTGCGTCTCGTCAAACATGGGCACTCCTGGTTTCATGACCATTGCAGGTGAATTGCAGAGTTTCCGCATGTACTGAAGTGCTTGGAAAATATGCTGCTTTGATTCCTTATCTTCTCGACCAGCCTCAGCTTGCAGTTTCTTGCCTTGCTTCTTATGAAAGTCCTCAAACAGCTTCTTCTGCAGGTCGCTGGGATCACAGTAGTAATTCTGCAGAATCTTGGGTGGCAAGTCATCCAGCACCTCTTCCTTTAGACGACGTAGGAGGAAAGGAAGGACTTGCTTGTGCAAAGCCTCAATGGCTAGTGCTCCAGCTTCTTGTTCCTTCGAGGACGCCTTGCTGAACCGACTAGAGGCGATGGGCTTAGCGAATCGGTCCAAAAAAACCTTTTCTGTACCAAGGAAGCCAGGCATCAAAAAGTCAAAGAGAGACCAGAGTTCTAGAACATTGTTCTGAATCGGCGTTCCGGTGAGAATGAGACGATGATTGCTGGAAAGTCTTTTGACAGCCTGGCTAATCTTGGCCTTGGGGTTCTTGATCAAATGACCTTCGTCAAGGACAACGTAGTTCCAGTTGTGCTTCTCTAGCTCATCAGAGTCGTTACGGCACACATCATAGGAGGTGATGACGATGTCCGTATCTCCGAGCTTACTTTTCAGCAATTTTCGCTCGGCGGGAGGGCCAACATAGGCGGTAACGCTAAGGAACGGCGCGTATGTCCTTATCTCTTGCTGCCAGTGACCAGACAGCGTGGGCGGGCAGACAATGAGAGACGGCAGGCGGCGAACATCTGGAGCCTGAGTTTTTGCAAACTCTTCCTGTCGCTGATGGTGATCACTGGCAACAATGCAAAGCGTCTGTAATGTTTTACCAAGACCCATGTCATCGCACAAAATACCATGGAGATGATACTTGTTCAGGAAGTGGAGCCAGTTGACACCCTCTTGCTGGTAAGATCGAAGCTCAGCCTTGATGGCAACGGGAATAGCAAATGGTTCGACCTTCTTTGGATCCAGGAGCTGGGCGATAAAGGTGCGCTCACGGTCACGCCCTTTGAGGAGTTCTTGAGAAAGGCCAGGCGGGTCCGGTATACCAGCCTCGAGCGGAACGAGCTTAACAAGTGTAGCAAAAGAAGTAGTTGCAAGCAGACGGATCTCGTTGTCAGAGTCGCTCATTCGACCAAGGACAGGCACGATGAGAAATATGACGTAAGGCAGAATTGAGTCACCCATGACGGCAATCAGATGGTAGATTGCTTCAATGGCTCCTTGTCGCAAGTGTAGATCCAGAGGGTTGTTGATCGAGGGCAGAACCTTTTCAACCAGTGTTGTCATGCCTTCAACCGTCATGACACTACAAATGGTGGCCATGCACTTGGCTGCCATGTAGCGGAAAACCGAAAGCTCCGAGTGTAGAGCTTTGATAACAAATGGCACCATTTCCAGCACAAAGGCGTGGAGGTCCTTGTGCAGCGTCGGCGTCATAGTGCGGATAACGGACAAGGCGTCGACGATCTCCTGGCCGAAGGTATCTTCGGGGTCCTTGGCCGTTTCCGGCAGTTCGCCAGAGAATGCTTTGATGAGAGGTTGCTCCATATAGTTTCGCAGGCTTGGAACAGTCTCAAAGATAGCAGCACCGTAGATGTGGGATAGGATTTCGAGGGCCTCTTTTGCACCTCTCCTCGTGACGCGGGCAGCCTTGGCTTCTCTCGCCCATTTAGCTGCATCAGCATGATCTACCCTATCTTCTTCCTTAGACATCGACAAAATGACATCGCGTTTCGTTGCATGGACGGGGAACTCTGGAGTCTCGGCCACCTCAACGCATGAGAACTTGACTAGGTTAGCAACAACCTTATCCGCAGGGCCCCGTCGACCCCTATCAGCAAAGAGCTGAACAAGCCTGGCGATGGTGTCTGAAGAGCGAGACTGCAGGATTTGATTCTCTTCCGCCTTGACAGAATCCATGATGCCCTTAATGAGCGGGCTGGGTTTCTTTGGAAGCAACTTCATTGCAACCAGCGCACATGCCGCGGCGGCCTTTATTCGGATATCGCGGTTATCCTTCAACGTCTTGGCTTCTTGGATGGCGGTCTGCGCAACGTCGCGCGAATCGGCCAGTTGCTGGCTTGCGATTAGACGCTGGCCAGGTGGCATGATTTTCTTCAGCCTGTCGAAGTCGTCGCCAACGCATTTGTCTGCAGTCAGCAGAGAGAAAGCGCTGGGACCAGCTTCCGCTTCGCCCTGTACAACGACAGGCAGTACTGGAAGCTTTCCGGGTGCCACTTTTCCATGGTCCCGGAACATGTGTAGCAGTTGCTGACACTGGGAGCGAGCCCGTTGCATGTAGATGACGAGATCACGGTAGAAGATCGGCCTGTCGCTTTCGATGATGCGCTGCAGATGGTCGGCATATCGGGTGGTCCTATCTTCGCCAGCTTTGCACTCCTTGCAGTACTCGTCGATGACTAGACAGGCAGTGACCTGAGTGGAAGCAAACGCGGAAGAAAGGCCTGGTACAAGAAGGGCATCAAAGTCATCAAGCTTCGTTGATGGCACGTGAGACATGATCAGGCCCATAGCCTTTGCTGCTGAAGTTCTCGAGCGAATGAGAACATCCATGCCGACAAGATCAACATCACCGGTCATCATATGGCCGTCGACGTCGTGGCCATTATTGGCCGGCACAGTTTCCTCTGTTTTGCCTGATTTTCGGCGGCGTTTGGGCGCGCGGTCGGCCACCTCCGGCGAAGGCAGCCTGCCGGCTGCGTTCTGGGCAGTGGCAGGCATGGAGTAGGTGCCCCCGGAGGGCTTCTGGAAGAGAGTTGCGTTCATAGGGATGGGGTATCGAGAAACACCAATCGGATGCAGAGTCAACTCCATAAGGGCATCAATATTGGGAGTGAATTCGTCAGCCAAAGTAGCCGGGTTCTTTGCTAGGTTTTGTACCAGGGCGGTCCAGAGCTCTAGCGACATGTTGAGAGTCTCCTTGTCTCGCTCGACGAGAATGTTCTGAAAAATGAGTCGCAGAATCTTGCCATTCAACCAGCCCTGTGATGACTCATCGGCAAGGTTGGTAAATGTCAGTAAAGCCTTTAGAACAGCAAGGCGAACAGAGGTGATAGTATGGCGCAAGAATGGGTAGAGGCGCGGGACGAGCAACGTGAATGAGCGCTCTTCGTCTTTCTTGGCGGAGGACTTCATTGCTTCCAGAACTTCGGGAAAGCCGCAAAGCGTTGCTAAAAGATCCATGATGCGTCCGGTACTCGCGCTTAGGTCGTCACCTAGGTTGGATAGACTCTCCCATACAATGTTCGTGAGACCATCGAGTGCAGCAGGGCGCATTATGACAAATTCTTTCGCCATGGGTATCAAAGTCGCAGCGCTCACCGAGCGAACATCATCGTCCATATCGCCGAGCCCTTTCATAACGGCGGCAATCACGCCATCAATCATGTCATTATGCTGTAGCAGCAAATCCTTCCTTACTGCGACGACGTATCGAAGACCAATCATACCACCGTGGCAGACAGCCCAGACGGGACGCTCCGTCTTGAGGTCTTCCTGCAGAACCATGTGATGTAGTATGCGATATGTGTCATAGACGGATTCGGCGGGAACATGCTTGAGAACAGAACCAAGCGTCTGACCAATGGTCTCTCTAATAGGGGCAACAGATGTGTCGGAGCTGTAGTCTGTAAAACGGTCGAGCATCAGAACGAAGCAAAGGCGGCAAGCCAGGTCGTCGAGCCATTTCTTGTTGGCAGCGTCATTCTCGGTTCGAGATTTGGCGGAACCCCTGCCGGCGCCGGCGCCGTGAACGCGAATGACCTCTCGCAGAGCCATGGCAGCTCCGTGGCGAGTCTCCCAACAAGGATCGAAAATGTCGACTTTGAGAAAATCGCAGAGACGGTCATAGGGCCATTCGGCGCCCTGCATGTCGTTGTCGGCTTCGATTTCGGATTGAATCGTCAGAATTGGACCTTTAAATTCACTGACAACCTTGGTGTCCTCGTCGGTCTCGGTGGGGCGATCGAGGTTAAAATACTCGGTCATCTTGCTATTTTTTTTTTTATCCGCATCGGTCATAATTGTGTCTTCGACCATGGCTTCGGAGCCGGCTGTTGTAGAGCGCCGCAAAGTGAGATCGCCAAAGCCGCTTTTTCCCTGGGAAGCTTTCATAGCCTCCCTCTTCCGCTTGCGCTTGAGGACATTGAGCTGTCTTGAGCTCAGCTGAGAGTCCTCTCCTTGGCTCTGGCTGATGCTGTCGCTCCTGGGCAGGCCGCCGTTTCTGGGGCCTTCAATTGGTGTTTGGGGAACGCCGACGGGTTCTGGAGGGGCAATTTCTTCATCTTCAACTTTGCGACCGAGCAGACCAAGGCGCCCGGGAAGCGTTTTTCTCTGATGCGCGAGACGATCTGCAGGGTCCAACGCGGCGAGGCTATATTCGACACCACCGCGCAGAAGTTCACGGCCATATTTGAGAATAGATTCGACATTGATCATGTCGAAGCTGAACTGGTCGTCGGCTTTGAGATCAATCTTGGCGATGCCGTCGGCGTTATCGTCGTCTTCTTCCTTTTTCACCTGGCCATTTCTGGTAAAAGCGGGTTCTTCTTTTGGGGGTATCTGTGCGACAGCGTCGCCATCTTCTTCATTAGGATCGTAGAGCGGCGCATTCTCTACAATTTTGCCGATTGCCTTTGCGGCAGTGGATCTAGTTTCCCAATCCTTGTGGCGTAGGTAGGGAACAACGCGGGAGAGCAAATTAAACAGTTCATCAGGGTGCTGTTTTTGCCAATCAGCCAGCTGGTTGACGGCAGTATCGCGAATGAGCCGGGTACTGCCTGTCTCCAGAATGGTGACGAGACGATCTAATCTGGAAGCCATTGTCTATGTGTGTGCGGGTGAATGACTGTGATGCACGAAATTATGACATGACGCAGCGAGAACTATGAGACAATGGCGGGTTAGTGGGAGCGGCGAGGGCATTGAGCTGGAGTGAAGCTAGGTAGGAGTCGGCAAGCGGCGAATGTAGCGGCGTCGTGAGCGGCAGTGCGGCGTGACACCGCACAACATGCATGACACGAGCAACGAGAACAGTTATAAGCTGCGCGGAGAGGGGCAATAATAGCGCGCATTCAAGAGCAAGTGCGCAATGTGGTAGGAAGAAAAACGAGACTTACAGAATAAGTATTATACAGAGATTTGTTTTGCGAGGTTGCTCAAAGATGGATCATTGAAGCTGCTGCGTGAGGCAATGTTGGTGAAGATGTGTTGAAATTGTCAAGGGAGCGCAGCCTGCATATGTAAACCGGGAGAAAGAAAAAAATAACTGTAAGACGAGAAGGCGATGAGATGATATGAGACGAGAATTGGATGGAATGCTCGTCGTTGCGCAGTGCAAAGTAAAGTGTTGCGATTTGGCGATGGAGGCACGCGCGCCAATGGCGGAGGAGTCGCGACTGCGTTTGCGAGTTGTTGTGTGGGCAGCTGGCAGCTGGCAGCTGGCGATTGTGAGCAAGGTGTGGCAAGTAACGGACAGTAGTAGCACTACCAACCAACCAACCAGTCAGTCAGTCAGTCAGTCCGTGGCTGGTGGATGTGGTGCAGTAATGCAGGATTAATGCAGTGCAGCACTTGTCGCAGTTTGCTAGCGCTGGCTAATAAACTGGCTGCGTGGCTGTGGCCGTCTCTCGGGGGGAACGAACAAAAGAAGTCGGGTAGAGGGGCAGCCCGGGCCTCTATATGACAACATGTACTTTTATACTTCTTGCTCACGCAGTGGCCAGCCCGTTTGCTTGTTTCGCCTTTTGCTCTTTTGGCGCAGGACGTGCCCACTTTTTTTTTTTTTTTTTTCTCTTCCTAGGACCATTTGGGCTGCCTCAAGGGCCAGGAGGGCCGCCCCTCCCCTCCAAGTCCCTCCAAAAACTGCTTTGAAGCCCCATTTCAAGTCCCCCTAGCACTGGATTAGGCGGCGTTTACTGGCAGCTGCCACCTGGCTAGTGGACACCACCCCATACCTTGACTGTTCACTACCTAACCTTATCAAGAGGTACAAGCAAGCCTCAGACATGTCAGTGAGCAACACAAGTCACAAGTGTTTATTGGCCATCTTGCCGTCTGTAGATTTCGCCGTGATGCACGTCAACAAATTTCATAGCTAGCCGCGCTTCTGGGCACTGGGCAAGAACGTTCCTAATCCATTTGCTTGCTATACAGACTGCTCGTTTTCTTCGTGTTTTCTTTCTTTCGCATTTTTTTAATCAAATAGAAAAAAGCCTGCGTAGGTGCCCAGTCACCTCAGCTGCAGCTTCAACATGGTCGCGGGCCAAAGAAGCAACGCTGGCCCCAGCCCAAGCTAGTTGGTTAACCACAGCAACCATCACGACCTCTTCCTCGTCCCCCTTTACCTGGTACCTAGGACAGCATTCACATCCTCACTCACTACCGGTAGTGCTACCAGTACTCCGACCCCCCAAATGCCATCTTCATCCTTCTCGGTGGCACATCTAACTTCTGCAGATGAAGTAGGCCTCCAAATACCCGAAATTACAGAGAAAATACTTAAGCCATCCCAGCAAGCCAATTGTTCCATCCGGGACCTTGCCCCCTGCAGCCCGCCGTCTCTCCATCTATCCGTAATCAGCCCGTCATGGCCCGCGCTCGATCGTCATCTTGATGAAGGCACAACGAAGAAAACTTTCTCTGAACCACTCGGGCTTCTTGATGATCCTTGCCTCCGATGTTGCCGACTCGCGATCCGTGAATAGCTGCACGGCACCAGACCACACGTTTCCAGCCGTTACAGCCACCGAGACTGCGCGCCAATGCCAACCTGCTACGAGGCGCGTGTTACCTGGGGCTGCGTATCAGCCTCATCAGCGTATTCCCGCCCTGTCAGACATGTCACGCGGCGAGCAGGGACTGAGAGAGCACAATAAGCGCCTCTCTTTCTCGCCATTGTGTCATCTCATTGCGGGATCGATCGAATAGCGAATGGCTCTTCTCCCGCCTTCCGTTCCGCGCTCGTGTCGAAACGGAGGGAACTGAGCCTCCTCTAATATGCAGTGTGGTCTCACCCCGGACTGGTTTTAATTACCCAGACGGGTGGTCAATGAACCCGCCGCCAACAAGGTTCGAAGGACAGGTGTAAAATTGACGCGAACTGAAAAGTAGGTACCAGTCGTGCCAGTAAATATGTCCTGAGTAAGTATCTACAACCAGCGGGTCAGCGCTGCTCAGATCATCCTAGACTTTGGCCTCGATGCCCTCATTCCTCAGGCACCAACTACCTTGTACGCCCAGTACCACTTCCCAAGGAATGACAACTTCCATGTTTATCATCATTGACAGGCGAGCCCTTGCCACTTTCCCTGTGTAACTCCACCTTTCTTCATTACTTGTCGTACTTTGAATTCTTGTGCATAGTTACATTGACAGAGCACCAATTCTTTTGATAGCGCAGAACCTTCTCCAAGTCAACACTGCCATCACAGCATCCATGTCAAACATCAATTTGCGACCACCTGCGCAAGCGCGGACACCTTTATCGCATTTCGCTCCTCCTTCAATAATTTGATATCAAAGTGCTTTTTAAACCCTTCTACATGCTCGCGCTCACTCACTCTGCAGCGTCGCCACCAGCTTGCTCTCGCCACACATATTTTGCCTGACGCGGTCATTGACCGGCGACAGCGTCCTAGAGTCGCCATCGCAAATGCGGTGAAAAAAACACGCTCTGAGCCGCCACCGTGCGCATACACGGACTTGCGGGTAGCGTGTAATATCTCAGCACGTTAGATTTGGGAGCCAGTCATTCGGCGTCGGCGAAGGCGTGCATCTCCTTCCGACCCGCGTCCTCATGGAGCGCACCGGATAGTTACATGTAGCTTGCTCATGCCTGTCACCACCAGCTTTCTGCACTGCATTTCCAGTGACTGAGTTGTCAGCTCGCAACAGTCATGGTCTCCAAGCCTACGCTGCGTATCGCCTGCAGAAAGAAGACGTTGAATTCAAGCAGTAGCCGCCGCGGTCCTTGTCCACAGTTTTGCCAAACAGTACGTCCGGGTCTAGCGAGTCAGCCTCGTCCGTGGCGTAGTGCAAAGGCAGTGTGTTGTACGTGATGTGCGCGAGATGGTATTACTAGTCTTCTAGTTGGTGAGCGAGTTAGAGAAAAAGAACACAAAAGCTCCAGCTGCGCCGCACTGGAATTAAGTGACATTCTCAAGTGAACAGTGTGCGCATGTACACAGCAGCTGCTGTTGATTGTTGGTTGCACACGTCCAATTATCGTGAGTCACTACCTCGTTTGCCATCAGCGGCTGACCCATGTTTGGCGACGCCCGCCATGTGTTAGTTCATTCTACTTTTGCAGGGTACGCGGAAGGGCCGGATGGTTGATGGTAAGTATATCCACAGACGCGATAAATATACCATGATCACTATCCGTACCATAACCAGCGAATTATCCGATTGTTCCGCATCCTTTGGCAGGGTATCCGGGCCCGAATCTGGGCCGTTTAACGGTTAACATACTCGGGTCTGGCCCCAGATATTGCCGACAGGTCCGGGACCGCGCGTCAAGCACGGGCCAACAAAGAGCAAAGTAGCACTCGAAGGGCAGACTGCGAGATGCTTGCAGCGGCCTGAGACATATGCGGAAAACCAACGTAAAAGCCCAAGCAGCCGCTTCAAGTTCAGCACTCCAAGTTCACTTCAGACGAGGCAGATGCCTGAAGAAAAATCTTTGTACAAAGGGGTTATTGGGGCCCCGACACTCAGCATGCCCGGGTAGCCGCTGCCAATAGACGTTTCGGAGCAACAAAGAAGCCAGCCAGATCGTTACCTTGATTTGTTCTCCGTGCTGGTCAATCGCGCTGCGGTATTGAAATGGCCTACATAAACGCTGCTTCGGTGCGTGGGGATTTTCGTGGTAGGTCCAGGCCGGTGGCTGGTGGTGGCTGGGCAACTTGACTACCATTAAATGAGGTCGTCTATAATGGCTTCGTTGGCATGAGCGTTGTATATTGCTGGACGGTGCAGGATCGCGCCCTACAGTTGCGCTTAACGAGAGGATATAAAGAGCGCCAAGCAGCAGCGGCTATCCCGGAGCTCTCTCGCCACGACCATAAACATGGCCTCTGTGTACCGTCTGCGAATTTGCACGCAACATGGCTATGGGCTGTTAGTTTGATGAAAATAGGCGTCGCAATTTCTTTTTTTTTTGACATTGCGACACTGCAAGGCACAGCCATGTCTCTTCGTCGTATTTCCACTTGCGGGGTGGCGCAGGAGCAGTCTTTTCAGGGTTGTCCATAGTGCCGGCTCACCAATATGTCACGATAGGTTTGTGCGCGCTTTTAAAGGAAGAGTTGAACGGCGATGGCCTCGCTGTGAGGCTGCGTGGCCGGTACTAAATACCACCACAATCAGTAATCTGCCCAGCAAGAAGATGTACTTGCCAGTAATCGAACATTGAGAAATGGGCGAACAGGGTCTGACCGCTTTGACAGTCTTGGCGGCATCTGGGGAACTTGAAACGTAATACGCGGGCGGTGCTTGTCCGATCAACGATGCGCTAGAAGGAGAAAAAAAAAATACTGCAGAGTTCGTATTGGCCGGCCGATTCCAAAGCTGGTGGCTGGTTTGGCTGGCTAGGTGGCTGGCTGCTATTAACTTTTTAAACACGCGTCACATCCTAAACGTCATCATCAGGTTTCGGCACCGGATGATGTGGCATGGTTCCCAGCGCGATTATCGTATGCACTGCCTTTTGCATTGCCAATTCTGGGGCAGCTGTTGGTACGCCCCTTTCTACCCCCTGACGCGCGTTTACAGAAGCTGATGAGCGGGTGGCCGAGAAGGCTGGTCGTTGGGATTCAGTCTCGGCATTGAGGGCTGTGCAAAGAATCTGACAATTGGCGTTTTGCGGGCAGTCTGGCTATTTTTAGTGGCTCGGCAGCCTTGGTGCTACCTCTAATTATAAGGGTAAGGTACACCTTATTAGGTACCTACCTACCAACAGTATTGCCACGCATTGCCTGCACAAAGGGTATTGTCTCGTATTGTCAGGCTTGCTCCACTGCAGTCGTTTGTCTCTACTCGTCGTTTATCGTCTCTCCATTCCGTCTTTGTTAAACTCATCTCTTCATTCTCTTCTGTGCTTCCTTTTCGTATTCATTTAAATTTCCTACTCTCTGTTTTTGTCCCGTCGCCAGGGCGCACCTTCTTTCTAATTTACTCAACTTTGCCGCCTGGCAGGCTCGAGACATTTTCTACCTCCAAACCCTCTATCCATTGTTCTGATCCTCCTCATCACTCAATAACGTCTTCTTGAACACAGCTTTTTTTTTTTTTTTGGCAATTCTCTCGAAAATGCCATCTTTCATTCGTACAGTACTGTTTGGCATTGTTGCCACTGCAGTTGCAGTTGGCGCCGTGCCGCAGCAAGGCACCATCACCACGACCGCCGTTGTACCGTCGCCCAGCACCAGCACGCCGGCCTCATCGGGCTCTAAGCCCTGCAACAACTCGCCGACGCTCTGCGGACGCCGGTACAATAACATCACACACATGGGTGCTCACGACAGCTCCTTTCTGAGGGACGCGAGCACTGGCAACTCCGTCGCCGGCAACCAATTCAAAAACGCCACCGTCGCCCTCGACGCCGGCGTGCGCTTGCTGCAAGCCCAAGTACATGTCGAGAACGGCACTCTTCGTCTCTGCCACACCTCCTGCGATCTCCTCGATGCCGGTCCCCTGGCAGATTGGTTACAGCTCATTGCCAACTGGATGAATGCAAACACAAACGACGTCGTCACCATCCTCCTCGTCAATGCGGACAGGGCGTCCGCCGCCGCTCTGGGCGGCGCCTTTTCGTCGGCCGGCCTGGATAAGCTTGGTTACAAGCCTCCGACGACATCGGCAACGGCCGATTGGCCCACGCTGCAGTCCATGATTGATAGCAACACGCGCCTCGTCGCCTTTGCCACCAACTTTGACTACTCGGCGTCGGTCCCATACCTGCTGCCCGAGTTTGACTTTGTGTTTGAAACGCCGTACGAGGTCACGGAGCTCACTGGCTTCAACTGCACGCTCGACCGTCCCAGCACCGCCGGGCTCAACAAGTCGCCTACGACGGCCATCTCGATGAACTATCTCAGCCTTGTCAATCACTTCAAGTATCAGCGCTTCCTCGGCAGCATCCTCGCTCCCGATGCCGACTCCATCAACGTCACCAATAGCCCCAATACAGCGGCCGCCGGTAACTTTGGCCGCCACATTCAGCAGTGCAATGCGGAATGGGGCGCTCGTCCCAACTTTGTGCTCGTCGACTTCTGGAACGTTGAGAACCCCATTATCGCCGTTGACAGGGTAAATGGTCTCAGCGACATTACTGGCCGAGCATCGGTGAGCAACCAGCCGGGTACGTCTGGTGCTTCTTTGAGCTACCACAGCGTCGGCGGCGGTCTCTTGATCTCATGCGCCGCTGCCGTGGTTCTTTTGGCGTAAAAGCGCATGGCTATGGATTAGCAACATTACACACAGTCTCTTGGTTTTCTTTCCCCTCTTTCCTTTATCAAAGCATTTAGCATGGCGTCGAAGGTTCATCACGGGTGGGTAGGCATTTCTTTGAACTTATCCATGGTAGATGGGATACATTAGCTAGCAATAGATCTGAAAGCAGTTTGTCATATCTCAGAAAGTACATTTTTCCCTTCAACCTGCTCTGCGTGATGCTCTTCACGCTCGCAAAAGTTGAAGGTGGGTGGGGATTCCGCTGCCGTGACTAACTACCTCGCCACCACGCCAAAAAGTCCGAGATACATTCATTCTACACGCATCTACGTGCACTCTTGACAATCGATTCCTCTCGGCATTTGATAACTTGAATCCTAAATTACCTCGGCCATCATGGACTACACATCCATTGAGACACCGGCTGCCTGCTACGCCGATTTCTGCCTTATACCCGTACGCTCTTGCGCCCTTTTTATCTCCCCCTTCCAAGATTCACTCTTCCCAAGTAACAGTCTCTGTGCATAAAGACTTTGCGAGAAACGAAGAAACAGGAACGGAGGAAAAGAACAAAAAAAAAAAAAAACTAAGCTGACCTTCTTCATGATTTTGTTCTAGGTTGGTACAGGCAAAATATCCGTCGCAGAAGAGGTCGCCGAGGTGCAGCGCGTGATAAAGGCTAGCGGGCTTAAGTACACGATGCACTCGGCTGGCACCACGGTTGGTACGGGCTGCGACTATTCTAATTCTACCGCGTCTTTGACAAGGAGAGCTTTTTGTAAAAGAAAACAAGAAAGAGAGAGAGAGAGAAAGATGATGATGATGCTAGAAGAAGAAGAAAAGACGCGGCAGATTCCTAAACAGAATGAGAACTGACTGAAGAAACAGAAGGTACCTGGGACGACGTCATGGCCGTCATTGGCAAGGCGCACACCGTCGTTCATCGTCGCGGTGTTTTGCGCGTGCAGTCTTCTATGCGCGTGGGATCAAGGTATATATATATCTTCCTTCCTTTTCGCTACATCATGCATGCCTCTTTCTTTCCCCCGTTGTGCATGTGCTGATTGTTCCTCGACAGGACGGATAAGAAGCAGACGGCGGAAGAAAAGGTTAAGCGTGTCAACGATATCCTGGCGAGTGATGCTTGATCGTCGCTGCTCTGTGCATTTCAACTACAATTTACTTGAATCCATCTCAGGCACACAACTTCGTTACTTGGTTCTTTTTCGTCTTAATGCTCCCATACAGTCTCTTACATGATACACTCCTCTAGCCCAGATACATGAACTTTTACTATCCAAACCCAGCACAAACAGCGCGCCGATTCCGCCGTCCCGAGAAAGCCCATATCCGTCTAGCAACCTGGCCCTAGAACCCCCAGTATCCTAGCATGGTTGGAGAAATAAAAGTGTCTTCACCGCATGGTCATTTTCTTCTGAGCCTTGCGCTGCTCCTTGGCCTGCTCCTTTTCGAGGTACTTCTTCTGCGCCTTTGCGTCCAGGCCCTTGAGGTCGGCATCGCGCTTACTCTTCTTGGCCTTTTCCTTTTCGGCGGCGCGTTCCTCAGCGCGCTCCTCCTCGGCCACCTTCTTGATCTGGTTAATCTTTTGCTCGCGAACGTTGCGAATCTTCTTGAGCACCTCCGGACGGAAGTGGGCCTGGGCGACGAGCTGGTCGGGCATGCGCAGCAAGTACTCAAAGAGCGGCACATACGCGTCGTAGTTGCCGTCGCTGGGCAGATTGTACTTGAGGTGCAGGCGCTTGCGGGGCGTAGTCTCGTCGAGCGTCGTCGGGCTGTCGATTGGCTGGTCCGAGATGACGAGGTACTGAAAGTTGTCGCCGAGCGCGACAACGGCGGCGATAAGTTCGGGTGTCAAGAAGGTATCCGTGACCTCGGCGCTCTCGCTCATGACCGTCAGCCACTCAGGAAGCTTGGAGTTGTCCTTAGTGGCCGTCAGGGAGACATCGTAACGCTGATCGCGGAGACGCTGCATGCGCGTCTTGTTGACCACGGCCCAGACGAAGCCGTCGAAATGGCTCCTGGAGTCGATCAGCGGCTCGCTCTCCTCGGCGCTGCGGCGCCTAGGCACCGTAAGGCTCTCCTTGCCGTCAAAGGGATAAATGAGCACCTCGACGAGGTCCTCGGGCGTGGGGCCCATAGACTCAAAGAGGAAGCTGCCGACTGTCTCAAACAGGTACACGATGGGGTTGAACTTCTTGGTGAGGGTAATCTTGATGTCCATAAAGGCGATATTCTTGCGACCGGTCGCGTAGCCAGCAAACTCAAACAGCGACTTCTCCTTGAGCAGGGTGTCGGGGTTGACGTCCTCGGAGGCGGGTGCGCGGCCAAAGCCAACCAGAGCAAACTCGTTGTGCAGGGCGGCGGCGTGGGCGCGCATCCATTTCTTGGCCTTGGTGCGGTTGAGACCTGCGCCAAAGAAGTGGAAGATGAAGATGAATGCCGTCACCAGGAGGATCACACCCTCCACCTTGAACTCGGACAAGGAGTGGCGCTCATGGATATTGTACCACTTGGTAAAGGGTCGGCCGGTCGCAAGGGGAGTCGCGCCGCCGAGCGTGGCAGCGGCAGCGGGAGCTGGGTCCGGAGCCGAGGCAAAATCGGCAAAGTCTAGATGGTATTCGCGTTAGAATTGTGTGTTCTGATGCTGACTAAATGGAGAGGCGACTGCAAAGAAGCCTGCCAGAGAACGAGAAGAGCCTGTTTTGCGGGCAAGTGTCGGTTCCGCTCTGCGAACAATTGCAAGCGCATTGCTGAGGTATATAATTTCTCACCGGAATCATCCTTTGCTCCAGCCGCAGCTTCCTTTCCACCAAATATGTTCTTCAAAATGTCAGCCATGGCTGTTGTGTTGGATGACGATGGGATGAAGACATGTGCGAGCCGTTACAAGAGCTGAGAAGTTTGGGGCCAACATTGTCCACCGGCTAAGCTACGCCACCAAATTAGGCATGGCGTGGCAGCTTGTCTAAGCCCTTCCCAGATCCACGCGTTCCCAAGCTCAAGCGGTCAAATAATCAAGTTCCATTGCACGATTGAGAGATATGAAACATTTGCTTATTATGAAATACGCTAAAGAATGGCTAAAATGCAATACCCTCAACGCCGTTGTGGCAACTGCCCCCGGAACCAATCTCCAAAGAACCCATGAGACTAATGCTAAAGCTCGCCGGCTAAAACTGATTACTAACGTTAAATGCAAATGTATAAACCCGTGAAAAGTCAAGGTTAGATTGTGGAAATATGCTTCAATAACTTTTGCAGCTTCTTAGAAGCTAAAGAGGCCACTACGGCGTTTGCCGAGGGGATAGATCAGGAGCGCACTCAAGAACAGGCCGACGGCAATACCAATGGCAATTTGAATCATAGAGGCAGCTACGTCAAACACAACCGTGCTCATAGCATGCGTGGATTCGCCAGGTGTCTCGGTAGAGTTGGACTTTGTGAGCATATTGGCCGTTCTCAGACCGCTCAGTAGGCCGCCAGTCGACGCCAAGCCTCCCGGGACCTGAACGAAGATGGCGGGAATAAGAGTGGCAGCGGCGACACCGTGGCGGATGCGCGAGTAGACATTAGCAAGGACACCGACACAAAGTGCGCCAAGTGTGCTTGCAATCTGCGGACTCGCCACAAAGCGCACACTGCTAAAATAGTTGGCAATGTAACCGGAGAATGCAATGATGACCATGACGGGCATCTGACGCCATTTGGCCTGGTACAGAATGCTGATGCAAATGATGAAGAGGGGTACGAATATGAATGCGACGTAAGGGCTCATTGGATCTGTGCACTGTGTTTGGGATGTGGCGTTCTTGTCGAAGATGCCCCAGAGGGACGCGCCCACGGTAATGCCAAAACCAAGGAGCAGAGAGTAAATGATGGCATAAACAATTCGAATAGACCCTGGCACAATCGCACGGGCCTGCAACTCGAGTGCAGAACACACTGTAGATTGTTAGAATAGTCTGTACAGGCAGTTCTGCAGAGACGACTTACAAACTGAGTAACCAGGCAGCAACATGACAATGCCGCCTTGTGTGATGGCAGAGAAGCAGAACAGATTGCTGTTGGAAATACTACCAAAGGCACGACCCATGAAGCTCACAAGAACCGTGGCGCTAACTTCAAAGACATTGTTGTACATGTTCGACTTGGGGGCCACAATCAGCTGCAGCGCCCCGACAAGACTACCAAAGCAGAATGCAAGTGGTAGATCAATGAAGCGAGCCTTGAAGGAGAATGGCGCCGCAGTGGCGCTCGTCAGACCAAAGATTAGCACACGGGTCCAGGGGTGAAACTTTTCGCGGGCAGAGATGATGGCATCGATGCGCTCTGTGCCCTCCTCAACGCCAATGACATCATGCATGACTTCCTTGTAGACTTGATGGACGTCCTTGAGCTTGCCAAGATCGATGCCTTGGACAGTGCGCACAATGCGCACCTCTGTCGTGTGCGTTGATGTGTCGTCGAATGAGATTATCATGCATCCAGGCAAGTACAAAAACTGGCCCTCAATCTCCAGCACCCGGGCAGACATGCTTAGGTACTCCTCGAGACGGTGGGTGGGCGCGCCGTACAGCATGAGGGCACGGCAGAGCTTGATGATGTAGCCCTGTCGTGCAAGGATGCCTGCAATGTGCACGGCGATGCGCGTCTCTTCCTTTTGGTGATGAAAGAGCGAGGCGCTGGCCACGCGCTTGGCCTTTGGCCGCTTCTTCTTGGGCGACGCCGAGCTCGACCCCACGCCGCCTGCATTGTTGCCTAGGTTGGGGTTGGCAAGACGCGCGGAGGCTTCTATGAGGTTTGCGAGCGTGTCCTGCGATCGATTCTGCTCGTACCACTTTCGACGGCTCGGTGTTGTGTGGCCCGATTCGGAGCCGGAAGTATGGCCTGCAGATGAGGCGGAGATGTTGCGTTGGTGGTGGCCTGGACGGACCTCGGAAGGCTTGTACAGCTTGAGCAGCTGCGAGAGCACGCCGCCTCGGTAGTGCTTGGGCGTGGGCACCGGAATTACGCCGTCATACCCACCAGCATTCCAATCGTCCACCTCGATAGTATGGCTGGCCGTCGCTGCCTGCTCTTCGGGATCGACGACGGTGATGTCGTCGGGCGTCTTTGCCTGCCTGCGCATGGTGTGAGAGCGGACGAGATCGTAGGCTTCATCGTTTCGGTTCTTCGGGGGCTCCTCGAATTGTTGTATTAGCTGCCAGGTGTCCTCGCCAGACTCTGAGCGCGCATAGCCCATGTTTTGCAAAGGAATGCTGCCGTCGCTGGGGAATGGCTCTACGTCACCAACGCTGGCCGGGACCGACTCAAAGGAATTGCGCGAGGGCGTGGGCGACCCCCGTTGCAGCTTATCGGCCACCTTTTTTGCCCGCTCCTGCGCAGCTGCGGCCGAGATCTGTTTCTCGGACGAGCCCTCGACAAAGTCACCGCTGTCTCCATGGTTGCTGGCAGCAGCAGTAGCGGCGGCAGCCTCCCTCGCAAAGTAGTCAGTTGTCGGAATCGAGCCGGACGAATGGTTACGCAGCGCAGAAGGGCGCGGCGGCGCTGGGGAGCTGCGTCGCTCGGGTCCCGTCTGCGGCACGCTGGGCGCGACTGGTGGTCGAAGATGGGCTCCAGCAGTACTGTTAAAACGCACACGGCCTTTTTCTTTCTTCACAGCAGCAGCGACAGCGGCATCAGGCAAGGTGACATCGGGGGAATTGGATTGAAAGTCGGTAGCGGGGGCTGTCGTAGGTCTAGGCCAGTCTTCGACATTCTGAGACGTTGTTGTCTCTGGCGGTGCGGTTGATCCAGAGGGCCAATCACTGTAGACTGGTTGGTGGTGGGCAAAGTCTTCATACTTGGGCCGGCTCTCAGAGCCTGGATCGGGGTCTTCGGGAGTGGTCGAGGCGCCTGACTCTTCCATGGCAGCAACGGCAGCAGGGGTGCAGCAGGACAGAAACCAGCAGCAACGACAGCAAGAAACGCACAAAGATGTATATGAAAAAAATTGTAAAAATACCGGGCACACGCAATAGACATGAAGAAGAATGTGGCGGGTGTATAACAGCTTTGTTACTAATAACTAAATATTCAACCCCTCCACTTGCGGTGCCTGAGCCGAGCCCGGGCATGGCCCATCACCCAGTACGTGCTAGAATTTACTGAACAAGTAATAATAGCTGCAATTCGTGGTGGGTGGGGTTCACAGCTCCTTACAAGTTACAGCATTGACACAATGCTGATTATCCCGCCGGGCACTTTTGAGAAAGTTTTTCTCTTGTCGGTCAGGCCCGTCAGGGAGAAGCATGGTGGACACAAAGGGGTCGTAAACCAGGGCTTGGTGGGTTCTCGTGGAAGTTTGGGCTTGGGAGCTCGATACAGCACGCCGCTGGCGTGGCGGCCCATGTGACTGAAAGCACGGTAGCAGCACCATGGCCCAGGCTTTGAGCAATTGGCAAGGCCCCTGGAAGTCGAGACCGTTTGCGTGGAGATCAGAATTCGGACTCAGAGCGAGTCAGGATCAAAGTAGTGTGCTTGTGGCCCGTTGCTGGAGTTGTGCTACGCAACCTACGGCATCACGGAAGTACTCTGACGTCAAGTGGATATAGTGTTTCTTGGAACAAAGGCCCCAGGGCGCCCTTTGCCTTGGTTCATCCTGCATTTATTCACACTATTCAATCTATTCAAACTTGCAAACATGGTGGTATTACTTGACAAACTCAGCCACTGCGAATGTGTCGTGATACGACGACATGTTGATGCCACCTATATCCCTGGCGAGTCATCAATGCGCCTTATTAACAGGAGCTTTGCCCGGAAGCTTAATGCCGAAGCCAATAACGCGTCAACGCATAGTCCAACTAATAAAAGAAACGCGGGGCATGCATTCTTTTCCGATCACGTTGGCGGGCCATCCGGAACGCCTGGAAACTTGCCAACTGGCTATTTACGAGATAGTTTAGTGGTCCATCCCGTGTCGCTCCAACTTAAATGGTCCTGTATCGGACCACGCAAGGGCTTGATTTTTATTGTCCCCTCCGTGGTCTTGCTCGAGTGCATCCGCTAATCCGCTACATCGCGAACCAGTCGGCGACTCGGGCCAGGCAAGTTGCAATATTTACCATTGACGAGCTAAATAGGGCGGCTGTTGTTATATTCAGGCTGCTGCGCATACCGAGTTCCTTCATCCATACATACCTGAACCCTACCTTATAAAAAGGAGTCAAACCAACCATCCTGTGGACCGTGGAAGAAATTGTCAAGGGGGTTGAGTAATTGTCAAAGCAAGGACCAGCCAATCTTGCAAATACCATGATCATTGACGCCCAATCTCATCTTATCATCGCCCAATTTGACTACAATTGTGTATTTCAAAGGGCCATGTGCCAATACCGCACGTGGTAGAAAACTTCCATCCTGAACAAGGCAGCTCACGCATTTCATCCCCAGGCCCTACTTGACTCCAAGCCCAACAAATAGTAACCTAAAAAACGACGGCATTCTCAACATTACAGTCTCGACGTCGAGGACACACCCGCGGAGAAGAAGCTGAGGGCACCGGGCAGTGAGAGGAGACGAATCAAGCAGTGCGCAAGACGTACGTGACCAGGGTTCAGAACGGTCATGTACGTCCCGCCGTCCCTCAAGGTGCATCGCTTTTTCTTTCCAGAGGCCGCCGTGGCTAAGAACCATAAGCACGTCAAGCTGCCCCTGCTCTGCAGAGCGGCGCCAGCACAATATACATGCACAATGGACATCCAGGAGCTGCTGCACGCCGAGGAGCTCTACTTCTTTTTCCGGCGCTCCAACGGGGCCGCCATATTCGCCGCGCAGACTCTGCAGGGCAAATCGAGGACGGCGCTAGACAGCGAGTCGCGGCGGCTGCTATCAAAGTACATGCTCACTGTACGCTGCAAAGTGCAAAGCCAAGCAGGCGATGCTAAACGCGCGCGCAAGTGAAATTGGATAGATAAACCATGCTGACCTTTCTCTACCTTTCCATTAAGCTACCGTCTCTCGCGAGATGATGCAAGAAACCAAATGACCAAGATAATAAAGACGCACAATTCATAAATGCTAGAGAAAACAAAAAGAAACAAAGACACCAGGTAAAAGGTAAATTCGCTCAGAACCCTCGCTGCCTTGCAACTTCACATCACTTCTTCGCCCACAATGAGCTAGCCAGCCCTTTCTTGATCTTCATCTCCCTTGGCACAACCGCAGCCTTCTTGAGCTCCATGATCTCAGGCGCGCTGTAACTAACGATGACGCCCTGGTTTCTATTAGTGCGGTCAATCGTCTTGAGGACCTCCATCGTTTGGCTGGACATCATCGGAGGCTCGCGCGCCGCAGCCGTCCGAAGCTGTAGTTCCTTGAGAAACCGCAAAATCTCCATCAGGCCGCGCTTCGTCTCGTCCGCGTCCGAGTCCAGGCGACCTCTTTCAAGCCACTCGGCAAGCGCGACATCACTGCGCTGCTCGGAAGGGGATATAGGCACTGAGCATCCCGTGATCTGGTGATATGCGGCCCGTACGAGGCCGCCGATGTCGCTAATAACATCGTCCACGCCGATGTCGCTAATAACATCGTCCAGCTTGACTGCCACTTTGTCGCCTTGCTTATTGGGAGGCAGCTCAACGAGCTGGTTCCGTAAAGATCGCGGTGATTGGTCGGGCGAGGACTCTGGCGAGTCGGCACAAATGAGAGACCGGGGTGGCGCAATCGCAGTGTATGTCCCGGCAAGGGACTTTGCCGCCGCAATCTTGACAACTTGTGGAGTTGATGGCGTAGATGGTGGTGTGGGAGTCAAGGTGTGCCCCATTCTCTTGCACAAGACAAGTTGAATATTCTCCAGCACCCGGGCAAGTTTATCCGCTGTCGACGGTTCGTACGGCCTGATTTTGTAGACAATGGCCTCCGTCCCGGGTCCAGACTTGGGTTTGATGATGCATGATGTGCCATACACGATAGGCACTGCAAAGGCCAAGACATTCAGCACCACAGGCGCCTTCCCAGGGGCTGTCAACATGAAGGACGCCGCCACCTTGTCGATACTCACTTCGACCTGGAATTTTGCGTCTGGGACAATTGTGCGCCCCTCGTGCAAAGTAACCTCGCACTTCCCTGCGTATACGACCTGAACCTGAAGCGGTCTAGTCGAATCGGCAGGGCTTGAGCTTGGAGGTGTCGAAGGGGACGGCTCAGCTTGTCGAGGGGCAGCCGGTGGTGGTATAGCCGGTGGTGGTATAGCCGGTGGTGGTATAGCCGGTGGTGTGATTTTCGGAATCTTGAATTGAGTGGGTGCTTGCGGTCTAGATCCAATCAGTCATTCGAAAACACCAATGCCGCTATAGCACATACCGTGATGATGCCCAAGGCCGAGCATTGAGGTCTGCCAAGCCGTGCATTTGCTCAGACTCTTCGTCGGCGATCCCAGCTAAATGTTTTGCAATTAGCTCCAAATACGAATGCGACGGGAATCGCATTTCATACTCGACCACTTGTTGTTAAGATCCTGTTTGATACCTGGATCATAGTGCTTTGATGCGTCGACCGACGGAGGCATAAAAGAAGGGCCTTTGTCCCTCCTTTGCATATTGCTAAGTGGGAGCTCCTCTTGACGACCTCTGCCAAGATCAGCCTATACTGCCGGGTTAATCATAATATGGTCCAAATAACGCGAAACGAAGCCTCACTTGAACGGCCGCGATGACCTCTGCCATCATGACGCCTTCTTGGTGAGCTTTGTAGGAGTAACAAAAATGAAAAGCTGTCTTGGCTACTGCCGTACTTTCTGTGATCTCGATGAATTGAGGTTGGAGGAAGGAGTTCGGCTTCGTGATTGCTGTTTGTCTTTGTTAAAAGCATATTCAGCCGGGTGGCAGCTGGCAGCTGGCAGCCGATCATAACACACGTGCAAACGAGCACAAGAAGTAAAGATCATTTCCTTTTCTTCAGTATAACACGGTATATTATTGAGGCTTATACACAAAGTAAGTCCCTCATCCCCTATACTCTAGTTGACCCTATCTTCATCCTTTATGCTCTCTTTCACCGATTTCACACGATGATGAAGAGGCGGCCGCGCCCAGACCCTATCGTGCTAAGATGTCATTTGGAACATGTGGTTCGCAAAATTTCTTTTTAACTTGAGCGAGTTAGAGTTAATAAAGTGCTAATACAATTTTTTTTTTTTTAAAAAAAAAATGAGAAAAAATGGTATTGTAGACTCAATCACAAGCATAGCGGGCGGGCAACTGGTGCGCGATCGCGCCTGACTCTGCTCCAGTGATTGGTTGCCCCGCCAACTGTAGGTACATCTCTACGCCTCACAACGCCAGTTGGGACCGTGAACGACTGCATCGAGTGGACACACTGTGACGACAGGATGGCACGAAAGGCTACGTACGGCAAACGATCAAAGGCTTCGAAAGCCGAAAGACTGTTTGCTGAGCTGCCTCAGAGCCCAATGCGCAAGCCTCCTACCAACAAAGCTGCCAACCAACCAAAGGAGCCCGAGCCTGCGACCGTGAGGGACTTGACTGAGCGGCTCTCCGAGATAAGAATCCAAGACAAAAGCGACACAGAGCACTCAAAAGTGCCGAGACTCAGCAGAAAAGAATCAGAAAAAGTCATATATGAGGAGCCCTCTGTGGCTGATGAGCATGAAGACAATACACCGCAATGCAGTGACACAGAGGAGAACCTTGCATCAGAAGATGAGCCAGAGTACGAGGAAGAAAGCTCTGCAGAGACGACGCTCCGAATTCTGACGTGGGAGGATGTATGCCCTTACGGTGACCGCATAGAAAAGATCGCGGAGGCGTCCTATGCTGAGGTCTACCGAGTCACCAATGACCGCGGCACCAGCATTATCAAAGTTATTCGCTTGAACTCCCCCATCAAAGCAAAAACAAAGATGCAGGAGCGCGCAAAACTTGTTGACGAGGAGCCGCATAGCGAAGAGGACATCAATGGCGAGCTACAGATATCCGAGTGGCTTGCCGACATTCCCGGTTTTGTCGTCTACAAGGAGCGCTATGTCGTGCAAGGCAAGGCTACAAGGCAGCTGCTGGAGACGCATCAAGTATTTCAACGACGCATGAAGCGGCAGGACCCGGGTCGCGCACAGTTCTACCCTTCTCCCAGCCGCTATCTGGACGACACGCGGTTTCTTGTGGTGGAACTCGGTGACGCGGGAATTGCGCTCGAAGACTGGAAGCTGACTACGGAGAGCCAATTATGGGACATTTTCTTTTTGGTGGCCGTTGCACTGGCTCGAGCTGAAGATCTAGCCATGTTTGAGGTTCGTGAGACTCCATCATTGTGGCGAAATTTCCGCTGTAGAAATCAGGCACTGACGACATAGTAACAGCATCGCGATCTTCATGAGGGCAATTTGTGTATACGGCAGGCTCATGAGCCGAGTGAACGGCCATGTCGGTCTGATGGTCCATGCTATGGCTACTCAGGCCTGGACATTACAATATTGGACTATGGTTTGTCAAGAGCAGAGGATTTGTCAATTGACTACGCAACACCTGTGTCAAATGATCTGGAAAAGGACCTCAGCTTCTTCACGAGTACACATGCGCCACAGTGTAATGTGTACAGACAGATGAGATCATTTCTACTGCGTGCCGATCGCGTCTGCCTGCCTCCCGCGGAGCATACAACCCCGTATGCAAAGGGGATTGACGGCCCAATATCGTGGGACGTATTTGCACCGTATTCAAACGTACTGTGGCTAGCGTATTTGTATTCGTATCTCGTCAGCAACTTCAAAGGCGACAAGAAGGCGTTGCAAAACTTTCGTTCCACAACACAAGAGCTTTGGAAATACCTGGACCCTAACGCCCGCGATGACGTGCCATGTTTTAGCTGCGCTGCGGACGTCGTCTGCTTCGGAGTTGAGGCTGGCTGGATCGCCGACTCGCAACTGGCCGGGTCTGGACATTCTATTATCGAGCGCGAAGAGAGCATCATCATGTCGCGGGATGATGAAGAAGACGAAGCAGTGTCGCCAAGGCGATTGCCAAGGAGAAGCCAGTACCGACAAAGTACCATAGCGTCGTGATTTACCTTTATGTACAACATATTTAGAAGTGTGGAGTTCTGAGCGGGAAGCCTGCATTTTGAAAACGCATTGTTCATTTAATAGCAGTCTTGTATCTCTAGTCTAATGTAATGAAGGGCAGGGTACACGATAAATACGAGAAGAGGCATGGCTCGCAGCACATCGGATTATCAACCCTTTACTGTATAGTTGAATCATAGCTGCGCACGATCGGGCGGCTAGTAAAAGCACTGTCGGCGAATGTTACAAGAACTTTTACCTCCAGAGGCGAAGAACTTACTACGCAAACAGCAGATCAAGTCTCAGCAAGATTGGCATCATGCCAAGAAAGTCTTGCCCGATCTTGAAAAACAAGAGTACCTATATTCGTGGTTTCTTGTAGGCACGCGGTCCTTTTACTACGAAATTGAAGAAACGCTTAGCTACCCTAGTCACGATCGCCTAGCATTATTGCCGGTGGCAGACGTGCTTAATCACGCGAATGCAGGATGCTCGGTGGCGTTCTCGACAGAGGCTTACGATATAACCGCGGACCGCGCGTACCAGGCAGGCGAGGAAGTGTACACGTCCTACGGCGCGCATTCCAACGACTTTCTACTCGCAGAGTACGGATTCGTACTGCCGGACAATCCGTGGGATCAGCTCTGTCTGGACAAGGTACTTCTGGCTAAGCTGCCGCCGCAGCACATGACGGCGCTGTCGGAGAGAGATCTACTGGGCGACTTTATGCTGCGGGCCGATTTGCCGCCAGGAGACAGGACCTGGGTTGCGATGAGAGGGCTTGCCAGCGGTGGTGGCGTGCCGGAATGGGACGACTGGATGCATGGCAAAGAAGACGCTGATGGGGCTCTGGCCAAAGCCCGAGAGATGCTGCCGGGATTTCTCGCAGAGTTTCGCGGGGACGTTGAGGACTACCGCCGCAGAATCACGGAGCTGCGAGACGACGCGAACGCGGCAAAGATGGACATGTTGTTGCAGCGGTGGAACCAGCTGGACGATCTGGCGCGGATCAACCGTGGCAGAATACATGACCTTTATACCCAACATGAAGAATAAGATCCGATAGCAAGCTGAGAGAAACAATGGCACGACTGACTGGCTGGAATGTATTGATGCTCATAGATTAGAGGCCGCGTCCGAAGCGTGCATTGATGTGGCAGCGCCATTGCTAGAAGAGGAGTTCAATCTCCGTCGAGTGGGCTGGACTCAACAGCGCAAGCTAGGTATTAGATACCTTATACCAAGCGGAGGTTGGGGAGAGACTTGTGTTGTGGTGCGGGTGCTGGGCAAAGAAAAGGTCAACTGCTAACATGGGCCATCGGCTGACAGTTAGTCAAGCTTGCGCATATGCTCTGTCTGTTTATTTAGCGGCCTCGGTCGACCCGCTCAAGGGGACAAGCAAAAACAGAGGCTGATCGCGAGTGGAAGAAAATTAAGAAAGCAAGGGATAAAAAAAAAAAGAGGAACAAGTGGAATGTATAACTAGATCAAATTCGTGTGAACAAGTGCTATTACTTTGAAATTATCTGTTTATTCCCAACTCAAAATACGGATACAGGTCCTCGGTCGCTACAACCAGCTCCGTCTTGGCGGGCCGACCTGCAAAGACCTGCCGAGGCTAAGTAATTGTTTGCACCAGCCCGAAAAAGCTGTCCCCACCATCGCCTCTTTTTCTGCCTGCAAAAACAAGCCCACCAGCACATGTTCGCCGGATCAAGTGCGCATGGCCGTCCCATACCACGACGTTCCGGAATAATCGGAGCCTTCTCCTCAACAAACCTGGGGTAGCTCATCTCTCGTCTTTCCTTTTGCTTTCTTCCTCCCCAATCACTTTTACATTTACTTTCTTTCTTTTCTTTTTTTTTCCCGTTTAAATCCTTGCGCCAGTGCAGCGCCTCAATGCGTGGGATGCACATCACCGCTTGTCTGCCATAAGCTTCCCCGACCAACCAAACTACCCAACCACCCGCCCTCGGCAGTCTCTCTCCCTGGCGAGAGCGCACTGTCACCGCCAACGTCCGCCTCCTTTGCTTTCGCATCGAATAGCAAACCCGCAGCGCCCTCAACCGTATGCGGCTTTAGTGTCTCGCGTCTAGTCGCCGAGCCATCGCCCATCATGTCCTTTGATGGCTCCTACGCTCCGTCGCTGAGCAGCCCGACGGTGACGGCCAAGAGCAGCGACGCCTTTGGACGCTCCCTTCTCTCGCCTTCCATATCTTCCTTCTCTTCGCCCGCCGCGCAGCGCCAGACGTCCCACATTTCCAAGACATACCGGCAAGCCTCAACTCTATTTCTGACGCGTCGATTGCCCGAAGCCCTTAGCACACTCCTACCGTTGATTGCGCCGCCTGCCGAGGGCGAGACTGCGCCAGTCTCCGGCGCCTCACGCACCACAAGGGTCAAGGTATGGAGTCTTTACCTCACCACGCTCAATGCCATTGTGGAGATGGAGCCCGAAGAGGGCAAGGCGGCCTTTGGCACGCAGGAATGGAGGGCATTGTGTGCCAAGGTCCGTGAGGGCACCGTGTGGGAAGAGGTTGTTAGGAATGGGTACCATGGGTCCGAAGGTGACGTCGATTCAGAGGTTGTCATTAATCTGTGAGTTCCACCGCGCTTATACGCGTCCGCCGGGCCATTGTTATCTGTACAGCTTGAACTAACCGGAAACCGCCCTTCGATATACAGAGCTACCCTCTTGCTTGCTCACGCTCAGAACCAAACACTCAACCAGAAGAAGCTCGAGACATATCTCGCTACATGCAACGCGCCAAACTTGGATTTCGGAAACAGGCTCAACGGGGGTCGCTCCCCAGGGCCTCGCATGAGTCGCTACGCCTCGCCGGCCAAGGGAACCAGCGGCACAGACACCCCGAGAGATCTAAATGCCCGTGTCAAGATCCTCGAGCTGTACACTCTGCACGTTCTGCTCCGCAACAATGAGTGGGACTACGCGCGCGAGTTTATCAGCGTCAGCGCTGTTCTCGACGATGAGAGGCGCGAAGCCTTCCTCCAGGCTCTGGAGAGTCTCCAGGAAGAGCAGCAGGAGCAGGAGCGCCAGGAGCGAGAAGAACGCCAGCGGCAAGAGGACCAGCTGCGCAGAGACAATGCAGAGGCGCGTCGACTGCGCGAAGCAAGCGAAGAGCGTGAGAGACGGCGGCTCGATGAAGAAAAAACCCGCAGGGAAGCGAGCGAAACCGACTACGGCGTCGAGTCGAGCGCAAGCCCCAGTCCACGACGGATTCAGAGACAATCGTCTGGCTCGACGTCTCGGCCTGCAGGTAGTAGAAGCGGCCCTGGCCAAACACCCACCCTTACTGCGCGTGCCAGCGCCGTGCTTAGCCGCATGAAGATGATGATTGAGCAAATGGCCCAGACGCTCAACAGCAACCCTGTGATTGTTCTGAGACTACTTGGTTTTATTGTCAGCTTGCTCATCATGATCGGCCACAAAGGTCTTCGACAGCGCCTGCAGCGTATGCTTGGTGCATCTTGGGCTAAAGTTGCCGCCACGGCTGGCATGGGAACCAAGGTCAGCTACATCTAAGCTCGACCTTTTGCGATCCATTCTCGTGCACTACTGTACAATAACTACATATCTTGCCACTGCATCCTTTCCGGAGTTCATCGTGGGATCATTTCTTTGTTGGAAATTTTCAACGCTTTCCTTTGTATCAATAATGACCGAACCTCACTACAATGCCGAGTGCAAGGAACTGCACTTTGCAAGAAAATTAAGTTGCATAGTACATCAGAATATAACATTTTCTCGAGACTGTATTGCTCTGAGCTTTTTCCTTTTGCTGTGTCTATGTCGTACTTAATGCCAGAATCAAAATCTTGACCTAAACGCCACCGACTCCGACCCATGCGAAAATTCAAACAGAAATGTATTGTAATAGCTCTTTTTTTTTTTTTTGCATCTTGGTCGCTGCCAATGCACCACGAAGCGTGCCCAGACCCGGGCCGCCCCGTGGCTAATAATTCGGTGTCCGATTGGTCTTTTTCTGGTAGAATAACTGTAGAGGGAGGCAGGTTAGCGAGACTCTGGGCAAACGGAGTGAAATGGCATGGCAGAGAAAAGACATGACGTACATCTGTCCTTGAGCTGCCCAGGTTAATGATCTTGGGACACCCGTCACGATCCTTTTCGAGCCGCGTGCACTCGAAACAGTAGAAGGCGTCCGAGATGCCCTCGCCGCCGCAGACGACGCATTTGTTCTGGTAGTTGCCGAAGCTGCACTCGTCGCAGATGCGCACGAGAGTGGTCGGGCGGACATACGAGTCGCACACGGGGCATTTGCCGTCGCACTTATCGCAGAGGCGGCCGATGGCGATGCCGGGCTGCTTGCGGCACATGACGAGATCGCTGGACGGTGGCGAAGACAAAATTAGCGATGGGCATGCCTGGGAGAGGGGAGGACGGTGGCGGGGCTTACGGATGATGGCGCGACATTATGGACGGCTCAAAAGAAGATTGCGATTCCCGAGGGGCTAGAAGGTTTGGGAATTGGTGTCCTGGCTAAGGTTGTAGAAAAGAAAATGGCTGTCGCTGGGAGAAGAGAGCTCTGTCGCAAATAAGTAGAAGGTTATGGCCCAAGCAGAGATGGGTGGTAGTCTGGTAGATTTCTCAGCCAAGGGACCTCGGTGGTTAGCCAATCATGTGGCGGGGGCGTGAGCTTCAGCCTTCCAGGCACCAGCCACACAGCGGCTAGCGGATTAACGAGCACTGTAGTAAGGCAAGTCTTCAAAGGTAGGTACTAACTACAGCAGTTTGATCCTGATCGCCACCAACGACACTTTCTCTGCCACGTCTTCGACTACATTGACATCAGCGCGAGCGCGGATGGGCATTCGGCATGTCGTGAGGAATTCGTTGATGTATGCTTAGTCTTTTAAGGACCGCGACATACCTATAATTTTCGACAGCAGCTGCGATTTGCAGAGCAATGGCGTCACCAGAGGCGTAAGTACAGTCGGCTGCGCATCGCAGATAAAGGGCCTGTGTTTTGACTTGACATCTATAGTATGGCAGCTGCAGAAATGCGATCCAATGCCGATCACATAATGGAGATTGCATCCTCGCGCGACTCCCAGCCATCGAAGCGCAAGGCGTCTCCGGAACGCGATGACCGCGGCCAGTCGCCGAAAAGGACACGATACGACTCCGACGAGGAGACGCGAGACCGCTCAAGACGACGATCGCGGTCACTGCGGAGAGACCGCGCAGTTGTGGATGAACATCCACCAGAACGGCGTCCTACGGTCGCAACGCAAGAGGACAAGAGGCGAGGGAAGCGTTTATTCGGCGGCCTGATGAACACGCTGAACCAGGGGCCTAGCACCATACAGCAGAAGCGTAGACAAGAAATTGAGAAGAGGCAAAAAGAGCGCATGCAGAAGCAAGATGCGGAGGACGGACAGCGACGGGCCGAGAGGCTTGCGCAGCTACGAGCTGTTCGGATCAGAGAGCAAATCGTCTTCGACGAGGAAGTCGTACGTGGCGGTTTGATAAGGCTTTTGCGGCTCTTCGGCTAGCTAACAAGTTTTTACTGCAGATGCGAAATCGACATGTAAAAAAGCTAGCCCTGGCGAGATATCTACAAACCAAAGCCGAGCCCAGAATTGTATGTTGTCGACGCGATGAGCCTGCGTACAAACCCTTGAGCTAACGACTTACAAAGTACTATCTGCCCTGGCGCTGCACGGACCACGAGCAAGATATTATAGATGAGCAAAGGAGAAAGGCGAGGGAGCTTGTGCAGCGCGAAGAGAGCGAATTCGAAAAGCGTCGAAAATGGCACATTGATCGACACGGCGCCGCCGTTAAACCCAGGCCGCAATCACCACCTCGAGAGCAGCCACGTCCACCAACGGCGAGCCCTTCCCCGCCCGACATAGCCGCTGCGGAATCAGCGATGAATGCGGATGGCGACCCGGGCGGTGGTGAGGAGGAGAATTCACGAGCAGATGGCCACGATGATGCCGGGGACATTGTGGAACATGCTGGGGAAGATATGGTGATATACTAGTAAGACCCTTGTCGCGACGTGCCGTGGCACTGCATCTGTACTATAACAGCAGTACAAGGAGAAAGAAGCGAGGCACCATTTACTACCATCATCCGTTGGCGTGAAACCGCTCCTCGTCCCGCTCCGGGGCTTTCAGTTGTAATCATTAGCTGGGTAGGGGCAACAAGCGTTTTGATAAAGTTTTATGGGCCGTCAAACGTCGCGACGATCTCTGAGCCGACGTCATCGTCGCACGGCCTCCTCCTACATTTTGTGCATGGAAACCAGACACTTGGGCGCACGGAAGGGTCGGAGAATCTGTCCATCAATGAATGATGGTCAAATGTTGGCGTCGCGGCATTTTGCACGTACGGCCAGCGTCGTCTCATCAATTCCAATATTTGCCGAGGCCCAGCAGACAAGGGTGTGGAAAACGGCATCCAACTCAAAAGTCCGGTTCCTGTTTGCACTAAAATGCTTACAACCCCGCCTTGCCCGTTGAGTTACATTTGCTGCGGGCACCCGCGTTTTAAGTAGCATATGCTACTCATTGTTTTCTGTCCGGTTGTATATATAGCGGCGTTGGTAGCTCCGGCCCGTCTTTGCTCATCCCTTCGTCTCATAGCTCTAATACACTAATCAGACGTCTTCATCATGGACACGAGCAAGCTCAAGCCCAACGACCCAAGGGTCACAAGCCACACCGAGACCATTCGCGGCAAGAAATATCACTACATTGTTGGCGAGCCCCAGGGTACCAAGGTCGGCACCATGCTACTGGTGCACGGCTTCCCGGACATGGGGTTCGGCTGGCGCGCTCAGGTCCCCTACTTTATGTCTCGCGGCTACCAGGTCATCGTGCCGGACATGGTCGGCTACGCGCGTACCGACGCTCCGGCCGACCTGAGCCACTACACCTTCAAGAGCACGGCGGCCGACATGGCGGAGCTCGCGCGCAAGTTTGTCGGGCCGGACGGGCAGATTGTGCTCGGCGGGCACGACTGGGGCGGCCTCGTCGCGTGGCGCCTGGTGGACCGGTACCCGGCGCTGGTACGGCGCGCCTTTGTCGTTTGCACGCCGTACATGAAGCCAAGCACGCAGTACACGCCGCTCGAGGACCTCATCAAGGCGGGCATCCTGACCAACTTTACCTACCAGCTGCAGTTTGGCGGACCCGAGGTCGAGGAGCGGGTGCAGGGCCGCGACCGCATCCGCCAGATGCTCAACGGCCTGTTTGGCGGGCAGGGCCCCAACGGCGAGCTGGGCATGCGCGTGAGCAGCGGCGTCGTCTTTGAGAACCTCGACAAGCTGGGCCCGTCGCCGCTGTTGTCGGCCGACGAGCTCGACTTTTACGCCGACGAGTACGCGCGCCAGGCGGCCCCCGAGCTGCGCGGGCCGCTCAACTGGTACCGCACGCGCAAGCTCAACTTTGAGGCGGACCGCGAGCTGGCGACCGAGGGCAGGGGCAAGGTGCCGGTGCCGTCGCTGTTCATCGCGGCCAGCAGAGATGCGGCGCTGCCGCCCGCCTTGTCCAGTGCCATGGACGAGCAGTTCGAAGACCTCACCAAGGCCGAGGTGGACGCTTCCCACTGGGCGCTGGTCGAGAAGGCGGATGAGGTGAATAGCATTGTCAGCGAGTGGTTGGAGAAGAAGGCGTCGACCAAGGCATCGCTTTGAGGGATGATCCGGAGCTCCTGAGAAAAAGAATTGCCCAAATGAAGATATGAATAATAGCATGAAATGATACTCTTGCGTTAGTAGTGAGTTAGCCGCTCAACTTGTCTTGGAAGCTGTTTGCATGTTCCATTGTAGGTGCGCTTAGTGAGACTAGAGTGCTTCAGACCGATGCACGCAGCACACGTACGGATTAGTTGTTTTCGTGTCGTAGTCCTTGTGGAATGCAGCTCTCAAGTTTCACAGTGCGCTTATGCTATCACCAATGGCCAAGTCAGACAGCCCCAGGCGGGAACGTGGTGAAATGGTGTGGCTCAGACAGCGCTGGTCTGTGACATGGGCCCTGACCCTTGCTAACAAGCTTGCGAGCGTACCTACCTAGGTATCTATCAGATTTTTTTTTGGGCGGCCTATGGTCCCCTAGAATGCTACTTACACAATGTAGTACTGCAACTGTATTCGTAAGTTGGTAGTTACCCACGGCGCCAAACGAGGATCAGAATCGAAATCTATTACGAGTGGCAAATAATATTAACCTTTTGCCTGAGTAGCCAGGTAGTCCGTATCACAGGCGGCCCAACCCCTTTCAATTGTGGCTGGTGACAATTCGTATTATGAACAGACGTCGATCTGTCATCTCGCCCAACACATCTTTTATGATAGCTGCCAATAATAACAAAGCGAAAAATCTGTCTTTGTCCTCTGTCTGAACCAAAATAGATTATCGCCTCCCGAGCCTGTTCCCAGTCAGCCTAGCCCTGCCTCTGAGCAATCACCAACACCCGAAGCTAAGCCCAGCACTGGTAGCTGCAAGCCACACTGCCCTAATAATTAGTCGCGAGCTCACGCAACCAAGGAGGCTGTGCTTCCTAGCAACCTCAACGTCGCAGGTTGGCGATCCATACCCGCTCATCCCATCGATTCTCTCATTTCGACATCTGCCGCGCGACTAAATCATAGAAAGCTGTTACCTTCACGACCTGCACGTTGCCGCCTGGCTCGCGTTGACGTTCGCATGAGCTTCATATCCAGCGTCCCGAGCTCATCACACCCGCGCTGCCCCCAGCATGGCTGGACGACCTCCTGGAGGTCCCCGTGCCGGCCAGTCGCACACCCACGACGACCTGTTGCTGGACCTTGACAATGAACAGCCTGTCTACAGCCAGGGCCAGCGCTCTACCCTTAACGACGATGACCTCTTGAGAAACTACAACCAACCCCACGATTCCCCCGGCCGCCCCTCCGTTTCCTATGACGACTTTGTCGGCGCAACCGGCATGCACGAATCTCCTGGCCGCCAACCCGGTGCTGGCACCGGGCCACATCCTTCCTCTCGCCTCGATGCTGCTGGGCCCTACATGACCCGGCAGTACAGCCAGACATCCGAACTGGGCAACTACCAGCGCTACGCCGACGATCTGGACGACTATCCCTCCGACCGCGCATCATATTACCAGAATGATGGCGCCTCGACCATAGGCGGCCCTGCAAACGCCGCCAGGCAGGCTGCGCGCAACCGCAACAGCGTGCTGAGTCTTGGCGGAGGCTTCCTGGGACGCTTCCGGAATAGAATGAGCCGTGGCCAAGGCTACTCTGAGATGGATCTGCCTCTGACGGAAGGAGGTCACGATAGAGTAAACGGTGCGCCACCTTCGCAACAAAAGCAGGCCGGCGGTGGCGGTGGCGGCGGTTTCGATCTAGGAAACTTCAAATTCGGCTTTGGTTCTCGCAAACCCGATCCTTCGACCCTCGGCCCTAGAATAATCTATCTCAACAACCCTCCCGCAAACGCCGAGAACAAGTATGTCGATAACCACATTTCCACGGCCAAATACAACTTTGCATCGTTTTTACCAAAATTTCTTTTTGAGCAATTCTCCAAAGTTGCCAACGTCTTCTTCTTGTTCACTGCCGCCTTGCAGCAAATTCCCGGCCTCTCGCCGACGAACCGATACACGACCATCGCCCCTCTGCTTATCGTGCTTTTGATTTCTGCTGGTAAAGAATTGGTGGAGGACTACCGGAGAAAACAGGCCGATAATGCGCTAAACACATCGAAAGCGCAGGTGCTTCGAGGCTCCAGCTTTACGCAGACGAAATGGATCAATGTGGCAGTCGGCGATGTCGTTCGAGTCGAATCAGAAGAGCCATTTCCTGCAGATCTAGTCCTCTTGGCCAGCTCAGAACCCGAAGGCCTCTGCTACATTGAAACTGCAAATCTTGATGGCGAAACGAATCTCAAGATTAAGCAAGGTCTTCCCGAGACCTCAACCATGGTGTCCCCCAGCGAGTTGAGTCGGCTGACGGGCCGCATCAAGTCTGAACAGCCAAACAGCAGTCTGTATACATACGAGGCAACTCTAACTATGCAATCTGGTGGCGGTGAGCGCGAGCTTGCTCTGAACCCGGAACAACTCCTCCTTCGTGGTGCTACCTTGAGAAACACCCCTTGGATTCACGGTGTTGTCGTGTTCACGGGCCACGAGACGAAGCTGATGCGCAATGCTACAGCTACACCCATCAAGCGAACCAAAGTGGAGCGGCAGGTCAACTCTCTTGTGCTTATCCTAGTAGGCATGCTTCTTGTCCTCAGCGCTTGCTGCACAGTTGGTGATTTGGTGACGCGCCAAGTCAGTGGCAACAACTATGGCTATCTTTACTTGGACAGAATCAACGGTGTCGGAATTGCCCTCAAGACGTTTTTCAAGGACATGGTCACGTACTGGGTCCTGTTCTCTGCCCTCGTTCCCATCTCACTATTTGTCACTGTTGAACTGGTAAAATATTGGCATGCTATCCTCATCAATGACGACCTGGACATGTATTACGACAAGACCGACACCCCCGCCACTTGCCGAACGTCCAGCTTGGTTGAGGAGCTAGGTATGGTCGAGTACGTCTTTTCTGACAAGACTGGCACTCTCACTTGCAACATGATGGAGTTCAAACAGATTTCCATCGGCGGCATCATGTACTCGGACAACGTCCCTGAAGACCGACGCGCCACAGGTTCGGATGATATGGAGGGTATTCACGACTTTAAGCAACTCAGATCTAATCTGGCCGAGCGCCATTCTACTGCGGAGGCAATTGACCACTTCCTCGCGCTTCTGGCCACGTGCCACACCGTTATTCCAGAGGTAGATGAAAAAGGCCGAATCAAATACCAAGCAGCCTCGCCTGATGAGGGTGCGCTGGTCGAAGGCGCAAAGACACTCGGGTACACATTCTTTGCCCGCAAGCCCAAAGCAGTCATCATTGAGGTTGGTGGACAGGAGCTGGAATACGAGCTTCTGGCCGTCTGCGAGTTCAACTCTAGCCGTAAGAGAATGTCGACCATTTACCGCTGTCCTGATGGAAAGATTCGCTGTTACTGCAAGGGTGCGGATACCGTCATCCTGGAACGCCTACACGACCAGAATTCGCATGTGGACGTCACCTTGCGCCATCTGGAGGAGTATGCTTCCGAAGGTCTACGAACACTCTGCTTAGCTATGCGCGAAATTCCAGAGCAAGAATTTCAAGAGTGGCACCGCATCTTCGAGGCCGCAGCTACCACCGTTGGCGGTAATCGAGCCGACGAGCTGGACAAGGCCGCCGAAATCATTGAGCACGACCTTACCCTGCTCGGCGCTACTGCGATTGAAGATCGTCTACAGGACGGTGTTCCCGAGACTATCCACACCCTACAAGAGGCCAACATCAAAGTCTGGGTCCTCACTGGTGATAGACAGGAAACGGCCATCAACATTGGCATGAGCTGCAAGCTTCTCAGTGAAGACATGATGCTTTTAATAGTCAATGAAGAGACGGCTGAGGGAACCCGGGATAACGTGCAGAAGAAGCTCGACGCGATTCGCACACAAGGCGACGGGACTATCGAGATGGAGACGTTGGCCCTGGTAATCGACGGCAAGTCGCTGACGTATGCTCTCGAAAAGGATATGGAGCAGCTTTTCCTCAAGCTTGCCATAATGTGCAAGGCGGTGATTTGCTGTCGCGTGTCGCCGCTCCAAAAGGCGCTGGTGGTGAAGCTCGTCAAAAAGTACCAAAAAGGCTCGATCCTTCTCGCCATTGGCGACGGCGCCAACGACGTGTCAATGATTCAGGCCGCGCATATTGGCGTGGGCATCAGCGGTGTCGAGGGCCTGCAGGCGGCGCGCAGCGCCGACGTGGCGATTGCGCAGTTTCGGTACCTACGCAAGCTACTGCTGGTGCATGGCGCGTGGAGCTACCAGCGCATTAGCAAGACCATTCTGTTTTCCTTCTACAAGAATATCGCTCTGTATCTGACGCAGTTTTGGTATGCCTTTCAGAATGTCTTTTCCGGTCAGGTCATTTACGAGTCCTGGACACTGTCCTTTTACAATGTCTTCTACACCGTGTTCCCGCCGCTGGCGATTGGCATCCTTGACCAGTTCATCTCGGCGCGGTTACTCGACCGCTACCCACAGCTGTACACAATGGGCCAGCAGAACCTGTCGTTCAAGATCAAGGTGTTTTGGCAGTGGATCGCCAACGCCGTCTACCACTCGATTGTGCTCTACGTCTTCTCGGAGCTCATCTGGTACGACGACCTAATCCAAGGCGACGGCAAGACGGCAGGCCATTGGGTCTGGGGCACGGCGCTCTACGGCGCCGTGCTGCTCACAGTACTCGGCAAGGCGGCGCTCGTTACCAACAATTGGACAAAGTACCACGTCATGGCCATTCCCGGCAGCATGGCCGTCTGGTACATCTTCATCGCTGCCTACGGCACCGTCGCACCCATGATTCCCATTTCGGTCGAGTACCACGGCGTCGTTCCGCGGCTCTACACCAGCCCCATCTTTTGGCTCCAGACGATTGCGCTGGCAGGCCTCTGCCTGCTCCGCGACTTTGCGTGGAAGTATGCCAAGCGCATGTACCGACCGCAAACCTACCACCACATCCAAGAGATTCAAAAGTACAATATCCAAGATTACCGACCAAGGTTCGTCATTCTCCCCCCCCCCCCCCCCCCCTCCCCGCACCTTTAATCAAGAGAGGGAGCCATTGCTAACCCCGTGAACAGAATGGAGCAGTTTCAAAAGGCCATTCGCAAGGTCCGCCAGGTGCAACGCATGCGAAAGCAGCGCGGCTACGCCTTTTCCCAGGCCGACGAGAGCCAGACCCGCGTGCTGCAGGCCTACGACACCACCAAGAACCGTGGACGGTACGGTGAAATGGCCAGCTCGCGTCCGCAATAGCATAACCTGTGTTTTTCGGGAGACGCAACAGGAGGGTTGCCGGGTGCAACATGACGGATTATGCATTGTGTAGTATTTTATTGAATTCGCAGAAAAAGCAAGGGTATTTTTACTTTTTTTTTTCGTTTGAAACCTTGTTGCGGCAATTTTCTTCATTTTGTTTTGTTTTTTTTCATGTCTTATTGCTAGTAGTAGGGGAGGGGGGGGATACACAGCAAAAAGAGGAGGATGGACGTTGGCGTATGCTTTTTTTTTTTGTTTTTTATTCTACTTCACATTATTCTTCATGCATGGCATTTCATGCAAACTGACTTGTCATGCTTTCTTCTGTTCCCATGTTTACTTTTTTCTCTTCTTTTCTCATCAGCATTAGCCGTTTGGCATTGCATGAAATTCCATTGAGTAGATGTATCCAAATCTACCTCTTTATAATCAAATCGAGCCAGGCGACAACACTCTTGTCATCACATGGAACAAGGCACGAGAACTGGCATTGAGGTTGAATCATGTTTGTTCAACTATCGAGTGCTGAGCAGAAGCGAATTTGTATCATCTATATAGAGAGAAGACGACGTTTGCGAACCGAGCCGTCGTCCTTGTTCCCTTGAAACTACCAAAAAAGCAAAAGCTCATCTCTGCAGCCCTTGATTCGAATTGCGAAGAGAGATGCAATAGACAAGTCCGCTGATTGCATCACCGTGAGATGCAACAAAGACTTGTCTGGTATGTAAAAATATAATCAATGTATAGTGTAATCAAAACGCCTTCATGTGTTGGTGAGATATCCCTTCATTTCCCACTTTTTTTTATGACTCCAATTTCCGTCGTGTTTTCCCGACTGTGCCGGTCTGTACATAAAGACTTGCCAAGAAATAATAATAACATTGAGCAGACGCCGATTAGAAAAGAATCAAAAGTAGAAAGAAAACGGGTTGAAATATGTTCGTTGAATGCTTTTCGTAAGATGCGTAAGTCCGTAATATAGAACATGTTGAGATGAGAGAGAGTCAAGACGACCCTGATATGCTGTCCAGCTTGTCCGCGGCTGCTGGTAAAACGACCACCTTTTTATGCTTCATATGAAGCGATGCAGTACGATGCTCATCGGCCCATGATGGGAGTGACGAGTTCGCTGCTTTTGGGGCGGGATGACCTCGATGGAAGCGGTCGGTCGGTTGAGCCGTGGTAGGTATGGCTACCGTCCATGCCAAGCATGTGCTGGCGGGCGTACGACGAGCTGGGGCTCGTGGCAGCGCTCTTTCCAAAAGGCCAGAATCCACCCGCGCTGCTCGTTGGTGATGGTGGGCTGGGAGGGTGGATCGCCGTCAGCGAACGGAGTGCGGAGAGGGCGGACTCCGGCTTGGATCCGTAGTAGGTGCCGGGAGTTGCGGGAGGTGATGTCGCTAGGAGCATAGAGCCAGGTCTGGATGGTGAAGCCTGGGGAACAATATCCCTGCCCTCGGAGTCGGAAGCGTAGTAGGATTGACGACGGGCAAGGCTGTAGTCGTTGCTGCCGCTGTATGAGCTGTACGAGGCAGAGTGCGATGAGGACTGGTCGGATCGACGGCAGCTATGTACAGCAAGTTAGCAGATGTAAGGATGGCAATTGACGATTGCGTATCGCCATTGTATATAATTACCTTTCAGAGCAGTAGAGAAAATTGTCGCTGGCGGGAAGGAATTGCTTCTCGCAAGACATGCTGTGAAGATGGTGTTAGCGGGGGCACTTGGTGGGGTGATGCCGCTGGGCATCTCTGCGGATGGCGGTAAGAGACATACCAGAATTGCGGAAAGCTCTCATCTTCAGAAGACGATTCGTAGCGTGGAGTTCTCGAGGAACGTTGAATCGTTGTGGGAGTGTAGCGTCGCGACATGGTAGGGCGAACCTGTCTTGAGGAGTCGGACTTGCGCGTGTCGGCACCGCCGAGGCCGTGGCCTGACTTGCGTCTTTGGTGAGGCATGGTTGTGTGGTTGGAAGAAAGAGGAATTGATGTAAAAGAGAAAAAATCGGAGCTGCAGCGAGTCTTGCTAGGCAAGCTCAATCGGGCAAGTGAAAACAAAATAGACGGGTCGACGACGACGTTTGAGATGTGCAGCAAGCCACCGCTTTTGACAAGGCCGAGTGTGGTAGTGAAGTTGGTGCAAGAGTATCGGCGTCGGGCAATGGTAGATGGTAGATTGGGCCGTAGTACAGGAACAAGACGACTAATCGAACGATGTCGAGGGTTGGGTGCGGGTTTGTTATGCAGGGTGCATATAAAAGCTGGAGAAGCGTGAAAGGAGTTGCAGAAGTGAAGAGAGAACAATGACAGGAGGAGGCCCGACTTTATTACAGATATGACTCTTTTTGTCTTGTTCTGTCGCAATGCGACCGTAGCTCGGCGTTCCGCTTGGCCCGTACTAAGTACTCAAGTACTGTAGCAGTTCTGTTGACGGAGTCGAGGAGTGGACCAGAGATCGGTAGTCAGCGCACAGAGCCGGTCTCCAAATCAGTCGAGAAGTCTAAAAAAAAAATAATAATAATAATACGTGAGCCAGTGACTAATCTTGCTCGTGGCCAGCAGGCGGTGGTGGACAAGGCGGTGGATCTGGCTCCGAATCGGCGGGTTGCAAGGTAAACAGGTACGATAGACCAAGGCCGAGAATTTGCTCGAGGCAGTTCAGAGTTATGGGTACGGAGTATTCGTATCAGTATGTGCAATGAGTGAGTGATGCTTGCAGATTGTTGTCTGAGATGAGGAGGGACGGCTGGTTATTAAGAAAAAGAAAAGAATCCGACAACAGTGCAACCGTTCCTTGCGGCCTGTGTTTCGAGCAGGGGCTTGATTGTACTGATATAGTCTTTGGGCTTCCCTCGAATGAGTTTTCTTGCAGCTGCCCTCTTCTCTAAATAGCCAGCAGCGCAGAATTGGCACACGCCCCCTTGGACTTGCGCAAGCCTGACGTGTGACTCGACCCGGTGTCGTGATTGACTGGACGACTTTGCAAATCGGCTGCGAGTGGAGACTTGCTGCGCCTACATAGGCTGCAAAGGGCATAAAAAAAATGTTCTATTTTTTTTTTTTCTCTCTTGTCCCCTGAAGCTGAGTGGGACGTAGCGGACCAAAGGCGACCTTGGTACGTTCTTGGTACCAGAAGGGGGTGCCCATGTGGCATTGGTGACAACCTGCAAGACGGAGACGGGCAGTAATAATACTGGTAACTGCGACACGCACAGTTCTTTCGTCCGCCCTCTGTACCGGCTATGAAAGTGGATAGTGCTCAAGTGGTGTCAAGTGTCCATCCAGTGGCCGGGAGTGTGCGTGTGCGCTGCTGGTCTGGTGCCACAGCGGCGCTTGCGAGTCCGAGCCAGCCCACAAGGTCCTTGTGTCTTGGTCGACTCGTGGACAGACAACCTGGATAGCCACTCTGTGACCTCTGTGTCCGTCTCTTGTTTATTGATGTATGGTGGGGCAATAGAGCCACGGCGCGACGCCTTGGGTGCGTCTCGGTCACTATGTGTCGTTTTGCGAGCTTGGCCGACCGAGATGGACTGGTATGGGAACGACGTGTTTGGGCGTCAAGGGATACGAATTAGGCTGTCGTCTATTCAGAATGGGTTAATCAATCAGCTCTGCGTCAAGGGTGTCTTGTCTTTCCACCCACGGCAAGGATATCGCCTGCTACTTAGATTGTGCAAGCTGTTTCTCTCCCCGCAACGCTAAAGGGAGTCTTGTAGTGGCGGTGGGGGATTGATGGGTGGCAATTCAAACGAAAAAAAGGCTACTAATGTAGCCCGTTAAGCCGTCAATCGTGCAGCAAGTGATGAAACTTTGGCAGCTATGATAAAATCAGCCAAGACCAGACAGAGACGACGCTCCCGTTGATGCAAGAGGCGGGGGTATGATGTGCTGCGCTTCTATCTCGCCAAATTCCGGGGTTGGGTTGCGTGAGCCCACTCGACGAGCCCACGACAAGAAATCCGCCCTCCCTGCTCTTGATGCTACTATGTAGCCAAGGCCAGGAAAATGGATCAGCTGGACTCTATCATGGCAATTATAGGTGCCAAATCGATTATGGTCCAAACAAAAATGCTGATGGCGACGTAGCATCAAAGCTTGTCCGTGCAGATAACTGGTGTAGTAGCCGTAGAGGAGTGTTTGTTGCCGGTTGCCGCTTGTCAGCTGCCCGCTGCCCATGGAGCAGGAGCACTGACTGGACAAGCGAACAAGGTGCACATCAGATACTCGTGCACCTTGACACTCGACCTGGAAATCATTCTGACACTAATACTTTCGCTATCTTATTATTCTCTATCCGTATCTTCCCACGCGATATGCTTCAGCCCTCATGCCAGCCATGATAAGGCTGGCCGGCACATGACCAACGTTATCTACCCCAGCATGGCTATCGGCACAAGTGCATCGTGCTGCGAGATACCCATGCGCTGTGCATTATCACAATGAGCAGTCGTTCAAGGCCATGATACGGTTCTTTCCGCTGTACTCGAGCCACCATGTCCGTTACCATGAACACAAAGGCTAGCAACGGAACCTCGGGTGACTGTCATTAGTTCCGAATCGTGCGACCAGCATTTAAGCGGGATAAGGATTGGGCAATTCAGTCTTGGTACGCGCCATGGCAGACCGTTTCGAGTAATCCGAAGGGAGACGAGGGAGCAGCTTCGCTAGGCTCTAGTTACTACCTACATAGGCTCGGACATTAACTCAATAGCCCTCCAACATGGACCACGCACGTTGTGTCTCATTTCGCATCTTCACTGGACCCCTACCCCATTCTCCAAAGCAGCTTGGAAAACTCGGCAACTACTCGTGAATCGAGCACATATTTTCGGGGCCAAGAGAGACGGCAAAGCTGCAAGCCAATAACTACTCGTACATGCACACATCAGCATACGAATACTACTTAGTTAGACAACTACAAGTCTAATAAATACGGGCTCCGCACAGGTTCTGGGCTGGGCTGGGCGTGGCTAGCAAGAGACAAACTCCCCGCATCTGAAAGCAAGCCATGCAAGCCATGCAAGCCATGCAAGCCAAGCTCAATTGCAGGTGACACTGGCTGAAAAGAGGCAAGATGGGCCATGATGGCGTCCTCACCCAGCAATACCCGCCCACGGCCCTTGCTTCAACTAGCTGCCGCATGGCGCTATTCAAACGGTGAGGTCACCACCATGTAGGTACCAAGGTGCCAGCGTTGCCAGCGCCTCGACTCGGTGCCGTTAAACAAGCCGTCCCAGCCTCCGACTTCCGTGACAGCAAGAGTATCAGTTGCAGGTTTCCAAGAGGCTGAGTGGCTGCATCACCCTCACGGGTGACATTTGAGCCAGGAGTTGTGCCTCTGCCGACTCTATGCGAGACTTTTTTTGCATTTGGCCTTGGTCGACTGCGAGAAAACCTCGCCTTTGTGGATAACAAATCGCGTTATGTGAGGCACAGTAAGAGCAAATAGCACCATGTCCCAGACAAGTGGTGTAAACGGGAGCGAATTCGTCGCCAACGGCCCGCAACTGATGCTGCCACGCCATGCGCCCCAATATGCCCAGAGCGACCCGGTCCTTTCTCGTTGGGGCGAGGAATATTGAAGGGATACTTGCTCTCTTGATGTAACGGAATTCGAATTTCCACCCTCGCCAGCAATTTGCACTTTCCATCGAAAGCCGGTGAGAAACCATCCGGGTCGGCGGGAAGAATGGTAACTGGGTAGTAGTAGGAACGCATAATCAATCGGCAGCCAAGAGACAAGTTGCTATCCACAAGGCGGAGCTCACTGCCCATGTATGCCATGCAATGCATTCATTAGCTGCACCGTCCAGACTCCAGTACCGCCTATGGCTACGTCGGAAACTTTCAAACCGGGGCCTGCCGTCAGACCAGCAGCTGACGGAAGACATGCACAGCATCAGCGCTGATTCAGAACAGGCAAAGGAAGACGAGGAACCTCCATCTATTTCTTCGACGGTCCAAAATCTGACATAGACTGATAACGATGGAGGAATCTTTTCTGTTCAACGGTCTTGACGCTATCAGGCACAGTCGAGCTGGCTTCAGCAAGATGTGAGCACCCTAGCGTCTTGTCGAGACCTGATTATGGGCCAGCGCCGTAGCAGGCTTATGCAAAGCGCGAGTCGCAAAATGAAACCGGGTTTCCAAAGTATCATCGCGATCCAACGGAACCATCTGGCGGCAGTGTTTGCGCTCTGTGTTGTGGAAGCCCTGAGACGCACAATCCCAGCAAGTCAAGACGATGGAGACGAATGGGAGCAAAATCAACAGCGCACCGCTCTGTTCAATCGTCGTTTCGCGATCCAGTTCCACGCCCCGTGCTAGATCCCGACCATCACGGGCCTCTGAGAAGATTTTTTTCTTCTCTCGACGGCGACTCTTCGCAGCCCACCCACCGCCCTTGTATCGCCGTTCATGTGCACCTGAAGCCGCTCTGATGCGACGACGCCCACCAGGGCGATTCTGTGGAAATGGGGGCGTGTAGTGTAGTAGCCAGTCCACGATGCACGTTTTGCCAACGATGGCTTGCTTCCTTGGAGCCCACAGTGGACATTGGGCATGACCATCGAAATTGGTGCGCAGAGTCGAAACGAAAATTTTTTCCAGTGCACGAATCGTTTTTCAGCTTTGGCCACATGCCAAAATCACAACAAGGCAATTTTGTTGGACATTGCGAAAATTCAAAGGCGCTAATAATTTGACTTTTTCAAGGCCGCGGCACAAGTTGAAGCCCATTTGTGTATCCAGAACGCAATGCAGAGTACTCGTTCAAAGAAAAACAACTTGGCTTAGGGTATACTGCCTGATTGTGTTGGGCAGCAGGTTCTCAACTATTGCTTTCCTTCTCTCATGGCATGCTGTTGCACAGATCTATACCTTTTCGATGATATGCTGTTACACAGATCTATACAACAAGTATATACTAGTCGTCCCAATCACCAAGAAAGTCTCTTCAACTCGGACCATGCGTGCGGTTCCCTTGGGCACATGAGTTGCCTCGGCCAGGTTTTACAACACAGATGCGTCTATTATTTTTTTTCTACCCACTCAGCTAGCACAGGGCGCTTCGAGCGCATTAGTGATATTTGAAATTCTGCACGCAGGGTTGTGTCTAACCATTTACCTGTTCTGGATGGCGTCATTTACTCTACGAATGAGACGCCTTTGACGCGCAGAAGTACCGAAACAGACTCGAAATCGCGTCATTCCTAGACGTGCACCGCAATTCTGATTCAATGACGACGTGTTCCAACTTTTCACTATAGCCTTTTGTCACAACCTCGATTAGCTCAGCCCGAGATTCCTTGCCGGGCTTCTTTCCCGTTTAGCATATGGAGAAGCGGCAAAACGCAGTCTCAGGTTCTGCGCTTGATGACTGTGCGCCCCAAGAGAGAGGAAACCATAGTCACGGAGCCGGTTTCGCAGAAGTGTAACCTCTGCCAAAGTGGTCTGACCAAATTGTGATAAAAGTCACGATTTTCTCAAATTCAAGGGTCACCTCTAACTAACTAATACAAAGCTCATGCATGTCATGAATGACTGGCATTATGTTGGCCTGACACCCGGATCTGCAGCCGACGGGGCCGATCTCCGCCCGTCAGTGCAACGACATGGCCAATGCCAAAACTCGGCATTGCCAGTATTATCAAATGCTCGTACGTGATTCATATTATTAGATATTAGATAAATTACGCCTAGTCTTCTTGGTACACAGCTTATATTAGCTTTATAATAATGTGCTAAGCTGCTGCCTACATGTATAATTATGCCAGCACCTTGCAGTCACATGCCCACTGGGTAAAATTGGGCGGCTTCGCAATTGCGCTCAGTTTGTTGTGATTTGTCCCGTTTCATTGCTCTACCATTATGCGAGTCAGAGAAATCCTAAATAAATTTGCAAACCCGCTCGATCCGAGCTTTTCATAGGGCCTATTCGTGTTGAAAGCTGACGCACAGTTGCCACATTCACTATTTGACAATTCCCACATTTTCTCCATCGCAGAAACGGTCAGAAATAGTACACAAGAAACATACATGAAACGGTGACGATTTCTTATGCAGATCCCAGATTCTAGACTATGCGTCGACCAAAGTTGTTTTAATGCGACATTTCTTTGCTCGCTACGTCACAACAGAGTACACAGCCACGAGCGGTCAAGCTGAAAAAGAAACAAAGATTGGATTGGCAAAGGTGTTCAAATCGCTCAAAACGAGACAAAACACGCCACCGGCAGGTCTGGACAGACAAGACGCCGCATTATACGACACAATATCCCTCATACTCTCTGCGGCGGCTGCTAATAAACCCAGAAAGGGCTGTGCGTACATGTAACATCGCCAGGACTGACAGAAAATTCATCCAATCGGGATGACGCGCGACGCTGAATAATTCTGCAACACTACTTTTTGCTGTTCCTCCTTTGAGGCAGAGGCGTCCTCAAAATCGCACAGGCTACAGGCCGCGCAGGACGTCAGAACGGGTTATCGAGGCAGTCCACGCAGGGCTTGTTGACAATGTAGTCGCGGACGAGGTACCGGGGCACCGGGGAGCCGCAAAACACGGTAGCACCGGACCGCCCCTGTCGGACGCCGCACTTGTAGGGTTCGTTCTTGAACTGGTGCCCGCAGACGGCGTAGAAGTTGTACCAGCCGCAATGGCAGCAGCCCGGGTTGCAGGGGCTGTACTTCAAAACGCCATGCACCACCGACGGCAGTTCTTCGGGGCCAATGAACCGGCCCTGGGCGGCGCCGTGCGCAGAGGCGAACGGGGAAGGAGCGGCGCTGCGGCGCGAGTGCTGCTCGACGGGGTACTCGACCAAGTCCTGGGCATCGGAGCCTTCTCTCTTGATGCGTTGCTGACTAGCAGGCTGTTCTACCTTTGTGCCTGTGATGCGGCTTCTAGACTCCTCTTCCTGATGTATAACGGTGCCGTCCTCGGGCTTCACGGTCGATGTGATGGCACTGGTTTGTGATTCTTCTTCCTCTATGCTCTCCGCAACGTTGCATCCAACAAATGAGCTAGGAATACTTGTACTCGAAGATGGCTTTGGTGCATCGCCGTTTCTATTGCAAGTTTTACGAGTGCATCGTCGTTTCACCGTGGGCGCTGGCTGATCTCTTTCTACTTCACTCGCTGCTCCCTTGCGCTTGACCGCCAAAGTCATCTTTGGCGGTGGTAACATAATTGGGACATGAAGTCGAATGTGGCCCAACTTGAACGAGGAAAAGTTTGATGCAAGTTCAAGCGCGAAAGCAGAAAACGGGTTCGGCGCGTGATAGATGATTCACGTTGGGTACGTCGCACAAGGCAGCAGCAAGGCGGCCATGTTGGGTCGTACCTGAATCACCCACAAAGATGATACGTATCGGTACACACAAATATACAAGATCTCAGAATCGAGCATAGTCAATCTCAGCATGATCAGAATAAGTCGAAAAGTCAATGCGAAAAAGTTCAAGGGACACCACCAACAGCATCTGCTTCACGCCCATGTTCAGGCGATGCTGTTTTGACTTTGACAAGAATATCAAAATGCCACATGAATACAAACCTCTCATTTCTTCTGAGATTTCCATCAACAGACTGCTTCGTTGCATACATTTGACTCGATGATGTACAAGAAATTCAAGAACTTCGTAACCTGTAAAAAACCAAGAGTTTCATTTACTCTGCAATATCGTGATAATCAAGGACAACACACTCCTCAATCGACAACGCCTTAACACCTTGAGTCTTCAAAGTCTCACCGTACTTCGGTGTCCCCTTCAGAATATCAATACAGGCCTCTCGAAGAGACTTACAGGCGGACTCTGATTCTTTCAGCAAGGTCCGTACCGCCCCCAACTCTCCCAGAAGCTTCGCGAATGCCTCGCACGCTTGTTTTATAGCGGTATTCGAGGTATTTCGGCCGATACTGCTCAAAGATACCGAGCGGAGCGACTCAGGCGCAAGCCGCTCGTGTTCATTGAGGCCAGTCAACAGTTGCAAGAGTAATTGACGGCTGACCGCCGTTCCAGGCTGAGTCGCGAGCAACCTGGAACAGTTTTGCATGCATGCTGTCGCGTCTTGGACAATATCCAGGCTCTTTTCCCAGCCGCTGCTTACATGAGTACGGCGAATCCATTCTGAAAGAACGACAAGCGAACCACTTCGGGACGCTGCTCTGAGAGCCAGACCCTGTAAGCGGTGATCGGGCTCCATGCCAACCTTGGAAAGCCTCTCCAGCAAGCTGCCAACTAGCGCGAGACAATTTGTGATTTGATTTTGGTGCGCGTTTTCCGAGTCCAGGATTTCAATGCAGCGTTTCCGAACCTTGCCAGCGACATCGGAGGCATTATCGGCTTCCCTGTTGGCAGGGTTAAAGTGTGCTTTGAAACTTGCAAAAGTCCAGAGATTCTGGCGTAGTAGGCGTCGTATGCCGATAATTGAGGACTGTTCCTGTAGGGCCTCTACGAGTTCGGTAGAGCTCAGCGTTGCTTCGTTCATGTTTCCCTTCGCTTTGTCGATACTGTAGCGCCTCAAGAGCATCCATTCCAACAATAGCGTGCTTGAGACGTTTACATGGCTCGGAATGCCGTTTTCACGACGCAAAACATCAATCATGCGGGAGCCTTCGAGAGTGTCGGGACACTGATGCTCTGTGCTAACGGCACTGTCACTTTCAAGTGGCCCGTGGAGTGCAGCAGACAGGATATCGTGAGAAGTCAGTTTCCATATGTTCAACGAGTTGGCAGCAACGTCTCGCGATCTTTTGCGCAACTCAATCAACTTGGCCTCCAACACATCGAGCGTCAATTTGACTTCTTCTCGTTTGGGATTGATACGCCATCTGGCGAACTGCAGCTCCTCGTCCTTGTCGTCAAAGGTGCGCACACTGCGAGTTCCCTCGGCGTCCAGGTCCAGTAGCAGACTGGGCATCTCAAAGAACTGCTCGCTGCTTGGGGCCACATCTGGAGCTTGAACAGGCCGACGCTTGGCTATTGTGTAGTAGACATCCTCGTTTTTGTCCACTCGGCGCTCAAATGTCTTGAAGCGCCGCTGTGTTGCCGCGACACGATGTGGTCTCGTGCTCGTGCGTCGCCATGCCCGCTGGACAATCAGGCACATTGTAAGAAGTTGTCCGAGGAAGACAAACGTAGCGATATGTCCGGATCTCACTCGCTTGCTCTCAATGTGTAGTCGAGAGCCTCCACGGAGTCACTGTTGGCCGTAGCAGAAGATATCCAGCGTCTCTCGCAAACAGAGCTTCGTCTGAACAGTCTGGGGAAAGCGGGACAGGCTGGGCTGTCAAACAGGGGCAGCAGTTCCCTAGCGGGCTCCAGCAGGCTTCAGGGAAGGTCCACCCCCATCTTTTGCAAATCTAGCGCATCGCTTGGGGGCCTGGGCGCTGACAGGCCGCTAATCAGCGCTGTGGGATTAGCCAGTCGTTTTTTTTTTTTCGGAAGCGCAGCCACTATTTCTCCGAGCCGCCCCAAGTTTGGTGGTACCATGCCCAATCCAACTTCGATGCGCATCTGCCTGTATCACAACCACACATTCGCGACACATCTGCCTCTCACAATATAACTCGTCCACACCAAGAGATCTCATCTACATCACCTGTGCTGATTACGAGGCGCAAAGCGCAGAATTTCGATACCCGCTGCCATGTCGCCACCCACAAATAAGAGACGAACCAGGGCCGACGCTGCGGGCGAAGCCGCAGCCGACACAATAACCGAGCAACCCAGGGAAAAAGCCCCCTCTCCAATCTCAGAATCTCCTTCAAAAGCCAAGGAAACACTCACCTCTTCTGGTGACGCTTCAAAGGCGCATGATCGCATGGCACGCTTCAAGGCGCTCCAGGCCCGCGCCAAAAGCTCCTCCCAGACAAACATGAAGGAAGTCACGCGCGAGTCACAGCGCTTGGCCGAGGACCCGTCACAGCTCACGGCGCTGCGCCGGCGGCACGACATTGCGGCGCACAAGCTGCTCAAGGCCGAGACAGAGGACGCGGGAGAGGACTTTGAGCGCAAGCGGGCGTGGGACTGGACCGTCGACGAGAGCGAGCGATGGGACAAGCGCCTGAAGAAAAAGGCCGCGCACCGCGATAACAATGCCTTCCAAGACTACCAGGCCGAGAGCAGCAAGGTCTACAAGCGTCAGCTCAGGAACCTCGACGTTGATCTCGACGCCTACACGAAACAGAAGCTCGCGGCGATTGAAAAGGCGGCGGCGGCCGGCAGCCTAGAGATTGTCGAGACCGAGGACGGCGAAATGATTGCCGTGGACAAGGACGGCACGTTTTACGCGACGGCCGACTCGACGTCATTTGCGCAGAATAAGCCCGACAAAGCGGCCATTGACCGGCTCGTCGCCGACATTGAGAGGGCCGAGGCGCAGAGCTTGAAGAAGAGAAGGGACCGTCAGGCCAAGAACGGCGACGACGGCGACATTACATACATCAACGAGAAGAACAAGCAGTTCAACCAAAAGCTGGCACGCTTCTACGACAAGTACACGTCAGATATCCGCGACAGCTTCGAGCGCGGCACGATGATTTAAGGAGGCAGACCGTTTCAGATGATCGGTCACGGTTCGGTTTTATTGTACATTCTAGCTTAGCGTCTGCATATGGGTTTCTGGGAAATAGAATTTCGGTCGAGTCATATTACAACATTGTTTTCCTCCATGCCTTGTGCGCCAGCTCTTCCATCTGCGGTGTCTCGATAGGTCCGCTAATGTTCTCATCGGCGAGCGCTTCCACCACGGCTTCGGCAACCATTTCTACCTTGACTGGCTTGGCGCCTGCGGCACCCATGAATGTGTTCAGGTAGCCGCCTGTGACTTTGTTGAACAGCGCTCCGGCGCCGGCCATGGCCGCCAGTCCCATGGTCACTTTTCTTGATTCGTCAAACATGAAAGGCGGCCGGATGAAGACACCCCTCATCTCTGGGAATTGGGTGGCAATGGTGTTCTCAGCCTGTCGCTTGGTGGTGATGTAGCGCTGCGGCAGCATGGGCGATCCGCCGGCGGCCGAGATGTAGCAAAAAGCCTTGGTCTTGGCTTCCGAAGCATGGCGGGCCAAGGCGACAGCGCTATCTCTGTTCATGACCTCGTAGGAGAATTGGTCGTTCGGATTAGGCGGCTTGATTTCCTCGCCGGGCTTCATGTCTAGCGGGTTGATGCCGCGGTCCTTTGTCGCGGCAAAGGCCTTTTGGAAGCCGGCAATGGGGGACTCGCGGCCGGACACGAGACCCTTGTAGTCGGCTTCAAGCAGGATGCCCATGCTGTGGACGACGTAATCAGCTCCCTGCAGAAATGGCGCATAGCTCGCTGGCTTGAGAATGTCGCCCTTTTCCCATGTCACTTGATGGGACCAGCTTGGCGCAACTGCTGAGGAAGTGACATTGTCCCATTTCGGCTGTCCTGAGCGGCTGACAGATGTGTGAGTGAGAATGTATCAAATGACAGGGTTCAAGATTTGTACCTGATGGAAATGACGTCCCAGCCCCTTCCTACAGCATACTTGCATATTCTTGATCCTAGAAAGCCATTGCCTCCGCAGACGACGAGTCTCTTTGCTGCTGCGGCCATTGTCGTGAGAGCTTTGCGACGCTTGTTGCGTCTTTTTCGTCCAATTGAGTCGCTTCACAAAGCTCAGCGACTGATTTCAGGCTATTTTAGAAGAATCGAGTAGACGACTGTCGACTTGGATGACAGCTACGAGAGAAAAGCGATGTGCGAGTTTTAATTGTTGACAAAAGTTAATCAGATCAGGACATGAAATAATGAAGTCATTTCATGGCGCCAGCGATCGAAGCTGTAGTGGGGCGGTGACAAGGACAATTTTGTCCTTAGGCAGACCCCTGCCTAGTGGACTTGACCTTGAAGCGCTGACTCGGGTTTGCAGCACCGAAAACCAATCCCGCCATTCTTTTCACAATCATTCATACTGAGGCGCCATCACTGTCATTGCCGCAAATTGGCGCGACTGCCTACCACCTAGACTATACGCGGGGCGATATCGAATCGCAAACGTTTGGATTAACGTCAGCTGCGCATCATGGCGCCCAACAACCAGCTCGGCAAGCGCGTCAAGCTGACTCAAGTTCGTCGCCCATTTATTGTCGGCACAACAGCCGTGCCCTTTAGCGAAACGAACCCGCGGCCGGTCGGCGCGCCGGATAACCATACGCATTCGTGGTCGGTCTTTGTGAAAGGCCTCGAAGATACAGATATCACATACTGGCTGCGACGTGTTCAGTTCAAGCTACACGAGTCGATTCCTAATCATGTGCGCAGTACGTCTACTCCCCCGTCGCATCATCGATCAAAGGCCAAGCATGCTAACCTCATGACCCCTCACTATAGTGATTGAAGGTGAAACCGGTAAGCCTTTCATGGTCAGCGAAACGGGATGGGGTGAATTCGACATCACCGTCAAGCTATACTATGTCAACGAATCCGGCGAGAAGCCGCAAACACTATACCACTACCTACGCCTGCATCCATTTGGCCGAACCGAGGAGGAGAAGCAAGCCATGGTAACGAATAATGGCGAGGTCCGCGCGTGGAGCTACGAGGAACAGCTATTCAACGAACCTTACGAGGTGTTTTTCAACATTCTTACGAGCGGCGCCGTCCCCAAAGGCTGGAAGACGGCCGCGGGCGGCAAAGGTAAGGGCAAGAACCGTCCGACGCCGCCTCTCCCGCCCCCCGACAGCGACAACGTCTGGGAGCGGTCGGCCATGATTCCCCGGCACAACCGGCCAGCGCAGCCGTTTAGCCGCGAGACGGAGGCGGCCGAGATCAAGAGGCTCAAGGATGCGCAGGCCAAGACGGAGGAGATGAGTGCCAAGGTGCTAGCGGAGCTCAAGGCCAAGGAGGACCTGCTAGCCAAACTCAAGGCCGAAAACGCCGCGGCGGCGGCGGCGGTGGCCAAGCCAGTCTAGAAGGCTGGTGCTCGGCCACGGCAGCAGCAGCCGCAAACTACGCGCAAGCCCAAACCCAAGCCCAAGCCCGCGACGAGAACTAGAGAGACGCTCCGGCCCAGGGCAAACTCCGGGTCAGCCACGCAGCCTCAGCCGGAAGAGTAACGGCTATTGCTCTTCCTCGTTGAAAGATGCCCCATTTCGACGTGCAGCCACATGGCATTGTCATGCTCCGGGCCCGTTCAGAATCAATACCAGACACACAAGCTGCCTCGAGCGTCTTTGCAGCCCGTTTCTTGAGAGATCAAGTATGATATCGCCCAAATGCGGCAGAATGCGTACCTCTCCATGCACCTGCGGCCTGAAATGGCGCAGTATCGACGCCACACCGCAGCACCTGTGCCTCGAGCTGCCCGTCTTGCTATCGAGGAGAGCAAATGTACCCACACTCTCGCGTCTTTAGCTCACTAGCAAGCACACATTATTTGTACATAGATGAGTTCAACAGTCTCGAAACAGCACGCGTTTAACATGCTGTTCAACATCAGGCCTCTTGATCCCATACACGGAGTTTGTTGATCTTTTGCTGTATTTTGCATGATTGATTTATTTTCACACCTTCAGGTTGATTACACTAGAAGACTCTACCGGGTCAACTTAGTCTGAAGGATTGTCTTCGCCGCCCGCACTCGGCCATTCGGACCCGCGGACACGACGCCGCGCGCCCTCTCCCCACATTCAAGCTGTTTCTTTTTGGGGTAGTTGCGGCATACCGAGGCATGAGCCATGCTTACCGATTATGAGGTGCTTTTGTAGTTGAAATTAGAAAGCGAAACTCATTTTTCGCTTCCTCTTTATTGTAATTACGGGAAATTCACTCTTGTCTGTACTTGCTCTTTAGTCCAACATATCTATCATGGCTGCCGATTGGGAGACTAGGGCGGCCGAAAAACGCCAGCGGCTGCACGACGCTATCCCAGAGGACTGGCGACTCAACAGCGAGTTACTCAGCGAGCTGAAGACGCCGCTTGAAGAGTCGGACAACAACGTCCTCGAACTCGGATTCTGCAAGCGCTCCGGTATCCTCTCTGAGAAGGAGCTCGACATTACTGAGTCGTACAATGTGTCGGAGCTGCTGGAGGCGCTCGCTGGCGGAAAGCTGACGGCGTTGGAGGTGACGACTGCATTTTGCAAACGCGCCGCCATTGCCCATCAACTTGTATTTTTTCCTCTGTCCTTTGACCCTGTTTTCACGCATCATGCTAACACGGAATGCTGTAAGCTTACTTGCTGCACAGAAATCTTCTTTGACAAGGCGCTGCAGAGGGCCAAGGAGCTTGATGCGCGCCGCGAACGGGGTGAGCCTCTCGGACCCTTTCACGGCCTGCCGATTAGCGTCAAAGACAACATTCAGGTGGAGGGCGTGCCGGCGACGTTGGGTCTGGTGGCTTTTTTGGATGATGATGTGTCGGAGAAGAACTCTGCCGTCGTCGACATCATCCTCGCAAGCGGCGCCGTTATATACTGCAAGACCAACGTGCCGCAGACAATGATGGTGAGTTTTAACGCAGCAGGGCAGTGCGTATAGAGCAGAAGACTGAAGTCGACGTGCGCAGACGGTAGACAGTCATAACAACGTCTTTGGGCGAACGCTGAACCCCCTCAATACGAGTCTTTCGGCTGGCGGTTCCAGTGGCGGTGAAGGCGCCATTATCGGTTTCAGAGGCTCGCCATTGGGCCTTGGGACTGATGTGGGAGGTGCGTACACTGGCAATGGAGATGACAGGCCGACATTTTGATGTGCGCTGATACCTCATTCATAGGCTCTGTTCGATTCCCCGCAGCCTGCAATGGCCTTTACGGATTTCGTCCTACCATTGGACGTGTTCCTGGCGGAGATCTAAAGATATGTGCCGACCCGGGCATGCGTCAGATCAAATCGTGCATCGGCCCGCTGGCTGGCGACGTGGATGCACTGAATACACTCATGAAGGTCGTCGTGGATTATCGGCCTTGGAAGCTGGACTCCACCGTCGTCGACTTGCCCTGGCGCGACGTCAAGCTCGAGGCTGGCCAGAAGCTTCGCATCGGCGTCATGGCCCAGGACCCAGCCTTTCCGCTTCACCCACCAATTCGCGATTCCATTAAGGAAGCCGCAGAAAAGCTCATCGCGGCCGGCCATCAAGTCATTCCGCTCCAGCCGTCCGACGGTCTCCTCTGGGAGGCACTCCAGACGGCTTTTGGCCTGTTCTCGCTCGACTCGACTGGGGCGCGCATCGTGGAGGAGGCCGGCGAGCCTCCCATTCCCTCGCGCGCAAAGCTACTAAAAGCCATGACCTTTGCTCCTTGGACGTACCTGGAAGACGCCCAGAAATTGGAAGGGCTGGCCCGTCTGTCGGCTTTGAACAGAAAGAGGGCCGAGATTGCGCGGGTGTGGCATGCGGCTTACACCAAGCATGATCTGGATGCGGTCATTGGGCCGCTGATGCAGCACACGGCGGCTCCGCATGACGAGTTTTCGGGTTCAGCTTACGGCACCATTTTTAATCTGATTGATGTATGTTTGTCTTGGTTGACTAGAGGCAACAGAAAAGGGGATTCATCTAATTTGCTTGCAGTATCCGGCTTGCGTGATTCCGTTTGGCAGAGCTACAGCCAAGGATGGAGAGACATTCGAGTTGAAGCCAGGTCAACACGCGTCAGAGTGTGAGTACCGACATTTTGGATTAATCTCGAATTTTGGAAGTATGCTGATACTTGAAGATAGACAACCCGGCGAAATCAGCAGGCATGCCATGCACGATTCAGATTGTGACGCCAACCATGCGAGATGAAGAATGCTTGGCCATTTCCAAGGTTATAGACACCTGCTTGAACAAGTAGAGTTTGTGTAACTAGATGTTTCATTCAAGGTGTATATTTCAACGTGCATGGTGAACTGCCACTAGCGTCGTAGACGGCAGCCAGCCAAACATCTTGTACCGTTGTACGTGGCCCTGGGGGTGAAAAAAACATCGCCGGTGTACTAGTCGGCCACCAGTAACCCCTAAGTTATTATACTAATAACTACCTCTAGGGAAGTAATAAAAATATAGTAAAAACTAGACATTATACTTAGCTTACTAAATAATCCTATAATGAAAATAAATTTCTAATCTGTCCTAGCTAAGTAGATATTTAATGAATCTATAAACTAGTAGCATGATGGTGGTGGCCGTGGATCAGCGATGTATTTTTCACACCCCTTGCGTGGCCACCTGTCAGTGCTAAATTGATACATTATATGTGTTGGGTGCCACAGGGCAGGACACTTTGCCGGTACTTTGGCGGCAAATTTCCCGAGACGAGACGATTATACAAGACATTTGCCACGTATGTGTCCAGTCTGCAGCCAAGTTCATCATGCGGTGTACTCGTTGGTAGATGTTACTTATTACAGGGCGTGATGGGCAGGTTGAAAGGCGGATTCCTGCAGGGAGTTTTAGACCTTACCTACTAAGGTACCTACCTTCTAATTTGCACTACCTAATTTACAGGGTCTCGAGGCTGCCCACGTCCCCGGCGCAGGCCGCTGCAGACTGTTCCACGACTCCCAAGTTCCCAACTGCCAACTGACCCAGTAGCGTGTCGCCTGTGGACCCCGTAACAAACCCCCGCGCCTGCCACCTGTCAACGCTTGACCTCGCCCGGGCGTGCCTTATTACCAAGAACGCCGCCAGTGATAGGCGGACAGCCCTCGCCAATATCCAAGTCACAAGGGGTCGATCCATTGCATCTCGCATGACCTCGCTATAGCTTCGATTCGTCATCGCTCGTCTTCAACCACCAATTCTCCAAGCCCAGAAATCTTGTCTCTTGCACACTCAATGGCACCAAAGCCGGGACAGGATTGACTGCTCCTCAATTCTCCTTCCCCTCCTGGCGGGCACTGCTCCCACAGCAATAATCGGCCCTTGTCCCGCAAACGGAGGGCTGCCTACATCGTCACGGACCGGCATAATCCTTGAAAACCTTCTATTCGACGGCTCTATTCTCGTCACCATCAAAGCTTGTCAGCTCTACTTTTCGACGTCCAGATTCAACAACTTGTACGGAACAAGCTCAAGTTTGTTGGTTCGCGCGCTCTCTGTCGGTCGTCATGAAAGACTCCCACGGAGCCTCGCCCCGGCGCGGCTCGTCACACTCGGCAGAGGCGGAGTACGAGCCCTTGACGACTGAGATGCAGGCAGGTACCCTTGACGAGGATGAGTACGACGCCACCAACGTCGTGCAGGACGACGACGACGATCTGGCCGCGCCGCCCTTTTCCTGGCTTGACTATGCCATCTTTGGCTTTGTCGGCATGGCCATGCTCTGGGCCTGGTAAGGCCGCTCTTCTTCCCCGACTTTCGATAGCTTGTACTGACAGAACCTCTCAACAGGAACATGTTTCTGGCCGCTGCGCCATACTTTCTGTCCAGATTCCGTGGCAGCCCCTGGATCGAGACGAACTTCCAGCCCACCATCATGACCGTCTCAACGGCCACCAGCCTTGTCACCGTCCTCATTCTCACCAAGAGGCAGCGCGCCGCTTCGTATCCCTTCCGTATCGGCTGCGGCCTGCTCATCAATGTCGTCACTTTTGCACTCCTAACCGGCTCCACGGCCACCGCGCTCGGCGTCTCTCCGCAGGCCTACTTTGCCTTTGTTCTCGCCATGGTCGCCGCCACCTCGCTCGCCACGGGCCTGCTGCAAAACGGCGCCCTCGCCTTTGCCGCCAGCTTTGGCCGCCCCGAGTATATGCAGGCTCTCGTCACCGGCCAGAGCGTTGCCGGTATCCTCCCCGCGCTGTCTGAGGTGCTCAGCGTGCTTGTGTTTCCGTCTCACAGCGACCGCCGCCGGCGCGGAAACGAAGCCAATACTGGCGCAGGCAAAACGTCGGCCTTTGTCTACTTTCTCGCCGCCGTCGTCATCTCTATCGTCGCCCTCGTCGCCATGATTCCGCTCACGCGCCACCACAAGCGCAACGCTGAGTACCGCGTCGTCTGCCACGCAGAAGACGAAGACGCCTACGAGAGCCGCAACACGAGCAGCGATGACCACTCACACGGCGCCCGCAAGGTCGTCCCCATGCACGTGCTCTTTAGCAAGCTACGCTGGCTGGCCTTGGGCATCGCCCTCGTATTCATCACCACCATGTTCTTCCCCGTCTTCACCGCCAAGATCCGCTCCGTCCGGGAGCCCTCCGAACCCTGGGCCGGCGGTCTCTTTGCCCCCGACGCCTTTATACCCCTCGCCTTTTTCTTTTGGAACCTCGGCGACTTTGGCGGCCGCCTCTCCACCGCCGTGTCCACCCTCGGCGCCAACTCGGGTCCCCACGGTGGCGGCCGCCCCAAGTTGCTCTTCAAGCTCGCCGCTCTCCGCATCGTACAGCTCCCGCTCTACCTGCTCTGCAACATTGGCGGTCGCGGCGCCGCCGTCCCCAGCGACGTCTTTTACCTCTTGGTGGTGCAGGTCCCCTTTGGGTTTACCAACGGCTGGCTCTGCGCGCGTCTTATGACGTCGGCGAGCAGTTGGGTCGACGAGGGCGAGCGCGAGGCCGCGGGCGGCTTCATGGGCCTGTGTCTGATGATTGGCCTCGCGTCTGGCAGCCTGCTGAGCTTTTCCGTCGCGGGCATCTAACTAGTCGCTAGGCACGTGTTTAGAATTGTAAAGACTGGGTGTATTACATCTTAGCATTATGAAATATCTAAAGCTAGAAAAGCGCTTTCGCAGAAATCTGGAAGCGCCTCGGAATATCTCGTTCTATAACGACTACGATTACGAAGCTAATGTACATTTTTATTCCTAAAATATTATACCAAATGAAAAAGAAGAAGAAGAATTGCCATCGGGGGAAGAAGAAGAAGAAGCAAAAATGTTTCCCAACGACTTTGGCTTTCCAAATAGCAAACGCTCCGATCCCATGCAAAATTGGCCAAATAGGTCCCTCTGTGTATCACTGCATCAATGTATCAACCAGCACATGCAAAAGACCGACGTCCTCTCTCACCCTTGTTGAGCGTTTCTGTCCTGTTGTTCACCTCTGGCCACTGTCTCTGTGAAGTGCAGGCGCGTGCGTCCGTTGCGTCATTGAGCAAGGCGGCGGGCGATGCGGGTTCACCGCCGCCGCGCCGCCGCCACCGCCGACATGTGGCTGTAGCTTTTCCTTGAGCATAGCCGTATTCGCCACATGTCTGAATACATGCGGTTCTTCAGTGACGTCTGCGCTGATGGGCGTGCTGGCGGACGCGTCGTGCAACTGTATGACATGAGGCGCGACAGTGCAAGGCGGCCTTGGCTTCCACTCAAGCAGGCACAGCGTCGGCGGATGGTAGTATTTGCCGTCGCACAGAATCCAGTCGGCCGTGTAGAAGCCGCCGTCGATGAGGGACTGTTCGGTGCCGCGCCAGTGCCGGATCTTGGTCTGTGGATCCTTCCAGTCTAAATCGCCAAGGCGTATTTTTATGTCTTCTGGGCCGCGGGCCGCGTCGTTCCTTGGGATCAGCGCAAAACACGTGCAGTCGCGAATCGTCATGGCGATACCAAACTTTTCGTCATCGGGGCTGGCGCGCAGCGGGCCCGTTGTGTCCAGCTCCTCCTGCTGTGCGCACAAATCGTCCAGGAATGGGTCCTGCAGGATGCGCTCCAGCGACGTCTGGAGGTTCTCCCGCTCGGGCGCGTCAACCAGCTGCGGTGCGATGCGAAACGGTGATGCCACAGCCGAGGGCGCCTCCTCGTCCACCAACGCCAGCGGACAAGGCTTGCGCTCGGGGGCAAAAGCCGCGATGCCGCCGCTGGCGGGGGCGGCAGGGACCTTGCTCAGCATGCGCTGGAGCTCGAGGGCACACTGGCGGCAGCGGACGGCGCGAGCCGGGGCGCTGCGCGACTGCGAGAGCCACTTAGGCTTGAACTCGACGAGAATGCGCGGCGCCGGGGCCTTGGGGTCGGGTCGCATGTCCTCGATGAGGAGGCCCCAGTCAGACTGGCCGACATAGGAGCCGCGGAATTTGGGCTTGCGGGTGTGGTCGAGGTCCTGGAGCAGGTGGTTGAGCTCGTCGACGATGCCCGTGTTGCGCAGGATGACGAGCTCCTGGTGAATGGCGCGATTGCCGAGTAGGGGCCGGATCGTAGTCTGGTAGAATTTGTGCTGAAAGAGGTAATTGTACGCGGTGGGCTGGCCGAGTGCTGGAACCTTGGCCACTCGCAGCAACAGGCCTAGCGTGGAGCCGATTAGCATCAATTTATGTCGAGCGATCGATGGCTGGGCTAAAAAAGTATTGATTAAATACCTTTGAAACTTTGATCTGTTACGCCGTGTTGGGGAACCTTGATCTCAAATACGGCGTTGGCTGCGCCCTCACCGACAAAGCTGATGGGCCTGGAGCCTCTGGGCAGGTGCTTGAAGTGCTTTTGCCACATTTCATCACTGTTGCAGGTGTGGCTTGCTGCTGCTGCTGCTGCTGCTGCTGCTACTGGCGCCGGTGCTTGTGCTGGTGTTTCTACCAGCAGGGAATTCTTGGTCACAAAGGCGACATGATTTGGCTGATGGTGGTGATCTGTGATGGCGGCGGTTGCAGTGGCCGTGGTCGGATGATGAGCACAGGCTGCCTCGATCGGAGGTGCAGCCGGGGGGCTGGCCTTGGGCTGGCGCTGATGCTGATGCTGGAAAGCTTGCGCCGCCTCTGCGGCCTCTGCGTAACATTGGTCGAGCCCTGGTTGACGCTGTGGCAGTTTGGACAGGGCCATGATTGGGGCGGCGAGGGCGAGGCCGCGTTCTGTTTTTTTTTTTCACTCGCACAGGGGCCCCCAGGGGGGGGTGTGGCAGTGGATGGTGGTGGTGTATGTACGAATATGCAAGCGTGCGAGATGCAAGGCACTGCGTATGAGGGTGGGTTGGGGCTCCCAGCGGCGGCGATGGGTCAGGCGGGAGGGCTTTCTGTGGCTTGCATGCTCGATGTTCGTTATGGCTTTGCCAGTACCAATTTCGAAGGATGATGCGGCTCTTAAGTCGGCCGAGATGAAACTGTACGAGCACAGGACACGAGGGATGCTGGGCAGCGGGCTAGGAAAGAAGAGTTCAGCTGTGGATTGTGCATCATCGAGGAGTGGAGGCAGTCATGCCGGGGAAGTGGGTTTGGTGTTGTGCCAGAAGAACCGCTTTCCACCAGGATATAAACAAGCCTAATGGTCCCGTCAACCTGTTGCCGTGTACGAGGTGCGCAGAGCTGGAATTGTGGGCGCTCCCGTCATATCGTACAAGTTTTCGTTGTTTTTTCCATTCATAATTTACTAGGAATCAAGGCTTTCTGGAGGCTCTTTTCAACTCTGTCATTCCTCCCCGGCAAAGTCGTTCTCTTCTCAGCTACCCCAGAGGACAAATGATGGCGTGCACTACCTGTAAAGCTACTTATTTCCCCTTGAGAAAGCATCACAAACAACAGAAACCCTGGAAAAACGTGCAGGCTACCAAGGGAATAGGCATGGCAGAACCTGTCCATCTACCGGGTAGTGGTATGCTGCTCTTCAAGATGGTCTCGCGAGAACAGCGCTAGGAATGTGATGAATGACACAAGGTGCCCTCGAAGGTGGTACTTGTGTGTAAAACAAGCAAAAGCAGTTGCTGTACATGGCCACGATGTAACGCCTAGAGCTTGGCCCGCACCAGGGCAATGCTTACAAGTACCTTACCTAACTAATGTTACTATTTTACTGGCAGGTGGCTTATGCTGAGAGCACTTGTTTTCGGCGGCGCCGCCCATCACCTGATGAGAGTGCCAGCTGGGCAACCAAACACGTGAATGCTGCTGTTAAATGAGCGCATTCTACTCATTCTGTTGTTAGACGCGTCCGCCTCCCGTCTCGTACATTTAATTCTTCATTCAATCTCAGCACCCTTGACATTTTGTTTTTACAAACTACTCTTTCAAACCCTTCTTCTCCACATACTTGAAGTGCTCGCATATGCCAAACCGATACACTTTAATTATTCATCAACAGAGTACAAGGTACGGGGCATCTCCACGGGTCAAAAGCAACAACAAGGGCCCTAGGTATTTATTTAGCGCTGCGCCTCGGCTGCCACAGCTCCTTGTTGTCACGCGCCAGCGAACCACGCGCAGAAGGTACTTGGCCCCTCGAGTTGCGTGATCTGGTTTCCGACTGTCGCCGACTTTTTACTTGCTCCCCTTCGCTGCTTTGCACTGGCCTGTCATATTTATCCAGCAGCTACGCTGGTTGGTTGACACGTTGGGAACTTGTACCAGTTTCTACTCAAAGGAGAAAAATTATTTCATTTTTGCCTAACCCCGAGGTCCAGCGCACAGCTCCATTTTACCCTGCCATTATTGCTCATCTCGGCTTCTCCAGCATCATCTTGCTCCACCTTTCAGCAAGATTCATCATTCCTCCTCCCTTCCTCCACCACTCTTCAACTTCAACCAGTTTCAACTTCCATTGCCGCGGGGTTTTGGCATCCTTCTGCTCTTCGTCTGCACGGTATCGCTAGAATCGCCAGCGCCCCATCTCGTCTTCGACTACCTGTTTGCTCGGCGGAGCCGAGATACCAAACAAGCTTTATCGCCTCCCGCCGCGGCCGAAAAAAAAAAAAACCCACAAACCGTCTTATTTTCCAACACGACGCCCGAAAAGTATCGTTCGCGCAAACCCCCCATGATTGCCGCATAATAATCGCCATTCCAACATGGCCTTCAACTTCAACTGGTCGCCTCTCACGGCCGATGCTGGTTTTTACCAGCGCGCCAGGGACCTCCTGACACAGGCGCTCAATAAGTCGCCCAAGCCTCCTATCATCGTTGACGACATACTTGTCAGTGAGTTCAACCTCGGCACTGTCCCACCCGATCTGGAGATTCTCGAGATTGGCGACCTCGCCGAGGACAGATTTCGTGGCATTTTCAAAATGTGTTACTCGGGCGATGCCTTTTTGACACTCAAGACCCGCGTTCAGGTATGTCCATAAATGCGCTCCCGCGACCAGCCCAGGCCGAAACGCCCAGTTCTCTCATATTCGTTCACGACACGGCCATCAAAACAAAATGCGCCGCTCCTTCTCGCATAATGTTGTTTGATTGCGCATATACGTCGCGTCCATCACTTATTACATCATCCCCACATGCACACCCTATCATACCTCGTTATTCGCGATGGTGACTAACAGCACTACGCACGATATAGGCAAATCCACTCAATACTTATCTCGACTCAAAGCCGCTCTTTACGTCGCCACAGCCATTGGCTGCCGCATCGGGTTTGACTATCCCTGTTGCCATTTCTCTCTCCGAAATTAAGCTCTCAGCATTCATCATTCTCGTCTTTTCCAAGCAAAAAGGCCTGACCATAGTCTTTCGCAATGACCCCCTCGAATCACTCAAAGTATCCTCGACGTTTGACTCGATCCAATTCGTCCGCGACTATCTTCAGCGAACTATTGAGCAGCAGCTGCGCAATTTGATGATGGATGAGTTACCCGCCATCATCCATCGTCTGTCGCTGCAGTTTTGGTGCGCCGATCAAACACAGAAAGGCACCGAGACACCAACTGCCGACGCTGACAACCAGGGCACGGATCCTTTCTCGAGTCCTCCTGAAGACCCCGTCGATTTCAACGGCAATCCGCTCGATATCAATGCCATTTCCGAATTGACCCTGCACGGCGGAGAAATGCAATACCTCTTTTCGCAAAAGAACCTGTTACGCCTCGCCGCATTGACCGACTCGCACCGCACCTTGTCCCTTTTTACCCCCGGCATTCGCGACGTCGTCTTTCGTGCTTGGTCTGGCCACGCTGAACACTCTGACGTAACAAGTCCTGCGGTGGCTACACCGAGCTTGGCCAAGACGTATTCGCTCACGGGCGGTGCCAGCACCACCTATACCTTTTCGGACACGGGTAGCGCCTCCCACGGGTACCTGCCTGCTCGACCCTCACTATCCATGCTTAGTTCGGGCCATATTCCTCATTCTGCATCGGCGTACCGATCCCGTCCCGGCCGAAAGAAGAAGAATCGTGTCGTCAATCTTCGTCGTACCCGTTCCGAGGCAGGCTCCAGCGATAACATGTCCGATACGTCCGACAATGCATCTGTCAATATGCCCTACTCCGAGCCGCTTGTTGCCGCGTCTCTACCAGAGGAATCCGAGGATGATCGCGCCGTCTCAGAGGATCTGCATGCCAGCAAAGTCCGCTTCACGCCTCAGAGCGGTGACAAGGCGCGGGCGCAGGAAAAGACGAGCAATGACCACATCCAATCGCACCATCAACAATCCAAGCATGCCAAGTCTCCCCTGTCCCAGATCCACGAGGCGGGTGAGGAGACGTCCCCCGCGCAGGACGCCAAGGAGAAGCTCGCGCTGCGCGACAGCGCTTCCGCCACCTCTGACACGTCGTCAGTCATTCTTGAGCACGCTTGGATCATCAAAATGGCCGGTGAGATCGCTCGCCGCGTCTATGATGAGAAGCAGCGCCACGCCGGTCCTGGCGAGGGCTGGGAAGAGGGCGCCGAGCGTCCTCCACCTCCGGCCTATGAAGCTGCCAACTAAGCCGCACTCCCGACACCACTCTAATACCCCTGTACACTTACAAACCGTCACTCTTTTATCATCTTTCATTCTTGCTTTTCGTTTCATGTACAGGCGTTTTGCTCTCTTACCATAATGCGGGTCATTATATCAGCATGGCTTTCTCGAATCAATTGTCTGCTGCATTCAAACAAGCCTTTTCTTCGACAGCGACCCACGAGAGAGGCGCTGACTTGCTTTACTTGGGTGTTTGATCGGTTTTTAGCGGCCAGTCCTAGGATTACACATTAGAGGGTGGTTTTGGTCTTTACTACGGTGGTGGGAGAGAATCTTTGTTGTAGGATTATTATCGTTGTGCTTTCGTGTTGACAATATAGCGGCTGCGTTTCACGATGTTGTTGAAGGGAATGGAAATTGGGATCAAGGAAAGGAAAAAGAATATATTCTGGGACTGGGACTGGGAACTGGGAAGCCCGATGGCAAAATGAGAGGCTATGGCTTGGCAAACTTTGAAAACGTGTTGAAAATCTATTCCATATTAGAAGGAAGTATTGCATGGCAGCGTGTTTATAGCTGCCATGGTAAATTGAACAGACACATCTCTAAATAGGTACATACTTGTTCCTGTTGACTCGCTACCTAGGTACCTATTTCCACTGGTTACTCGTGGTAGCACCTTCCGTTTGCTGCCGGTCCGTCAATTTTGACCAAAACAACACCGTTGATAATAATATAGCAATGTCAAGATATGACAAAAATGATAGCAACTGCAGGTGTTGCTTCGGATAGTAAAAGGTCAAGCCGGGAATTGAACCCGGGACTCCAGTGTGTGAGACTGGCGTGTTAACCACTATACTACTCGACCTGTTGTTGTGGATTTGCGCGCTATTTGGACATCTAAAGCTGGCATGGTCGGCTGCTGTTGGGCATCAAAAGTACGGTCGCTGGCGCCGGGCAATTTTACTGAATCTGGGCCCATCAGGCTGCCATGACCTGATTCGAGCTGTTGCTGGCCTTGATTTGCTCGTGAAAATCAAGATGTACGCAATTTGAAGCGCTCGTTTGTGCTGGGCCAGTTCACCTACCTGCTGCGAACTACGCCTGTGGCATGATGTCATGTATCCCGTGTAGCAGTGATAAATAATATCTCTGGCGGCGTAGGTATAGCATCGCTGCTTATACTCGGTCATTCTGTAACAAAGTAAAAAAAAAAACAATGCCTTCACCCCAGGTACCATCTCCAGATTGTACGCTAGATTGTGGAATCCCGAGGCTGGAGGTTGAGTTGTCCGAGTGCTTGCGCCTAGTTACGTCTCGTCACCCCAGCCCTCTCAATGTGTTGCTCGTCAGCTGTCGTCGCCGCCCACCCAGCAACCAGTCTGGCGCCCCCTGCTACAACACGGACCAGGTTTCCTTCTCTTTATCCCCCTGTGGTTTTTCGGCGCCCGGCATCTTCTTTATTAATTGGACAAGCTGCATGTGCAAGTATTGCTGAATGCTGACAAGTCACTGCTGCGATATTCCATTCTACCTTCTCGCCTTGCCGCGCGCCTTGTGCTGCCTCGCACGCCTTTAGAGGGCCGCCGTCGCCTGCGCCACGGACGTTGTGTAAGCCTCGATACGACAGACGGCCAACAATCGCGCCCAGGGCACTTGTGCGCCTCAAAAAAAGAGAAAGTGAGTTCGCGAGCTGCTGCGCCCAGCTTTAGACCCCTTTTTATCTCTTTTTCGTTTGTTCTGCCATGAGAGCGTTCACATGAACCGGGCATTTCGAGCGACGCTTTGGTGAGCATCATGCCAGGCACTGCATACGACCCTCGCGAGTCGTCTGTGCGAGACCGGGACAGGCGGAGGGAATCCAGGACCAGAGAGAGGGATCGGAGCGGAAGTGACGATGAGACCACAGAGGATGAGTCAATGTTGGGTGAACGCGACATCGAAAGGGAGCGCGAGCGCGAGCGCAGAGATCGCGAGAAAGATAGGGACCGGGTGAGGCAGCGTCGTCATCGCGACAGCTATGCCTCTCGCGACAGCGCACCGCCGCCTTCAGCACCAGCTTCGCCGCCCAGCCGCCGCATGAGCATAACGGAGCGCCTCAAGGGAACCTTTTTGCGTAGGGGCTCCTCCAACGCGGACGGCGGGCCGCCGCCCTCGCCGACGGCACGACGCAGCTCCGCCAACGCGGCCAACACCACAGGTAGCGGCGGCGGCTCGTCTGCCAGTAAGGGCTCACCCGTCCCGCGGATCCGCGAGTGGCTTGACACGTGCAACAACCAGCACGGGCGGCACTGCAATGGGACCAGCGAGCCATCATCGTCGCCAAGCACGTTTCGGCCGCAGTTTCTCATCGACGCGGCCGACAAGTGCCTGGTGCGGGCCAAGCCCGAGGACAGGTACGTAGCGCTGAGCTACGTCTGGGGACCGGGCCTGCGCGCGCGGGGAGGCGGACAGGATGAAGCGGCGCAGCTCACAAAGGCCAACCTGGACGAGTGGCTTGCGGCGCTGCCCGAACACAACGTGCCGCAGACGATTGCCGACGCCATCTGGCTGGCGCGCAAGCTCGGTCTCCGCCACATCTGGATCGACCGCATGTGCATCATCCAGGACGACGAGGCCGTCAAGGAAAACCACATACGTCACATGGCCTACGTCTTTGCCAACGCCTACCTGACCATTGTCGCGGCCCACGGCGACGTCAACACAGGGCTTCTCCCGCTAAATCCGCGACGGCCGAGCCGCCCGCCGCGGGTGGGCGGCGGCTCCGCGAGTGCGGACCACAACGAGCTGCTGCTGGCGTCGCGCTGGAACACGCGCGGGTGGACGCTGCAGGAGCTGCTGTACTCGCGCCGCGCCGTCTTCTTCTTCGAGGAGGTGGTGACGTGGGAGTGCCATTGCGACCTGTGGCAGCAGGGCAACGGCGGGGGGTTCGCGCGCAACATGTGGAAGGGCAAGAAGCCAGAGTGCACCAACCGCATCGCATCGTCGGCGTTTGGGTTTCAGCACGCGCCGTGGCCAGACATGGACGAGTACGCGCGCGTGGCGGCCGACTACAGCGCACGGCGGGTGACGCAGGTCGACGACACGCTCAAGGCGTTTTCGGGCATCACGACGGTGCTGACGCGCATCTTCCCAGGCGGCTTCGTGTTCGGGATGCCGCTCATGTTTCTCGACTGCGCGCTGCTGTGGCGTCCGCAGGCGTCGATTCGGCGGCGCGCGCTGTCGCGGCCGCCGTTTCTGCCGTCGTGGTCGTGGATGGGCTGGTGGTTCGACGGCATCCGCGTGGACCTGACGCTGTGGAAGGCGGCTGCCGACTACGTGCAGGATACACGGGCAACGGGCAAGCGCGGGCAGCCGGCGCGGCGGTTCCAGGCGCCCGGCGCATTCCGCATCCGGCCGACGGTCGTGTGGCGGCTGAGTGACCGCGCGACGAGCGTGCCCGTGCCCAACACGGGCTTCCAGTTTCGCGAGCTGCGCGGGCGCCGCAACGCCGCGGCCGCGCTACCCCCGGGCTGGTCCCGCAGCGGCGCGCATTTTGTCCACGACGGCGACGACGACACCGTCTTCCGGTACCCGGTGCCCGTCGAGGACCCCCCCGAGGAGGGCGAGGTCTCGCCGCCGCCCGGCGAGCTGGCGTATCCGGGCCCGCTGCTCGCGTTTCGCACCACATCAGGCATCTTTGACGTTGACTTTTCCGTCACACTCTCGCCCAAGGACACAATCAACCCGCCCGTCGCGGTCGGCAATATCTGGGGTCGCGGCCGGCGCTGGATTGGCGAGTTTCGCGCGCACGATGGCTGGCTGGGCATCCAGTCGTCCAACTACGATGGCGATGAGAAGCTCGAGTTCGTCGCCATCTCGGCCGTCGTGGAGCGCGGCGTGTCGCTTGTGTTCCCGCCGGACCGGTTTGATGAGCACGCCGATTCAAAGGGCGTCTTGGAGGTGGTGAATGTGCTGTGGATTGAGAGAATCGCCGGCTTGGCGTACAGGCGAGGTATCGGCCACGTTTTGCAAAAGGCCTGGGATGCGCATGCAGTGGATGAAATGGACATTCTCCTTGGGTAGATGGGAATGGCGGCTGAATTAGTGATTCGTGGATGGATCTAAAGGGACTATTTGGTATGTAAGAGGAATTGGAAATGGCCCTGGCAACAAAGTCCATTAAGCGACAGGTGCTGCATATAATGTGTTGATAGTTTGTACTTGTTAAATAGTCTGTATGCTCTAGTTTTGTACAAGTTGGAAGCATTTTCAAACCCCCGCCGTCTTCAAGCCTTGATGTAATTGTCGCATCGCCGTTGGCAGGTCGACCCTAAACCTCCGACACGAAGTCGCGGTTGAAAACTTTCAACGGATTTCCGTCGAGACTAGGACAGGGGACTCATGTCTTTGCCGGATGTTATGATTCTAGCTTCTGATTTGAAAAATTTTCAAGCTATTAAAATCTGTGAAACCGCCTTCTTCGCAGCAATGCCGTCATGCTCAACCTCCATAAACTCGACTTCTGGAATCACTAGCCCCACATCCAACATTTTCGCTTTCAACACATCAAAATCTCGCAATCTTGGCGACAAGCAGTACGTGAATTGCAGCTTTCAGTTATCGACAAAAATGACTCGGTTCCGGCCATGCATAGATCTCCACGCGGGACAGGTGAAGCAGATTGTGGGCGGCACGCTCGACAGCAGCAACGCCACCAAACTGCAGACCAACTTCGTATCAGAGCAGCCCGCGGCGCACTATGCGCAATTATACAGGGACAACGGCCTCGACGGCGCGCACGTCATCATGCTCGGGCCCGGCAACGATGAGGCAGCGAAGCAGGCAATTGGAGCCTGGCCCAATGGACTGCAGGTCGGCGGTGGCATCAATGACAAGAATGCGGCTGAATGGATTGAGGCTGGCGCGGAAAAGGTATGTGGTGGAGGGAGATTGAGTCAGCAAAGGCGGAATATCACATGCTCACGCAAGCTGCTTCTACGCAGGTTATTGTGACGTCTTTTTTATTTCCCGGCGGACAGTTTAGCCAGTTACGATTGGACTCTATGCTCAAAGTGCTGGGCGGCGACAGACAAAAGCTTGTGATTGACCTGAGTTGTCGTCGACGTGGTGAGGGCAAGTGGTTCGTGGCCATGAATAAATGGCAGACCATTACGGATATGGAAGTCAATGAAGGTCAGGACACGCTTTCAATCGTCACCCAATCGTGACTGGTGCTAACAGAACATTCGTCTTCATTTAGAGTCCATCAAGCAATTGGAACCTTATTGCTGTGAGTTCTTGATCCACGCGGCGGACAATGAGGGGCTACAGCAGGGGATAGACGAGGAGCTTGTATCACGGTTGGCCGAGTGGTGCTCCATCCCGGTGACGTACGCTGGTGGCGGCAGGAATTTGGAGGACCTGGAACGCGTCAGGAAGCTCAGCGGCGGCAAGGTCGATCTGACGATAGGCAGTGCTCTGGATTGCTTTGGGGGCACTGGTGTCAAATTTGACGACTGCGTGCAGTGGAATAAGCAACAATAATAGCTGCTTCAATATAAAAGAAGGAAACTCCATCAAATCGACGGGAGAAACATGTAATCCCGAGCCCATTATGTGCATATGCGACGATCGATGGAGGGAGGGGGCATTCCACCATAACAATGGGCAATATGGCAAAGAAAGGGCGCATAATATGGGAGGGGTGGGAGCGAGAAAAAGACGGATGATGATTAAATTGAAAAGGAAAAATTACTAAAGAAAGAATTAAGAATCCACGGTGGAGCAAAACATTATGGCAAAGCAGAGAGGAGTTGGCTGGCATGTGGACTATCAAGAATCCATCGTGTCATGCATTGTTTGGAGGGAGATCTGCACCGGCGACGATAATAATGTTTGAGTGTGGGCCCCTGCATGGCTGCTGGGGCGACTTGTAGGCAGATAGGAGTAATAATACTGGGTAAAGCAAACAGTCGAACAGACTTGTCCTGGCATTGACGGGCAATTACTTTTCCTCCGCAGAGCGGGTGCTAACATCGTGGTGGGCTGTTGCCGCTGCAAGATGTTAGTGGGCTTTATTGTAGGCGAAGCTGGTGAGAGGCGGGTAAGCGGGCAAGCGGGCAGGCAGGGGCGGGGAAAAGCTGCAAGGCATTGCCAGTTCGTGTCGCAAGGGCCTGCTGTTAGCGGCTTCTGATGCTAAAAATTTGCTGAGTCCAAGCTGGCCATTGCCCTGCCTGTGCTGGCCTGTTCCTTTTGTGGTTTGTTCTAACTAGTCTTGCAGCTTTTTGCAGCTTCTTGCAGCAGTGGCGCCAACTAAAAAACTGCCCACTCTCATCGGGCCAAGCCCCTCCTCCAGATGTTGCCAGGGCAACCATCCACCGACCAACCTCCACCACTGTTTATTTTTCCATAGCCAATGAGCGCTCATCGCGGGCGCCATTCCAGTGCGTTTACATACCTGACCTCGTCCGCCGCCCTGTGACACCATCCCTCCTTGATCTCTGCTCAAACGGCTTCACCAGTGTTGACCAAATTCCTTTTCGAGCAGGCCTCATTTTCTGGCCGCGCTGGTATCGACAGCTGTTCCTGCGCCACCACCTTTCCCCTTCCCTCTGTTTCTTTCCATCTGCTTGAGTGGCTTATAGGGGATTGTCTTCGTTTGTGCCAAGACAATATTCTGCCATTTACACCCCTCCCATTGACTGGAGCATCTCGTGGGACAACATTCCAGTCATCACTGCTACTCAACTCTGCACATTGTGACGACCACAGTTGGCGTTCCAATGCCCACACGCTCGGCTTAGCAGACCACTTGCCAGCGATCCATTTTCAGTTTAGAATGTCTTCGGAGCAGGTATGATGTGTGCCCTCGGAAACGGCCGCTTGTCCTGCCTGACCCTCTCTTCCGAGCCCGCCTCGCAGTTCATGACCGCTAACTCGATACACCAGGTGTATCCCCTTCGAATCGCCAAAAGCAGCACGCCCAAGTCGTCGCCAACAAAGATGGCTGGCAGTCTCCCCCGCCCTTTGTCGGAGCTCTCGCCTTCTGAGAAGCGTCGCAACTCTCCTAGCTGGCACCAGATTGCCTCTCCCAAGGTATGTGGAATGCTACCGTAGCCCGTCCAACGGTCCTGCTCTCCCCGCCGGCTAACTCGCTCTTCTCGCAGAAACCAACGCTTGGCAACGACTCGTCTCCATTCCAGTCGTCGCCACTCGATGGAGGGTCCTCCCCACGACACTTTTGGCAGAGTCGCAACTCAGAAAACGTGCCCTATGGTGGAGGCCATACCGCCACCTCCCCGTCGCCCCAACGCCGCTCCTCCATTGAGAGACTGCAGAGAGCTTCCCGAGTCAAGAATAGCAATATCTTGGCCTTGGAACAGAAGCAGGAATATGATCCCACTCGCATCCCCACAATTGAGAGACCCCTCGCAAAGGTTCAAGTAAACAGTCTTGGCTTTTCCTCCAGCTCCAGCGGCAGCTCCAGTGGCGGCTTACGCTCGCTCGACTGTGAATATCAGATCCCCGAATTCAAACGCAGTGACACTGCTTCCACTTCCACATCCTTCTTCTCTACTATGAGCACAAACACCGCCATTGGGCCTGTCGCAGCTCCCACCACACCTCGAACCAATCGCGATCAGCCAGCCAATTCGCCGACCAAGTCGTCTCTCTCCCCATCCAAGTTCAAGGAAGCTTTTGATCCCGTTACCGGAACCTGGTCAACGCGCTCATCCTACATCGATGAGGATTTCAACCTGAGCAGGTCATCGCATCGCCATGTGAAGAGCGTGACCTTTGATGCTGCTCCTCCCCAAATCAATGAGTATGAAATGGCCACACCCGATCTCTCTTCCGTCGGAACCAACTCACGCGAAGGAAGCTACGAATCTGACGATACCGACGGCGACCGCGGCTACTACGACCTCGCTCACGGCGAAAGTATCGACGAAAGCTTTGACGCATCACTCGAGGACACCATGAAAACCCCCGTCGTTGGCCCTGACGACTATACCGCGTACGGTCGTGGCCACGGGCGTTACGAAGCCAGCCCCAAGCCCGAGGGCACTCCTACTATGGCGCTGTCCAATACCCATAAGCACAACAAGAATAGTCCAACCTCAGTCTCTTCCAGTGCTGAGCACCGACCTCTGCCTCCTGTGCCGAACAGAGGCCACGAGCGCGTCAAGTCGAGCGACTCCTCGTCTGGCCTGTCTGCCACCGCCGAGCGCATGATAAATTCGGGTCAGCGCAACCTACCGACCCCTCCGCCAGCATCCGTCAGCAAGTCTGACATCCAGAGCTTCGGCAACAACAAGATGCCCCTTGAGGAGCGCCTCAAGCTCATGATGCTGTCTGACGATGGCGATGGCAAGACGGCCGCTGAGCAACAGCGCGAGCGCCGCCTTAGAAGAGGTAGCGCGCGCGAGCGCTTCAGCAGCCCTGTAGCGGAGGAGCACAAGACCCCGACCCCTGAAGACGCTGAGGCCGATGACACCATTGGTGACATGTCTGCCCTTGGTGACTTCCAGATGCCTGACAAAATTTCTCGCGAATCCATCCTGCGACGTGTTAATGGCAACCAATCCGCCGACGGTCAATCCGATTTCAACCTGTCGTCCCCTGCACGAAGCCCTGAGCGCGGTCCTGAGCGGGCGTTTGATGTATCTGTGATCCCAGAGGATCCAGATATTCCTATTCCATCCACAGAAGACTCAGTGATAGAAGACGAGACTATCGTGGAGGACGGCAGCGTCATCATCACCAGAAACCCCTCCGATTATGACGATGAGGTCTCGGACTTGTATGATGAGGATGATGAGATTAGCATTCTGCCTGACGACGATACATATGAAGAGTCTCTGCACCAAGACGGACAAGTTGAGGAAGTGGCTAGCGAAGAAGAAGCCCCCCAGCTTGCTGCGCCTTGTGAGCCTGCTCTGCCCCTAGAGCCTTCACTGCCCCCCGAGCCTACTGTTGTTGAGTCAGAACCTATCGTGAAGCCTCAAGAGACAGTTCAGAAGCCGATTTCTCCCGCACCTGCGCAACGGACTGTGACGCCGGATAAGGGCTTCTCCAAGCCAGAGTACGATGGCAGTGGCTGGGGCGACGACGAAGAATATGCTGATGAGCCTGAGAGCCCCGGCTCTGTCATCCATCACCCTGTTGACGAGGAGAGTGTTATCGAAGAGGAACCTGTTGAATCTCCCGCCATCCCTGAGCAGCTGGCCACCATCAAGGCATCTTCCGGTTCCAAGTTGAAAACCAGGGTGTCTAACACACCATCCGACATTGCTTCTATGCGCGAGGCTCGGCGATTAGCAAGCCTGGAAGTGCCCAGTGTACCCCCGATTCCGCAGAAGCACAAGAACCGGGTCTCTCAAGACATGACTGCCCAGCTGGCTGATGGTGACGATCCTTTTGTTGAGCGTCACCCCAGCTTCAAAAACCGCAGCCTGACTCTCGACCTGGACACTGGTCTTAGCCTAGACAAGGATTTTGAAAGAGTCATTGAGGGCCAAAAGCGCGGCTATCTCATGCGCCAGAATACCAAGCTGGTGGCTGCTAGTGATAAAGAGGGCGAGGAAGCCCGCAAGACGCGCTCTGTCCACAACTCTCCGGTTAAAGGTTTCAGGCCTGAGTCTTGGACTGTCGAGCCTTGGAACCCCGCTGTCCGCAAGAAGAGTACCAGCTCCAAAGCAACTAGCACTGGCTCTATTCCTCCCCTTCCTGGCCACGGGAGCAACAGTATACCCACTCGTTCCATTGCCGAGGACGATACTAGCGTGGATGCGACTACGCTAGATGGCGCCGAAAGAGGCCGTCTTTTTGTCAAAGTGATGGGTGTCAAGGACCTCGATCTGCCTATTCCCAGGAATGAGCGCACCTGGTTCAGCCTTACGCTCGACAACGGCGTACACTGTGTTACCACATCTTGGCTGGAGCTCGCTCGCAACGCGCCCATCGGTCAGGAATTTGAGCTTGTCGTACCCAACGATCTGGAATTTCAGCTTACTCTCAACGTCAAGCTCGAGAAGCCTGCCTACCTCGACATCCCTGCTCCAATCAAGACGGCTAAATCCAAGACGTCGGCGTTTAGTAGAGTTTTTGCTTCTCCCAAGAAACGCAAGGAGATTGAGCTCCGCCAAAAAGAAGAGGAGCGTATCGCAAAGCAACATCAGGAGGCTCTCGCCCGTCAAAAGAACGGCGCCCATTCTGCTTATGAGCTTCTCTCTCCCCTTGTCGCCGAGGTGGATGGCAGCTTTGCTCGCTCTTACGTCTGTCTCAAGGAGCATGAGAACCGATGCTACGGTCGTCCATACATGGCCGAGGTTGTTTGCTTCAACGAGTGGGCGCAGGAAGAAGAGGCGTTTGCCTGTAGCGTAAAGAGCAAGCGAGGACCTGGTGCGGTCGTTCGCAAAGCCCCATACAAGATTGGCAAGCTCGAACTACAACTGCTTTTCGTTCCCAGGCCAAAGAACGTAACCGATGATGATATGCCGAAGAGCATGAACTCGTGCATCCGCGAGCTCAGAGCGGCCGAAGAAAGACTAGCTAGAAGCTGGGAAGGCCCTCTGAGCCAACAAGGAGGCGATTGCCCTGTAAGTGCCTACGACATCTAAACACCTGCAAGAGAAGACTAACTGGAGGAACAGTACTGGCGCAGAAGATACTTCAAACTGAGCGGCGCACGGTTGACTGCCTACCATGAGGCGACTCGCCAGCCTCGTGCTACAATTAATCTGGGCAATGCCAAGCGCCTGATTGATGATAGACGGGCACTGACGGAGAAAGAAACGACCGTCAAAGGTGGAAAGCGTCGCAGATCAGCGTTCGCGGAAGAAGAAGAAGGTTACATGTTTGTCGAGGAAGGATTCCGCATTCGCTTCAACAATGGCGAAGTCATTGACTTTTATGCGGATACCGCCGAGGACAAGGAAGGATGGATGAAAGTGCTGCAAGAAGTCATTGGCCGTGGCGCAAGCAATGCAGATGATGACGGCGCCCCGCGATCCCGTACAAAGTGGTGCGAGGCTGTCCTTAAGAGGGAAGAGCAGCTTCGGCGACGAGCGGAAGGGAGATCGAGCCACAGCCGTACCAAGAGCGGGCAGAGTAGTGGTGCTCCGTTCTAGGTTTGCGCAAGGTGGGAGTAAAAAACTACCGGGGTTTGCTGTCTGATTTTATGCATGGCGAGAATTTGGTTGTCATTTTCATTGTGTCAAGATGACATGAATCCATGTCGGAAATTGGGGCCTCATCCGAGCAAAATGATGGCGTCGTTGGTGTTTAACGGCTCGGTCTTTTTTTTTTTTCAAGCATGATGCGTTTTCTTCATTCGTCCGCGCTCGCTTCTACTATTCGGTTGATCGATTGTACTATGTTAAAAGATTTATAATGAATGGCATGTTTGAATAGCGCTGAGAAGACATGGTCGCGTGCGGTTTGCGGAGCATTCAAGTGGTGGTGTATGATGTAAAGAATAGGTGTCGCCTGCGCCACTTTGCATGGCCAGTGTGCCAGTGTAAGTAGAAAATGAACGTTTCAAAGCGGGCTTCAATTTGCGCTTGGAACTTCCACGAACGCATCACCTTCATGCTCGGTTTGCTCAGGTGCTTCACGGTGATTAGGAGCGCTTGGGCTGGTTTCAGACTGGACCAAATGTAGCCAACCTCTCAAGAGGAGCACGTGACACACAATATCAGAGCTCTGCTACACTTGTCGTTGTTGTACTGGTAACAGTTCTGCCAACCGGGTGGGGTGCCGTGTCGTATCCGCCAGCTAATTGAAGCTTGACAACGAGACAGCGGGGGGAAGGCCTGCCAGTCAGTCTGTTAGGTGAAAGACCCCCCCCAAAGCCCCAACTAGAGGCTCAGCCATTCATCACCACACTTGCCCAAACCCCGTTTCCACAGCCTCACCTCGGCCGCTTTCTGCTTGTCTGGCCCCAATTCTTTGTCGACTTTTTGTACAGGACCTTGCCTCCGTCCAAGATTTCTTCTCTTCTGCCTTGCTCATCCACGCGACGACAAGAAAAACAAGGCATCACACACATCACCCCGCGCTCACCCCTTTCCCTCTTATTACAGCCACACCAACAACCACGAGGGAATGCAAGATGGCTGGCCGATTCGTCAGAGCGTCCAAGTATCGTAAGCCCGCCCACCACCCTCTGCACCCAAGGCTTGCGCCAGCACAGGCTGCTGACCGCTTCACCCTTGCTGAACAGGACACATCTTTGGCAAGCCCACGAGAAAAGACTCCTGCTACGACAACATTCACATTAGCCGCAATGCTTGGGACACCAATCTGATCAAGGTACGCCGCAACAGCTGGCCAACTTTCGGCCCGCTACTCCCGCTACTCCCGCCGCTGGCGACATGAGACGAAAAGAAAGGAAAGCCCAGAGAAGCTGACCGTCCTGTTCTACGACAGGCCAACCCCGAATACCTCTCCGTCAATTGGGACTCGTCTGGTGGTGGCGCCTTTGCCGTCATCCCCCTCAACGAGCGTGGCAAGCTCCCAGACCAGATCCCTCTGTTTCGTGGTCACACCGCTGCCGTCCTCGACACCGACTGGTAACTCTCACCCCTGCCGAAGCTGCTTACAGCTATATATTCAGAGCGTGGCTTGTATAATGCGCTTCGTGACGCTAACGCACTATTCCCTGCGCCAGGCACCCCTTCAACGACCGCTTCATTGCCTCAGCTTCTGAAGATGGCAAGGTCTTTCTCTGGGAGGTCCCCGAGGACTTTACCCTCTACACCGATGCTGAAGAAATCCCCAACGTTGCGCCTGTGAGCAAGCTCGCCGGCCACTCCAGGTAAGGCATACCCAAGTTTCACCCACCTCTAGTGCGGGACTGCTTGGGAACAAAGTTGCATCTCCTGCGTCCCTCTACTCGTGGCAGCCGTTGCTAACCTCATATCTTTTCTTTTGCGCCACGCAGAAAAGTCGGACAAGTCCTCTTCAACCCCTCGGCCGAAAACATTCTCGCCTCGGCCTCGGGCGACTACACAATCAAGATCTGGGATGTCACCACGGGCCAGTCGCCCCTTGCGCTGTCCCACGGCGACATTGTCCAGAGCTTGACTTGGAACGCCGCCGGCAGCTTGCTCGCCACCACCTCGCGCGACAAGAAGATTCGCGTCTGGGACGTGCGCCAGGAGAAGCCCGTCCACGAGGCCCCCGGCCATGCCGGCGCCAAGAACAGCAGAGCCGTTTGGATGGGCGAGCACAACCGCTTCGCCACGACTGGCTTCTCCAAGATGAGCGAGCGTCAAATAGCCCTTTGGGAGCCCGGCAACCCTGAGCCGATTGGTGGATTCAGCATGGTCGACTCCATCTCTGGTGTCTGCATGCCTTTCTGGGGTGGGTAGAGTTAGGAAGGATCTAATAGAAGACGATGACTGACTAACGGTGTGATAGATGATGGCTCTAACTGCCTCTACCTTGCCGGCAAGGGGCAAGTCGCCCATCGCAGTCGTTTCCGCAGACCAAGTTCGCTGACTTTTACAGTGATGGCAACATTCGCTACTACGAATACGAGAACGACAAGTTTGAATTCTTGAGTGAATACAAGTCTCCCGATCCTCAGCGCGGCATTGCCTTTGTTCCCCGCCGTGGTATCAACGTAGGAACATTATGCCCATGCTACCCGTAATGTGCTAGGCTAATAACAGACAGGTCCACGACAACGAAGTCATGCGCGCTTACAAGACGGTCAACGACAGCTACATTGAGCCTATTTCATTCACCGTGCCCCGCCGCGCCGAAACCTTCCAAGCCGACATCTTCCCGCCTGCCACCGGCACGAAGCCTGCATGCTCCGCCAAGGAGTGGCTCGACGGCAAGACTGCCATTCCCAGCAAGATCGATCTCGAGAGCGTTTACGAGGGCACCGCCCCCAAGGAGGTTGCCTCGGACTACAAGGCTCCCGCCCAAGTGACCCCCACCACACCCAAGGCCGAGATCAAGCGCGAGGAGCCTAAGCGCGAGGAACCCAAGGCCACCGCGGCCTCCCGCGCTTCTCCGCCCAGCATCCAGGACCAGAAGAGCTCCATCTCCAACATGGCCAACAGGTTCCAGGACAACGACGAGGGCGAGGACGACGATGCCGACACAGCCTCGAGCTTTGAGGACATTGGCCGTCCCGCCCAGCGTAACCCCATTCCAGTTCGCGCTGCCGAGCCCAAGCTGCCGACCAAGACGACCTCGGCTCCTGCGCCGGTGCCCGCCGCGGCTGCTGCCCCTGTTGCCGCCGCCTCCGCCGCCACGCCGGCCGTGAAGGCCGCTACGCCGAGCCGAACGCCGCCCGGCACTTCGACCCCTAGCGGAGGCTCTGGCGTCGAGTCGTCCCTGGAGCAGATCAAGCAGCTGCTCGAAAACCAGACCAAGATTATTACTCAACAAAACGACAAGATTGGCCATCTGACGCAGGAAGTTGAGCTGCTGAAGCGCAAGGTCGGCTCCACGGGCTCGCAGGACCAGAACGAGCGTATCCGCCAATTAGAGCTGGAACTTGAGGAAGCTCGCTCATGAGCAAGCTTTGTGGCTTACAGGTAAACGGAAAGGGGGAAGGGGGTTAAAGGGTACGCATAACCTGGGACGGAACGGTTGTTTGCGCAACTACTTTTGCTTTTTTCTTTGTGGAATGATTTTTCTATACGCCAAAGAAGGAGACGAATGTATGTGTTTTGCCATGGGCGGATAGGAAAAGAGGTCGATTGAGGAACGAGGAAAGGGAGGCTTATCTTGCTCCGGAAGCGCTTTGGTGGAAATATGCCCCTGTTTTATGTAGCGACCTTTGTGTATCAAACGAGGATAAAGGAATAGCAATATACCTTGAAATGAAGGACGCCGGGACTGATTCGTATCAAATATTTAGAGCCCTGTCAGAAGATTGAGCAGTGTCGAAACAGCAGGGCGATCCTCCGTTGTCTGTCAGCCTACATTTCGATTCGATGTTGGTAGTTGGCACTGGTCATCAAGGAGAGTACCTCGCTTCACTATCGACAGAAGATACCCACGAAACTGCCGTCAAAGTCTACATTGTCTGGCAAACCCAGTCTACAATAAATCAGGCCCCTTTTTGTGTCGCAATCATGTGTGAAAGCGCACCTCGCCGTGAGAGCACTGTTACCACGTGACAGATCAGACATGGTGAGGAATCAAAACGCACTCTTTCTCTTGAAAATATTCAAGGCCAGTATCATGATGAGCCATGATTCCCCATACAGTCATATCAAAATTGCGAAGCAGCAGGATGTAATTACCTCTCTACTCCTTCTCTCTTTTACCGCCTCTTCTGTTCAGTGGTCGGCTAGCTCCACCCGTCTCTGTTATCGCCTTCAGCTTCGGCATATAATATTATTTAGGCATAGGGCTACACTGACCCGCTGCGGGACGGCCCTGTTATCAGCTCTGATATTAGGCTTAATCTACATATTGTCACTGGTACGTAGAAGACTGGTGTGTTATTGAGCGGCTGTCGAGTCGAATGCACCAACGTGTTGTATTAGGGTGGCCGATTTGCCCGCTCGTGTAATCAGCCTCATCAGGAGGCTTGCAGGGGTGTCGCTGTTCGTCAGCGGCGACCCCTGGGCCTTTGTGCGTCGTCGCAATTTTCGACTAGAGAACGTGTTGACTTGTTGATACACTTGTCTGCAGTTAGCCAGCAGCGACACGGATTTGCAGGATGCAAATGGCATCGCCAGCTTGATCCAGAAGGATGGGTGGCTCACAAACCTCCCAGGACGACGGCTATGCGTTGGCATGGCCACGATCTCAGCGCTGGAATCCAAGCTACAGTGTCCCAAGAAACTCACTGGAACGGTCGCTTTCTGCGAATCTCGCTCTGCAAAACGGCCCCAAGTCAGTGCCTCGCAACGCCGCTGCGACTTCTTTGGGCTCCGTTAGCCATCAAAACACCCTTGTGCAGAGTACCGATAGAGCAAGCTCCGAGGCCTCTGTGGAATTACCAGAAGCGGATGAGAAAGAAACACCAGACGACTTGTCCAATTTATCGCATTGGCTGGAGACTCTTTCTGAGCTGTACATGAACAACCTGGATAACCGCGCCAGATGGGATCCTCGATGGCTGAACGTCACACATCGTGAGCGCTACAGTGGTCTATCATCTTCCCAAGTTACTGTCGTTGACTACGTTTCTGATCAGCCTACCGGCACCGTGGCAACAGCGACAACAAAACAACATCTCGCAGGATTATTACAACATCAGCCAGAAACATGCCAGCTTCGAGTAATTATGATGACAGACCTCAGCCGCTTCACTATGGGCGCAATTGGACAAACATACAACGTGGATCCCGAGTTTTGGTTTGAGCATCTAGCCAATTCTGGGTACGCCGCAAGCGATAGTCAGCTCAAAGTGAACAATGCCCTCTGGATGAACTGGAGCGAGCAAGAAACGCGATTCCGGCATCGTCCTCTGCCGGGAACTGGCCAGCGCACCGAGTGGAATGTTCCGCGCCGTGTCAAGTCGCGGCCGTGGGTACACTTGAAGTGGGCGAGATTGGGTCTCATGCATTACCTGGGCAAGAAGGGATTCAACGAAGCAGAAATTGAGGTAAGGCTCCACGATGGGCGGTGGCTTGCAGAGCGAGACGTTGTTTTGGACAAATGGGGCCGGTACATGACGACGCAAAAATTGGCAAAGGCCAAGCTTCTTGCCGATGCAAAGCGCAAGAAGAAGCAGAGGAAACAAAAAGGACACTACCCATCAGTGGAGGATCCGTCGACGGATGCAGCTTTGACCCCGTCAAAGGTAAAGGCCAGCAACGTATATCGTGCATACAGTACTTTTGAAGGCCTACCCAGGAATTTGAATTCTTGGTACAATAGGGATTTGCGTGTTCTGGCACCAGAAGGTCTCAGTCATTGGACAGGTTCCGACGAACAAGGCAAAAGAGTTGGTGAGTATTTCAACCCTCGCAAAGCAAGTTACAACGACTGACCTGCCGTGTGTCCTTGTTGCAAAGTCGTTCTCGTCTTTGACCCGGTTCGAAAGATGAAGAATCTCCATACACAGGAACTGATTCCTTCTTTAACTTTCATGCCCCGAGCCATGGAGATTGAAAGCTACTCGGAGGAGGAGCTCTGGCGCAGTGCCGGTCCTGAAGAGACGTATCTGGACCCCCCGCCGCCACCCCTTACCAATAAGCAAATCAAGGCACAAAAGAAGGAGATTACGAAGCAAAACTTGAAGAAGAAACGAGACTCGTTACGGAATCGATTCAGGAGAAGGAGAATCGACTTTGATGCGTCTCTTGATGAAGAGTCGGCTGAGCAAGACCAGAGTGATTCTGAATCATCTTATACAAGCGACGACGACTACGATGACGACTACGAGAAGCAGCTGCGAGAAGAGTATGAGAACCCAAAGCCGTACTCGAGAGATCGTGCCTTTGCGAGAAAATACAGCTTGTCGACGCAAGAGCTGGTTCTTCGCCGCTTGCGTACGCTGTCGACTGCCGAGATTACCAAGGACGACGGCGACGGCGACGCCTTGGTGTCGTCTCTGCTCACCAGCATTGTTCTGGATGACTTTTGGCGACTGCTGGCGGAGATGAGGGCCGAGCTCGACCATCTCGACGGTGATTTCAGCGGCTCCCTCTTCTCGCAGCTGGTAGAGTCGTTTGGCAATTCCGTTCGCCAGAACCTGTCCTGGCTGCGGTGCAGCTTGCAGGAACTGAGCGAGTGGGCTGTGCACCTGCAGACGTCGTCTGCCAAGGCGGCCTCATCGTCGTCTGATGCCGCCATTGCCGAGGAGCTCGAGATGCTGATTCAAGACGTGCAGGCACTGCAGCGCCGAGCAGAGTCGACGCTCAACGTGCTCGCGTCGTCCATGGGCCTCTCGCAGTCGTCCCTCGTCATTGACCAGACGTCGGGCATCAACAAGCTCACCGAGCTGGCCTTTTTCTTTGTGCCTTTATCCTTTATCACGTCCGTCTTTTCCATGCAGGTCAAGGAGCTGACGTCGGCGCCACCGCGCATGTGGACATGGGGTCTGGCGCTCAGCCTCGTGTTCCTGGCCACGTACCTGATGCGCATCCTCTTGCGCTCGCCGTCTGTCCGCATCGGCATCCTGCACTGCCGCGCCACCATCATCAACCGCTTCTCGTCGTCCAAGTCGAGCTCGGCCGAGCAGCGCCTCAACACGGTCGGCAGCCGCGCCGTCGCCAAATTCATCTTTTACTTTGCCTGCATCATTGTCATTTACATGGGCCTCGCCGCCCTTGCCATTGCTTTTTTACTCGTCGTGTATCTCGGACTGTGGCTCGGCGCGGCGGGCGCCGCCTTGTACTTTATCGTCACGAAATGGCCAGACCCGGCCGTGCTGGCGCCGTGCTTTGTGGCCTTGCCGGTGGCGGCTGCGGGCTTGTGGGTGTCTTGGCTGTGGGCGGACGAGACGACTGAGTGGACGACGGACGTCATGATGAAGGTTGCCGATGGTCTGGCGGCAAAGTTTCCGGAGAAGTGGCGGCTGGATAGTGTCGATGATGAAGATTTATCACGCGAGGGTGTGAATACGTACGCCAGGCAGGCAATCACTTTGGCTACTTGACAATATCACGCATCTTGATGGGGGGTTTTGCATCGTCGTATTCCGGCGGTATTTGAGATTTGTGGCTACAGAGCACTGGGAGAAAAAGGACGTGGATGTATGTAGCTGTCTTTGGTTGTCTATCAATACAACCATTGCGCAGTTGACCGACTTGCCAGTCTGGGCCCTTTTTTTAGGACAAAGTCTATTCTTAGCCCTGGTTTGCGGCGACGCAATCGCGTTTGATATGCCATTCGCTTGTTCCATGATTGGAACTCTCATAAAGACCCTTTAATGTATTCTTAGTTGATTGGATTGTGCATTCGGCCAGCGCTTGCTGGCATTATGTCTCTGACTTTTCAGCTCGACAGCACTCGGCCTCCCATCTCTCTCGTCTCAACTTATATACTGCGGCACCAAACGAACAAGCGTTACAGGCCTCTCTCTCCTTGTCTCATCGGTGCATTTGAGGGAGGGATGGGCGAGAAGAACGGATACGAATGGCGAACAGCTATTCATTTGTGCTTGTTGACAATGCACGGCAAATGTTGGTACTTTCCACTGCTCGTTTTCGTGGCCTGTGACTATCATGCCGCCACGTCAAAACTCTGAACCTCTTTTTGCGTAAGCGAGAGGGCATTTCCCTGTATCTCATGTATTCTCATGTATTCTCCTCTGCTACTAACGTACTTATCAAGCTAGTTCTTTTTCCTTTCATCATGCCATTGAAGTCAGTAAAGGATCCGCTACTGGGTAAACAATGCAAACAGACAGGGTATCAAAAGCAAAGCATCATGCATCTTATCCATGAGGTGGCAAGAAAAAAAAAACAGGTTGGACGATGAAACTGCTGCCACCCCTCAAACTAAGTTTTTTTTTTGTCTTTCGTCACTTGATGAACTTGTTTGTTTCAATCGATCAATCTAAGCTTTTGTGCAAAGAAACAAGAAAAGGACAGAGCAAACTGTTACAGATGGTCAAGTTTGGCTTGAGATGAGACCAGGCCGGTCGTCATTGATTAGTGAAGTTAGTCTTTGCCGGGTAAGAAGCTCTCCCCCCTCTCCCCAGTGCGCGGCAAGAATGAGATAGTCAGCTCGAGAATGGCAACATGGTTTCAATGCAACGGTGTGTGTCCTTGTTAGAGATTCCGACTATGCGGGGGATGCAGCAAAAGAACGTTTAATCGTGCATGCGCTTGTTGAGTCGTTTCCGAATGATGCGGTCGACCCCGATATCGATGGGCAAGATCTAGACAAGACCCCCCCCCCCCTCCCTCTCTCTCCCCCTTTCAAGTTTCGCCTTTCTTGTACGCACCGACATTCTCAGGATGGTGGCTACTGACTGGTCAAGATTGGGAAAGAATTGAGAAACTGAAATGCCCCCCAGAAGGAAAAAGGGCTTTATGCAAAACAGAGAGTCCGGGTTCCCTCCCCGCCCCCTCTTGCCGGCTTTCACGAGAACAACTTTGTCGCGGGAGAGCAAAAGTCGCCTTGACGGGGGTTTGTAACACTGCGATGTCACTTTGATGGTGGTGGTGTGCCGTCCGACGACAATCGGAGCTCGCCAGGAGAACACTGTGTACTTGCAATTGAATGCCGGGGAGGGGGTTCGTGTTAACATGACTCGGTATTATCTGTATGCGATTTACGAGGTACTGACTCTCTGGCTTGGGGAAAGAAGGGCATTTGCGGAATAATGAACCAACTACGAGTTTCAGCGAATACAGAGCAAATTAAATTTGCAATTTCATATGAAAAAGTATCAAGTCACGTAGGCTTGAGGAGACTAGATTGTGTTTGTTTAACCAGTCCTTCTCGAGTTCGAGTAAGAGCATTGTCCGTGGGAGGGAATGAACCAAGCACATTGATGGTCCTTACGAACTTGCTGTTTCAGATTTCTTTCCGCACAAACTCTACAGTTATCTCTCTCTCTGAGAAATCACATATAGGGACCCTGAATAGTTGACATGAATCAAGGCAGATGTCCGCGCTCTTTTTTTATTTTTATTTTTTGAAATTTTTCCCTTTCGGCAGCCGGGCGCGGAAAGACTCGCTGCCGCCTACGTCTCCCGCAATGATCGTCCATTTCATGCAAGCCTTTGTGGTTCCGAAGGGAGGAGGGAGGGAGGGAGGGAGGGGTGGTGTTATGAGATGTGCGCGTCGCAGGCTGTCAGCTATTATTATTATTATTATTTTTATAAACTTGGGCCAAAACACCAAGATATCTTCTTTTGCATAAATGGCCCATACATAGTCTGGATGAAACTCGGTCGACTTGGTCGGGAAAAAAAGAGCCTACCTAGTCGGCAGACGGCGGCAAGAAGTGGAAAAAAAAAGATGGGTGTTGGAAACCGTCTTGAAACCACGGCGACGGAGAGGTCATTCTGAAACTCTGGCTTTGGGCTTGTTTGAGATGGACTTTTTCTTTCTTTTTTTCTTACTATTCCCTTTTCTATTCCCTTTTCTATTCCCTTTTCTCTCGGTCTTCTGTAGAAAAATGACAACCCACTGGACCCTTTTTTTCTCTCTTATAAATCCGCTCTAGTTTTGTGCTGCGCCTTCTTGTCGGATCGCATATCCATCCATTTGAGCGAGAAAGGAAAAATAAGCCGTGGCTGAGAGAGAGAGAGAGAGGGGAAGGGGGGGGGGGGGGGGGGTCTTTCCTTGGAAGGAAACTAAAACACGAGCGTTATAGCTAGGGCTCATGGTAGAGTCTTGATGATGTAAAGTTGCCACTGACAACAGACTCAACTCTGCGCTTCTTTTCTTCTTCTTTTGCTTGCTTATTTTTTTTCCTTTTTACTTTTTCCTCTGATATTCCAATTCACCGGGGCGTCGCTGTTTTGCAGGCCGCCGGCGTAGTCTTGGGGTAAAAAAAAAAATAAATGTCGCCATCATCGATCGAGTCGTGTCAAGTCTCCGCAGCCCCAGCTCTGCAGAGCCCTCTGAAATAACGTTTCTTCATGCACACACACACACACACACACAGGTCGCACTTTCCCGATTCGAAAGTTAAGCATTGCAGCACGGCATCTCCTTTTAGCCGCCCTAGTGGTAACTATTATTCGCATTGTAGCTGCTTGTTGATTGGCTCTCAATCTCGTATACCATTGTTGGTTTCGTTTTGGGTGCTCTCTTGGTAGGAAGATAACCTAGTCTCCTATGCCCTTTTATTTTATTTTTCCACTTTGGTTTCTTGTGCGCTCGTCTAGCTTAAACGATCAGAATTTCCGGAATCCCACTATTGGCCCTCCGATAAAGTGCTCGGTTCTAGACCGAGTTGACAGCAAGATTGGCGATAATGCGACCTCGCACTAAAGAAGTATGAACCAATGTTGTTTCACCATCTGTGATGTCGGCGGCAACTGCAACAGGCATCGGAAAGATGTGCGTAAAAGCTCTCGGTAATCGCAATTATCGCAATATGTATATTGTATATTGTATCCGAGTAGTGGAGGCCACAAGAGGGCCTGCGGGTTACGATGAAACCGCTTGGCAGCGAGCTGTCTACTCAGCCACATCCCGGCTTTTGCTCTTCTGCCATTCCAACGATAATCGCTGCCTTCTTTATCACCTTGGACCTGGCTCCGATCGGCGTCATTGGCCGCCACGCAGACGTATCATAATAGCGTCTCCGATTGGCGAAAAGGATTCCGAAACACTAGTAGGTTGGCACTTGGACTTGCCATCAGCCCGTCACTTTTCATCACCATCATCCAAACTAGACCCTATAATAACGGCCTTGTTAATTCATGCCGTCAAGTTGCCTTTCCGGCCTTTGTCGGTTTTCGCCGCCGTTGCCATGGAATATTGTGGGTGCATGTAGAGCACAGCCCTTGCCGCCAGGATGGGCCGGCCATCTTGCCAGCTGTGCTTTTCAGAATTGAAACCATAATCGTGGAGAAGGAAAAGAGGGCACTAAAGCCCGCCCGTGTATTAGTCTGTACAGCCTTACCACGCTCGTAGCTCTGTGCTCAAGCGTCAAGAGCTTTCGGCATGCTTTTCTCCCACGTCATTACATGTTTCGAGAGTGAAACATGGTAAAGTTGGGCTCAGCTTTATCGCAGTCATCTTGGCCAATGGATAATTTACCTGCCTTTTTTCCATCTCAAGACATCGCGATAATGGACCAACTAGTTCAAGAAGCCATCGTAAAGAGAGCACTCGGTACTTTTGCACAAGCACTCGTTTTCTAGCACGTCACACGATCACTTTACCTGGACATACTTAATCTGCCATGGCAGTTTCGCATTGCCTCCACGATATATGTCCGAGTGTTTGGTTTGGTTAATTTTAGCGCCTACCTCAAAGTGAGTTTATCAAGGGCGTCGCCGTATAAGATTCATCACATGGCAAGAGATTCACTCAACAGTCGCTTTAAAGAATCCCATTCATGAAACATGGCGGAATATAAACAAGACTTGCACTAGGAGATTTGTTTGAAGATGACATCTCCTGTAGGCGTTTGCATAATCTGTAAATCGTCCGTGCCAGTGTCAGTAGTGATGCAGTGCCGACGCTGCCGTCAGGTGATGGAATGCATCATTCACCGAAACTGCAGTGACAGGCCTCAACAAGAACAAAAAGAGGTAACGAGAACACGAGCTGGTTCCTGCCAATGGGGGGGACTTCTCGTTGACTCAAGTTGTCGTTTCAGGTTGACAGCGGCAGTGTCAGCATTCACTTGGTAGCAGGCATGTCGCAATGACTAGAGGGAAAAGAGAAAGAGACCCAGACGAGACTCGGGAAAATGGACATTGAGGATACTACATGGCAGCAGCGCAATGTCGGGCTGGGCCGCAAGTCATCTGCCAACATTAGACCTCGCGACGACTTGACTCTACAGAAGACAGCATGCGAGAGAAGCCAACAATAGTCCTCTTCTTTTTTTTTTTTTCTTATCGGCATGATGCTTCTTAGAGGGACGCAAGACAGCGTCGAGGTTTCAGATGCATGTTCCTGACAGAAAGACGGCCCTGATTATGCCCAATTCAGTGGCTATGCCAGCCAAGTACAATGGCG